GTAAACGCTGGCAGCTTGTCAACGCTGACTGAGAACTTCCGCTGAATAGTAGTATATTGATCCAGGCCCATTGAGGACCTGCGATTGATACTGGAATTTGGAAATCCGCGACAACCGGGTGCGCCGAACCATCGGAGGCATACAGGAGCCTGAAAAGTCGTGACATATCTACTTGCCAAGTCTTTGGGGCCAGCGTCAGTGATGGACTCAGCGGAAATCAGTAGGAGCCGAAAATCCAGGTTGACAGGACTTACGATATCTCTTCGTGGCAAGGTCGGTGGGGGTTGAAGAACCGAAAATCCGCGGAGACTTGAAAGAGCCGAACGCTTTGACAATTGCTCGATGGGGCTCTTGGCGCTGCCACCAGGCGCCCACGCATGCCTACTTAAGCTTTTTATCGAAAAAGAGATAACAGTGCATACGTCGAAGCTACGACCATGTTCAGTGTGTTTATTATCATCTCTATCTCGACTGACCCTATGGATATAGACAATGGAAGGGAACCCAAACCTCCTCATTGTGCCCAGTAGCAACAACTGGGTGATGATCTTTGTGAACCAAGAAAAATCGCTTACCTTTCGTTCCCCAACCGCGATGAAACTCTTCGTCGATCTATTATCCAACCCCCCTCTGTTCTTGATCGCCCTCCAGCAAGGACGCTTTTTCATGGAGACGCGGCTTGATCCAGAAATCCAGGATCCCACAGGTGAAGAAAGAGCGGTGATTGAGAACCCTGATTTTGAGGACCCAGGGTTTACCACCGACGAGATCATCGCCTGGTTTCAGGCCGTCACAGCAGTCTCTGTGGGGGGAGCCACCGCAAGACCTGTACTGGATACAGTCGGTAATTTAGTCCACTTATGTCAAGCCATACTTGAAGCTTGGGAACTGTCTCCAATCAAGGTTATATAGTATGTACGATGCAAACAATTCTAAGGAACATAGTCATTATTCATTGTCTCTGAAGATGAGAACGTTAGGAAAGCTTCTAGTTCAACCGTGCCATAGAAATTGGAACAGTTATGAGACCTGCGAAGGAGACTGTCTAAAACTACGCATAGTCTCGGATCTACCTGAAATGCATGCTTGATATGTTAGCCATAGCTTTACAAAAACATGCTTATTTCGAGTTTGAAGTCGGTGCTAATAACGATGACTAGAGATAGGCTCCGCACTGGACGAAGTAAACGATGTCGACTTGTCTATTTGGCATTTGAGAATGCATTCAAGTCGTATAGCGGGTACTATTGCATGCTATTGATGCGTTGAGCAGTCTAGGGCTGGGGACATAATGCTGTTTTTGTGGTGGGAAATTGGAATTAGCCAATGTCGGTGGTTAAGAAATACAAGTGATAACTCGATATTACACCTGAGTACCATATGTAGTTGACCTCACGCGGTGCAATTGGCGCCGTTGATGCAGGTATTATGCAGACGACCATGAAATCCCGGATAAGAGACGCACTGCTTCGATGAGTGGCAAATTCCACAGAATTCGACACTAGATATCAACGTGACAGGTAGACGGTTAATCCGACAATGTTCTGGCCAGCAAGGTTGGTGCTGACCACGAACGGCCGGATGGCCTCCTCCGTATTCTACCGGTCAAGATCGTTTATTCACCACCTGGAAAACTTCATAGAGCATATGGTTACCAAAGCCGGAAGCAACGCGACTTCTTGAGACCACACTCAGTGCCGCTATCAGCACGTTGGATCGTGGTCATTTTATCGTCGAGATATAATTTGGAGTTTTCTCTTCTTACATCCGATATATTCATAATAGAATCATAATTGACCTGTCACGCCGGACTGGAGGTTTGTCAGTCGGCGCAAGACCCGTCCTGACCGCGAGACTGTACAGAGAAGTCCCGCTTGTTGAAACACATGTACTTGGGTCACTTGGCTACTGGATTGATTTATGTCATTCACTGGCGCGAAGCCGCAGAGAGTGAGTCGGAGCTTCTTTCCGCAAATATATAAGTGAGCTGAGTGTTTAGCTCCCCTTCGCACTATCTTGTCCTCAGGTCACTGTCGCACGAACGTCAGGTCTGCCGTTGCACTTTATTGAATTACCAGTCGGGGTATTCCGACACTCTTTCGGTGAGAGAATAAGATAAATAATGGGAACTACGTTTCTTGTCGATGACACCAATCCCTCCATTGTCTATGATGGAAGTGGCACATGGGATGAAAGCCGTCAATCAATATCGGGCATCACCAATGAATACAACTCAACATTTCACTCGGCAACTACAGCTGGATTGACTATAAAGTATAAATTCAACGGTACGCAACTAGAATAAGCCGAGAACCTGAGTTGACGTCTACGCTGTGCTGTACAGGAACTGGGATAACCGCATTTTGCACAATTGACACGCCGGGGGCCAACGGATTTCCTGACTCGACATATAGCCTGGATAATATGGCGCCGGTAGCTTTCAACAGCACCGGAGTTGTGTCCTCTCTAAATCCAGACGTCGTCTCCTCCCACGTTGCTGTATTCTCCGTCACCAATCTGTCCGTTTCCGAAGAGCACACTCTCATAATCACCACCACTGATGCAAGTAGCTCAAAAAGGTACATATTCGACTACTTCGCCGTCGAAACTACGGTGGAGGCCTCTTCGAGTAGTGCGGTGGCCACTGCCGCTGCACAGCTCGCAGGAAGAGGCGACGTAGCTATAATGGTAGACAATGCGGATTCAAGATTTGTCTATCGTGTAAATGACGATACGCTTGCGTGGAGTACAACTGGCTCACTAACTACCGGCCGCACGGCACACATACCGCCAGTCTCTACCAACACCCCCGATGGCGTGGCCATAGTCTTTTTCAACGGAACCGCCGTTGAAGTGATTGGAAGAGTAACATATGCTGATGCTACTTCTGTCCCTAGCTCCCCACTTCTTAGATTGTCACTCTACAGGGGTTCCGGCACGAGCCAAGAAGGCACTCCAATACTCTTTACGCCATCAGTTACAGCTCAACATCCTGTTCAAGAACCAATGTACGTCTCGTTCGGGAACTTCTCGGGGCTCAGTGGCGGAGAATATCGACTACATATCGAGAACACCAACACGAACGAAGGGGTGGCTTGGGATTTAGCCCGTTTCCAATACAAACCTCATTATAGGGCCTTAATTTCAGAGGGAGGTGGCGGTACTACAAGCGCTACCAACTCGAATGGCTTACCAGTCCCCAATTTTACGCAGACACAGTCGCATAGCCAGTCTAATGGGACTGAAAGCAGTCCTACACCAGCCAAGGTTTCCAAAGCGGTGATCGCTGGTGCTGTAATTGGCGCAGTCGTGGGCGTCGTAATTCTCATCACATTGATATGGTTCTTTAGGAGGCACTGTCGATGTTATGCTGGAGAGATCCCTGAGGCGCTACAAATTGACCCCTACACCACTGGAGAGATTCCCGAGATGCCACAGACTGTCCCTTATAGAATTGGAGCCCTCGATTCAAGAATCGCAGTCGACTCACCTCGTCCAAGAATCAATCCACCAGGCCCAATAATCGATGCACAGGATCGAAACCTGGGTAGGATAAATGATACCACTGGTGGGAGTCAAAGAAATCGGGATGATGAAAGCAGTCTATCCATACCGCCGCCGTATATCTCAAGCCCAAATTCAGAAGCGGCTTAGTCTCTGCATATATTGCCCATGCAAATAGATGTGATTGCATGGATGATTTGTTACCGCCCTTAGAGTAGATTGATGCATCTAATTTATGTCTTCAATGTTGAACTACTCGGGATCATGACGACTGCTTGAGCTCCTCGACGAGATTTTCCAGCTTGGACCATTCTGGTTCGTCCTCGAAGTTTTCTTTGGTCCGACCCATGAAGGTACGCACCACGCTTTTGGCTTGGAATGCCCACGACCCGCCTCGTGCTGGTTTACCCTCACCCGCTTCTGCGAGCCGTCGCTTCTCCTCTGCTGCTTTTGGTCCAAAATTTCTGAGGACATCGACATACTCCTGCACCTCTTCAACTGCATCACGCCATCTCTCCACATCGACTTCGAGCTGCGTGTTCGACACGACGGCACAGCGGTAAGCAGCGCTGTACGCGTCCAACGCATCGCTCCATCTCTTTCTCCACGTAAGGAGTTGCGCACGGGCCTTCCATATACGCACATCCCCAGAGATACGCGGGAGGATGATCGTGGTGAACAACTCGTCCAGCCGTGCATAAAGTCCAAGCCCCTCATTTGGATTCGTCGGTCGGGATCCGATTCAGACTTGGTTTCGAGCTGGGTAGTGCGTGTTACGTAGCTGACAAGTCGTTCGAGAATCTCGATGTCGACGCTTCCTGCTCCGTCCGTCTCGCTCCGTTCTTCTACGACACGGCCTAGGGCGCGCACTGCTTCTGCCAACTCGCCAACGTCGACAGAGACGACCATGTAGTTCTCCCACATTTGCCAATTGGAGTAGCTATTCTTCAAGCCTTGCTGTAACGCACGAAAGGCGAGAACTTTGTGGTGAAATTTTTGGTCTTGTGCGTCTTTTGTCGTCGCTGTGCTTTGATTAGAGGTCTATAGCATGGTCAACCCCATCCTTATGCCTTAGAGATACTCACCTCGTCCTCCTCTGTTTGCCAGCCTGTGGAACCCAGACGAAGATAGACGCTCGCCAGATTATTCCAACTCTCCGCATCCTCCTCGTCTAGACCTACGCATCGCGCAAAGGCATCGCGGGCCTCAACCCAACGCTCCTTGCGCACGTATGCGCATCCGAGAATGAACCAACTCCTCGCCAGCAGAGGTCGTATGACGACGGCCTTGCTAAGATGTTCGATCGCACCGTCATAGTCACCTCTCGCAAAGTAATATCCGCCCAAGGATCTGGCCGCACGGCCAGACTTGTGCCCCGAGACTTCCCAAGCTTTGCTAAAGTGCGCTTCCGCATGCTCTGGTTCCAATTCACCCAGGAGACACCAGAGCTTGGCCTCTCTTGCCTGATCAATCGCACCACGTACGATTTCTTTGGAAGCTTTGCCCTTGAGAAGGACGCGTTCTGCCTCTTCCTTTCTCCCCTCCAGCAGATCTCTTACTATCGATTTCCCTTTCTGGTTGCTCCATGGCTTGCCAGCACTGCACAACCTCCTCCCACATTTCCAACCTCTCCAAAATCTCCAAAGCACTCTTGAGCACACCCATACTCATCAAGCGCATCGCAAGTTCCTTTTCCAACTCCCATTTACTGGGCATGGCGAGTTGGTGCAGATACGCAAGTCGTTGTTCGGCAGAGGAATCCGCCGTGGGCATCTGATCAATGAGTGCTTGGAGTTGGAGTGTCGAGCGCTCAATCGTCCGCGTTCGGTTCGCTTCGAGGCGGGAGCGAAGGAGAAGGGACATTGTATGCACAGACCAGTTTCGGGGGTGGGAGATTACACGCGAAACGTAGGGTGCCATTTGTTCTGTTGTCAAGCCGTGTTGAGGGGAAGTGTTCTTTACATGGAGACATAGTCCCAGGAAGACGCATTGGTCGAGTGGGTGGAGCGAAGGCTGGTTGTTTGGATCCAGCTGAGCGAGGGATGAAGAGGCGGCACGCGCGTTGGAGGTAAACTCTGTTTTCTCCAAGAGCGTATCGTCGTTGAGATCCAGGGTCTTTGGTAAAGAGTGGTCTAGATTGTCCTCGCTGGGAGGTACGGTAGACGGAGTACTGTCTTCGTCTCTTGATCGACCTTGAGCAAGGAGAGCGAGCTGTGTCAACTCGTTGACTTGAAACTTTGTTCGCTTTCCTTTGATACCAGTGAGCTCGTACTCAAGCTTCATCGCGTTCGCTGCGTTGACGAATTCTGTCGCGGCCTGCCGGTCTTGGCCAAGAAGATGATGGAGCAAGCCCTTTTCAAGGTGATATCGCCCAATTAAGTCCTCGTATGTCTTTGGAATATGAGAGTCTACAAAAGACTCCAATTGGGTCATATCCTCTGTAGAATATGCGACGGGCTCGTCCAGGACTTCTCGATGAGTCCGTCCCGCCCGCATTTTCCACCATATAGATGATGGAAAAGACTTGAATGGCAGATCAAAGACTCGAATTGCGAGGTAGAGAAGGGTGGCTGACTTCATCAGCGGATATGCTGGTTCTCCGTCCTTTGCCAAGCGGGATATCGCTACCATATTGAGCCTTTCTCCTGAATTGGAATTCAAGGACGACATCTTTTGGCCGTCTGATGTTCGCAGGATGTCCTCGGGGGCGAAAGAGAGTCCGGTCCTGTCCAGTTGACTTGTTGAAAGGCATGTAGAGACGCTATGCCAATTAACAGTCGCATCTCCTCATCTTCTACATCCTTCGACTCTCCTTGTAGTAATTCCAATGAGTCGAGGGCATTTTCTGCCACCCATTGGTTGTTTGTCAAGGCGCCGGGTTGCAGGTGCAGGAGCTTGAGGTATTGAGAGACGCGGTCTGACTGGAAGAATGATTGAAAGTCTGCGTCTAGAATCTGTTCGACGAGAGCCGGAAGCCCTTTTGATCGATGTCCAGTAAGCAGGGCTAGCTCTATGTTACTGAGAGTCGACATTTGAGAATCTCTAGAAACCATCAGTCAGTCATCACTTTCTTCTTTCGCGGGTTGGAGTATGGATTACAAATATGGCCGAAAATGACGAAAAGGAGCGGATGGATATGGTTCAAAAGTATCATTTACTCACATAATGGTATAATCAATGGAAATCGTCAACCTTTTGGAAAATGGCTTGACGCGGAAAGGGATCAACGTTGGTCGAGAGCTCCTCCAGAGTGAAATTGTTTATTCTATGGATAAAATGTATGAAAAATGCAAGTCCCACGTCCGATATCGCAGCCACTCGACGTCGCCACTCTGCAAATGGCAGGTGCTTACGCCGTAGAAGAAGCGATCGTTGTTTCGGCTTTGGACCGAACACCTTGAACCTCGACCACGACACCAATTACAGACCAGATTGGTAATCTGTAGACGACATTAATCATGCCAAAAACGTGAGTCATGGCCCCGTCGAGAGCACGTGACAAGTTTTGACTCCTCTAAGATTCAAAATCGCCGTACTTCCAGGAGATGGAATTGGTACGTCGGATAGTGTTACACAATGAAATATTATACTGAAAAATCACCACTCTGCAGGCCCCGAGGTCGTTGAGCAAGCCCTCAATATCCTCAATGTGATTGCCGATGCGAGCCCGGATCTATCACTAGACATCAGTACCCATCTCTTTGGTGGTTGCGCTATAGACGCCGTTGGAAAACCACTCCCAGAGGAGACGTTGGCAGCGTGCAAGAGCGCACACGCTGTCCTGATGGGCAAGTGTACCCCTATCCCTGCTCTTTCGGATTCTTATTCTCATCTAGGATCTGTCGGAGGACCAAAGTGGGGTGTTGGACTCGTCCGACCAGAACAAGGTCTCCTCGCCCTCCGCAAGGAATTGGGACTCTATGCCAATATCCGACCAGCCTCGTTTGCATCCGACTCTCTCCTCTCACACAGTCCCCTTAAAGAATCAGTGGCCAAGGGTGTCGACTTTATCGTCGTGCGCGAGCTTATTGGTGGCCTCTACTTTGGCGAGCGAAAGGAACTCACCTCGAGCACGGGTGGAACAGGTTTTGCCCAAGAAGACGCAGCATATGATACTATGATATACTCCGTCGGCGAAGTCGAACGCATCACACGGGTAGCTGCTCAAATCTCACTCGCATGCGACCCACCACTCCCCATTCATTCTATCGACAAGGCCAATGTGTTGGCATCGAGTCGGTTGTGGAGAAAGATTGTTACTGCGACCATCGAGCGCGAGTATCCCATGCTCGTACCGCTTTTAGACCACCAATTGGTTGACTCGGCTGCCATGGTCATGGTCTCAAATCCGCGAAAGCTTAATGGAGTTATCCTAACGGAGAACATGTTTGGTGACATGTACGTACCAAATCGCTTCCTTTCCTCTTGTAGACTCACACGTCGATAGTCTGTCGGATGAGAGTAGTGTAATTCCAGGCTCGCTAGGTCTGCTACCCTCCGCTTCCTTGGCTGGAGCACCATCGAAAACGACTACATGTTCAGGCCTCTACGAGCCCATTCACGGATCTGCTCCCGATATTGCTGGTCAAGGCATCGCCAATCCCATCGGAACCATCCTCAGCGCGGCCATGCTCCTCAGATACTCTCTTGGACTGGAGAAGGAAGCAGCGGCAATTGAGAGTGCTGTCAGAAAAGTCTTGGATTCAGAAGAGACTGGTGGTCATGGATTCAGAACGAAAGATCTAGGTGGGAACGTGGGCACGAAGGAGATTGGGGCTAAAATCGCAGAGGTCCTGAAGGGATTGTTGTGAGGGTAGGGATACATTTCGAGTTATCGTATGTCTAGATTGATACATAACGACCCACGAAATCGTACAAATTACTCCGTAATCATGATCCTTTGGTCATCCAAAGTACGAGAACGTCGCTGGCAGAATGCACTTGGAAGTCGGATTGAGTGTGCTTGTGAAATATAGTCGTCTTGCGTCCTGTCGTGGCTGGCTTTTTGGACTGCTTTCCTACAACCTTTTTCCTGTCGTTGATGGCGTCGATGACCTCCTTTAGTTGCGCTCCAAGCGTCTCTTCGACGACTTTGAGATGCTGATATGCGGCCCATTCCGAACTGGTGTGAGTACCTGCCGAGGAATTCTTCCCGTCAATTGTACTAGTACGTGTCGGTGATGATGGCTTGCGTAGTCCTTTGGAAAATAGAAGCTTCTGGGAAAGATAGTGAAGCCACTGCGCCGTCACGTTAGCTACAAGACCCAAGTCGACCGTGGACGCACCATGACATTGGTGAGAGGTCTAAACGGCATCCATTCGTTACCATTGTGATGCCTCATCATTCTATAAACATCAAATTGGTAGTCTGCTTCTGTTTCGTCGTCTATATTATCGTCCATGAGCATTCCATTGTGGAGGAAAACAATGACTGACCACCAGCGTCTTGGTTGGAGACAACGCCCCTTCCTGTAAAGACTTCGTCTTCGATGTGCGAAAATTCGACCTTACCACCGGTCTCAATACGAGAGAGACCGAGGTCGATGATAGTGACCACCATTTTCGCACCCGAACGATCATCGACTGCGGCCTTGCGAACAACAATTTGACCCCAGTGGAGATCCCGATGCTTGCCAAGATTAGCAAATGGTTTCTCTTATTAATGATGTACTTACTTCGAAGCGGAGTTTCTCCTCAGCGCCAGCAAGCGCAGTGGCAACCTGCCAAAAGATTTCTGCAGCGTCTCGCCAGGCGTGCGAGTTCTTCCCACTTGCACTTTTGGAAACATCTGTGGATCCCATCTCAGGGTGAGGGCCCGCAAGGATGTACGACTCTAGGTCGATCCCTGCATTCGGAAGAACGACAATGCCATATAGTTGCCGTTCAGTGAAGGTGTCAGGGCGCGTGGATTCGGAGCCACGTTCGCGCTTGAACTCATCCCATTCCCTGAGTAGCGTTTTAGGGTATTTCCCGGTGACAATGTATACTCTGTCAAGAGGTTTAGTGTTAGAGAATCGAATTCGTGGGGGTTCACTTACTTGAGGAGCTTGATGAACCCGTCGCTCGCGTCACCTGTGGCCCGTGTAATAAGTACTTCTTTCAATACCGACAGAGGGCTGCTCTTGTATGGTCCATCCTCTTCGAAATCAGCTGTCTCCAAACTTGACTCGACGTCCATCTCCGCAGCGAGAGGAACAATCTTCAAAACGACGTCCCCTATGCCATAAACTTCTGAGTAACTGGCTTCAGAAATCTTGCGATACTTAAGGGCAGTCCGCTGGGCGGTGCGCATCTTGCTACGCTTCGGCGGAGGCTTTGAGTGATTGGATAATGTCTCTAGATCGTCCTTCTTGAAATGGTCCAGAAACTCCGTGAAATCTAGCGGAACTGTTTGTCCGGCGATCTTCAGTAGCTTTGTCAAAGCTTGGGAAGAGGACGTTTCGCTCTCGACTGAGTCCAACGACGACGTTTCATCTCGCAATGATAGATTTTGCACTCCATTGATTGTAGAAGTCAGCGTGGTATCCCATGTCAAAGGAGATGAGGTAGTCGAAGGTGGAGATTCTATCGAACGTCGCCTTACTGACGAGCGTTTGGCCTTTGGTGACGATGGAACAGAATCCGCCGTCCCAGGCGATTTGGATACGACGGAAGCGAGCGAGAACCGCGGAACACGGCGAAGTGGAGTCCCCTGGCGAGCTCGTGCTTTACGAAGGTGCGACGCCTTCAGTTGAGGTGTGTTAATATAGGTATTCCACTGAGGTGGCACGAGTCCTTGCTCTGGCCCTACTTGTGAATACATTGATCGAGGCAACTGGGATAGACGTACCACTATGCTCCTCGTGGCGGGATCCTCCGTCTATCTCAGAATCTGAACTCGACTCGTCGCCTATGCCCCACTTTTCCACTGCAGACCTGACAGTCTTCTTTCGAGGAGACGGTGTGCGTGGAGTGTCCGCGAGTTTTTGCTCAAAATTGGGTCTTGGTTTGTGGGCGAATGAGGAGCTCATTTGCTCAGGGAGAGAGCCAATTGACCAGGCGGAAGAATCCTCTTCCGAGTCGGAAATACGCTCCATGTCATTTTCTTGTTTCTGAAGCGATGAGACTGGTTTCCCGACAGAGACTGGTCGACCATTCCGGCGTGGAGATTGCCGTACCTGAGGGTTCCGTTGGAAAGTAAAGAGATCTTGAGAGGAACTATCGCTGGATGATAGAATGACTCGGTGGGAGGTCTTGACTCTTTGCGCATGGCTGTTGTGGCTGGTGGTCTTGCTGACTGCACCAGATTGACGCGCGCGAGATATGATATTATGTCCTCCTGGATACCAGGCCGCATAGTTTGCCTTTTTGTATGAAAAGCGCGTTTGGAGTCAGTTTCTTTGACGAGTTTTGTCGATGCTGATTCCGTGGTTCGCGTGTTTGGTTTAGTAGTAGTCTTTCTTTGGGCTTCGGATGCACCCGGTTGTTCCATTCCGTGTTGATAGCGAGTCGGTAACCTGCCGTCTTCTTGCGACTCTTCTTCGCTCGATCGGGGCGGCGTCTGAACATGTGTGGTGGGTGAGTTTGTGGGATTGATGTTGGTTGTAATCGATTCATTAACTGTGATTATTCTTGTAGTTCTTCTTCCATATGTCTTTACTCTGCGCTGCATTTCATCCGATACGGTGGTGGGCAAGTGTAAGTGGCCGGCTTGCCGACTTGCTATTGGGGTTTTCGATGGTCACTCCAGTGAGCTATAAGCGAACACAACTTCGCATCTGTCATAGCCATAACCTGGGCGTCGTCGAGAAAGCAAAGTACGTCTAACTGGTTCGTCAAATAAGCCGTTCAGGCTATATGAGCCATGAAGAACGTAGACACGACACTACTGGACTATGGAACTGCCTTGTATCATGGCCGCCATTCTCACTGGGGCATTCGTTGAGTAATCACGAGAGGGATGTAAAAGTCATATCAGAGCAGTGAAATGATTTGACCAGAGATGTTAAAGCCGGAGCCTCAGGTCTCCGTTTCGGCGTTTTATTGAGCAGCGGAATGGCCAGAACCATAGCCAACCCCCAACTACCAGCGAGCGGCTTATTGGCCAACAAGCAAGTCGATCTATTTCTGAAGCTTCTTGATCTGTTTTTACCGGAAGAAACTTGAGGTGGGCCGTGCTGACATCTCGGGTAGCTAGAGACCAACCGGTCTCGGTCTCAAGAGACGTTGGGCGCTATGAGGTATCGACAGCTAGTGTCCACCGCCATTAGTTAGAGTTTTAGTTGTGCATATCATAAATGGCAACCACTGGTTAGGTCCTGATAGCCCCGATTGGGCGCTACAACTCTAGGATAGTGCTCCTTTTGGAAATGTACAGCATCTCCCCCCTTAAATGTCAAACCGTGTCAAAAGATGAGCTATTACTTAGTTTGGCTGATCCCGAAGCCTGGTCGGTAGGCTGGTTGGATGGGTCTTGTGATACGTGCCAATAGCCGATATCTAGGAGACATCATTATAACAACTTTATATGCAGACAGGACGGCACTATAGTCCATTTACCGTGATACATATACTGCTTCCGCTATGCCCTCTTACTGGCAAGCGGAGCCTGATGCTCACAGAAGCCAGTTGTCAGGAGCTGTTATCGACATTTGGCTATTTAGTAAGACGTCAGCTGATCGCCCTCATATTACATGCCAACATATGCATTTGGCACAGGTTGGAGAAGCGTTCGAACTCTGTATGACTGTGTACACCAATAAGAAAAGTCAATTTTCACAATAAAGTCTGGATGTGGATGTAGAATGTCATATCTGGTGCCACAATTGAAATATTATCGTTCATGCAATTTAGGCGAGTCTGATGAAGCTCTCTAATCCACTGCTGTCGAAGCCCAGCTACAGCGTCACGTCTTGGCGAAGGATGGGTGTCGCGTGCTATTCTATACTACCCTCAGGGGGTGGAGACAAGAGAGGGCACATCGTCCTAACCAGCAAGGACCGTCTCTACAATCTGACAGCAGTCACGCGTGCGATGACGGCTCAACACCCTCGCTATAAGTAGCCTAGAGGTTTTGCCTTGAGCACAGTGTGTTTCACCATCTATACCCCGCTTCGGACTGTAATGAGCATCGGTGGAAGCTCATTCTCATTCCCCTGCTCACTCGATAAACAATGTAGTGCTAAGTTGTTCACTTTGATTGGCAGCGCTGATGCATGCACGACTATCTAGTCATTAAAAAGCGCAATGACGAGGAAGGATAACAGTCGCCTGGTGTGCACTCGATGTAGAAGACGAGGATGCTCAGCACGACATTCCAGCCGACAAGTTTCGGGTAGGCGCTTAACTCTATACTTATGAAAATTCATAATGAATTGAACCCGACAGAAACAGTGGGACCAACGGTCGGCCAGCTCGTTCAACGAATGCAAGGTAATAATGATTTGGCGACGATTCCCGATTGTCGGTTCCTGAGCACATTGCTAACATTCAAAAAGAGGATCCAGACTCAATTCAAATCCCATTCGTTCACAACCGTGCTGCCGAAATGGCACAGGAGCCGACCACTTCTAACGCCAACCAGTCGAGTTCCCAGCCACCAGGCTACACTCGCTATAACTTCCGACCCCGCCGGCGATAAACTCCGCCAAATCACGATTCAGCCCTCAAGGAGCCAGCAGCAACGACTCAGATCAGCTTTATTTATGAAGATAAGATTTTGGGAGAATTTCACCAACTATGTGCCTCCAGCCTCGCCTCTTCTCCTGCATATCTCATTCCTTGGTCTTGGGTTCGCCTTCTTCGGTTCAAGTTTGCCTCGGCAGTTTCGTGTTCCGCGACGTGTAGGTAATATTTTATTTCCTCTCCTATTCAGCCTTTATGATCTCCTTTCCCACCTTCGTTCTAATAGTCGCCTCGCCTCGCTTGATGCAATGCTCGTTTGAAATGCAAACGAAATTGACTCAATGAACGCGAAATAAGTTTAACTATCTCTAAACTACATTGCATATGGAACCAAGCACTTTTGAACGAGGAGAGTATCAGTCCAGCCACTGCCAGTATTGGTTGGAACCTCGCTAAGAGCGTAGCTCCTATAGGATAGTCTGAGTACTTGCAAAGCATAAGCAACAGATATTATAGCTGACTTGCGGGTCCATGGCAAAGGAGCCTACAACCCACCCAGTAATGCCAATGAATATGTCGGCATTTGCCTGCTCAAATGCGACTCCTTGGGAAAGATAGTTCTGGAAGTAGATGTGAGTAGTATTTCCTGAAAACTGGGTGGTTACTTACGACGCACCGCGCCATGTTTCCACCACCCGTCTCGCTGTTGAACACTTGACGCCACCTACGCCTCATACCTTCTACATACCAATCAGAAAATGCCCCTAATATATGCATAAAGCACGTACATGCAAGTAGGTCATCCGCATTGTCAGTGTTATTTCTCACACATTCCGTCTTGGCGCCACTGCGAGGGAATGGGGTTTCGTGCCAATAACTTTCTTGATCCCACCTGTTATCGTAGTCTAGATACCTGTGTACGTCGAAGATGAGACCGGTTGTCGACCCATCTGGGTTAGTGACCTTTGTCAAAGCCTCTGCACTTCATTCGAGATAAATAGTGAGTCTCCCTTTGAGGCCTGTATCTATCTCGTTCTTCCATTCCGTGGTGAGAGTGACTCGATAGCGTGCTGTCTTCCTGCGACTCTTCTTCACTAGATCGGGGCGGCGCCTGAACATACGCATTGGTTGCTACCTTTGTGGGAGTCGTGTGGGTTATTGTCCATTCATTAACTGTGATTATTCTTGTAGCTTCTTCTATATGCCTTTACTCTGCGCTGCATTTCATCCGATACGGTGGCGGGCAAGATGTCGATCTATTTCGGAAGCACCCAGACTCGAAGAAACCCGAGACACACCATGAGACATCTCGGGTAACTAGACACCAACCTCAACCAACCTCAAGCTAACGTTCGCTGTCAGTTGATAGAATTTATCTGTGTATGGTATAAGTGGCGCAACCCCTAGTTCGGTTCTGTTAGCCGCTATTCAGCGCCACGGGTCTAGGTTGATGGCCCTTTGGAAACAGACCGCGTTTCTGCCCCTGAAATGTCGAATCATGTCGAAAATGCGAGCTATTGCTTAGTTTGGGTGATCCCGAAGCCTGGTCGGTAGGCTGGTTGGGTGGTCTTGTGATACGTGCCAATAGCCGATATCTAGGAGACATCAGTATAACAACTTTATATGCAGACAGGACGGTACTATAGTCCATTCACCATGGCACATATACTGTTCCCGCCATGCCCCCTTACTGGCAAGCGGAGTTTGACTCTCACAGAGGGCATTTATCAAAGGAGCTGCTCTCGATGTTTGGCTATTTGAATCAGACCTTAGAGGCGAAGGACATGTCATTTGTCAAATTCCTCGAATCTCCAAAGCCGGCTATGGTCTCGTCCTGGTACCAATAAGAAAAGTCAATTTTCATAATAAAGTCTGGATGCGGACAAAGAATGTCATAGCTGGTACTACAATTGAAATATTATCACTCATCCAGTTTTTACGAGTCTGATGAGGTTCTCTGATCCCCCGGCTATCGAAGTCCACCTAATAGTTTCTCGGCCGAGTGTGGGTGCAGCATGTTAATCTATACTACTCTCAGGGTGGAGGCAGGAGAGGGCATGTCATCTTAACCAGCAAGCAAGGACCGTCTCTACAATCCGACAGCAGTCACGCGCGGCGCACCGCCTCCACTCCTTTGCTATAAGTAGCCTAGAGGTTTTGCCTTGAGCTTTACGTGTTTCACCATCTATACCCCGCTTCGGACTGTGATGAGCATCAGTGGAAGCTCATTCTCATTCCTCTGCTCACTCAATAAACAATGTATTGCTAAGTAGTTGACTTTGCTTGGCAGCGCTGATGCATGCATGATTATTTAGTCATTAAAAAACGCAATGACGAAGGAAGGATAACAGTCGCGTGGTGTGCACTCAATGTAGAAGACGGGGGTGCTCGGCACGACATTCCAGCCACCAAGTTTCAGGTAGGCAGTCAGTTTCACACTCTGAACAAGTGCATAATGAATGAAATATATAGAAACCATGGATCCAACCGTCGGTCAACTCGTGCAGCGAATGCAAGGTACATAATACCAATCCTGGGACAGTTCCCGCTTGTTGGTTCCCGCGCCTGTTTCTGACATTGTAAAAGAGAATCCAGACTCGATTCAAATCCCATTCGTTCACAACCGTACTGCCGAAGTGGCACAGGAGCCGACCACTTCTAACGCCAACCAGTCGAGTTCCCAGCCACCAGGCTACACTCGCTATAACTTCCGACCCCGCCGGCGATAAACTCCGCTAAATCACGATTCAACCCTCAAGGAGCCAGCAGCAACGACTCAGATCAGCTCTATTTATGAAGATAAGATTTTGGGAGAATTTCACCAACTATGTGCCTCCAGCCTCGCCTCTTCTCCTGCAAATCTCATTCCTTGGTCTTGGGTTCGCCTTCTTCGGTTCAAGTTCGCCTCGGCAGTTTCGTGTTCCGCGACGTGTAGGTAATATTTTATTTCCTCTCCTAGTCAGCCTTTATGATCTCCTTTCCCACCTTCGTTCTAATAGTCGCCTCGCCTCGCTTGATGCAATGCTCGTTTGAAATGCAAACGAAATTGATTCAATGAACGCGAAATAAGTTTAACTATCTCTAAACTACATTGCATATGGAACCAAGCACTTTTGAACGAGGAGAGTATCAGTCCAGCCACTGCCAGTATTGGTTGGAACCTCGCTAAGAGCGTAGCTCCTATAGGATAATCTGAGTACCTGCAGAATAAAGGCGAGAGATACAAGTAACTTACGGGTCCACGGCGAAGGAGCCTGCAGCCCACCCAGTAATGCCAATGAATACGTCGGCGTTGGCCTGCTCAAACGCGACTTGTTGGCAGAAGTAGTTCTGGAAGTAGATTTAAGTATCATTCCTGAAAAGAGAGGACTACGTACGACGCACGACGCCGTATTTCCGCCACCCGTCTCGCTGTTGAACGCTTGACGTCCTCTACATCTTAACCACTCTGCATATCAATCAGAAAATGCTCCTAGCAGATCCATAAAGGACATACGCGCAAGTGGGCCAAACGCATTGTCAATGTTATTCCTCACACATTCCGTGTTGGTGCCACTGCGAAAGAGTGAGGTTTCGTGCTAAGAAGTCTCGTGAACCTACCTATTATCGTAGTCTAGGTACTTGTGTACGTCAAAGACGAGTCCAGTTGTCGAGCCATCCGGGTTGGTGACCTTTGCCAAAGCCTCTGCGCTTCCGTTTGAGATAAACGTCTCGGCACTATCAAAGTATCAGCAACGGATCAATCAGATAGCCACTGCCATACCTTGTCCAGTTATTGCCCGGGAGCAAACAAATCTGCTTCATAGCACCGGCCTTGCGGATGGCCGTAACCGCTGCTTGAACGCTAGCAGCCCATGCGTTGATGTCGGGCACATCATGTGGTTCGTTCATAATGCCAAAGATAATGTGATCGTTCGAGGCGTATTTGGCAGCGATTTGGCCCCACAGGTAGGCAAACTGTTCATTTGTCGGTCCACCCTGCCCAATAATCTTGCCGTTCCATCTAGCGACCAGAAGTAAATACCTCATTAGTGAACAAAATAGTAGAGGAGGGAACATACCGCGCATAATTGTGTACATCAACGATGCAGTACGCGCCGAGACCGAGACAAGCTTGGATAAATTCGTCATACTTGGCGAAGTTGGTGGCGTCGAGATCTCCCAGGACGCCATTGGTCAGATACTGCCATCCGACGGGAACGCGGAATGTGTTGAACTCTTGCGAAGCGTCAGAGAAGTGATGAGCGGGGGAATCACGCTGACTGACTGTCATCTTGGAAAAAGTGGGTCATCTGGCCGATGCCATCTGGGCCGTAGTACTTGGCCAAAGGTGGGAATGCACTGGTAGGAATGAGATTGGCTCTACATACTTAGCCAAGAACATACCCAGTAGGATTACAGGTTCCCTGAAGCGGCGTTAGTGACTATTTACCAACAAGCCTGACGTCTACCTACATCCGCTCCACAACCAAAGTCGTAGCCTGCCATATTGACGCCGATGTACTTGAACTTTTGACCTCTAGGAAAATTTGAATAACCAAGCGACCGGATTCACCAGTGGACGTACGCTGGGGGTGTGCTTGATGGGCAGGCTGTTCCCGACGCGGTGCTTGTACTCGAGGTGCGTGTCGAGGTGCGTGTCGAGGTAATGGTACTGGTACTGGTTGTACGAGTTGACGTGCTAGTCGAAGTAGAAATTGGCCGGGTGGAGATACTCGTGCTTGTTGATCGCGTCGAAACGCTACTCGATGTCGAAGTCGAACGGGTCGCCGAGCTGGTCGAGGTTGCCACTAGACATTGAGAGTACCAGTCATTCAGGTAAACGCATTGGAGGCCAGCGTCACAGGTTCCTGATCCCGTCCATCCGATACTGCTTGAGTAAGCTACCGTCGGCACAGCTAAGACATTCTTACCCCTAAAAATAGATCAGACACAAGATCCTGGGTAAACATAGATCGCATACATACTGCGCATTGCTGCCACTGGGCGATCGCGTTGGCTTGTGAAACGAAGGTAACGGCGAGCGAGACGAGTGCGAGGGTCTGCTTCATGATGAGGACAAACGAGGAGAAGTGAGGCCACTCTAGACACATGCATCTTTTCCTTTAAAACAGTCGCCACCTGCCGAGCAAACGTCGACAAATGGCCAGCCGGGGGTCAGCTTGCGAATGCCTGAGAGTTGAAGATTTGCATCTAGGTGCTATAATCGGCCCGAAGTCCCACCGGATGCGACAATATTGCTGCTTGAGCAGTCGCTAGCGCCGTCAGAGGAAGCCGAAGCCTGCGAAATCATAGCCAAAGCAAGCTCGGCCTCCTTTGCTCACAATTAACAGACATTACGTCGGTCATGTGGATACGCAATGGCGAGTGATAAGAATGGGTCGGCAGTTGATGAGATTTTCCGGGCCGCTCGAGCGTTGTTCCCAAAAGTGTATTGTGAAATGGTTTCTATGTGTGCGTTTAGAATGAGAGACTGTGTCAACTCGAGCTCAAACCTTACGCCGACGTCCAAACGGACCGAGAATTTTGCAGCCCATTTAGCAACCCAGGCCCAGAACTGCACTAAAAGCGAACGTGGAACGGGGTTTTGCGTTTGAAGTTGTGTTTGTATTCACTCGTGGTAAGCACAAGGGACACTGGTCGTGTTGTCGCCCGTGCCTCGAAGAGCTGGCGGGTACGGAGATGGTTAATCCGATCCATGAGGATATTTATATCTCAGCAGGGCTTCCGAGGCTGCCATTTCCGATCGTCGCAGATTGGAGTCAGGTGCAAGTTGAGCAATGCGTGGTGAAATCCGAATTGAATATCATAAAATTATCGTACATACAAATGAAGCAAACTCCATTCATCTACCCACGAGCTCGACTCGTGGAATACTAGTCCTCTGTGTATCCGGGTGGCTCAGCCCGCGGTATTCGGAGGCCACTATCGACTTCAACCGATGACATTGGTGGCGACGACGACAGGATGGTCGACTCTGGTGGCTGCGCTGTAGCAGGGACACGAGTCGGTGACGGCGGGCGACGGTCCATATTCATGAACCGCGACTTTTCGTTTTGGCCATAAGAGGCTCCAGGAATCGGAGGATATGTCGCAGAGGGTGGAACGACTGGCGAACGCGGTGGTGGTCTTGAATTTACGCCTTCAAACTGCGGGTAGAGAATGGTGCCTCCCGGCACATATCGCCCATTCACATTGGCACCACTCCCACCACTGATATCGCTCCCCGCCGAGCGGAAGTCACTCACAGTAAAGTGAGTGTCCATGCCTGTGTACGCCGTCGAGTTGCCGTCGCCGTCATAGAATGACGACTGGACTTCGGAAACCCGATTTCCGGGCGTGTTCTTTGAAGCAGGAATGTTGCTCATAGATCCAAACGGCACTGCAGTGTACTGCGAGCCATTGGCCGGGACGCGGTATGGTTCCGCTACGCCAGCGTGGTCGATGGCTCCTCCAGATTCCTTATGCTTCCGCGCTTTTCTTCTCCTCCACAAGAAGAACCCTAAGACTGCCAGGAGGATGATTGCGACAACACCAACAACGCCACCAACGATGGCTCCGGTGTTCGACGTCTTGCTGTCATTTGGGGGGTTTGTAGGAATGGTGGCAGAAGAGTTGGTCGTGCGGTATACAAAATAGTCGAGGAACAACGGGTTGCTGTTCAAAGGTGTAATCGTTAGGGTGTGCGTCTTGTCCGCTCCAAGCGATGTCGCTTGAAAGACAGCCTGGTGTAGAACAGCCGGCAGATTCGCTTTGCCTTCAAATGTGGTCGATTGCCCGTCAATACTAAACGAAACCTTGGTCGTGCCTTGGTTAACTGTCTGGGCAGTGGTTCCAAATACTGTTATCGCTGTCCCTGTGGTTACTAGTTCAGCACTATCCTGCCATTAAGAATGCCAAACACACCATTGAATTGCAGGGTCATCGTCCCCCCATTCGCCTCGCCGGGCGTTTGCCTAGTCGTTCCCATATACTCTTCAACAATCCCATTATTTGACCATGATCCAGAGAAGAGTAGACTTTGGTCGCGGTCATCCAGAATGACATCCCCAGCGACGCTATCACTTCCGCTATCCACGGTGAAAAAGTCGAGGTAGAACGGACCAGGAGTCGTAGTGCTTCCAGACGGACTCGCGATAGCAATCTTGATTGTATGGTTGCCTTTTGGGAGTGTTGGAGACTTGTAGAGTAGCGCGTGCGAGGTTTGTCTTCGCCGGTCCCAATTGAGGACCTCTCCAGATGCATTAAACGCGATTGGATCGCTATTATCTATTGTAAATCTCGGGGTGGGTAAACCAAGGCTCTGCGGCGTATTGAGCGTGCCAAAGACCGAGATGCCAGTACCTGGAAACGCTCGTCCAAGCCTCTCGGGGAATCATGACAAAAGCGCGTACCAACGAAAGAGTATTCCAACGAGTCTCCAACCGTATTCGACTTGTGCACAGTGCTGAGATATTCGTTGGTGTAGTCCCCGACGTTGTTCTCCGACGACCAGCTGCCCGTATACGTAATGGACCGGTCTTGATCGTCTACGATGAGCACCTTGCTCATTTTTTTTCCTTTTTGTACTACCAGTGGGTTGATAGCGCGGCCCGTATGTATCAAGACGAATTGGCGCAGGCAGGGTTCGGCACGGTGCAATATAGGTCGACGTGGACGGGTCCAAGATGGCATTCATCCTCAAGGAAATACTCGGTTTGTCACTGACAAGCGCGGCACAGGTTCGCATTCCCGGACAATTTTCGCGCGGCTGAAACCCAGCTAATCTCCGCATTACCTCCCAGTTGCAATCCCGCTTCAAGGAGGGTGCAGGTCTCAGAATTGGAGTGTGAAATGTCCATATGATGTTAGTTCATGCTACAGGATGCGCAATAATATAAGCAAATCTATCCGTAGTTAGAGTACGAAGGCGGTAGTGTATCTGGGACATCATCGTCGTAGGTCCAATGATCCAACCGAATACCGGCATCAACCTCTCGAACGGGCACCCGTCGCGTCCGTTCAGGTATTGGTTGTTCCCTCTGTCGTGAGGAAGTAGAGGCGGAATTACGCGGCACGTCTTTCAAGTGCGATGCATGCCCATTGTGAATGTCCGACGACAAGTAAACACTGTCATCCTGTGAAGACTCGTGCCATTCCTCCCGACCACGACGCGAGTCTGGGACCATGTCTTCTTGCCTCCCGGCTCTGTTCCTCTCGGACCTGCTCTCTGGCTCTGTCTCGGGCGTTACGCTATCACTCAGCCTCGACGACTCCGTTCTATTACGATCAGATAATCCGGGTGGTCGTAGATACGAATCTCTCGACTCGACGTGCGACGTGCCCACAGACGTCCGCCTTTCGGACCCTGAACTTGAAGCAGCTGGGTGAAATACTTCAGTACGATTGTTCCTTGGTCGATATTTCTCTGGCGGGATGATGAATACCGAATTATCTGGTGAATCGCTCCGCTGGTTCAATGGGCGCAACTCCATCTGAGCACGACCAATTGCCTGTTCCCCGTCCCTACTTCCTCTTGGCCGTACCCCTTTCTGCGTGCCAAAAGGGTATTGCGCCAGCGTTCGACTATTTCTCCCTTCAGGTGTCGCTGAGCCCTTCAGCGCACCGTAATCCCCTTCGCTTGGAGAGAGATGAGGCGAGCGAACTTTTTTGTGTTTACGACGGAGGTAAAAAACTATGAAGGCAATGATAACCAGCAGCCCCACAGAGCCGATGGATGCACCGATGATGGCCGCAACAGGCAAGCCGGTCGGTTGATCTATTGATGGAGAGGAGGAGGAGACAGAAGGACCGGATTGAACAGTGGCCCCGTTTCCACCTGACTGGGGAAGCCCGGGATCAAAGTTGCTGATCGTCTGGACCTCAGGCATAACGGTGCCGCCAGTTGTGATCATCGTAGTCCGCGTCGTGACACCGACAAGAGTATCTGTCTCTGCAGTTGCAGTGTTCATCCCACCGCCTCCACCACTATTTCCGCCTGCGACCCCTGTCAAGACTCTGGACGATCCATACACAAAATAGTCCAGCCACCAAGACGGCGCACGATCTCCTAGCGCAATGAGTTGCATTGTATGTGGTCCATCACTGAGGCCAGACAGAATGAGGAGGGGCTGGGAAAATCGGTGGGCGAGCAGGCCACGGACGCCTGTATCTCTATACACCTGATTCGGTGTACCAGGATCAATGAGAAATGCGACGATTGGCACACTTCCATAGTCGTTGTAGATCGTCCCGTATACCGAGATACTGTCGCCGGTAAATGAGAGCGTCGCGGTCGCGTTCACGCCCTGAGGAGTTCTTCGACTGGTATAGGCATACTCTGCAGAGTTGCTGACCATCAACCAGGCCCCGTTGTAACTGATACTCGGGTCTCTGTCGTCCACAATGGTCCACGCGCCTGCTCGCGCCATGTCGTCGTCGGTCATACCCGTGACGGTGAAAAAGTCGAAGATGTACCGTCGATTGGCAGCGCTATCGACATTACTAATGGTGATGAGGATAGTATGTTCACCATAACTGAGCGTCGGAGATTTGTAGAACGGGATATGCGAGAATGTGACCTCCTGATTAGGATAGGCGACTTCTCCGGACGCGTTGAAGCTGACTGCAGGATTATTATCAATTCTATATGTCGAGACGGCTAATCCGTAGTTTTTGGGCTGATTGATAGTCCCGTAGACCGTGATCCCAGTGCCTGCAGCGAACCAGTTCTCAGCACGTTTTAAATGCTATAAAAAATAGAGAACAAACGTACCTCTAAAGGTGTATCTAATTGTCGTACCAGATGCAAAGGTGTAGTGCATCGTCGAGTTGTACTCGTTACTCGTGCTCGTAAATGCATGATCGACGCCTGACCATGCTCCTTCCGTGTATTCAATCGCGGGATTCGAGTCGTCAATGATCGCGACCTTTGACATTGTCCTCGTCAAGGTCGTTCTCCGAGTCGGGTGGAGGGCCCGCTATAGGAGAGAAGGAGAAAGGGAAAAAGGACAGGCCTTGGTCGCTATAACACCTCATCCGATGACCGGCAGGACTTGGCAGCGCTTCAGGCGGGCATAAACCTGCAGTGACTTGAAATGCAACCGGCAATTGCACGAAGGTCGTGAGAACCGAGTTGAAAAGGCATCTCGACCCACTATAGCGCATTTTGCTTATCTCCGTAACCCGTGGGAAGTCCGCGGCTGGTTGCCTACTGCAGTAGCGCGGTCCAGCTTGACCAACACCCGCATAAATAGGGGCCAATGCCAATACAGGGGTGAAATAAACATTAAATGGTACGGATGGAGGTGAATCAATTGGAAGAGTGACGAGGCCGTTCCAAAGGCTATCAAAGAGATGAAATTCTTTACAATTTCTTTCTTGGGAAATACAGTTACAACTGTTTTAGCATAAACACGCCAAGATGGAAGAAACACCGAGATTAAATCGTATACCTAAATAGCAATTTGGTCAAACGCATAAAGCGAGAAGTGAGAGACATACCGGAATAACGGGCTCGCATCACCCATATCTCTGAACCTATGCGCCTGCGATTGGTCGATATTCTCGCGACGGCAGAGTTCCTCTTTTTGCTTGTTCAAGCGCCAGTACGTGACCATACCCGTACACGACCCAAGTACTCTGTTCAGTGTAAGTAGCCATTAATGTAGTCATACGTAACATACGAGAGTAAGAGACAGCCAATGACCGTTCCATGTCCAATATAGAATCTTGGTGCATCTCGACTGCGATAGATGAACGAGGAGCAAATACTGGATGGTTGTCAACAAATAGTTCAGCGTGGATGAGAGAGAAGACGTACCCGCCGAGATTGGCAACCCCGATCGTCAACGCTAGCGCAACCCCACGTTTGATATCCCCTCCTGCGTTACCACCAGTCCAAGCTAGCACAACCGCGATGCTGGGGAAGACACCGCAAGCAGCAATGACCGTTCCAGCATAGCTCACGCCAGGAAGCGATGGTGGTGTAGCGTAGAGAATCGAGTATCCAGTGATGGCAACACTTGCGCAACCGACAATGAACGGGCCACGAAGATGGAGCTTGTCGGAATATACGCCAACGAGGATAGTAAAGAAGCACCCGGCAATATACGGCGGTGTCGAAAGTAATTGGGCATTTGAGGCAGTGTATCCCAGTTCTTGAATGATCTAGCTCGAGTCAGCTATGGAGCATAGAATGGGGCAGAAAGGACGCACCGTTGGGATAAAGATCGAAAACGCATAGACAGGAATGATGATACCGAGGTAAATACAGACTTGGATCCAACATTTCCAGTCTGTAAGCGCCTGCCAGACAAACTTGATGTCGTAGTGGGTCGCAAGGTCGGTAGAATCGTGCTTGAGGCGGTCAATTACAAAGTTGCGCTCGTCTTCGGTTAGGAAGGTTGCAGTCGAAGGGTACTAGTGAAAATGGGCATGAGGGAAGGCCGACGGCAAAACTATATACCCACATCGTACATGAGCCAATAAGCTGCGACGGCGAAGGCGACAGTGACAAGACCCTCGATTAGGAACTAGCGCAGTGTGTAAGCAATATAGGCTTCTGTGGGGATTTATTGCCTACGATCCACTGCCAACCACGCAGACCGGCACGTCCTTCCAGCTTTTCAATTGCATACGCGAGTAGCCCACCGAATGCGCCGGCAATTGTTGCTGCTGAGAAGAATATCGCTACTCTTTTGGATTGCTCGGAGCGTTTGTACCATAGCGAGAGGTAAAAGGTGACACCGGGGAAGAGTCCAGCCTCTGCTAGACCAAGAAAGACTCGAGCCCTATGACGATTAAGAAACGAATGAGCAAAATGATAGGGGACTCACACCAAGAGCCCTGCGTAGCTGTTTACGAGACACATTAAAGTCTATATAGATCGGGTCAATGATCGTGGGTACAAGAAAAAGGTTGAGATTGACCATAATGATACCCCAAATAACCATGATTGATGGAACTACAGAGTCAGATGCATATTATAAAGGAATGCTTTACTCACTCCAACGCGACGGACGGAGCAGCTTGAGGAGAACATTGCTGGGGATTTCAGCAAAGCAATAGAGGATGAAGAACACAGCTGCCGCCGTGTTGTATTGGAGACCGACAAGATGCAAGTCGGAAACCATGCCCGCCACCTTGGCGTTTCCAATATTCGAGCGGTCACTGCCAAAGTGAGCATAAGTGGGAAATATTGAGCAATTGAAAACTCACAGAAAAGACAACAAGTAAAGTAGGGAGACAAAAGGCAGTAGATGGAAATCAAGCCTGCGGAGGATGGCCTTTTCGTGCTTTAGACTGATGCCGTGCCGCCACGACTGTTTTTCCGAGGGTGCTTCTGGATCAGCATCTTCGTAGAGAGTCTTGTTTCCAAGTATGCTAGTAGGTGAAGCAATACTGTATTCGTCGGTGTGAGAGCCGTTTGTCGTAGCCATGGTGCGTTTTTCTGAGTAGTTTGTACGTCTAGAAGTAAGGAAACCTCTCCTCTCTTATATTTCGACTGTGACCAAGAGATTCGGCGCATCCAGCCTTTCATCGCGCTCGCCATTTGCGCTTGTCCAATGCGCTTGCGCTGCGTACGGGGACACCGGAGCCCATGTGATCATCGGCGACCGCTCTCGCTGCCCGCTCCGAACATGAACCTTTTCTGGCTTTCCGTCGAACATGTGTTCTAGGCTGCAGACCATGGAGCGAGACCCGCACAGACCAAGCTGTGGGCACTTTACGCTCGTCGGGAGGAGCGGAGATTTGTCGATAGTTGAGGTTTGAAAGACGTTTCTCGGCGTTCTCGATGCTGAAGAATGCCCCGAGCCACATCTCGTCCATGGCCCAAGACATGGTTGGATCCAAAAGGCTACACGATGCGATAAAAAGAATATCTTGGCTTGCAAATACTTTGCATTTGGAATGGATCTAGACTTTAATTGGCAATTACAACATTCAAATCGGTCACAGCCATGGCAAAATCTAAACTCGATGACGAGAAGTGCGGACTTTGGCTTTAGAGCTCCTCCGAATTCCCCAAAGGAATTATTTTTGCCGACTCTACCCCATCATGATGGGATGACCGCTGTAGATTGCCGTCAGGCCTCTCGGATCCTATAGCGGGCCCCACAAGGGCGATGGCTCAGGCCCTACAGCATCCGGGCTACGCACTTGTCAAACAACTTAAGAAGATATAGGCGCACTATGGCTACAATCTGCAGGACCACGGAGCTTCCCGTCCCCTTTCCTGTACCCGCCTGGCGTCGAGCACCCAAAGTAGCCTCAGGCAAAAGCCAGTGTTCATCGCAACTCGTCAGTATTGCGACGGAGAACAGGTATGGAACACGACGCTACCAATTCCATGGAGCTTGTCGCCGAATTCCAATCGTAAGTCTGTTCTTTGATACTCATCCGGCTTATGAACGGTCTAATGTGTCACAGATGTCAGTATGTTGCTCTGGCAGCCATCACATTATGGGCATACGACGTTCTTCTTACTGCGGCCGACGAAGTGGAGGTACTGTGGTCTAGACAAGGGCGATTTATCGATTTTTTGTACCTCACTGTTTGTTCTGACTCAAATCCTCGCTGCATCTCAACTGAGCTCCTCCCAGGGGAGGTACTTACCTATTGTCGGTATTTGCCTCATAGGACAAGGCTAGTATCCAGTGTCGCCCTCCATTATCATGCTGAAAGATCAGCAGGCCTATTTCATACTTGGAATAGTGAACTCGACGACAGGGTGGGTCTCTTTGCTAAGAACAATATCACGGCTGACCAACGCAGGGGCGAGTTCTAGCGAGAGGACGCGCACATTGGTTGACATATCTCAGTTGCAGGATTGTGTGGACGATCAGTAATGGATGTATGGTCATCCAGACCATAATTTCGCAAAGTATGAGCGATCTTCTCTATCTATTCCTCTCATTCATATCCTTCAGCCATCTTCACCATGCGTCTCTGCGTCATTTATTGCACGGCAAGGCACATACGGCGTCTCCTCTTCATTTGTCTTGTAGTCTTCAATACGGCTCAGCTCAACATCTTCATCGTCGCTCAGTATAAAATGAATAGTACATCCAAGTCTACTTTCTGGTATTTTCTGACAGTTTGTAGCCAATATTCTCTGGGATGCTGTCCTAAACACTTGTGTCGCACCGGAATACAACGCATGGCCTATGGCAACAATATACTTCCCTCCGGTTCGTCAAGGCGTATCCACGCAAGTTAACGCAAACTTAGGACGATATTTATAGCTTATTTTGGAATTCGTCATCTTTGTCGCGACCATTGCGCACGCATTTGGCATCGGGAGCCAACTCAGCGTCCTAGGAAGAACATCAACCCGGCGGGCTTTACGAACGCTTTATATCGACGGGACGCTCTTCTTCTTCGTGCGTCTTTCTTGATCTATTATCTTGTCTGATGCTCTGCAGGGGGTCATATTTCTCCGCATCGGAAGCATCATCGTATTCTACGTCGCACCGTTTGGGTACCAAGTCCTCTTCACATACCTCGACTATCTTCTCTCTAGCACCCTGACCTCTCGCTTCTTCCTCCATTTCCGCCGCAAGGTGGCAGAGGCACATCCAATGCAGCCCCAAACAGTCATGCAAGCCCACGATTCTGGAACCAGCACAAACGTAGACTTCCGAATGCAACCAATCAATGGCATACAGAATGGACCTCCATCGTTGACGACTGACGTCTCTAGACATTCTCATCATGTCTCGGACGACGTTTTATCGTTCTGGATAGAAACGGATCAACTCAGTATTGCGAGTGTTCGAGACAAGAAACAGGACGTCGAAGCAGGGTGACGTACGGGACCACCTCATGGTCTTTCCAGCTGATGACTTGTTGCTATTCATCCCTGTATAACGCCTGTAATCTACTTATGCCGTCTCAGTCGCCAGTAAACCTAAAATACGCTCTGCTTGGCACCATTAAGTCACTGGTTTACCGAAAGCTCCCGATCAACCGTCCTAGAAGCTAACCCCGCACTCGGCATCGGGTATGCCTCAGCCGGTTCAAGCTACCCGGTTGATCTCGAGGTTCGTTTTCCGCGCGATAACTCAATGTAGCTGGTCCTCAGTCCTGGGTTCACTCTATAGCCTATGACCGTTGATTGTTTTCCGCAAACGATTGGCTGGAACATTAACGCTGAGGGAATACTTCTCCGTTCGTTGATCTACTAGAGGGCCAGGACTGATTTCTCTCGCTTTCCTCCAGAACTGCCCTCTTCAGACTGGACAGGCACGAGGGACCAGTCATGACCGGCATTGGTGGACAATTCTGCGGGAGTATATTGCTCTTGGAAATGACCCGTCAATTTTCTGGGTGCTGGCAACTGGCCGCATCCGCTCGCCACCGGCGCGACTTTCGCCGGATGGCCATTTGCCAGCGCAACAAAAGAGTCACCAGAGCGCGGTAAAAGCTGTATTTATCTGATCTAGAATTCAATGGATTCGAATGTATGACCGACCCCTATCGGCCCAGTAGTATTTCCGAACCCGTATGCGCCTCCCGCTCATTACCTGTCCGACCATTGACTCTCTTGCTGTTCGATATCATGAGAATCGACTGTATGGAGGGTTGTACGGAGAGAATGTCCTCCAGTGGGCTTGGCGGATGGTCGACTCATCCTTTGACAGGAGCGCCTTCTCTCTCGGCTACGAATAAAAGTTGGGCTACAATCGTAGAGGGAAGGATAAACGACGTCACTGTCTCTCACTCGACAAGGATACATCACACCATTCGCTATGCTCTTCGAAGCCCTCATCGTATACGCCTCTTTAACCATGGCTTTCGCCGCTCCTTTCTATAATTACACTCGGTATGTTTACTCGTACACACATGCAATTTTGAAAGCCTCAAGCATATCAGTTGCGCAAACCACTACAATTCGACACAGCTTCAGGCAATGGAGGCACGATACACACAAGACCTCTCAGCTGCTGAAGCGTCAGGAAGCTTTCAGCGTTTGGCGCCACCTTCTACTGCTTCTGCTAGATCATCTTTGGGGCGATACGATGCCGAACTGTTCACGTTGGTGAGTGGTTCTTTGTACCCCCAATTTGCGACCTGTCTTACCGTCTGGTAGTTTGGCACATTATATACGAGTCTGGGACCGTGGAAGGAGGGTATATGAGTGACAAGGCAGTACAAGACTGTAAGTTTCCCTTTTCTATAGACCCAAACACTTAAATACACGCTAGCGATCGATGCACTCAACGAGCATTACGGGGGAAACCGATTTTTGGTTTGTCCTCGATCGTACGACCCGCACAAAAAACAAGACGTGGTTTAACAAAGTCAACGTGCGTTCTCCGCTACAAGACGACATGAAGAAGCAGCTCCATGTCGGCGATGCGCGCACGCTCAACGTCTATACTGTCAACTTTCCAACTGCCGGGTTTCTTGGATATGCACCGTATCCTCAATTCTACGCACAAGCACCATGGGACGACGGGGTGGTAATCAAGCATAGCTCTGTGCCCGGGGGAGGTTCGGTTCCTACTAGATTGCTTTGTTGCTGCTTATTCTTCCCTAGCTGCTGTGAGCTTCAACCAAGGCAAAACACTGACGCACGAAGTTGGACATTGGCTTGGCTTATTACACGTGTTCAACGAGGATGGAAAATGTGTTGATTGGGATTTTGTGTCCGACACGCCCGTGCAATCAACTTGGACGGAAGGGTGCCCCACGTCAAAGGATAGCTGTGATGGTCTTCCTGGGGAAGACTCAATTCACGTAAGTTTCTTTTTTTACTTTCCTATGGTAATACTGATTCAGGTTCTCAGAACTTCATGGACTACAGGTAAAAGCTATCGAGTCCTACTTTAGATTGCATCTAACGAGTTTGAAAGCACGGATGCTTGTTTGACGGAATTCACGCCTGGGCAGATTGCTCGGATGTATACACAGTGAGTCTCCCCTTGGTTGTTCACTTGACGACTCACACTCACGGTCAACAATAGGTCCAATCTTTATCGCAAATTCAGTTGGGAACTATGCCGACCTTTTGATTGGCCAATTCTTACTAGAGTTCCCACTATAACGCGTCCCATTGTCACTGCAATCGCGACTGCTGTGATCCCGGTCATTCCAGTGATACCTGGACATGGACTAGGTCCTGCTCCAGTTGAGTAAACACGATTCAAAGCCAGCCTTTACATTAACTATGTACCTGATGAAATACATCCCTTGTTATCGTCGAGCTTCAACCAGTTTTTCTCTCATATTGGGTCCTGAGCATTTCACCTTCTGTAACGGCCCGCCTAAAGATCAAAATTGGAGGTTCAGGTGATTAAATCGACTGAATACTAATCATGATACCCATTTCATGGTATCAACAGACTCCACAAGATGATATCAATGGCACACGAGTTTACCTTATGGTCTTTGCAGCTGATGGCTTGTTACTAGTCATCCCCGTATAATGACCGTAATCGATTTATACATTCCCAGTCGCCAGTAAACTCTGACTGTGCCTCTGCCTGGCAGTATTAAATCACTGGTTTACTGAATCAATCCTGACCACGTACTTGGTATCCAACTCCAGTCGATCCTGAGGTTTCTGTTTAAATGTTTATATTTCAAATCCGACTAGATTAGAAATTCTAGGTATAAACCCGTTTCGTATAATGGTCATGAGTCCTAGTATCACTTCGCAGCCCATGGCCGTTGTGTCAGAAGGGTATGACGGTGACCAGGGGAGATAAAAAAGGTCAATTGGATCAACGAACCTATGACGGTGATCAGGGGAGGTCCAAAAGGTGAGAACGTCTTGAACACCAATCACCGTTACCTATGTACATGATATCGAGTCATAAAACTACACATTGATTATTGTCAGCACAGGATTGGCTGCAAAATTGACGCTTAGAAAATTATCTTCAATCTCTCGATCTATTAAGCTGCTGAAACTATGTTTCCCTCGCTCTCTTATAGAACACCCCTCTAGACTGGACAGGCGCGGGGAATCAGCCATGAATGGAGTTGATAAATAATTCTACGGTGGTATATTGCTCTCAAAGAGTCTTGGGCCTTTCCATGGGTGCTGGCAAATGGCCGCATCCGCTCTCCACTTGCGCGACTTCCGCCGGACGGCCATTTGCCAGCGCGATAAAAGAGTCACCAGAGCTCTCTCAAAACTGTATCCATCGTAACTAGAGTCCAATGTACTTGAATAATGACTGACCCCTGTCGGCCCAGCGGTAGATCCGAACCTGTACGCCTCTACCGCCTATTACCTGCCCAACTATTGATTTTCTTGAAGGGAATGTCGGCCGCATGGAGTATTGTACAGAGAGGATGTCCTCCAGTAGGCTTAGTGGATGGTCCGCTCATTGATAACTGGAGCCGTATATGGCGCTCTTCTCTCTGAGCTACATATAAAAGGCATCATGAATTGCAAGGGGAAAGATCAAAAAACCATTTCCTCTCACTCGACAAGAATTCACTAGGCCAATTCACCATGCTCTTCAGAGGTGTCATCGTATGCGCCTCTTTGACTGTGGCTTTCGCCGTTCCCTACCATAACTACACTCGGTATGTTCGTTAATGTACTTGTGCAAGAATGGGAATCTAACGTATGTCAGCTGCGCCAACCAGTACAGCTCGACTCAGCTTCAAGCAATTGAAGCGCAGTACACCCAAGACATTGCTGCTGCTGAAACCTCTGGAAGTTTCCAGCGTACAGCCGCAACTTCTACTATCTCTGGGGAGTCTTCTCTAGCCCCCAAGCAATGCCGGACCATCAGAGTTGGTGAGTACTTTGCCACTAAGTTTGTGACCTTTCTTATGGGATGGTAGCTTGGCACATCATCTATGAGTCTGAGACCGTACCAGGGGGGTACATAAGCGACAAGGCGGTGAAAGACTGTAGGTGTTCCTCCCCATGCAATCTACAACGCTCAAAAACACACTAGCTATCGATGCAATTAACAAACATTATGGAGCAACGGAATTTCGGTTTGTTCTCGATCGTACGACCCGTACAAAGAATAAGGCATGGTTCAACAAAGTTGATGTTCGCTCCCCTTTGCAAGACGATATGAAGAAGCAGCTTCATGTTGGCGATGCACGCACATTAAACGTCTATACTGTCAACTTCCAAAATTCCGACACGCTTGGATATTCCCCGTATCCACAATTCTACGCGCAGGCACCATGGGACGATGGGGTGGTCATCAAGCATATCACTGTGCCTGGAGGAGGTTTGATTGTTCTCTGGATCACTTTCCTGCCGCTGATCCTCCTCCAGCTGCCGTTGGCTTCAACGAAGGCAAGACCTTGACGCACGAAGTTGGCCATTGGCTTGGCCTATTACACGTATTCAATGAAGACAAGAAATGCGCTGATTGGGATTTCGTATCTGACACGCCCGTGCAATCAACCTGGACGGACGGATGCCCCACGTCAAAGGATAGCTGCAAGGACCTCCCTGGGAAGGATTCGATTCACGTGAGTGTTATATTTATCTTAGTATGGTCATACTCATTCAGCCTTTCAGAATTTCATGGACTACAGGTACAGAGCTATCGCGCCTTGCTAGAGCTACGTCTTACATGTTTTGATAGCACCGACGTTTGTTTGACAGAATTTACGCCTGGGCAGATTGCTCGAATGTATACGCAGTAAGTATCCCTCTTGGTCGCCACGTTTACTTGAAAGTCGTGCTCACCATCAACAATAGGTCTGATCTTTATCGCAAATTTAGTCAAGAGCTATGCTGACCGTTCCTTCTTTCCTCAATATTGTCATTCTCAACGCAATTCCTCCGACCGTGTCATTTCAGTACCTGGGCACCGGCCGGATTCTGCCTATGTAGAGGTGAATGTCGATGATCAAGATTCAAAACGATCTATTCTTCAGCTCTTTCTTTCTATATGCCTAGCGAAATATAGTCTTTCCTATGGTAGAACTGCAGCGAGTTTTCTCTTGCCCTGAAACATTTCACTTTCTTTAACGGCCCATCTAAACATTTAAATCGATATAATTTTTATACCTGTAATCGGCTTTTACGGTCTCAGTTGCAAGTATACTCAAAGCAGTTCGTATTTCACTTGTATCCTATACTTTCTTCGGTCTGATGGGTAGCAATACCTCGACTTTGTCTGGTCGGATTTATAATCCAAACGTCTAAACTATGCTTCTGCTTGGCACTATCAAATCACTGGGTCCACCATTTCCGAAAGCCCTGGATCAATCTTAACCCGTCACTCGGCACCTGATATGCTTCAACCAGCTCGAGTTATCCAAGGTGGTCCTGAGGTTCCTGTTTTCGTATCGTTTTATTGTCCAATTCCACGACTGATAGCCGTTGATCATTTACAAAGAACGATTGACTAGAGCATTGACGGCGAGGAAAAAAATTCTCCCTCCATCGATCTAGTGAAGCGCTATGACTGAACTTCTCTCACTTTCTTCCAGAACTGCCCTCTTCGGACTGGACAGGCGCGAGGAACCAGCCATGACCGGCGTTGATGAACAGTTCTGCAACATATTGCTCTCAAAGAGTCTTGACATTTCTCTGTGTGCTGGCAAGCGGCCGCATTTGCTCGCCACTGGCGCGACTTGCGCCGGACGGCCATTTGCCAGCGCGATAAAAGAGTCGCCAGAGCTCGCTCAAGGTTCTATTTATCGGAACTGAATCAATGTACTCGGATAAATGGCTGAACCCTGTCGGCCCAATGGTAGGTCCGAACCTGTACGCGCCTCCCGCTCATTACCTGCCCGACCAAGGATCCTCTCAATGGCTGATGTCACGAGTTCGTGATTCCATGGAGGATTGTACAGAGTGGATGTCACCCAGCAGGCTTGGCGGATGGTATGCCCATGATTTGATAGGATTGCAGAGGCGTTCTCCTTTCTTCGCTATGTATAAAAGTACGACGAGATTTAAGAGGCAGTACAAGTAACGTCGCCGTCTCTCACTCAACAAGAGCACATCGCGCCATTCGCTATATATGCTCCTCCAAGCCTTCATCGTTTGCGCCTCCTTGGCTCTGGCTTTCGCCGCTCCTTTTCATAACTATACTCGGTATGCTCATTCATACACACTCATGCAAAATTGAGAATCTGACGTACACAAGTTGCGCTAACCAATACAACTCGACGCAGCTTCAAGCACTAGAGGCACAATATACGCAAGACCTCGCAGCTGCCGAAGCCTCCGGAAGCTTACAGCGTATAACAACACCCTCTACTCTCTCTGGTGGATCCTCTTTAGTATGCCGACCCATCCAAGTCGGTGAGTTCCTTGTAACCCAATCTGTGACTAGTCTTACGGTCCTGCAGCTTGGCATATCATCTACGAGTCCGAGACTGTGCAAGGAGGATATATGAGCGACAAGGCGGTGCAAGACTGTACGTTTCCTCCTCCTATTGATCTCAAACGCTCAAATACACACCAGCGATCGATGCACTCAACGGGCATTACAGAGGGACTGAATTTAGGTTCCTTCTCGATCGTACAACCCGCACGAAAAATAAGACATGGTTCAACGACGTCGACGGGGATTCTCCTTTGCAAGACGACATGAAGAAGCAGCTCCATGTCGGCGATGCGCGCACGCTCAACGTCTATACTGTCAACTTTCCAACTGCCAAGTCCCTGGGATATGCACCATATCCTCAATTCTACGCGCAAGCACCATGGAACGATGGGGTAGTAATCAAGCATAGCTCTGTGCCCGGAGGAGGTTCGATTCTTACTGGATCACTTTCTAGCGGCTTATACTTCCCTAGCTGCTGTTGGCTTCAACCAAGGCAAAACGTTAACACACGAAGTTGGCCATTGGCTTGGCTTACTACACGTGTTCAATGAGGACGGAAAATGCGTTGACTGGGATTTCGTGTCCGACACGCCCGTGCAATCAACCTGGACGGAAGGGTGCCCCACGTCAAAGGATAGCTGCGATGGTCTTCCTGGGGAAGACTCAATTCACGTGAGTGTTTGCTTATTTCACCATAGTCATACTGATTCGGTTTTCAGAACTTCATGGACTACAGGTAAAGAGCTGTGGAGTCCTAATTTAGGCTGCATCTAACGAGTTTTGACAGCATGGATGTTTGTTTGACGGAATTCACGCCTGGGCAGATTGCTCGAATGCATGCGCAGTGAGTCTGCGCCTTACTCGCATGACACTCAGACTAACTGGTCAACAATAGGTCCGATCTTTATCGCAAAATCTCCCGAGGATTCTGTCCATGGGATTGGCCATTTCTTGGTTAATTTTCCACTCTAATACTACCTGTTGACGGTCCTATTGTCACTACAATCACGACTCCTCCGACCCGTCATTTCAGCACTTGGACATGGACTGGGTCCTGCTCCGGTTGAGTAAATGCCCATCATCACGATTCGAAACGATGTTTTCTTCAACTATGTGCCTGATGAAATGCAGCCTTTGCTATCGTCGAGTTGCAACGAGTTGCCTCTTCCATGTCGGTCCCGAAACATTTCACTTTCTCCGATGGTCCACCTAAACACCAAAATTGGAGGTTCAGGTGGCGAACGTGACTAAATGCCGACTTTAATACTCATTTCGCGGTCTCAGCGGAACCTATAGAATATCGACTTTAAACTTGAAACTATTTCAATTCACAAATGTTACACGATGCAGAGTCCAGTTTTAGGGGTTGCAACATGACCAATTGCCCGGCCGACTCAATAGCGCCTTTCGGCGTCCTTCCTCGTAGGGAAAGTATGGATTGCAACCTTAGATAGTCGAATTCCTCATTCTCGCGGGCCGTGCTGTTTGTTCGGTCAATGCTCGTGGGTTTAGGAACGGGCCCGTCGTGTTGCGAACTCTCGACAAACTCTGCGAGTATATAACCAGACTATTACTGGAAATTGGTCAGCGTGGTCTACTTTGCAACCCCATCTTGTTCGCGGGAGTAAACTCAAGCTTTCCAGGTCGGTTCATCTCCCGTAATTCGAATCTTCCTTATCATTTTAAAGGATGATCCTTCTTTCCACAATTCTCCTCGCGAGTCTACACTTCGCAATGTGTGCTCAGCCCCCGGTTATTGAGACAGAGGGTACTATTTACAAAGGAACGTTCTTGAGAAACAACACCGTCGCTACTTTCTACGGTGTTCCCTACGCAGAGCCTCCCGTAGGAGACAGGAGATTTCGTGCACCTGTTCCCATCAAACGACGGCACGGTCCAGGCAAAACTGTAGTCGACGCTTCGAAAGAGCCAAACTTCTGCATCCAATCGCTTTACGGTCCGAGTACGTGCTTCTTCCCGGCCGACCCCTAATCTGTCGACCTGACAACTTCCTGTGAACCCATAGCCGCAACGGTCCACGGCGGCGCCGGTTCGGAGGACTGTCTGCATCTCAATATATACGTGCCCCCACGCGTACTCCGCTCAAGGCCTTCCTCGGCGAAACTTCCTACTCTCGTCTACATTCACGGCGGCGCTTTCAAAGCAGGAAACCCTCTCGCGTGGCCCTTTGACCATTGGGTGGAACAATTCCCGGACGTCGTCGTCGTGTCGGTATATTATCGTCTCGGGATCTTTGGTTTCCTATCAGCACCAAACGCAAAGGGTGCCCTCGATTACAATGCCGGCTTCCTGGATCAACTCGCGGCTCTCAAGTGGGTAAAAGAGGTGAGCTATTTCACACAGACACTTTCGCAACGGTCTCACAGTAGTAGAACATTGCCAATTTTGGAGGAGATCCGCAAAAGATCACCATCAACGGACAGAGCGCGGGTGGCCTGTCGATGGAGCTTCATCTCGTAGCAAATGGGGGGAAACAGACACTCTTCCAACAAGTCATTGGACAAAGCATGTGGCGGATTCCATTGATGCAGATATCGGAAACACAGGTGGAAAGCCCATTCGAGATACCCTCATATACCTAACCTGCCTTAGGCACCGTTCGATTTCATCATGGGAGAAGCGGGCTGTAATATCGCCGGATATTCAAACGTCCAAAAGATTGACTGCTACAGAGGCAAGGACATCCCTACGCTTATGCGCTCGTCAGAGAACGCCATGATCAAGTTAGTGGCTCTTTAGCTGAGAGCAACCCGATCACCATTGACTTACCTCACTTAGGAACTCGTCCTGGACGCCATACCCAGTTATTGACGGCACCATACTCCCCGGGCGACCTACGCAGCTCATCAACCAGGGCAAATTCAGCAAGGTCCCTGTGCTCGTCGGCGCCACGACGGATGAAAACTTCTTCTTTACAAGCTCTCTCCAGACTGACTTCAACATGTGGTGGCCAGCAATGACGAATCTCAGTGCTATCCAACAGGTTTATCCCTCGAGCGACTTTGCAAACGAGACTATTCGCGCGCAGACAGCAAATGGTGAAACCATGTTTAGATGCCCTGTACGTGTCCTTTCTTCGATGGACTCAAACCGATGCTTATATGAGCGGCAGCGTGAGCATGTCGCTGAAGCGCAAACTGCGGCCGGACAATCGGCCTATGCCTATCGATTCGATTCAATGAATCCAACGCAGCAAGGACCTCCCCTTGTAGGACACTCGGCGGAAAACTGGTGGATGTTCCGTGGCGTGAATACAGTGTCAGTAATCTTCATTTTAATGATGAAGGCGGGACTGACCTTCGCACACGGTATACAGGGAGAATGGTACATACGCCTTCACACCCTTCAACTCCACATCCCAATCCACCTTCGCTAAGGAGCTCTTGGCGTACTGGGTGTCGTTTGTACGCAGTGGGGATCCGAATGTTCACCGCCTCGAGGGATCTCCCATCTGGCCCAAGTGGGAGAATGGCTACGTCGGCGGTAGCTCTGCTAGCCCAAAAGGGAAGAGGATGGTTCTCAAGGAAGGGAGTACGACTGGATATAGGGGCAAGTACCAATCTGGAAGTCGTGCGGAGCAAGAGCCAGCAAAAGAACTCTCAAGATGTCATGCTGTTGATGCGCTGGCACCAAATCTTCACATTTGAGGAGGACAAGGAGGACAAGATCCAGAAGGGCTGGACTAGCTTAAGCGCATATTGCTAGAGCCGGTCGCGGGATGTCTTGTATTACAGTCTCGATTGACAACGAATGTCTTTATGTTACAAAGGTCCCGGACCTGGCCCAGGAGCAGGGCCACCAGGAATGCCAGGAGTGGGAATATGTGTTGGAATGTGGATTGTAAAGGAAGGAATAATTGGAGTTGGGATGATTGGAGTGGGAATAATTGGAGTAAAACTAGGCAAATTGAAGCACCAGCTTTGTGGAATCTTGCGATAGAGGTCGGATCTTGATCCGCAAGGTCAGCCGGTTCCCACGAATTAGTGACTTCAAGACTTACTGCTTCTTCATACGGGAAATCTGTCCAGGAGTGAAAGATGTCAAGCAAGTGTCCCAGCTATGCGATTTTGTGAGATCTAAACAGTATATCAATCGAGAGTTCGTTACCTATAGTCCATGAAGTTCTGCAAAAGATTATCAGGACGAGAGCATTGAAATGCGAAAGCTACGTACGTGAATAGAATCAAGACCAGGGAGGTTAGGACAGCTGTCTTTTGTCGCTGGACATCCAAGAGTCTGGGTTGATTGAACTGGGGTGTCGGCGACCATGTCTTGTTCAACGCATTGGCCTTGCTCGTTAAACACCTATTTGTAGAAATAAGTATAATATAGTGTGAGTACAGAGTGTCTCACGTGAAGAAGCCCCAGCCAGTGGCCGACTTCGTGGGTCAGCGTCTTGCCCTGGTTGAAGTTGGTGGCAGCTTTAGGAGTACCTTGAGTGACTATAACAAGTATACGAGGAAAGACTGACCTCCTCCTGGTACAGAGCTATGCTTGATGACTACGCCATCGTCCCATGGGTATGCTGCATAGTACTGGGGAAGATTTGCATATCCCAACGACTTGGGCTTCGGGAAGTTTATCGTATACACATTTAGCGTTCTTGCGTCGCCAACACGCAGCCTTTTTTTCATCGCATCTTGCAGAGGCGAGTTTGAGTCGACCTTATTAAACCAATCCTTATTTTTTGTACGTGTGATCCTGTCGAGAATGAATCTAAAGCCTGATCCCGAATAGTGGGTGTTCAGAGCTTTGATCGCTATTGGCAGGTTGCTCAACAAGTCAGTCCAGTAGGCCCAGTGAGTACGCACAGTTCTTGACACTCTGGTCGGTCATGTACCCCCCTTTCACGGTCTTCTTTTCATAGATAATATGCCAGGCTGGAAATGAAGACATTAGCGACATTGGGATATTCTGTCGCTGGTCCAAAAATCTCACCAACTTTCACCGTTCTGCACGACAGAGATGATAAATCTCGGGAGTTAGCCGACTCGTCTTCATGCTGAATCTCTCCAGCAGCCTCGGCAGCCCTGAGGTCCTGAGTGTACTGCGCCTCGATGGCTTGAAGGTCGGACGGACTGTATGTATTTTCGCAGCTAGAAGCAGATTCAGCCAACAATATCGCTCCTAAGTTACATACCGAGTGTAATTGGCAAAGGAGCAGCGAGGCTCAGAACAAAAAGGCTGTAAGCGAGCAGAACCTCTAAGAGCATCACTGTGAGCAACCCGGCGGACGATTACTGGCTTGTTGCCCATATTTTCAGCGTCTATACTGTGCTAGTTATATGTGGCAGCAAGGAGAGAGGCTGTACTGAGAGTTAGGCTTTGAATCAGAGAACCGCTGGCACTGCTGGCAGTTCTTCCTTGGCGCGCATAAGTTTTGTACATTAGTATGAATTGCTGCACAGACCACTTGATGACCATTGGTTATTCGACTGCCTTTGGGCCGGGCATGTCTCGGTGAGGGAGCATAAGAGGTTTGCGGGCGTCCATCCACAGCTAGCATATACATAATGGATTGAGGTTGGGTTGTATTGTGAAGTGCCTACTTGGCCGCTGTAGACCTGTACAGCGCTGCCTTGGCGCCTTTAGGAGTCACGGCCAAATGCCAGAATAACTCTGAGAGGCGTTAAAGGGTAGATCCGGTTGTCTTTGGAAGTCATCAAATTAAGCTACTTTGACTTGATGATATGAGTCGAAGCTGCAAAAAGTAACTTATCCCATGACGAGAATACAAAGTTCAGAAACACTGTTCCAAGCCTAGATAGTACATCATGAAAGCCATGATTTGACAATCCTAGTGAAGTTCCCGAGAAGTCACAGTCATGCTCAATACAGGAGAACTCGTCGCAAGGTAGCAGTGAGGATGGATAAACGGCCTGCACAGCGAGTAGGCAACAAGACTTGGCTCAAAATGAGAAGAGAGGAATAACAAACATGAATTTTAGTCCAAGTGAGTGACATGAAATAGATATCAAACGAGCGGACGTCTCTTTGGCACACGACCGATGAGAAGCGAATGACTAGAAGGGAGCCGGATCGGGTCCAGGGATGGGGCCACCAGGAATGTCGGGAGTGGGGACCGGCGGGAGGACAGTAAATGTGGGAGGCAACCATGTAAAAGTAGGTATGCTGATACACAACCTTGACGGAATCCTGCGATAGAGATCGGATCTTATGGTACAGTCAGCGCAGATGATGTATTAGAGACCGTTAAAACTCACTGTTCCTTCATACGAGTAATCTGGCCAGGGGTGAACGAAGTCATGCAAGAGTCCCAGCTACAACGCATTAGCTCCCAGGCTACTATGTTCAGTAGTTATTCACCTATAGTCCATAAAATTCTAAAGAAGCGTCATTAGTAAGACATAATAGAAGGACGAAGAGTAACACACGTGGATCGAGTCTGCTCCCGGGAGGTTTGGGCAACTATCCTTCGAAGCTGGACATCCAAGAGTCTCAGTCGATTGAACGGGGGTGTCGGAGACCATGTCTTGTTCAACGCATTGACCTTGCTCGTTAAACACCTGTTTATGAAGATGAGTATAATGCGGTGTGAATAAAATGTGGCTTACGTGAAGAAGCCCCAACCAGTGGCCGACTTCGTGTGTCAGCGTTTTGCCCTGGTTGAAATTGGTGGCAGCTTTAGGAGTAATTTAAGCAGCTATAACAAAATACGAGGAAAGACCGACCTCCTCCTGGTACAGAACTATGCTTGATAACTACACCGTCGTTCCACGGATTCGCGGCGTAATACTGAGGGAGGTACGCATATCCCAAAGCACTTGGCCGTGGAAAGTTGACAGTGTAAACATTCAGAGTCGTCGCATCGCCAACGTGCAGCTTCTTCTTCATATCGTCCTGGAGTGAGGAGCGAGAGTCGACCTTGTTGAACCATTCAGCGTTTTGCGTACGCGTGATCTTGTCAAGAACAAATTTGAAGCCAGAGCCGGAGAAGTGAGTGTTCATGGCCTTGATCGCTATTGGGATGTTTAAGCACAGCGATTCGTCTGAGTAAAAGGGACTACGCACAATCCCTGACAGTCTGGTCGGACATATAGCCCTTTTGAACAGTGGTGGACTCGTAAATGATGTGCCAAACTAGAAAAAAAAAGGGCTGTTATGATGTGGTACATGGGAGAAAGGAAAGAACCCACCAACTTTCACCGTTCGACACAGTAGGGATGGAACAGTCAAGGTTGGGGCTAGTGCATCGTCGCGGTGAATTTCTCCAGCAGCTTCGGCAGCTTGGAGATCCTGAATATACTGCGCCTCGATAGCCTGGATATCAGATGCACTGTATGAATTCTCGCAACTACGAAGCCTTAGAAATAGTCTAGACTATGCAAATCTGTACGTACCGAGTGTAATTGGCAAAAGGAGCGGCGAGCCCGATGGCGAAAAGACTGTAGGCGAGGAGAATATGAAAGAGCATGGTGACTCGTAGTTCAGCGGGAAAATGAAGTTGCTCTAGTGCTGTAATCAACCTCCAAGTCATGCCGTCTTATATACGACAGCAGAGGAAAGAGGCTGTACTGAGGGCCACGGGCCAAGCAGCTCTTAACGTTACTGGTGATCCTCTCACACGCACGTAGAATGTATAGTCCAATATCATGTGCGGGATTGCGCACTTGATTGACATTGGGTCGGCCAGGTATCGGGGAGAGGCGCGTACAGATTCGCAGCCGCCGTTGCGCCAGCAGCATGGGCGCACCTGTCGTTTCAGGTGCATTCTCTTGGCTTACTGTCTCCTTGGCTTCGCCGACATGCAGCGTTCATGGATCAGCGTCTGCCGGTGTGGACGGCCAAATGCCAGCAGACACAGTTTTCGGATACAGCTGATAGTGGATCCGGCTTTGAATTGCCCCTTGCAAGTTGACAGGTTACACGTCCGTAAGAATGACGCGCCAAGGCCACTAGAATTTTCCAAAGGCAAACGTGTTCTGTTTGTTGAAATGGACAGGGTGAGAACCAGTATCTCATACGAGTCATATAGTTATTCAGTATGTCTTCCAAAGAGGCATGTCGTCCCTTCTTGGCTTGAGGAGGCTGGCAGAGCTGAGGTCTTGGCCGCGTGGCCGAGAAATCGACTATGAATAGAGGCAGTTGCGTGCTATTTTACTAGTATGGTGTTTCTTGGTAAAGTGCGCGACTGTGAGTACAAAGCCATGTCGAGGTGGAGACCAAAGGTTGCCACGGGCGTAATTTACGCAACATCAACGTGCAGTGAATAACGTAAAGAATGCAAATAACAGCATTACTAATCACGGGCGTAGTGCTCTGCACGAAGCCAGCGGAATATTTCGTCTATGTAGTGGCATCTCTCGACCTACTCGCCCGCCATGCAGTCGTTGTCAGCGCTTCTAATCATGCCCTTTCAAGCGCCAAAATGACCCTTTGACCGGCTTAATGATTTCTGAGTCACCGCAGAGTTCCACACCTCTGGCGAATTATCGTAGCCGAGGGAAATGGGTTACATTGTATATCCTACGGCGTTGGATATCTAGAGTATTCACTTTGATGATGAGGAGCCTCCCCGCATGCAATCTCAAATGGTCGAGGGCTGAACTCGTATGGGTGGCCAAAGCTTTGGAGGGTTTGGATCTGTTCACGATATCATGCCGCGCTCAGAGCGCCAGTATCTCGCCGCTGTGCTGGTGAATATAATCTCTCATACGATTTTATGCTTCTAACGTGTGAACCAGGCGATTCCAGTTGCAATCCTCCTCTTCAACATGGCGCCTCTATTAGGCGGTCTGTTCGGGAGCGGTCGTACCGTCCTCATCGAGACACAGCACATCGCATACAAGGGACTCGTGCTCCGTAATGGCAAAGTCGCAACGTTCTACGGCATCCCATATGCTGAACCGCCAGTGGGAGCGAACCGCTTTCGCGCCCCAATACCATTGAAGAGGCATACTGCTCTTGGAGACGTAAGAAATATGGTAGACGCAACGCGACAGCCAAAGTTTTGTCCACAGTTTTCTCTCATGAACGGTACGTTCTTTCTCGTTTGGAATTCCAACCAACTTAGTTGTCGCAGACAAAGACACGCACGCTGGCGAAGGTTCTGAAGACTGCCTTTACCTGAACGTGTATACTCCACCGCACGTTCTCGGCTCTACGGAAAAACTACCCGTTTTGGTGTACATCCATGGCGGAGGATTCGTCCAAGGAAACCCTCTAGGTTGGCCATTCGAACATTGGATTGAGCAGTACCCCAACATTGTGATTGTATCCATATACTATCGCCTTGGCATCTTTGGATTCCTGACTGCGCCCGACGCTGGGGATGCCCTTGACTCGAATGCTGGCATTCTCGACCAGGTTGAGGCCCTTCGTTGGGTGAATGAGGTGTGTAAAAGATGCACTGTATCCAAGCGTGACCTCATTGGCAGAATATTGCTCATTTCGGAGGAGATCCTGAAAAGGTCACGATCAACGGGCAAAGTGCCGGCGCAGCCTCTGTTGCATTACATCTTCTCATGAACGGAGGAAAACAGCAACTATTTCATCAAGCTATCCTTCAGAGTCTCTACCGCCCCCCTCTCCGCAAAGTATCAGAGACCAAGGTCGTTCTACTATTGGAACTGTCCCATACATAACTCACTGCTCATAGGATTCATTCCAATGGGTTGTTAAAGAGGCTGGCTGCCATATTGGGGCCTTGTCGACTGCGGAACAAGTTGCTTGCCTTCGGACAAAGGACAAGGCGAAGCTCGTCTCAGCAGCAGAGTCAGCCTATAACCAGTGAGCTCTTTTATATCATTTAATTGCACTTCTCAACATGTTTCAGTAACATTTCATGGTACTTTATCCCCACCGTCGACGGGGAACGAGTCCGAACTGGTCCAACGCAACTGTTCAACCAACATAAGTTTAGCAAAATTCCCATTCTAGTTGGGGCGACGACAGACGAGACTATTGCGGGGTCAGACAATATGCACCAAGAAATTCAGCGAAGATTTTCGTTTCTTTCGGAAGACGATGTTCATTCCTTTAATAAGATCTATAGACCCGAATCATTTACGGACGAGGAGATACGGGTTAGGACTGCGTTGGGCGAAGCGGTGTTACGATGTGGCGTAGGTTCATTCACTCCGTCCTGGATGAATCTGACAATCCGATAGCGCGAACATTTGGCAGAGTTATATGCTGCGGAAGGACTACCTGTATACGCGTATCGTTTCGATCAAGCAAACCCCACTCGACCAGGGAGAGGGGTTGAGCACTCGGCAGAAAACTGGTGGATGTTCCAAGGTGTCAATACAGGGTATGCTACTCTCACGCTGGGATACAAAGTAGCTCATTCGCTATCCTAGAATTAATGGCAGTTATACTCTCACAAAATTCACCTCGCCGTCTCAAAAGCAGTTCGAGAGGGAGCTATTGGCCTTTTGGGTCTCCTTTGTTCGCACTGGTGACCCGAACAAGTATCGACTTGCAAATGCACCGGAATGGCCGAGGTGGGAAAATGAAAAGAAAAACCTTTGGGGCAAGGTCGTCTCAAGTCCAGCGCGGATGGTACTCAAGCAAGGCGAGACGGGTCTCACTTCCGACGACTATCAGCCGGGGAGCTTTGTAGAGGATCAGCCTCATGAAGAACTTGAGCGATGTCGAGCGCTAAGCGTGCTTGCCACCGAACTACGACAATGAATGATGCGTGTATTCTTACTCGACTATGAAAATATATCGATGGGATGAATGTTCTCATTTGCTCGCATTGAGCGCGAGAGAAGAAAGCAATTGATTCGCTTCTTCATTCCTTGGCACAAATCGACAGTCAAACTTGACTGGAACTCTGTAATCACGTCAAAATCCACAAAATAATGAAAGTAGATACAAAGTAGAGCGAATATGGACTCACCGGGTAATATCCTTTGTATACTCGATTCGATCAATATCTGGCACCTGCTTTCCTTCCAGAGGTAGGATGTTGAAGAGCGAGACTGAAGTGAGCGCGGTGTGAAATGCTACACGGTCAGCGAAATGCATTCCTGGGCAGATCCTATTATAAGTGAGTCTAGGCCAAACAAAGAGACCAAAATGTACCTGGTACCGAATCCAAATATGAGAAGACTTGGATCTGGTAATGTGTTTGCGTCGGGTCCCAGGAATCGCTCGGGCCTGAATGAATCCGGATCTCCCCAAATTGACGGGTCGACCAACATGAATCCTATCAAGTCCTTTAAAATCAAAGCCGCGGATTAACCAGAGATTTTACCATAGTTTGGCTGGAGAACCGCGCCTTTCGGGATGTAATAACCGTTGATGAACTGGTCTTCTTTAGTCGCATGTGACACAGCTACAAAGAGGTAAATAAAGATCAATAAATGTGGCTGAAACGATACCAAGAGGAATCTGTGGCCTCCAACGCAACGACTCTTTCCACACGGCTTCTGTGAAAGGGAGAGCCTGGCGATCTTTGATAGTGAGGAGACGCTCCTCGCCTGTGACGCTATCTATCTCCGCCTGAACACGCTTTGCAACATTGGGGAAGATGAACATGGCGTGCAAGAAGCGGATAATGACTGTCGAAGTCTGAAGACCATCAGTTAGAGCAAACTTGGCAAAAATCACCCTACCGTATCGTATCCACCTATATAGTTTGGACCGACAGTAAAATAAATGAGTTAGGGAACACTCACTAAAGTAGAGCGTGGCCAGAGCGCTCTGCGCCTCCTCGGAAGGCCCGAACTCGCTGATCCATTCTTCAGCGAGACAATGATCCAGCCTGCCCTCTTTCTTTTTTCTGTGAGTTTATCGAACAACAGCAACGAGGCACTCACATGGCGTTGAACGGCAGTGTTGAAGGGCCCACTACGGATAGCTTGGACCATTTCCCTAGTTTCCTTCGCAATTTGTCTATATATTTGTCAGTTAGATTCAAAGAGAGCTCATCACCTACTTGAATCCAGCTCCGGGCATCCAGCTGGGCACATAGCGCACTACCATGGATGAGGACCACTGTTAGATCTAATGAGTTAACTTACACCATGGAAAGAAGTTGACCATCCAGATCCTTTGAAAGCCTAGGAAAAGCATATTCATGGCCTCGTGATTCTGTTTGAGCATCTGTTCGCCATTCTCTTCGACCATTTTCTGGCCATACGCAAGCTCTATCATCGCGATTGCAGTGCATTTCACGATTATTTCCTCTGGTTTCCCATGAAAGTTTTGCAACTTGAGCGCAAGAGAGTTAGCGCAACGTTCAATGAGCGCGTCATGTCGTGCTACCGCGGAAGGACCAATGCCATGCTTGAATAATCTGCGTTGCTTGAAGAAGTTATCGTCGGTGTCTCTATGTGCAACGACCCAGTCCCAACCCATCCTGTGAAGAGTATGAATCGACGGAGACGAGAAACAGATGTCAATACATTTCATTAACCATATATCCAACTTTTCGCTCCGAGTTGATGTTCGTCCGTTTAATAAGCAGCTCATTTGCGATGGAGAGCGAGTTGAGGATGAAGAAGGGCGTCCCTGGGAGCTGCACGTAGACAATGTCCCCTATAGTCTACTATTAGATGGCAACGTAGCACAAAGATTTGACGCCTGCCATATTGTTTTTGCCACTCGTTGAATACAACGGGCCAATCTTCTTTTGGAAAATTATGCGAGTTACCAATAATTGGTAGCTTTGGAGGCCCTGGAGAATACTTTCGTGAAGATTTGTCTCTTAGGAGGAAGTATCCGGCCGAAAGCACTGCGGCGCCGACGAGTGAGAGCTGGAGCGGCGTTGCATCTACGAGAACACGATGGATCTGTTCGAACTGGGAGGACATGGCAGGTTCCAAGGTTCAAGAGTCCAAGTTTGACCATGTCCCTGGTTGGTGCCCCTGTGAGTGTGCCAGCAGAAAGAGGCTGTGAGACATTTGTGATGGAGAAGTCGGGGAGGGGCCGGTGAGCAGCCAAACGCCGCGGCTGTCAATCTTTGAGTACCAGTAGTACTGTCAATTGTTGATGGTCGTCCGCTGAGCATCCAAGCCCGTCGAGAAATCCGAGGAAACTGAAGGTCAGCCGCCCACAGGGTCTGGGAATCAATCTTACGGCAACGGCTCTCAATATACTTCCCTATAGAAATCTAACTTTGGAATTTCCAATCTAGCACATTCGTACACTTTCTTTATCCGAAAAAGCTAACCAGCAAACCTTCGCTTGCTATTGAACGGGCCTGACTTCGGCAGCTGTTGCGTCCTCGTTGCTGCTCTTGTCCTTTTCGTCCAAGCTCGCTTCTTCGTCTCTTCGTTTGTCCTTCTCGACAAAGTGTTCCTCTTCCCACTTGGTCTCGTCGACTTCCTCAAACTTTTGGAAGGAGCCGGAGGGGGGCCAAATCTTGGAACAAATAAAGTAGATTGTGGACGAGACGATGAAGCCGGAGAAGAAAGAAACTCGGTAAATGTTCTGAAGATCGATTGGTAAATGTCAAGACTAGAGATGGAAGAGACGTACAGTTGCTCCAATTGGCACTTTTGCAGTAGCTATGAAGTGGTCAGCAATGGGCTAGAGTGAAGCGTAGAAGACTTACTGGCACCGGCGAAACCAACAACATTGATTAGGATACCAGAGATGTATCCAGCATAAGCTCTATCGCAGATATCAGTAACAATAATCCAGAAGTTGGAAAACATACCGAAGATTGATACCATGGAAGTAGTGGTACCATCCATCCTTGCGGGTCGTGTAGAGATCTGTGACACGGTAATGTCCACGACGAATGAGCCAATACTCCGTGATCATGACACCAGCAATCGAGCTCAAGAAGACCGAGTAGGCGGAAAGATAGGAAGTAAAACTGTTTGAATCCTTGAGGAGGTTCCACGGGCACATGGCCAAGCCAACAATGGCGGCGATGTAGCCACCACGGCGGATATTGATGAAGCGTGGAAGAAGAGCCGTCAGATCACATCCTGCGGAGATTGAGTTGGCAGAGATGTTTGTGCCGATTTGAGCGAGAATGAAGCTCGCGGAGATGAACCAGACACCAAAGCGTGTGGCACCACTCGGTCCATGACCGGTAGTCGGGTCGGGGTCGAGGAATCTATGATAGCGTGATATGAGTATATCCAAATTCGCGAAGATAGGTGAGAAACGTACTTGTTGAGAAGAGCGATGGGGCTCCACACTGCTTCTCCGAAGATGACGCTGGAGCTGGAGGAGACAATGATACCGAGGAAGCTGACCATACTGAAACCGACAGGTACGGAGATGAGCTGTGGCCAGACGGCGGCGCTAGGAGTGCTGGCACGGGAAGCAAAGTCTGGAGCGTTTACAACGAGCGTTGCCTAGAGCTCATGTAAGTAATAGGATCTGCAAGTTAGAGTATACATACCATATTTGAGATGCAGCTCATGATAGAGACAACCATCGTCCATCCCAGGTCAGATCCATGTTTGGTACCGGGTTGGTGAACAATAGGGCCGACACCCTTGGCCTTGACAATCGCCCAGATGAAGAAAGTGATACCAGCAGCTGGCGCAAAGATTGCCTTGGCGGTGAAGAGGTGGCGACTATCAAGCCGTAAGCAGTCAAAAAGTTAGATGACAGTAGGGCATACATCTTGTGCATAGGGAACCAGATGAAGATGGCGTTTATCAGGGAGAAGAGGAAGAAGCACATAAAGTCCTTCGTGTCGATTCCGGCACTGGCTGGGAGGCCATTGGCTATATTCCTGTAAGAGAGTAGTCGCAGGAGTGAGAGGGAACATACGGATGTTGGCGACGCTCGGCCACATGCTTCTTAGCATCGTGTACACGCAGGAGCCACCAATGCTAGCCTGGACACCGTACCAGATGCACGCCATTGCACCGCGGTTGAATGTGCACCAAAGGGAACCCCAGATACCAAACGATGTCCGAGCGACCACCGGGAACGTGATGTGGTTCATAGCACCGGGACGAGCATTGGCGACGATGAACGGTGAGACGATACCGTATCCTAGCCAAACACAAATCTATGGAATTTTCAGTTGAGTTTAGATGGGTTCGGAAATACTGACCCAGGCTTGCCACCAGGAAAGACCGCTGGTGATCATGCTGGACACAATCATCCAGGTGTTGATGTTGAAGCAGTCGGCGATCCAGCTAAACACTGTCAAGATTGCGACATACTAGAGTGCCTAAGGCTTACAAGGCGATAAAGTTCCTGTGCTTCCATGTTCGCTGATGAGGGGGAACAGGTCGCAGATCATCGTTCTACAAGGAGCTGCTTCAGTTCGGATCGGATTCGCTTTAGTACCCACGTACACTGAGGAAAAGCTCCGTGTTAGTGAGCCCCGGAGGATGGTCGACCTCGAGCTTGTGAATGAATGCCTTTACTTTCGACATCCCGAACGATGAGGTGGATAGGAGCGAGGACGCCTGGACCACGAGAATATGCGATATACTCTTTATATTCGCCCAAGGCGAGAAGATAGGACGCTGTGGGTAGATAAGGTGGCAGAACCCCAAAGCCATATCTCGCCGCATTCGATTCGTCCGTCAACTTCCGCCACGCACTTCGAATTACACAGACTGAGCCGATTGTATTTGTTTTCGTCGCATTACGTTGGTTGTATCTGTTGAGAAGCCCGCCGCCAACGAATTAGTGGTCGGCCAGATAAGGACGATTGTCTCCACGGCCCTGGCACCAGAAATGACACCAAGCGTTCCAACGTCGGGATCCCGGAAAAAAAGCACTGATAAGCATTGCTGAGGTAGACCTTGCTTCAAGGTGAGATCTCTATCACTGAAACCCCTTCTCATCGTAGCAGAACCAGAAGCAAAAAGGACCGCAAGGCACGCACGCGACCTTTTCGCATCAGATTAATGAGCTATGAGATCGACCAGGATAGTAAGCGACGAAAGGCGTGGAAGAGTAGCCTTCGGACTTAGCTATCTACGACTTTGCCGTAAAGTAATATACGGAGGGCCACGGGACCCCGCACCCGCGTGGTGATCACTTGCATTATTGAAGCCGCCCTTCCGGTACTTCAGACATCTCCGGTGATAGAGGATTGACCATCCTCAATTCGACGAGTGGTTGCCGAAGTCTAATATACTCAAGCGATCTATGTACATCAACATCTAGAAGTGGTCAAAACTGAGATTTACAGCAAAGTAAGACACACTGCATATCTTCGTTTCAGTTACGAAGCACCTTTGCCAGATTTCCCATCGCTAGACAGCGTTCCAACTCTTGGCGTGCTACGCGCTCTGGCTTGCTTCCGAACTGTTCTGTTGAGTTTACATCAGGCTGCTTCAGAACCATTCTCCATGGTCCCGTCTTCCACAGGCCCCACAGACGTCGGGTCTCCCATTGAGGCCAATGGGGCGCTTTGTCAATCCTATAACTATTCGGATCTCCAGAGCGAGCAAAAGAGGTCCAGCGGGAGATGAGCTCTTGAGAGAATCCGACAGGGACGGCCTCTGGTGGTGCAAACGAGAATGTGCCGTTCGACCTGTACATTATCAGCCTTCGAAGTGACTGCATCCCCATAATCATACCCTGTTGAAACGCCTCGAAACATGAAATAGTTCTCAGCAGAATGTTGCACCCCGTCCTCTGGCGGCTGGGTTGGATCCCGCTCATCGAATCGATACGCGTAAACAGGAACACGGGCTTTACTAAGAGTAAACGCAAGGAGATCCCTCTGAAATCGGCTGTTCAGCACGTTGTCCTTCCCTGTGTCTGTTTCACTCACCCCGCATCGGTTCAACGTCTCTCCAACCGCGATTTTTGCCTTCTCAAGTTCGGTCGCAAAATGTGGGCTGTCGTATATCCGAGCGATTTGTCCCATTTCTTCATCCGTAAGATGGGGATACCATCGTCGTAAGTCGGGTTCTAGTTTGCCTTCCGGAACAAATGTCTCGTTTGAGGTGGCGCCGACTAGGAGAGGCACAGCGGAGACTTTGCCAGCATTCAATAGAGATGTAGGATAGTCTTTGAAGAGATGATTGTCGACGACTGGGCGGAACTGCCATGACCAATCACTTTGCGAAGAGTCAGAACTGACAAACAGCCTGATAAAAACTTACTGCAACTGTGCTGATTCAGAAGCCTTGATAAGAGTGGCGACATCCTTGGTCCTGAGACAATGGACCTTCTGAATAAGAGATGTCTCTTCGACCGAGCATCCCGCCTGCTTTACAACCCATTCGAAGTGGTCCTGCAATGCATTAGAATAAGTGAGGATATCAGAAGGAACTTACTTTCGATTCATCGATTGTCCTCATTGCAGGTCGATAGATGGTTTGAGCAATCGCTTGGTGGAACAGTTGCTGCCTCCCGTCATTGGCCACCATGAGGAGGAATACCGAAGCAGCTCCGGCACTATGTCCTACGATTGTTACCTTGCTTGGATCGCCACCAAAGTTTGCAATGTTCTACGGGATTGATTAGAATGAACTTGGGCTGTAACTATTTCGCCAACCTTTTGAACCCATCTGAGTGCTTCTACCTGATCCAAAATCCCAACATTATAGTCAATCTCTCCCTTTGCGTCCTCTTCGGATGGGGGAGTGAGGAACCCAAAGACATTGAGGCGGTAGTAAATGGAGACGATAACCAGGTCTGGAGACTGCTCGATCCAGTGGTCAAACGGCCAGCTGAGTGGATTACCACCCAGGAATCCACCGCCGTGAATGTACACCATAACAGGGAGAAGTCGCGACGCTCCGGTGGGTGCGGGACTGGGAGAGAGTAGCTTTGCATGTTCGGTTGAAGTGTATATATTCAAATGCAGGCAGTCTTCAGAGCCTGCTCCGCCATGTTCTGTGTCACCTGGAAAGGGGACTGAGTAATCATCGAGGGTCTAGAACTGAGTCATACTTGGGAACATGGTGCTCTGCACGCAAAATTTGGGCTCTTTTCTCCCATCTACAACCTTTACAGATTGCGATGCGTCGGTACTCAAATCCAACGGGACTGGAGCACGAAAGCGCAGCTCGCCGAGTGGCGGTTGAGCATATGGAATCCCATAGAAAATGGCCGTTTGTCCACTCGGTGAAAGTGTTCCTCTGTATACGAGATTTCCAACAGTTATGGATATGCTGGACACTCGAAGATACTGGATGAGAACTGCAACGAGCGCAACGCTCTGGGCCTTGGAGTCAACCCTCGCTCTGAGACAGTAATGATGCACTGACAGTTCCAAGTACTATCAAAGGCTTTGTCTGCCACATGTTATCTTCGTACAGGCGCTCCCGGCTTTTAATAGAGTCAGATTCGATGCTTGTTTCGTTTTGCTGTGTGAGCAGCTAGATGCTGATTCTGGCAGAGATGAGTAGACTTGATACCATTTCTCGTGCTGGATGTTGGGAGAAAGCCAACGCCGTGGTTGGCTTCAAGCTTGACCCCTGACCACAGCGCACATATGCCAAAGAACAAACGAGTCTCGTATTATTACGACAGTAAGTGGAGTATTATGCATCATAAAGATGGCTAATGAGCATTTCGTTTCTTCTTTCAACGACGGCCTCTTTCAACCTCTCGTCGATTGCGTTTATCCTGGTGTAAATGCGCTACTCGACTTTCAAAACGTGTATTATACACTCTCGTCCTCGTACATTCTGTCGACGCGCCCTATGGCTTGCGCAATCAGCCGACGTCGGGGCGTTCTCGTATGGCTTAGGCCACGTTATGAAGCCACACCGAATTAAAATGACGCATACGCTGGTTGCTGCTTATGACTTGCTCCCAAAGCTCGAAGTCTTGGTTCGTTGTTTCGTGGCTTAGCCAATTTCAAGCTAACGTTCATGTCTCCGGTTTCTTCATATCTGCTTCCCAATCGACGGATATACATTCACTAAAATCCAGAGACCTCATGCTGCGACGCCAGAGCAGATGACCAGGTTTCATACCGACGAGTACATCCATTTCCTCAAGCGTGTGACTCCGGAAACGGCTGGAGAATTATCAGAAAATGGAACTCGCTGTAATAACTCGCTCTCCCTGTTCATACCTCGAATTTGCTCGCTGACCGATGTTTCCTCCACCCAGACCTCACCAACTTTGGTTACGACAACCCACCGTACGAGGGCGCATTCGAATTCTGTGCCATTTCCGCTGGTGGATCCATCTCCGGTGCCAAGCGGCTCTCTGAAGGAGCAACAGACATTGCCGTCAACTGGGCTGGAGGCCTCCACCACGCAAAAAAGGGAGGCGCAAGCGGTTTCTGCTACATCAACGACATTGTACTCGGAATTCTCGAACTATTGCGCACGTTCCCCCGAGTTTTGTATGTGGACATTGACTGCCACCATGGCGATGCCGTCGAAGAGGCCTTTTATACCTCAGACCGCGTCCTCACATGTAGTTTGCACAAATTTGGCGACTTTTTCCCTGGGACAGGTCTACCGGATGATCGTGGAGTCGGGAAAGGATTTCGTTATAGTATCAATGTCCCGTTCAGAAGCGGTCTGACTGACGAAAACTTCGCGAGCGTCTACGTACCGGTGAGAAAATATCACTATCCGAGTTATCTGTTTTTGATCACTTTATGATCAGCTCATGGACAAAATATTGGCTCGATTCCGCCCTTCAGCAGTCGTGCTGCAATGCGGCGCCGACTCCCTCGCCGGAGATCGACTCGGACAATACAATCTCAGCATGCAAGGACATGCCGACTGTGTGCGCTATTTCAGAGACAAGGGTATTCCTCTCATGGTCCTCGGTGGTGGCGGCTATACGATCCGCAATGTCGCGAGAACGTGGGCATACGAGACTGCCTGCGTCCTGGGCTGCGAAAAGGATCTCGACGTCAACCTTCCATATAACCAGTACTTTGATTATTTTGGACCAGAGTACAAAATGGAAGTCAAACCGACCAACGTCGAGGATCTGAATGAAAGCGACCATTATCTTGAGGGAATACGGTGAGTCACTATCTGCTTGAGGGATGTCTCTAATATATATTCCAGAGAGACTGTTCTTCGCCAGGCCGACGAAATCCCAATCGCGCCGAGTGTTGGTATCCATATGCCTCCTCGTCATTCGCTCGCCGAAGAGCTTGGACTCGGTTTGGATGGGGCGACGCATGTCGATGGAGACTACGATGATATAGATCTTCGGATACAAGGTGAGTTTTCTGGCTATTGGTATTGGCACCTTGCTCAAAGTCTGCAGAACTTTCCGCAAAGTTCATCTCCAAGCCACCAGTATCATCAGACACCGAGTCTGTAGGCTCACGGGATCGTCCAGATTGGAACTCGGACGATGAGAACGGCTCTGACGAAGAGGGATATGGAACACCGACTAGGAGTCGACGGAATGCAAACCGCGTAGGAGGTGCAAAACTGACCAACGGCGGGGGACCCAATCGCTTTGTGCAAGGAACTATCCCGATGCCTGCGACTGGTCTCCTCTTTTCAAACCAAACCGCCGAAGCCAGCGGACGGCCACCAAACTCTGTTGGCAGCGTTTTTGGTTCAGCTGGGAGGTCCGTCACGGTGAACCCTATCGCCGAGGCGTGCTTCCCTCCAGAGCATGTCACCATGGGCATAGTCCAGCAAATGGAAAATGGTGCGCTGGGTATCAGCGCAAACCCTTCTATGACGATGGAGCCACCACCACCCAATATGCTTCACAGCTAGACGTAGGTGGAGTCTCTTCTCGCGGTATCGATGGGCGTGCCTATGAAGATGGACGAGAGAATCAGACTGGACGAACCAGACGATTCTTCAAAAGTTCAGGCATCAAGCTACGTGGACTCAACGAGGTTGCGTTCCCGCTCTCGGTCCTTAATGGCCGACCTGCAGGGACGTCATGGGGACCAGCCGGATTTGAAGGGTTTGGCAACGAGGCGCACGTGATGCGACGTGGGTATGCGCTCAGCTATGGCGGAGAGGCGCATGGTGTCGCTGCTGGAGGGGATACGGAGCCAGCGCGGGATGAGGAAACGACTACGCGCACGCTTCCTCCAAGGCGTGGACGCTATTCGAGACGAGAAGAGGATATGGACCTTGATGGGGCTGAGAGTGATTGAGGGCCGGCCTCGCAATGACACCCCTGGCATATCAAATGATGTACTATTCATTTCAGGTTATTCTGCGATAGTACTGTATTCTTACACGGTATTCGTCTATCCGACGACTTCAATGCTACTTTTTGAATAAACTCCGAGGAGATTTCACAAAGGACGCCCGGCCTTTCGAACCGGCAAACTTTGGACCCGATTCATGCAATAGCTCTGCCCCAGAGTATTTGCGCTCGCATATTATATCCCACTATTTTGACAGACTTTTCCTTGTGTTTGCTCCCCACACGGTCTCAGCGACATGGACGCTCCGCCGCGGAATCCAGAGCGTGAACTACCCAGAAACCCAGACAAATACGCTGTACCATCTTCATCCAAGGGTGCATATCCATATTTACAAACAGATGCCGACAAGAACGGGTCCACGCCCTCGTCAGACCGCCCGCAACGCCAATCCTCGTTTCTCAACCTGGCATTAACACCGCTCCGAAGCCAGTCTAAGCAGATTAGACAGTCGTACGAAAACTTGGTTGCGCTCGCAAATGCTCAAGAGGCGCTCAAGCAGACGCGTCGGGCGGTTTGGCGTGATCGTGGCGAACCACCGGTAGAGTTGACGAGTGTCGAAGAGTGCTTTGAACATGCGATGAGAGGTGGTGCACGTGAGTGTGGTTTTTCTACCTTTCTCTCACTGCGTACCCTCGACCCAATAGCACCCTTTTCACGTGTACTTACTCGGCGCGGGCTGAGGTCGCATCTTTTGGGGTGTTTACTGACTTTCTTATGCTAGGTGCTGGAGGTCTTGGCTTTGGAATCCGGTCCGGCGTCAATATCTTCATCCTCTTGTTCAAGATTTTCAGGACCCCAAAGTCTGTACCCACCTTTCTACGATGTTTTATTCTTTCTCAACTCCTATAGGTCCTTTCGTTTCAGCCTTATCCGACATGCACTCTTAGGCCCGGACAGCTTCAAGTTTGCAGCCATGCTCGGGACCTTTGTAACCCTTTACAAGCTTTTACTCAACGCATTGCCGTTGTTTTCGATGCCTTCCCAACTCGCAGACTTTTCTCCACCTCTTCCATGGGGCGTCAGCGCACCCGCAACGCCACCGGGTTACGACTCGGATCCGAATTGGAGCCTCATGACACCGAAACACGAGAAGAAAAAGTTTGATCTTGAAGCTGGAAGGAAGGAGGATGAAGAGATTGACCCGGCTAACGTTAAGGTTGGGGTGCTACGTGATTGGCAAACTGTGACTTATCTCTTTTAGACCAAACTCTCGAGACAAGCCAAAGTACACGAGGTTTGGATCCGGAAGAAGGGTCGTCGGTGGCATGCCGCACTCGCTGGAGCAATCGCCGGTGGTCTGGCTGTTCTCTGGGAAACTAAGGAGCGGCGGCTGGGTATTGCCCAGCAGCTATTCGTTCGGTAAGATATCAATGTGGTCGTATATCAGTAATACTTATATTTATAGCGGTTTGCAAGGATCGTGGAACGCATTCTCCGCAAAGAAAGGGATCAAGGTTCCATTCGGCTCGGTCATCGTTTTTTCGATGTGGTGCGCAATCTCGTGGATACTTTGACCACTGCTGAATATGTCATTAGCTGCGGTCAAATCATGTACGCATGGCTCCTCAGGCCAGACACTATCCCGCGCTCGTACAGTTTATGGATCAGCGAAGCGGCCAAAGTCCTTCATCCAACCGTTCTGGTCAATCGAGGATTCGCGCGCGAAGGACGAGCGGATCCCAAGTATATGAGGGATATCATGGACTGGTCGGTGCGTACACTCGAAAAATTCGTCCCGTATTGGCCCTGATAGATCTACAGCAAACTACCCCATCCAATCGAACCTTGATAGCTCAGGCTATCGAAGCGACTGCGAATGGACCCATCGAGCGGCGATTCAGCAGCTGCGCAGAGACTCATCCATGGCTCGATTCGTGCACCTATGTTCAAATTGAACGGTTCCTCGAAGTGTTCAAGTGGATGTTCCCAATCTATGGAGCGCTTCACTTTGTACCTGCGCTTCTTTTCAAGCGGAAAGAGTGGGTAAAGGATGCACCAGGAATGTTGTGGAGAAATCTTCTGGGAACGGGTCGTAGCTCTGCGTTCCTAGGAGTGTTTGTCATCATTTACCAAAGTGAGTTTCACGTCTGCCTCGTCTCATTCGCCTAACATGAGTCTATAGCCTACTTTTGCGCACGATACAATCTTTACGAGTGGCTGGTCTCGCTCAAATCAGACTCGGAGGCGCTCAAGCTGTTTAGGAGCAAGATCATGGGCCACAAATATACGTTGTGGATGGTCGGTGCCATGTGCGGACTCTCACTCTTGGTCGAGGCGCCAAAGAGGAGAGCAGAGCTGGCGATGTACGTGATGCCAAAGGCACTTGAGAGCGCATGGGTCAGCGCTCGTGGCCGTGGATGGGTGACTGGTGGAGGAAGGGTAGGCCAAAGCCTACTCTGCGCCGCGGGCATGGGTATGGTCATGGTATGTTCTCTTTCTTTCAGCTGTAGTCAAAACTGATCGCCACTTTCTCTCCCTCAATTCTCGTAGAGCACGTACCAGGCAAGTTTCTTTACTATGCCAAACCCAAACGCTGCTAACGGTTGCTATTGTTTAGAACGATCCCCAGCATCTGTCTGGCCTCGTACGACGAATTCTCTACCAATTCATTGGACCCAATTAATTTGGAGGACGAGGCCCTCTGTTGATTTATTATGCAATAGAGCCTCGACTTGTTTTCTTCCCCACACCAAACATGCCCCGTTTGTGTTTGCCGACGTTTTCGGGACTTGTTCCTGTGGCTTGATCCCGAGTCCATAGCCAAGGACACGATTTTTCAAGGCGCGGCAGAAACTGAAGCGGCTTGCAAAAAAGGTGGGGACTACTTAATTTCAGCTACTCTATACGTATTGCAAGCGAGGGTGGTTGATACACCGGCGGCAACAAGGGGTGTGGAAGAGGAAAGGTAAAGCAGGTGAGTAAACGAATGTAGATTGAAAGCCAATTGAATTATGAAAAAGAGCGAGCGTGGGGTAGTGGAAGTTGACACCGAGGGCGAAGAGTGCCCACGCTGCAAGTCTATACGGTCAGTCACAACCGACGTTCTCAGGGCAAGGAAGGACAGTATAGTCGTAATGGCATTATCCGAGCATTGTGTAACGAGCTGTCTAGACGGGCGAAGAATTCTTCTTCAGTTCTGGGTCCATGGCAATCGTCGACGTTGTTTCGTTGCGAGCAGCGACCTCTGCGTCGATCTCCCCATCATTCTCAAAGTGAGTCGTAATCGTCACCCGCACGCCAATATCCTCCTCGCTCCCAGTCCTCTTTTTACCCTTTCGGAGACCAGGAAACGACGTAAACTGGACGCTACCTGTGCTCGCGTGCTGCGAACGGCCAATGGGCGTGGGAGAGCGGCCCATGAAACGGCTAAAGAAGCCCGGGCGTCCGTTCCCCTCGACGCTAACGGTGTTTTCATAGACGACCGAGGACGAATGGCGACGTTGGTCTTTTGAAGCCGTCTGAGGTCGATTCCCGTACATCATCGCCGCGCTTGAAGTGGGTGTGAGTGGCGGACTGACCATACCATCGTCGTTGTGTTTTCCGAGATTGGCATTGTCCGAGCGAACGTATGGACGTGAGCCATCGTACACGCCCGAGTATGCCTCTCCAAAGTTTACTTTCATCGGCGAGCGTGCGCCATTCGGGTCGGTCATGTCTGCTCCACCGGCCTTGACGACAAACGAGGGCCGAGAAGGTCCACTTCCACCACCACCAGTGCTACTCGTTGTTGCGTTGAAACTGGTGAGTGCACCTGGTGCGGCGCTCACTCGTTGCATGTGGATCAGATTGTTATTGTTACTCTTGCCGTGCTCGACGCTTCGGTGGCCAGGACCATGGACACCGTGTTGACCACCATGGGACGTAGGTTCGTCGGGTGAGGAGCCAGGCTTGGTGAGCCAAAAGAGAACGAGAGCGTTGATGACGACGTCTGTTGAGCAAGATGCCAGGCATATGAACTGCAACGCCATGTTAAACAACCAAACGGTATCAAAGGCACCACGTACCCCTAACTGTTTGCCGTGTAGCGCCGTAAGCACTCCCATATTTGCCGCAGAAATGGCAAGGGCCGCAAAGGATGCACTAGAGGCCATACAATTTTGTGAGCCATATGACATGGATTCCGTAATGAAACACATACGCTAGCGTCCGCGATGCGACTCGTCGAAGGTTTGCCGATAAAAAGTTTGAACGCCACAGGGGCCAGATGAACAGAGAGGTGAGAAGGACATTGACGCCGAGATCGACAAAGAGTGTAGTCATGGACGCGGCCTTTTGCAGACCGATAATGCACTGGTTATCGTCACGAATGTACGCAATTCGCCCGTAAATCATTGTGGCCAGGACGACGGCGAAACCGAGTACGGCGACGAAACCCACTCGGTAGGCCCACGAGGACCATCTTGTTCCGTTGTTTGGCCAGACAATGTACACTTTTTCCACTGGGAATTCTTGGTCAGCCGTGAGAATTGTCGACCAAGGGAGACCGTACGGAGAAAGACATAGGTGAGCAGCTTGGAGACACAGTAAAAGATAATACAGGCAAAGATGCCCATGGAACATGTCGACGCATTGAGGGAAAGGCCGACACCGTTGACGAGCAAGCCGGCTATACGCGGTCAGCAACGTCGAAGAGAGGAGATGGAGAACATACACAAGAATACAAAGGCCCATCTATAAACAGGCGGTCAGCTGTAATAGTAGTAAGTGAAGTGGACAACGTACGAGTCGATGAAGATGATCAAAAGAAGAGCTTTGGTGACATTGATAGAAGCGAGTCCACGCCACGACCAGTCGAGGTTGTACGCTCTAGGGATTTTCAGGAGGATCAGCACACAACGAGACTTGTCTAGACCGCTCTAGACCGACCTCTGAGCGAAGCAATAGCTGAGAGCGGTAGTTGCTGGGAAAGTCGATTGAGTACCCACACCCATTCCCGAAATTGCACCTACCCAACAGACTGAGGCAGGCAGAAAGCGTGCGTAGCTCTTCCTCTTTGCCCTCTGGATACACGACAGAGTCCATGTTTCTGCGAGAGGACGAGGGGACAAGGGGGGGGGGAACGCCGGGACGAAAGAAGGCAAGCAAAGCCATTAAGGACCCGACGTTGATATCACACGGGACGGGTCGCAGAAACTAAAAAGAATGCAGATGTGGCTTGACATTTCGGGCTCGAGATCGGTGGCAGCTGAATTAGAGGATGGACAGGTTGGCTCTCGGTAAAAAAGGCACGACGACTGCAAAGTTCAGCTGTCAAATGCCACCAAGTTGCCGCGGTAACACAAATTGTTTGCAAAAACTATCCCAAGTTCGGGGGGATTACTCACGCTCGACGCCGTTTGTATGACGAAATCACAAACTCCGCCGGAGATTGAGGGTAGCTAAGCAAACACAATACACACCGAAACAACTCGCTTTGCCGGGCTGTACTCCCGGTTTACCCGATCGACAAAACAACCGTGTGGTTTTTGGGGGATACCCGAAAAACAAAGGTTCGCTTGGACATGTCCTGGGCCCCTCGCCGCAACGCCCGCGGTCTAATGCGGTTTCATATGCCCAAGAGTTTATTTTAGCCTTTTGTTCCTTGGTTGACCTTTTGTCACCAGCCCTGACGTGACCTCCGCCTGCGTCTACTTAGGGTCTGCTCGCACACGACTGCACTGGGTAACGCGCTCCAGCTGACCTGCGTGACCACTCCATGATGTTTGGCAGAAAACAGGTAAAGCGAATTAGGGATTGGGTCTGGAAGAAGGAAAACCATATATCCAATCGACGTCAGATACATTTGTTTACCCAACGGAGGCGGCCAAATGGTTTTTGTCCGCGTCCGTCTTTACTGTCAATTCCGGCTTAATGACCAACTGCCACAACGAAACCTGTATGAGTGCAGAGGGGATCCCGCGCGAACAATAAGTGCTGGTAATCCTTGGATGGCTTTTGACAAGCAATTTGCTACCATGAGATGTATTTCACCAGGCGTCTGAACCGCTCTAAATGATGGCCAGCTCTTCCGTCTTTGAGCCCAAATTCGACATTCATCTAGACATACTTCACAGGGTATTGCGATTGTACAAGGCAAATACGTTGACATCTCCAACCCGGAAACCCTCTTCTGGTCGGTCAACTTCTGGGTTCAATAGCGTGGGTACACCACCGTCCTCACTGGTCCAGCCCAATCGAAATCTCAAGAAGCGCTTCAGATCCTGACCACTCCTTCTTGATCATCATATTGACATCACAAACGTCCCCATGTGCGAACCCTCTTTTGTAAAGGATGCTCAATCCCCGGGATACTCGCGCATTGAGTCGATCATCCTCTTATATATTCTTGAAGATCGCGAGGGAATCTGATCGATATATTTCATAACGACCAAGATCAAACGCCCGGGCAGGTTCTCGACCCTAGAGGGTGGTATTCATGCCCGTGTCGGCAGAATACTAATGCGCTGTCTCCGAATAGCGACGGATAAAGTTGACGAGTTTCGTTTTGTGGCTTGTTATCGTGGACTTTATCAGCCAGATGACCAAAGACGGAATATATTGGCGCTGCGAGGGGAATTGTCGTGGATGACAGGGAACGATCGTGCTGAAAAATTCGAGCCGAATAGTGCCTCTACGGCTACATATTTGGCACCAGATGGTACGACTGGCTCTAGCAATACTCTCGAATTGTCAAATTCCAAGGCTTATGCTCGTATTTGACTGGCCAAGGTCACTGAGGGGACTTTGGTCAGCGTTCCATATTTGCCTTTTCGATTCTATGCGCTTAGCGACGTTCAATATCTAAGTAGCCATGTGAATGTAACTGACCACCAATCTTTTCGGGAATATCGATTCCAAGCGTCGGATTTCAACCAAGTGACGGGAGCATGGCCATTAGACTTGATAGAATCATAATCGTCGTTTCCAAGAGTCGAATTCTGAGGGCTGCGCAAACTTAATCTGCAATATTTCTGTCCATTGTTAGGTTGCGGTGTGCCACGAAAGGTTCACTCGGATACTAATGTTCATGCGCTACCCCTCAGGTTTCAACAATGGCGGAGAGAGACCAAGTTTGCAGTCGCACGAGGATAGCTAACTAGGTAAATGTCAATGGAAGGAGAGACTGAGACATCATAAAGGGCAGTTGGAAGTTGCCGGAAACTCAACTATGGGCTACCCAGTTTCACCAATCGTTTGTCCAAAAACTGGCCAGGCAGAAGCTATCGTAAAACATCAGCTATCTTGCACATCGTCGCCCTCGTCTCCGTCGACAAGATCGTTCCCTTCAGGGTTCGGATAGGTCGGGTAAATCGCACGATACGTCTCACACCTGGTGGCCAGAGTGAGGCTTCAATAAAGGGATCCAAATAAGACCTACTGAGAAATCATGCGAGCGATTTGGCCGCCAGTCCACCGACTCATGCAAGACTAGCAGCGAGTAGTCAGTATGGGATACGCACGCTAAGAAAAAGTTCTCAATCACATCGTTTGAATAGTCCAGGGGTGATGCAGCCCGGCCTCGGATGGTTTAGTGCGTGATAGGTGTTCGTGAAAGACTCCATACCCAATGGCCAACCTCGTGAGTCAACGTCCTGCCCAATGTGTACGGTCCCGCTAGAGAGCGTCAGTTTTTCCCTTCCACCGCGGGAGAATAGACATACTTCCGCCACCGCCAGGAACTGTATCCCACCTGATGACTGCACCATCCTCGCGCTTTCTCCATTTCACTTCTGCTGCCATAGTCGCAAAACCCCGCACGCCAGCACCTGCCAAACTGACCGAGTACACGTTAAGCATAGATTGAGGGCCGTCATGAAGGTAGTTTCTCATATCCTTGGATTTCTGGTTGTCATAACCGGCGTTCCAGAACCAGTCGCTACTGAGCGTGCGTGTGGTCTTGAACAGGACAAACTTGAAGATGCTGTTAAAGTCTCTATTGAGGACTCTGATAGCTATGTTGTTTCACATTGATTAGAGAGCGAGCTTGCGTCCAAGACAGATTGACGCACATTCGGTGATGGCAGAGTCAGGAAGATACCCTCCTGAAAGCGTCTGAGAGGCATAGATGACATGCCATGCTGAATAATAAGTCAGAAACATAGCATTTTGGACGAAGGTGTTACATTCACCAACAAGAATAATCCTCTTGCCGGTTCCCGGCTGCTGTGGATTAATCTGCGAAATGGGTGCACGAAGAGCAAGATCAACACCCGCGCGATCCTTTGCAAATTGAATTTCACTCGAGAGCATTTCATATCTCGTAGGATTGACACTACATCTGCCCCGCCATCAGCTCCAAGTGGAGCGTTTCGCAAAAGATTGGACACACCCTGCCGCGTTGAGCTGCGGGACAGCCGCCACAGCACTTGCGCTGAGAAGAGAAAAGAGAGCAAATAGGGAGAAGCGCATACTGAACGAACGTTGTTCCCAAAGGTAAAGTATCGACAGTCCTCGGAGCCAGCTTATATCGTCCTCGGGCTGAGGAGCGTCTTGGCATTAGGAACAGACACATACTGGTTGACTGGGACTCACCGATTGTCTGTCAACAAACTCACAGCCAATCTGTCAACCGGCAGTCTGTGTGCGATGGACTCCCGGCCATCCATCGCTGCTTCAGGCACAGGCAGTTCCTTTTCCGTCTGATTCCTCTTCTTGTAGCAATCTGGTGACTCTCGCTTGGTATTGGGCCAAGTCGTGCTGCGCCAGACATTGAAGTACTGCGCTCGGCGATGATCATGAGGCGATGGAGCAATAAGGACCGAGTTTCTCCAGTGAAGATTGATTGATTTGACTGGTTGGCTCACTGTCTCGCGCGTATAGGACCTTGTCAAGAAAGGCGCGGAGAGGCCGTCACCGACACTACGCTTGACCGACCCGAAGCTCACCAACGGAGGCTCGCTTCGGGAATTACATGAAAATCTTTCTATTTTCGTGACCTACAATGCGATAGAATTCCAAGAACAATGGACACCAACTTGTGAGTGGGAGATCACTCTAGGACGGGTCCAACGTCAGTCCCATTCGTATCCCGTCCATAGATCTGTTGCTCCCTCTGTAGTGCATTTTCCCATCCCTCTTCAAACATTTCGGCGTCCTGTCCACGACTTGGATCCGCAAGCAGGTTGGCGGCCTTTGACTGGCCCTTGCTCTCCAGATCCACACGCCAAGATTGCAGAGCAGATGGGATACGACTATGTAAATGTCAGAATATGCTCAAACGGTACCCGGTACAGCGAGGTCGCGGGTGTGGATGGATCAGGTAAATCAAGGGAAGAGCTCACCTGGGTGCATATGTCCGCGCCATCAACGCAGCTTCAGCTTTTCTATCCGTCTTGATCAACAAGTCTACCGCTGCCTTGGGATCACCGAGCTGCCACAACGCCGCAAACGCCAAGTTATTCTGCCCTTTGCCAGCTAAAGAACATCAGCAATACGGACCAAGAGAGGAAATAATGGTGCGTACCAGCATCCTTGGCCACCTCTCGCAGCCCAGTTCGGTCACTCAATGCCGACTCGATCAAGAACCGCGCGCCAATATCATTAGCACGTCTACATTTGTCAGAAAGCAACCAGCGACACGAAAAAACGACTCACCGATAGCATTCCCTCGCCAACCCAAATCGCCACCGACTCAACGCCGTATCGCCCACCATCTTCCATTTGACCTCGTTCTCTGGAGCAGGCGTCTGCTCCGCCAATGTGAGCGCCATGTCCAGCTCATCTAAAGCAATTGCCAATTCGAATTTGTGCTCCGGGTCGTTGGTCACTTGGAGTGCCAGATGCTTTAGGTCTGCCAATGGGTGAGCGACGACAAGACGCCGAAGACGAGATGTTGACCTTGTGCTTCGAGGAATCGCGCCACCTTGTTCTTCTCCCCCTCAGGTACGTTGGCCAGCAACTCTGCGGCCGCTGTCAAATCCCTTCTTAGGATTGCCGTCTGATACTCGACGACAGCCAGAGAAAGCGAGTATGCATACACCGCCATCTCACGGTCTACCAGATAAACTTTGTTGTGCGACGGTATGTATCCTAGCAGATATAGCGGGCTACACTCCAGATCAGTAAAGGCAAAGAGGAAAAGGATGACAAACGTCTCAAATTGAGTGACCGTACTCGTTTGCGTGCCCAAGAGGTAGTTGAGTCTGTTCGCCGAGTTGGTATAGACGAAACAATCGCCAATCCACTTCGCAGTCTTGACACTTCCCAAAAGGATCTTAGTATCTAGCTTTGGTAGGAGCAAGGACATACTTTTCTGAAATCTCCACGACGACTTCAAATGCCTCTTCACACCCCTCGTCACCAATAGGCACGCCCGAATCAAGCGCAGCTTGATACGCAGCTCGATCAAAGCGGAGAATGTAAAACGAGTCGTCCGAGGTAATAGCCACGAGCGTTCCAGACGTCGACCAATAGATCTGCGACTAATCAGCTACCCCCCGGTCGAAATAAGAGAACTTACGTTTTTGCTCTCCACTTCGACTCGTCGAACAATCTCTCCCGATTCCCAATCCCAAAAAACAACGAACCCATTCCCTCGAGCACCAAGGAGTGGGCCACCATGCAACGATTCGACGGTCCATCCACCGGCACCTTTTAAGCTTTCCTTCTTTTCCTACACGCCCGTCAGCGATACAAGGAAATAGTAGGAAAGTGACTAACCTTAAAGTTTTTCCACAGTCTAACTTTGAGCTTTCCCTCAAGAACGGCGTATGTGTTGCTATCCTCCGCCCACGCAAAGCTGTTGCCCTGACCAAACGCCTTGTTTCGCCACGCGAGCGCGGTATAGATGATATACTCCCCATCACCGACGACGGTGACGAATCGTCCATTGGGCGAGTGTTGGATGCTCGTCGGGAATACTTCTGTCGAGCCCAATTCTTTGAGGGTAACAGGCACCCTCGCGCCATCGGGGAGTTTCTCAATCGCACCATCCTCTAGCAGATTCCCAAGATTGGCGGTCTGGACTTCGCTGCCTTTGACATAGATGAGCTTGCCGCTCGAATCAAGCGAATACGATGGCTCGTCTTTGCCCAACTTGAGTACGACCAGCCCATGATCATACCCGATCGCAATCTCATTCCCTCCGGCTGCACCCTTGGCGTTATTGAGACCGACGGACCATACGCGTTCCATGCCATAGTTGAGGGTATTCTCCAAGCGATACGTGCCCGCGTTCCACAACTTGACCATGCCGTCTTCACTTCCGGATACGATGAGGGGTACACCCGTGGTGAGGTATACGGCCCAGGATACGTTTGCGGTGTGGCCCTCGAGTGTTTGGATGCACGATTTGGACAGGAGATCCCATACCCGGATCGTCCTGTCATCGCCCGTGGTGATAATGTACGGTTTGTGTGGGTCGGGATGATATTCGACATAGTTTACCCCACCGCGTTCGTGTGCTTCGAGTGTAAAGTTTGCATGGGGGGTCGCGAGGTTCCATACTTTGACGGTGCGGTCAAGGCAGGCAGTAGCAAAGGTCTGTGGGTCCTTTGGATTGATTGCAATGTTCATAATATAGTGCGTGTGGCCTTGGAATGTCTGTCCACGTCTTAGCCAACCCTCGGTGTCTCATCCACGACATACCACGGAATTTCTCCATCCCTTTTCCCAATCCCAGCTCTTGATAGTCATATCATCGCTCCCGGTAAAGACAAGTGGCAGCGTCGGATGGACAGCAAGACATCGAATATAATCTGGGTGCGCCTCGAATGCAATCACCTTTTCGTGCGTGTTATAGTTCCATACGCGTAAATGGAAATCGTCTGAACCCGTGACGAACCAGTTTTTGCGCGCGATGAAGCGGCAGCACCGGACGGGGACCTGGGCGACCTCAAATGTCTTGACGACGGCGCCCGTGTGGTGGTTGTAAATGTTTACGCTGCCATCGTATAATCCTGCGAGCACCCAGGGCTCGGTGGGGTGGAAATCGACCGATTTGACGCGCTCCGACCGCGCCTGGAGCTTTTTCTGGACACGAGAAGAGTATTAGCAGTCTTATAAACAGGATATCTCGCGATTACCGACGTTTACTTCTAATAGCATGGCGTGTCAATGGTCGTGGCAAGGTTCGAGTGGCGATGAGCGTTTTGGACCCGACCACCAGCATGGCTAGCAGTCCAGTCACACAAGTAGACCAAATGGCTGCATGGCGTGCACGGAAAGACGCGCGACGGGCGACTGTCCAGAGCAAATACACCATTCTCGGCTTCATCTCCTCGGGAACATATGGTCGCGTATACAAGGCTAGGGAAAGGGATCCGCCAAGTAAAGACTCGCCATTCGATGTCACCGTCGAGCCAAAGCTCTTTGCTATCAAAAAATTCAAGCCAGAGAAAGAGGGCGAAGTCTTGACATATACTGGAATCAGCCAGAGTGCTATTCGAGAGATTGCGGCTTGTCTTCTCTTGCGGATAGAGAGGCCATACTCATATCCCGTAGCTCAACCGCGAGATCCAACATGAGAACGTCGTGGCACTCAAAGAGGCCATATTAGAAGACAAGTCGATATACATGGTATTCGAATACGCAGAACACGACTTTCTTGTACGTGGATCCCTCTCTATCAGATTCGCGCTGACTTGTCCAGCAACTCATCCATCACCACTCCCAAGTGCGAAGATCCATCGGTCTCGCTGTCCTCAAATCTCTCATTCACCAACTCCTAAATGGCCTGGTATATCTCCACAGCGTACACATTCTCCACCGAGACCTCAAACCTGCCAACATTCTCATCACCGCCAGCGGCGTCGTCAAAATTGGCGACCTGGGCCTTGCACGACTCATCTACCAACCGCTCCAACCGCTCGTTCAGGGTGACAAAGTCGTCGTCACAATCTGGTACCGCGCACCCGAACTCCTCCTAGGCGCAAAGCACTACAACTATGCCATCGACTGCTGGGCCGTCGGGTGCGTCTTTGCAGAGATGATCGGTCTCAAGCCGATATTCAAGGGCGAAGAAGCCAAGATTGATCCCAAGAAGAATTTGCCTTTTCAGAGGGAGCAGTTGGGCAAGATTTTTGATGTCCTTGGTCCGCCGGATGAGAAAAAGTGGCCAGATTTGACGATTATGCCAGAGTATAATACGCTGCAGACGATGAACCCGTGAGTTCTCACCCTTTTTCTTTCGCTATGCTCATCAAATCCAGGTCACGATGGAAGGCGAGCTCTCTCCATCGTTGGTGGGAGAATCACAAGCTCAAGGGCGAGGCTGGGTATAATCTACTCGCTACTCTCTTCGAATACGATCCTGGAAAGCGCCTGACGGCCTACCAAGCACTCCACCATGCCTGGTTCAATGAAGAGCCACTTCCTAACCACAAGTACGAATATCCTAATTATCAATTCGACTTGATCTAATCAAAGTTTCAGCGTCTTTTTCTCCACTCGCGAGACCTATCCACAGAGACGCATCTCGGATGATGCACCGAGCATGCTCGGCGCGCCAACAGCCTCTCGACCAAATAGTGGGACTGTACATGCCGGAAAACCGCCAATCGTCAATATGCCACGCAAGAGACAACGAATCGAATAGCCGACAGTACCTATTTATGAGTGGCCGGGCACCAACCTCGGTCCTATTTCTCTCTGTAGATAAAACTCTGTACATCTAGTCGTTCTCCTGGCTAGGACTGCTTTCTTTGTAAATGTTGTATTACATTCGGGGCGATTTCATGAGGTTGCCCAAGCTCTCATCAGCGCAGGGTGGATGCCTACACGCAGTGAATAAAAACACTCGTGATCGTGTTCGTCAGTCGCTTTCCTCCGGGTTATGTTCTTGGATTCCACCACATCCAACTGGCGAATGCGCTCCTAGACAACCAAGCCATCTTTACAGATAATATACCTGACCAGATTTTTCTTCAAATGAGCTTCTTTCCAAGCATGGATGTGCTTTTGGTCGAGCGCGATGAGCATCCTCAACAAGGCGACAAAACCTTGGGCCGCCTAGATATCGATAAAGATATAGGATCCGCTGCTTCTGATTCCCCGTCTCAAATGCACTTGAAATTGGGCGAGTTAGGCGTAACTATGAGCCAGCGTTGCCCTTTCGACCGTTGGCCTAACGAGGTTTTGCTTGCTTTCTTTGAACAAGCTGTCGAAATCTGTCCTCCCATCCCCATCATCCTGATCCAAGTTTGCACTCTTTGGAAGAGGCTCGTCGAAACTACGCCAAACCTATGGACGCGGATAAATATAAACGGACACGATCATGACTATCTAGAGATTGCACTAGTCCACATTGCATACTCTGGGGATAGACCAATCCATTTATCGATCACAAATGGCATGCATGAGACAGTCCACATAATAATGCGTCTCTTCCAAGGTCACTGGGGGCGCATCATTGCGCTCCATTGGTCTTCATTCAACTTAGAGGGGCTTGGAATTCAATTTTCATCTCTGCTCCACTGTGCAATCGCCCTTGAATCGCTATCCACCGACACCCTAACCTCGGAGTGTCTTGATCCAATCTCATCTCTCCGCAAGATAAAAAATCTCGATATTCTTGTTTACTTCACAACACTCTTAGAGCCTCTTATCATTGTCGCCTCCTCTCTACCGCTGCTCGAGTTTCTACGACTTGAGTTCAAGTTTACCAATTTTCAACATCAAACCTTTCAGAATCGCATAACACTAAAGGTTAAGCATTTTGTCGTCGATGCCCGATTTTGTTCTCGTGCAAACTTGGTCCAATGGCTATCCTGGAGCATTGATATTGCATCAGTATGCAGCCTAGAGATTTACGAACCATTTGGTGGGACACATAGACGAGAAATTCAATTCAGTGCGCCAAGAATATCGCGACTCACGGCTCAAGTGGCTAAAAGTTTTCACAAAAGCCCCAACCTCGTCTCAATTTCCTCGACTAATCTCACAGAAGTCGAAATTTCATCACCCGCTCTACCTCATGATATTCTGCGTCCCCTAAAATCTCCACTGCAATCTCTCTCACTCGCACCACAGCTTGTCAGACTCCGCTTCGAAATGCGAACCGCAAGTTTTGCTGACGATGTACTTTCTGACAGTCCAAACCTCCACTTCCCTTGCCTGCGTTGTTTTCAAATCGCCATATCCTCTGAAAGCGACTTGGGATTATTCTTGTGCCTCGAAGTGACAACCCTACAACAGCTTCAGGTCGGTCTGGCCTCACCTCTGCCCCGTGACAATCTCCTCAAAGTCAGGTCTGATAGCCATATTAAATGGCTTTATCGTCTTCTCTCGCAAAATAGACAGCTACATACACTTGAATTGAGAGGGATAGTGTGGCCCTTTCAACCCGGATCGATACAGTCGCTCGAGCTACCTTTTCTACGTATTCTTACTGTTACTATGGCTTCCGTTATGGATCTCGACCCCATACTGGCTCGCGCACAATCGCTTCACCTTTCTCTGCTTCGGGCACAGGACAAGGCAAGCGATCTTGATGGAAACCTTCGACAGTATAATGGAGTCGAGTCGCTTTCGCTTTCTCCCGGCGACCGAATCCAAGCCCTATCCTGCTCCTGCGTCGATTTCTCAAGTCTCCGCATCCTGTCAGTGGGAAGTTTATATTCCCAATCCCCTACCGTTACTCGGTTAATAGAGGATCTACTCCGATTTAGGCTCTGTCCTTGGCTCGAAGAGCTTAACCTTGGTGTCTATGAGGATTGGGGTGCCCTTATCAGACTAATCTGCTCGCGTAACAACACTCAATCCACATTCGTGGGGGTTCGGCCACTTCAGCGCATTGGCTTACCGAAACCCAATGCGCTTATACACAATACTATCCGGGACGCTCTGGCTGGATCAGAAGTCGGTCCGCAATTAGTTCAGGCCAATTTACTAGCGAAGTATGTCTCATTCGCACATGTTTCAATGGCTGACCCTATTCCTAGTGATGTATTTGAACCATGTTTGGAGTGCAATAATCTTTGGATATATGATAACCTGAGCGGATATAAGGGCTCAACGACCTGCCAGAGTCATATTGGCGATGCCAGGGTAACAATTACCAAGGATTCCCAAACATTAGGTTGAGAAAACCTGCCGAGTACTCGATTCCAGTGAAATAAATGGTTCAAATTTTATTCAGCTTCAAATAAATGCTATCTACATCTATCAGCCTGGCCTGTTAGCTTCTACAGCTCGATATGTGTGTACACTCGTCGCACCCTGGGAACCCGCCTCTCGTATGGAAATACAGAGGGCTGAGGGGGCAAGTTCACTACGGTGCGTGACGGCATATAACGAATTGGATCATTCGTTTGAACGGCGCAAAATGGCTGAGTTTGATGAGGAGGCAAATGCTGGACCGGAGGGGACGCTGACAAGGTACGCGTGGGAATGGTAGAATATCCACGCTCCATCGCCCTTGGCTCAACCGCGGCATTGGTAGGCGCTGCAACCGTCTGAGGTGCAGCTTGAGGCGAGGAGCCTCCCATCCGTGAGAATAGCTGGCTGAGCCCAACAACTGCGAAGCTGGCGAGCACTTTTGTGGCGCCCGTGAACCCTCCTTCGCTGATTTGCGGTAGGCTGGACGTCGACCTCGCTTCTTGCCGTGGTTTCTCTTTTACTGGATGTTCGGTCGTAGGTCTCTGTGCCGCGATGACAATTGCATCAGCAAGCTTGAAAATTGTGTTCACGTCGCTTTCGCTTTGCTCGTCGTACGTCCGCCAGAGAGCGGCATACTCGAGCGCCTCCTGTTGAGACATTGAGCTCCTTCCTTCAGTTGCCTCTTGAAGTATCCGTGAGAGAAAAGCTGCTTCGCTACTCCAGAAGCGTGCAAGGGCTTGTAGTGCTTCGCTCGTTGCTTTTATAGCTCCTTGCAGATCCCGAAGTGGTACCATGGCTTGCTCAATAAGTTCTAATTGTAGATCTAGTTTACCTAGTCTACTGAAGTCTAGAGCAAGGGCCTCTAACCCGTAGAAATCAGTACTGGGCTCCCAGATGGTGGTGAACACACCTTCGGCGTTGCTCATCGCGGCCAAATGTCGCTGGTTCTCTTCATATCGTTCTTCTTTGACCCTCAAATATTCGTCCCCCCAAATAATGCGTCGTATGGCGTCTGGAATCCCGGTGATTGCGTCGCTATGATGCTCAACGCAAAGTTATGGGTATCTTGGGCAGTAGAGATCATTTCTGTGATGCTTTCACAGACATCTTGAATAGAAGCCGTCCCGATACTGTCCCGAAGGAGCACGACATCGCCGCTAAATCCTTGGGCGTTTTGGAGGAGCTGGGCCGTCGACTCCCACTGCGCTTTCAGCTGCTCTCGATATTTCTGTGTTTCTGATTGCGCCAGGTCTCTACCATGGAGCCTGATACTCAGTTTCTGAAGATTGTAGAGGCTGGTCAAGGTGTTCTCCGCATGCGAGATGATGGATTTCGAGATTTTGTTCAAATCTATGGCCTACAAAATTTGAGCCATACCACATATCATGAATCAGGAACCTACTTGTCTACTATACCCCCCGACGGTCAGAGCCATTGCGACGAACAGGAAGGGAGAGCACGCTCGACAACGTTGCAGAGTAAGGTTATATTCACAATTCCAGATTACATACGAACCACCGGCGGCGTGGGCTACACCCCACCGAGACAGCCTCCGTTCGATCATCCAGCAGAAGCTGTCCCCTTCCACTGGCTGACCAACCAGCAAGGTTTATTGATTAGGATCCTACTCCACTTCGCCTCCATTTAATTCAAGCACTGCCCAGATAGCTCAAATTACCAACCGAATTATCATAAAGACACGGTGCCGTACGTCGATACTTTCGCTCATGGCTACGGTGACTACACCCCCTCCTGCTCCATCACCTATCAACACGCAAGTAGCGGTCCACTCGAATGTCCTTAATGACATAGAGGAGCATTTCGCCAGTACCCCTAACATCGGGGAGATGGTCACAACAAGCTGTCAAATCTTCCAACGCCTTGAACCTTGGGGAAGCGTCCGGTCCGCATGCTTTCCCGCCTATCTATAGCCTGTCTGACGCAGCTTGCCCTCGCGTTAGGTCCAATCACGCCAAAGCGCAAGCCGTCATTCCTGGAGTCAAGCGAGCTGTAGTAAGCCACTGCAAAACTCTCGATCTCAGCGTTCAAGTGTCCGAAAATGGCTATCTACTGGCTGACAGTGGTGCCGCCCTCTTCGACTATCTCGAAAACGCCGAAAGTTACTCATTGGACGAGATGCGCGACTATTTTGAGCAAGTCACAATAGAGTCCAAGGAACTCGAGGAGTCGACAAAAACTACAGTGGCTGCCATCCGCGCTGACAGGACGAAGCTTATTCAGGTACTTCGATTCTATCCTCCCGTTGTTAGGGGCTAATTATACCACACACATCAGGTCAAGGATGAGATTCGAAATGCAGTACAGGCGATTGACAAGGAAAGAGCCGACAATGAGCAGGCAATTGCCAGTGCGAGGAGTTGGTCCAGATTCTTGGGTGGTGCGTCAGCAGCCATCAATACTGTCGGCCATCTCCCTCGTATGCTACCTGAGAACGAGGAAACACAAGCCCTGGTCGTCCTTCTTCCTCTACTCATCACTGTTCTCGATTGGGGGATCGTCCATCTCAGGGAGAGCAGTGAAAGCAATATTATCGGTCAGTTCATTTCACTTTGGCCCTATTTTATATAGAATTTAGCTCCATTTTAGAACGAAAGGCTGGTGTTCAGTCCTGCGGTGATGCTATCTCCAAACTCGAAGCTGCAGTGGAGGACCTGCAGGCCTTCGAGACCCACATGGACAACATCGCAGCCTTTTGGATCAAAGTACAAATGGTTTTACACCGCATTTGTAGGGGTCTCGACGCTTTGAATAGGGATAGAGTTGCTCGCTACAGATTCAAGAAGATAAAGGAGGACTTTATAACTGCGAGGGAGAACTTCCTGCTTTATAAGACGGGTGTATGTGATTGTAAGCTTCCAGGGTATCGCTGACTGCTGCCTAGATTGTCCGACTCAGGGACTATTTCCCGCCACAAATCACTGACTGAGAGATTGTTTAACAGTTGGAATACATTTGAATACATTTACCAACCACATTAGGGTGTCAGTTCGAATAAGAACTCCCAGTTTCCATTCAACGGAGACTTTGAATGGTCTCTATACCCTCTGCCATGGCCGTAAGGATTTGGCCTCGTGATCTGTCTCAGAAATAGTTGAAACATGCGCGAAATGGTCGACGAATATTCTAGGTATGCCTGGCTCGAGAACTACGGGATCCTTTTTATCTCTCATTCGCAACTCTTATTCCATTCTCGGAGTTGCGAATTGGCTTAAGTTCGATATTCCATCTTTGCAGCGTGTTGTTCAATGCGTTCTATGCATTGTGCCAAGATGACTACAGATCCCACTCCTCAAGCATGAACGAGAGGATTCCAAATATTGACGCAATTGGAGTTGTACCTGCAAGGACGTCCACTGCTTTTCGTACGTACCGAACAAGCCCGTCCAGCTCCTCTGACATGCGATCTACCTTGACCACGAAACTCTCCTCAGCAAAAGATGTCGAATTAGCCAAGGCAGGGGGCCCCATCACCATAGAATCTCCGTTGCCTTCTTCAAGTTCTCCTACGTCGCCTTCCGACGAAGAAGATGTGGATTCCGTTTGGTGAGTATCGGAGAACCCTATTACATTCCGTGCTGCATGCCGTGCTCGTCGTTGATGCCTTCTTCTGCGCTTTCGTGCAAGGGTGCTATCCTTTTGTCGTTCCGAATTGTTGTCCCTTTCATTCATATACGTAGACAAGCATTCTCCAAAGTAGAGGGCCAGGTCGAGGATAGAGAGGACGGTACGGTGGAGAGCTGCAGTCTAGAGAATGTCAGTATCTCACTTCGAGGTGTAAAAGCTTACCTTTGACTGTAGCAAACAAAGTGACTGTATACGCCCTAGACTAACAATAATGTCAGAGACAGGGAGATAATGAATAGTCACTTACTGGTTATCGTGCAGCTCAATCATTTCGTCGAGAGAAACAGCCTTGGAAAGTTCCGTATGAAAGGTGCGCACAGATTTATCCAGGACCTGAGATTGCACAGTTAATGGGGCTCATAAGTCGACTAACGCCTACCTGACTAGCGAAGAACGTGGTCAAGCAACTGTACCTGTCATTTAGAGACGGCAGGGGCGATGATAGGACCCACGTGCCTTAGGAGCCAGGAAAACTTTCCTCTTAAAGCATAAAAGGAGTTGGCATCAGTCTGTTCCTCAGATTGAAGAGATCCCTTTAGCAGTATCCTCTCAATGACCGTCTTCGCTCGTCGAAGTTGAAGCAAAAGGACGAAGACGGAGGTGTACACCTGTGCACTCGGTCTTCGGAGGAGATATGTTAGGGGGAATGGCACCTACGTTGAGTCAGTATAAAGAACGATGAAGTAATGCTGCTTAACCGAATATTCAGCAGAGAACCCATCAAAGCATCGCACGGTCGCCGCGTTATTCCTCTCTTTCCCGCCCCTGACAATAAACTGGATCAGATCCGGCTCTATCCACGGCTTTCGATCAATCTTTGCCGTTTGGCGCAATGCAGTATTCAGAAAATGAATATCATGCCACTTTTGCTGAGCATCCAGCTTCCATGTTTGTCAGAGATGTTCACCCGTTGTGTGAATTACACACCTTATTGAATACGAGATCGCAGAATGCACTCATAGCATCACCTCTTCTCATGAAGTAGAAACTTTCGATTTTGGTGAGATGATCCATCAAGGTACAGTCCTCGAACAACAGATGCTTGAGTTGGGCCTGCGCAAGGTTGCACCATGGCGAAACGTGCTCAAGAAGAATAAAACCAAGCGAGTCGAAGGCGACTCGTAATTGGTAGTTCTTGTCCCCGTCCATAGCGTTCGAGTCTCCCTCCGGTGCCAGAGATGGAGAGCGCATTGAGGTAGCCGTCTTATACACCTGTCGGAAAGGTTGCCATTGCTCGGTGAGGCCACCGTGAGTTATGGATTGAAAAGGGTCGATTCCGATAGTACGCAAGAGCCCGACTGCTTTACCGGCACCAAGAACGCCAGCGGCCAGTGGTCGAAATACGTCTGGTACCAGCGTTGCGCCGTTGGGGATTTCCTCATCATCCGAGTCGACCTCTACCTGTAGGGTGTATCCTTGCTCCCAGAAATCGGGGCTGACAAACTCGATATCACGTCGACGGACAAATAGCTCCGGATCAGCTGGTTCGTCGTCTTCGTCTTCGGGTGACGCGAGACGCACAAGCATCCCTCTCATAATCCATTTCCCAATGCTTTCCCAGAGAGGCTCCGCAGTGGCGACGAACAGCTGGGAGAGCGTCGAAGCGGCTTCGAGTTCTCCGATTGCGAACTGAGTTTTAACAGCGTCTCCCAGCCTATCTAATAGCCGCGTGGCCAGGGCGTATGGAGGGATGGAGGAGAACTCGGCTGCTCGCAGGAAGCCGAGTTTTTCGACATCACGTCGATGGTGGGTAGTTGAAACTTTAAGAAGATCCTGTTTCAGAACCTGGCGAAGTATATCTTGGATGATCGAGAGAACGCCTTGAGCCTTCTCCTTCAAAGCATGGGAGCAACTCAGCAATGTAACGACTGCTGGCCGTCCCAACCCGTTTCTCGCGTGAACGATAGTCTCCTCCTGCTGTGCCGACCAGATTTCAACGTCATGTATATATTTATCGACCCCCTCTGCAAAAGCCTCTAACGTTCTGGATAGGCTAGGTGAGTTAATCGGTTTGAGATTTGGATTAAATTGTCGCTCCCGCAGTTCGTAGACTGATTTGACGAAAAACCGCATCTCTTGGAGCTTCGTTGCCATGAAGCAAAACTCGAGCAGAATCGATTGGTACGACTCGAAGCTGAGGTGCATGAGGCGAGGTACGTCTGAGACTATCTACGACGGATTAGGGAGATACACATAGAAGACAAGACCTACAGATGCTTGCGTTCTATCTCCATAATCGTCGGCCATGAATGTAGTTATCGGTGAATCAATGCCTTGTAGCAGTAATAACACATTTCGAACGGCATCAACTTCTTGGATAATCTGGAGAACGAATGAGCCAATTATATAGAGAAAAATAACACCAGACCTTTGGTTGGGCTTGCTGGCTTAGCTTTCCTCTCGCTGCCAAGTCAGACGTAGCCGCAAACGTCGACGGGTCGGCCAGATTAAATGGACGATTCCATGGAAGCTCCGCAGTCGACTCCTCCCTCCAGTTTTGCTTCCTACGGAGGCCCTCAACAATCTCCCGGCTGCGCAATGAAGACCCGCGAAAGTATTCGCGTTGCACAGGAATTGTAAGATGAACATCCGAGGTGACCTCTTGAGTTGAAAGGCTTGTCTCCGAATCTTCTGTTTGGTCCAACTGTGAGCCTTCTGGTTCAGAGTTGAAAGCAGAACCGATTGATGACAACGAGTCCGTGTCGTCCCCTCGTGTCTGATTCCCTTTGGCAGGAAAGATTCCTTCCCAATGCTCTCCTTCAAACGGCTCCTCTTCCATAATGCTGGCCCATGTAAGCCCGCCTTTCCTAGTCGACATTTCCCGTTCGGAGGAAAGGACAATGTCTGCGTGTATCAGAGTTGATGGCATAGGAGGGTTGGATAGTTCCATCTACTCAGATGAGTCGCCAGAAATACAACGTATCACGAGGTGACTGACCAAAAAATGGACAAGTTCCGGAAGATTGGATGCCTATGGATCGTCGTTAAGACCCATCACCCAATATTACGATTCATACTCTGATTTCTTCGTCTTCTTGGAAGTCATCCGAGGCAATCTTCTTCAAATGCTCCCAGCTTTGTATCAACGCGGCTGCCAGGTTATCTTCAACGTTGATGCGTGCTTTCTTGGCTACCCTGAGAGAGATATTACAAATTGTATCCCTATGATTGCTATCGAGTGCTTTACCTTTGAATCCGCACGTCTGTCGTCGAAAGTGTTTCTGAGAACATCTGCCGGTTCTCCAGCATTCTCAAAGACTTGCTGTATACCAAGGAGAACCTTTCTTGGTCATTTCTCAGCAAATTACCCGCCACCTGAGAAGCCAAAGCGTGTGTCAATTGCGCAAGTCGGGCTGAATGCTTCGAAACCAAGGTCTTTCCGGATAGTCTGGATATTGGTCGTGATGATATTCTGGATACTGGTCTTTGTGAGAGGCTGGACAAAGGCCGTGGTGAGTGGCTAGAAGTCGGCGTAGTCGACGCCATCTCCAACTTTGGTATTGCAACTTGATCCCGACCATGTCAGAAGGCGCGTGTGATGGGCGCGCTTTCAAGATCTGCTGACGAATAATATTCTCAGATGGATCTTTATTCGACGAAACCGACGACAACTCAGCCCCGGAGTCGATATTAAAGCCGGCAGTAAGACACAACCCTGGAATTCCAGGGATTCATATTCATCCAAATCTTTGCATCGATGAAGATGTTGCAAGGCGCCTGTTGGATGCGATAGAAGCAGGCAAATACTTTCAGAGCGGCGCCAATCAGGTCATGCTATTCGGCCGTACGAGGCAAGGAGCAGACGGCGAGTTGGTCTCCGGTCTTCCCGGGTTCCTGGACGAACTTTTGCAGCTCCTTTCTGTTACATGCCGCCCGTATGTAGAAGAACGGGTTTGGAGAATGCTCTTCCTCAATCCGGACGTACGGTCTCGCCAAGTCATCCTTAATAGATATCTACCTGGTGAAGGTATCTCTTCTCATGTTGATCTCCTGCAGCGCTATGACGACGGTATCATTGGTGTTAGCCTAGGAAGCGGATGTGCTATGGAGTTTACACGCGTCTGTCCGATATCAGACGAACCGAATTACTCAATATGGCTGCCAGAGAACTCTGTAGTCATTCTCGAAGGCGACGCTAGGTACAAGTGGGCTCACGGAATCAAAGGGCTACATGGTGATTGTGTCCTTGAAGAGGGGGCAATCAACCCAATCTGGATACCTCGACGCACGCGAACCAGCATCACCCTGCGGTGGATGCTCCCCAATGCTGACCTTGTGGGCCAGGAATAGCTGTGTTTGTTGTATTTAACTCAGTGGATGGATAGACTGATAAATAGGAACAAATGTACTCCTGTGCGAAGAGATGCATGCGCCCGTTCAGAAATTAGTAAGTTCTTTCCCAGAGGTGCGTTGACTATACATGCCGGTGTATATAGCTTGCACATATGATAGCTGCAGTGAGTACTTCCCCATGTATGTCAATGTCGAGATGCTGGCCACTGTTGTAGTGTACGAGTTCACGCCGGGACAGACGACGAGAATAACCCAACAGTAAGTCCTCACTTTGACCAATTGAAGTGCTTAGAGTCTCTCTAGGGCATCGCTTTATCGTGGCATCCAGCCATCTTAGGAATGATTATCCTTCCCAACCTTAACCCATCTCTCTCCTACTGCAACTATATCTATTCGAATTTGATGTTCAATTTATTCCTTTACTTTCCCTATTCTAAGTTTTGACACCCTTGCTGGATTGAGTGTAGCTTTCAATGCCAAATTATATTCATATAGGACTTACATGAATGATCAACGACGCGTCATGGGGCTCGGTGTCCATCTGACCTTGCGCAGATCTCGTTCTACACCAGAGTCCCCAAGCAAACCGCCATTCCTCAACGGCGTATCTCCAGTGGCACCCATCTTCTTCCCCGTCGCAGTCCTTGCAAGTAGTGCACGAGCAGCAGGTGTCAGATCACTAACCCCCTTTCTCGGCGTCGCACTAGGGGGAGCCATATCACCCTTTGGCCTTGGCGTTCGCGTACTCCCGCTCAGCAAAGATGCCTTTTCGCGTATCGATCGACTTGCTTTCATCGAGAGCTTCATCCCCGTTTGCTCTCTTCTCGACGGTGCGGCGATGTGGAATGGGGTAGCGTCAGGTGCGACGTTGTCTGAACCGTCTCGTGTCGAGGAGAGAAGTCTGGGCGTAGATAAGAGCGTGCCCAGTGTCATTAGCTCTTTCATGGCCAAAGGACCGAGCTGATCAGGAGAAGGTGATGGGAGAGTCGGCACATAGTTGTATCCGTTTGGTCCTTCAGCGACCTGCTCAGACGCAGATGGAACATAGCGGACTCCGGAGATTGCTGCATCAATACGGCTCCGTGTAGGGCTCGGCGGAATAGCATTTGACGGCGACGCGTCGGTTGGAGGCGGTGATGGCAGTCTTGTGCCAGCATGCGTTATCGACTTGGGCTGTGAGATTCCGCCATTAGCATTCGTGGCAGAGACAGCAGTGGAAGAAGGCGGCGGTTGGTGATAGGGAGAGGTATCTGCATCGGGTTGAAACATGAGGCCATTACGAGTCTAAACAGGAATATAAGCAAGCAGCGAAGGTATTTAGACGTCTATGTACCTTGAAATTCCAAGATGAGATATAGTGGACTCGACTGTCTTCTGTTGGAGCCATGACGTCTCTTTCTAGGGAAGGGTCTTTGGAAGGAGCATCTTCTGTCGTTGTTGTTCGCTTCTCTTCATCTCCATTGGTGATAAGGAGAACATCTGGCTTCTCCACGGTGATAAGACCTCGCACACCCGGTCTAACGCCCACTCCTCTCGCGTCGCTTTCGCCCGTGCCTTCAATGAGCATCCGCTCCCTATTGACTCCTTCGACCATCTTCCCGTCCATGGCCTTTCTTTGTGCTTCCCAGGCCCACTTGAACCGCTCTCGCCGCTGTCTATTCTCCTCGTCCAAAATCTCTGTAAAGCTCGCGTTGTCCTCGCTAGTGAACCGCGCCTGATAATCATCGAGGCTCAAATCGTCCTCGTTCAACTTTCTTCGCTTGTTCGGACCCGTTTCTGATCCTCTTCCACGCAGTGGTGTCTCCATGTCGCCTCGTCGGAGGACCGGCGTCGGTCCCAAGTCACGCAACGTTCGTACGGAGGCATGAATGAGTGCAGGATCCTGCGATTCGAGTGCAGAAAGGTACTCGTTTGTGGCTTGGATGTGATGTAGAGTAGGGAAAAAGTCGCGAGTAATGATTCGGGTCAATCCTTCTGTATACTCGTCTTCATCGAGAATTATTTGCCTGTTAAGGGATATATTTGGTGTCTTTGACGAGTTTGTCGTGGATTTAGAGGATTCGCCTGACATGGAGCGGGTTCAAGATGCACTTGGACCTGACTCTGACCGCGCGCTTCAGTCATTGGCATAGAAGTACACAAGGAGACTGTTATTGAGTCAAGAGTGGCATGGAAAGTAATTATCTCTAGTTTGCGACAAAGTAGACCTCGCTTTGTAACAAATTGACAGTCTATCTATCGCTAATGTACTCTTCTACATCCCAAAATCAGAGTAATTACTACTCCCAGTCCACACTTATTACCTGTAGCTATCAGTCTACTCAGTCGCATTTGAGGAGGCGCTTCACAAAGGCATGTGGTTAACAGTTCAACGAGGCAGATAGTATTCCAAAGAGAATTCAACACGATGAGTACTAGAAAAGGGGTGTAATGTGACATGTGGAACTGCGACCACGAAAAGGAAGAATGAGGATATGTGTCAGGGCGAATACAGGTCGTGCGGATGGTGGCAACAGCGCGATATCGAACAGCGATGAAGAACAGGTGAGAACAGCGAGAAAACCCAAGATGTCTGCTACACGTATCCAACAAAGGATCGTCTTCCCTGTTGATGGATGGTTATCGTATCATGCCGGTCACGGTGAGCTGGTCCCGTCGAGTATCAGAGTCTATGGACCCGGCTTCCTTGCGCTTGGGAAAGGCGTTCCAGAACCGTAGGGTCTCGTCACCTGCTCCAGTAACTATGGTCTGGCCATCCGGAGACATAGCTAGATAGAGCACACGGTGGGTGTGACCAGAGAGGCTTGCGACCATTTCCATCGACGGATACTTCCATAGGCAGATGAGGTTCTGGCCAGACGTCGACGAGTACCCGTGCGTCGATACAATCTCTTGTGACGTTTTGGACCACGCCAAGTTACAGACCTGTTTGTATGTTGAGTTTGAGAAGAAGATGCGCATGGCTGCTTACCTGAGATCCAGTGTCCACCTCTGAAAGCATGGCTCCGGACACCGTGTTCCAGAAACGCATCTTCTTATCCTGCGTTCCACCTCCACTAACGAGGATACCCGACTGATGTGGATTCCACGCAATGGCCTTGACAGCCGCCGAATGTTCATGCCACTTCCACAAAGGCGTATCCGGGACACCTCCACGATGGTCCCAAATGAGCAACTTGTTGTCGTTCCCGCCGCTCGCCAGTTGCTTCTGCCCTGAGTGCCACTTGAGCCCACACACCTCTTGTCGATGTCCAAGCAGCGTAGAATACGCCTTTCCTGGAGTTCGTACGTCACGATGCTGGATATTCCGATCACGGGAACCACTCGTAATCGTGGACTCGTTCCATGCCAATGCACCGATTCGATGTTGATGAGCAGCATAATGCCGCAGTCGGACATTCTTGACGGCGTCCCAGATTTGGATATTACCAGCTGACGTCCCAACAGCGAGCGTGCTCCCTTTCTGCACCCAGCTGAGACTTGCGATTGATTCTGCGGCGCCGAGGTCGCACAACTTGGTGACTTGCGCCGTCTTTGCGCTCCATAGATATACGCAACTTCAAACCGACTCCTAGGACGTTGGTGCTACTCCAGTCCACAAGGTTGAGATAGAAATCGTCTTGCAGATCCGGTGCGTCCAAGACACGGAAGGGCGTCTTGCACACATTTCGAAGTGCCTTCTGAGGAGAGGTGATAAAGTTGCTGGTGGTTGGCTTGACGGGTGAAGTGGCGTAGGCGGCAGCGAGGGGTGTGTCTTGACCAGCGAAAACAGGCGTGCTGGTCCCTGCTCGAGGAGGGGTGTGAAAGGATAGGACACGCTTTCGCGTTGGGGTCGTAGGAGCTGCTGCACCGCTGGATCCACCAGACGCAGAAGTGGCTGCTGCACTGGTGGCCGACGAATGCCGTACAGGGGAGGAAGACCGCGAGCTTCCGAGGAATGGGTTATCGTCCGTTAGCTCCTTGGTCAGCATGGTCGAGAATGTCGCATTCGCTTGTTCTTTTGGCAAGCAGTCAGTCTCTCACGTCGCTCCCAATGGATCAAATACCTTTGGCGGCGTCGGATTCGTGTGGGATCATCCGATGTGTCGAGCTCAAGGCGAGATCATCGTCATCGAGTAGATTAAAGGCTCGCTGTCGCTCATCTATATCCCGAGTCGGAACAAATCTTGCATTTCGTCAGCAACGGTCAACAAAATAACCTCTTCTAAATCGCTCACCTATCTCCTACATCGATCCTCTGTCGTTTACGTGCTCTAGGCGTCCGACTACCGGGACTTGAAGGCGGGATACTGCTGGTCATTGTAGATGACATACCGCTGCCGCCTAATGAGGACGTAGCATATCCTATACCGCCATCTTTATCAAAGCTCTGCGAATGCGTCCTGATCCTCGATCGATTACTCGACGGAGCACTCAACAAAGACTCGCCGGCGCCGCTCTCGCGCGCACGATCGCGCTCTCCTGCGTTCCCCGCGCCCGTCATGGCAGCTAGGCGTTGAAAAATATTTTCATTAGCCATTGAGCTCTTGTTCATAAATAGTCCCGTCGTCGTCGTCTGCCCTTCGTCTTCCCCCGTCGCGCTACTCGGAAACTTGAGCGGGCCTTGATCTAGCGGCGGCATCACGTGAAAACGCGTGTTCAATGGATAAGATTGGATGTGGAAAGCTGAATGAAGACGAAATAGCGCGTCGAGATTGCCTGGGGATCTGCGTGCGCGGCCACTGTCGGGTTTATTTGATCGGGCGTGTCTGGATTTAAGAGCAGTAAAGCCTTAAAGTTCTCTCAAATCGAAGAGAGATTCTTAGAGACCTGTAAGTTGAACTGGTAGAGGCCGGCCAGTCGTGGATGGGTTCAAGCCGTAGGCGGAGTTTGCCAAACGCCCCTGGAGCCTCTACTCGGGAAAACCCCGTGATAAGCAGACAGATGGGTACAGTATAGTGAACAAGAATCGAGCAAGCAGATCAACTCCAGCCCCGCGCCGCTCCTCTCCCTCCTCCATGTCCACGTTCTCGCTCAACAGCAAAAAGGACATCTCGTAATCCAAGCGACCTCTCCTTGTCGCTGCGGCCACCCTTCCCACGTGTGTTCTTGCCCCGGGCTGCTCCCCAACTCGAGCTACTCCAGCCACTCGCTGACGCTTTGGCAGTTGATCCACCACCAGCAGCCGGTCGTCGTGGGACCGGCGTACTTGCTGCGTTCATCCAAGCGTAGCGATTGCCAAACCCTGCCGCGGCATTTGCGACGGTATTACTGAGCTTTTTCTTCGTCTCCTCTGACATGTTCTTTGCTTGGACCCCAGGACCTTCTGCTTTCTTCTTCTTTTTCTTTGGAGGCCCGTCGTCGTCCTCATCACCAGAGCCCTAGCCGATCATCAGCCAGAGTCTGCATGGAGTCGGAGCTACGTACCGTATCATTCCTGGCGGCACTCTGTCGCGCCTGCTCCTGCTTTTCTTTTCTCTCTCTCCGAATTCGCATCTCCTCTTCCTTTTCTAGTTTCTCAATCATGAGCAGTTGCTTGCCCACGTCTTTTCGTAGATTTCGGTCGAATACGGGTGTTTTACCATCCGCATAGAGTGAAGTCCGAGGCTGGTCATCTGTATTTTCTCCGGTGCGGCTCGCATTGACGGCAGAGAGAACGTCAGTCTGTGTATCCCATCGATGCTTGCTGGCGGCGTTTGCTTTCTCGATGAGTTCTCGCATCCTTTGCTCCACGGCAAGTCCAGTAAGCTCTAATACTCCGCTTTTGAACCCTCGTAGTCCGTGATGTGCCGCAACCGAACGAAGGACATCGGCAAGGTAGCTCTCGGGAAAGAAGTCTTGTTTTCTTGTACGGTCTGCGCCTGAATATGAACTCGGTATCGCCCCTTTTCGCTGAGCAAACTGCTCCTCTGCCTAAAACGCGTTCCACAACGCCGGTACACGTGAGCACTGCGCTCGGATGATTTAATGATGACTGAAACTGACTCTGAGAGAGACACCACCGACGCTCATCGCGTCTTTGAGCTGATTGACGCTCGTTCGATCCATACCGCCCGCGTCACTTCGAGAACCCGAGGGACCTGCACCAGGATGGGATGCTGCTAGATTCGTTGCTTGGGCGTGTGCTTGTTGTTGTGCATGAGCATGCGCTTGTGCTTGCATGGAGTATGCAACCGGGTTGAAGCCAGCCTGGCCCATGTAGTAGCTACAAAATGAAACATAAGGACAACGTAATCATACATCTGGAGTCAGTGAATACCTATTCTGATAAGCAGATGGGTCAAAGTCTGGTAAAACAGAGAGAACATTGTTCTGTGATTAGCAACGCGCTCGACATAAAGCGGTCAAACACAGTGACTGACGACCACCAGTGGGACCATTCCATGCTGCCTGTCCATTTGCGGGTACTGGAGTCGGTGTAGAAGACATTTCTTCGTGCTTTCGTTTCTGGCCTGTAGTCCGTGTCGAGCTTTTGCTCATTGCGAGCCCACGAGAGAACAGTAATGGTCCGATAATATAATTATCGGACGCTCTTTGCTGGCTTTGGGATTTCTACGGCCGGAATGCGGTCACGGTCAGGACCAAGAGTCGCTCTTAAACTCTACCATGACCGCTCGGGACAATTGACATTGAGAGCGCAGTAATGCATGGATGCAAAATTGATACTAGTATCTTCTCAAACACAAAATATGTAAGCAAAGACGGAATGTCATGGAGCTAGAGCCGCGTTAGATTATCCTGCTTGTCTGGTCAACGCAACTTAATAATCCCTTGCGTAAATTCTCTCCCTTACTTTAACTTTAAACCAGAAAGCTCGTCCGTGAAGCCGCGTTGATCGTTCGCTTGGACCGTCTCCATCTGCTCAGGAGGTGATAAAATCTTAACGATTCCACTTTTAACTAATCTATTCTCCTGCTGTAGTCTGGATCCTCATGCACAGTCGTCATGCCGTTGCTGTTTCGCTTTGTTCTAAAAGCGAGTATCTAGTAATATCTGATGGCTCTCATCAGGTTTACATCACAAATGCTTCTTCAAATAAGTCGTGGTTATTATGAAGAACTGCGGATATCGAGTTTGATCGATATGCGCCTTCCTCGCCTCGTGTCTGAAGTGCACGTGCTGGCTTGCTTGCCGTGGCAGATCCCAAACTCATCTTGGACCCATCCAGCTTCAGAATGTCCAGATCTATCAAACCAAAGGAAGTACAGGGGAACATAGATTCATCGAGATCTTCGTCTTTGGCAAAACCCTCGACGAGTAAGAAGAACCAAGTGGCCCACACCACTGCTGCCGTCCTCGGCGTAGTGGCAGATGCATCTGAAGCATCAGACATACTTGCACCTCTCAAGGCGGCGTGTAGGGCGACAAAGTCTATTCTCGAGCTCATGCAGGTCAGTTGACGAGGCTCTCATGGCACAGCTTCATCTCACGGATACGACAAGGCAATAGAGAGCAACCAAGAGGAGTGGGTTAATCTCAAAGGTCGTCTCAAGGAGTTCATGTCCGCCATTGAGGGTCAAATCACCTTGTTTGAGACCTATCCTCAACGGGAGAGGCTTGTCGAGGAGGCGTTCAGCCGGCCGTTGATTCACTATGTCGAGTGCGTGAACAACGTAATTCTGCTTCAGTGGACTGACCTGAGTAGATTCCTTGAAAAGACGCATGATGCGGTTGCTGAACGGATAGCAAAACGCAGCCGCAGCAAATTCGGCTTCTTGAAATCATTCACAAAAGTCAAAATCGATGCCGGGGAGATCATCAGGCTCAATGGAAGCATAAATGATCGGCATATGCAGTTTATGGTAAGAGCCACCTTGGTCTTGTTCATCAATTGACCTCGGTCACAGGAAGCATTGGCTCTTTTCACTGCATCACATGTTCAAATCGTCAAAGAGAACGTCCAGGTTACAAAGGACACGGTGGAAGATACTCAAGTCAAGGTAGAGATTACCAAAGTCAACGTGGAGGCCACCAAGGCCCATGTGGAGAAGATTGTGACGGGTGGTAAGCCGGATCTGCGCATAAGAAGCTTACTTAGTATCCTTAGTTGATGCATCTGCTATACTTCAGTTGCCGATGGTCGCATTTGTCGCGTCCTCCGTTCACAGAACCTGTCTACAAGGAACACGTGAGGCTGTCCTTCAGACGATCAGAGTCTGGGCCCACGACGACAAATCTCCAGAACCGATATTCTGGCTCTGTGATATAGCTGGCTCAGGAAAATCTACGGTTGCTATGTCCGCGGCGCAGATTTGGCGGACGGAGGGAATCTTTGGTGGACAGTTCTTCTTCTCTTTGACCAGCAGTGAAGGATCCACCACCGAAAAATTCTGGTCGACCATAGCCAGAGAACTCGCCCAGCGAATGCCGGAGCTCAAACCACACATAGCAAGGGCCGTGGAGCAAAACCCTGCGATCATGCGAAGTCCATTGCAAGAACAGCTCCAAGCATTGATCATTGACCCACTTCGTCACCGGCAACAGCGTGTAATTTTAGTCATTGACGCTATCGACGAGTGCAAATCCGGAGCGCAGCGAAAGGAACTTCTTGACACCATTACTGTGGCCGCTCGAGAAGCCCCAAACCTCAAATTATTTATTACGAGTCGTCCAGATCCCGTCATCGAAACGGCTTTGGGGCCGCTCTCGATCAAAGCAGAGTTGAAGGACCGCCTCCACGGCGTCAATCACCCCGATAACATTGATGACATTGCGGCATATGTCCATCAATACCTATGTGACGTTTTATCGCTGGACAAGAGACAGCGACTGATCATAAAGGCCTCTGGACTGTTTATCTGGGCGAGCACTGCGTGCCGGATGCTCACTAGTGAGGCCACATTCGATACACCGGAGATCATATATGAACGTCTGATATCTGTTGATCAGACTGGAGATATAGACGATGTATACGACCTCGTCTTCCAGCGCGCAGACCCCAAGTCCCACGCTACTATGTGTAGTATGCTCGCTATATTGCTTGCAGCATTCGAGCCACTCACAATGGGCGATTTGGACGACCTTTTCAAGCATAATGGAGTACATGGCAATGCCAAAGCATTGGTACGGAACCTAGGAAGTGTGTTGTTGGAGGATCCAGCCACAAAGCTAATTCAGTTTCGTCATCCCACCTTCGTTGAATACCTTCGACGTTGTTGTATTCCCCATAATCACCGCCAAATCCTTATCGACATCTCCAACGCCCATGGCCAAGCGGCATCGTGGTGCTTCAAACGCTTCAAGTCGCGATCTGAAGGTCTCAAGTTCAATATATGTCAAATCGAGTCCTCCTTTCATCTAAATCGAGAGATCCCAGACCTTGACGCTAGAATATCGAAATTCATTTCAAAAGGTCTCCGATATGCCAGCTCCCATTGGCTATTTCATCTCGCAGAAACTGGCGTCGATTGGAGACGAAGGCTCGAGAAAGAACTCCAAGACATTTTGCAAGTTTCATACGCGCTCTCTTGGGTGGAGATTCTGAGTTTCATCGCTGGACTGCCGCGGGCAATAGCCGGCCTCCGAGCTATTGCAGGACATAAAGAAGTGAGTGCTCGACTTCAGTCACCTAAGTAAACCGCTTATACAACGAAAGCTTGCAGAGGAGACTAGAAATCGTCTGAAAGAAATCAGACAGTTCTTAGTAGCGTTCTCTGTGCCGATTCAGGAGAGCGCTCCACATATTTACATTTCAGCACTCCCCTTTACTCCCGTGAGGTCAATAATTCATCTGGAAGGTCTCAAAAAGCACAAGAATACATTGAGCGTGACTCAAGGGGTTGAGGAAACTTACCCTGGGCGCCCGAGCATGCTCCGAGGTCATAATAACACAGTAACGGTCGTATCATTCTCCCCGGATGGATCGCAAATTGCTTCTGGCTCGTGCGACAATACACTTAGGCTGTGGGATGGACAAACCGGTCAGCCCCTGGGAGGCCCACTCCGAGGTCATGAAGATTGGATCACAGCCATCGCATTCTCCTCAGATGGCTCGCGAATTGTCTCTGGTTCGCGTGATATGACTATTAGAGTCTGGAATGTTGACTCTGGTCAGTCATTGGGGAGCCCGCTACGGGGTCACGAAAGGGAAGTCGTAGCAGTTGCATTCTCACCAGATGGATCCCGGGTTGTCTCCGGCTCGTACGACTCTACAGTCCGACTATGGAATGCAGACACTGGCCAGCAACTCGGAGAGCCGCTTCAGGGTCACGATTCCACGGTCACAGTCGTTGCATTCTCGCCAGATGGATCCTGCATCGTCTCTAGTTCTTGGGATAGGACTTTGCGACTGTGGGATAGTGATACTGGTCATCCCCTTGGCGAGCCACTTCGAGGTCACCGTTCAGCGATCAGAGCTGTCGCGTTCTCTCCAGACGGACTGACAATCGTCTCCGGGTCCTCAGGGATTACATCCGGCGCGTGGGACTACACAATTCGACAATGGGATGTCAAAACAGGGCAGCCGCTGGGAGATCCACTTCAAGAAGACGACACAGATGATGTAAGGGCCATTCGATTCTCGTCAGATGGCTCAGAAATCGTCTCCGCCTCGAGTAAACATAAATTTCGAGTGTGGGATGCATACACCGGTCAACTCCTAAGAAAACCACTCCAAGGTCACGAGGACTCAGTCTATGCCGTGGCAATCTCGCCCGACGTTTCACGAATTGTCTCTGTTTTTTTGGATGGAGTTCGATTGTGGGATGTTGAGAGTGTATTGCCACCACTCCGAGGTCACCAGAACAGTGTTCACGCCGTCAACTTCTCGCCGGATGGGTCACGAATTGTCTCCTGTTCGTACGACAATACAGTTCGACTGTGGAATGCAACCACGGGGCAGCCACTGGGAGAACCGCTTCAGGGTCACGACTCCGCGGTCACGGCCGCAGTATTCTCTCCAGATGGCTCACGAATCTTGTCTGGCTCCTGGGATAATACTATTCGAATATGGGATGGAGAAACAGGTCGGGCGTTAGGAGAGCCACTCCGAGTTGACATGGCCCAGATCAACGCTGTTTGCTTCTCTCCAGACGGCTCGCGCATCGTCTCCGCTTCTTCCCAGTTGTATTCTGGCCCATCAGGCCACACAATCCGACTGTGGGATGCAGAAACAGGTCAACCACAGGGAGAACCACTTCGAGGCCACCAAAATTCCATCAAAACCGTTGCATTCTCACCAGACGGTTCACAGATTGTCTCAGGATCGTCCGATTGTACGATTCAACTATGGGACGCATACAGTGGTCAACCACTGGGGGAGCCACTTCGGGGTCACCAAGGGTCAATCAACACGGTTGTATTCTCTCCAGATGGCTCCCGTATTGTCTCCGGCTCGGATGACAAGACGATACGGTTTTGGGATGCGGAGACTGGTCTCCCACTGGGAGACCCACTCCGAGGCCACAAAAGTGGGGTCGTGGCTGTCGCGTTCTCACCAAATGGTTCGCGAATCGTGTCTGGTTCCCCAGACGGAACGGTTCGGCTGTGGGATACAGAAACAGGCCAGTCATTGGGAGAACCATTCTTAGGGCAGACAAAGGGAGTCTGGTCCGTCGCATTCTCTCCAGACGGCTCACGAATCGCCTCTGGCTCACTTGACGGGACAATTCGGTTATGGGACGCAGAAATAGGTGTGTAAAGCCTAGACTTCTGGCTGATTGTTTGACATAATCTGACAAATGATATAAGATATGAACACGAATGATTCCAATCAGAATGCCGAGGAGCCAACATATTTGAGTAGATGGGAAACCCCCAAAGTCGTTGTATCTGGATTCGGACAGTGCTCACTTTCGGAGGATGGCTGGATGAAATCCTCCGATAAACACCTTTTCTGGGTACCGCCAGACAATCGGCATGGACTACAATACCCACGTTCTCTTCTGACCATGCCGACGACGAGTCCTCTGCGCGCGACCAAAGTTGATTTCACACATTTTCAATGCGGCGCCAACTGGACAAAGGTTCGAACGGACGTAAATGTGTAGATTTTACCATCAATTTATACCATTCTTCCTAGGATGCTGTCTTCTTGCGTAGTCGGTCTCAGCTTAATCGCCGACTTTCGTCTCCCTGCTGTATGACAAGGTATGAGTCATAATTGCCGTAAGCATGATTATTCTAGAATGTTTGATATTTGTGAGGGGCATCTCTGAACAGACACGATACAATAGATGAACCAACTCCTCACTGATAATCATCAATCTTAATCTGTTACTATCACTTGAGTGTATATTTACAAGTATGACAGCGGTCCGCAAGTAAGGTTCTTCAGTTGCGGAGAGAGAGTTGATACGGCGTAGTTTGGCGAGTGCACGAAGACGAGGTAGTTATTCGGGAATTTCCATCATTACCGTACGATACATTTACCCCATTGATCTGGCACGTGTGGTAGGACGGGAGGCGTGAGGTGGATCTCATCTTGGATCCATCCAAGTTTATGATGTCTCGATCCGTCAAGCCCGAGAAACACCACAAGGCTGATAATGCGCCGGGACCCTCGTCTTCCGCTAGTCCTTCAACGAGCAAGAAGGATCAAGTGTATGACACGCTCATCGTCGGCCTCGACGTTGCGGCCAATGTAGCCGAGGGCTCAGATATACTCGCACCCCTGAAAGCAGCCTGTAGGGCAACAAAGTCTATCCTTGAAGTTATGCAGGTTAGTTGGCGAAACGCTATATCACAGCTTCAACTGACGAGTACGACAAGGCGATAGAAAATAACCAAGCAGAGTGGACTGATCTTACGCGCCGACTGAAGGAATTCATGTCTGCACTTGAGGGGCAAATTGCCCTGTTTGAAACCTATTCTCTAGGGGAGAGGGTTGTGGATGAGGCATTTAGGCGGCCAATCCTCCACTATGTGGAGTGAGTGAACAATTCTGCCCAGCTTTAGTCGATTAACAAGTGCAGATTCCTCGAGGAAACGCATGATGTGGTCGTCAATCTAACGACGAAACGCAAGCGCAACAAATTCGGCGTCTTTAAATCGATGACCAAAGCAAAGGTCGATGCAGAAGAGATTCATAAACTCAATAGAAACATCGAAGATCGACATAAACAGTTCATGGTGCGAGCTACATTAGTCTTATTCAGAGGTTGACCTCTGACACAGGAGGCGTTGGCTATTTTCACCGCGTTCCATGTTCAAGTTGTGAAAGAGAATATCAATGTTACAAAGAACAAAGTAGAATCCACTCAAATCAACGTAGAGGCCACCAAGGCCTGGGTGGAGAAAATTGTGACGGGTGGTAAGATGGAATTTTTTGATGATATATCGGCTTAAAATGTTAGTGGATACCTCTGCTATACTTCAGCTACCAATGGTAGCCTTCAACGCGTCCTCGGTTCACAGTACTTGCTTGCAAGGAACACGTGAGGTCGTTCTTCGGACGATATGCTCGTGGGCCGAGGACGAAATATCTCAAAAACCGATCTTTTGGCTTTGCGACATTGCTGGTTCGGGAAAATCTACAGTGGCGATGTCCGTAGCGCAGATGTGGCGAAAAAAAGGAATATATGGCGGCCAATTCTTCTTCTCTTTGATCAGCAACGAAGGATCCACGACCGAAAAGTTCTGCTCGACCATAGCCAGAGAACTTGCTCAGCAAGTGCCCGAGCTTAAACCATATATAGCAAAGGCCGTGGAGCAAAATCCTGCGATTATGCGAAGTTCGTTGCAGGAACAGCTGCAAACACTGGTCATCAATCCACTCCGTCAGCGACAGCAACGGGTAATTCTAGTGATCGACGCTGTCGACGAATGCAAATCTGGAGCGCAGCGAAAGGAGCTTCTTGATACGATCACTATGGCTGCTCGAGAAACGAATAACCTCAAGCTATTTATCACGAGTCGCCCAGACCCAGTCATCGAAACGGTTCTGCGGCCGCTCTCAATCAAAGCAGAGCTGAAGGACCGCCTCCACGACGTCAATCACCACGACAATCTTGATGACATTGCGACCTATGTTCATCAATCACTAGGTGACGTGCTATCGCTGGAAAAGAGACAGCAGTTGACGGCAAAGGCCTCTGGGCTGTTTATTTGGGCGAGCACTGCTTGCCGAATGCTCACCAACGAAGCCACATTCGATACACCAGAAGTTATATACGAACGTCTAATCTCAGTCGACCAGGCTGGGGATATAGACGACGTATACGACCTCGTCTTCCAACGCACAGACCCCAAGTCTCGCGTGACAATGTGTAGTATGCTCGCTCTACTACTTGCAGCATATGAGCCTCTCACCATAAATGATTTGGACGACCTCTCTAAGCATAACGCAGTAAACGGCAATGCCAAGGCATTAGTACGGAATCTAGGAAGTGTACTTCTGGAAGATCCAGCTACGAATCTGGTTCAGTTTCGTCACCCCACCCTCGTCGAGTACCTTCGACGTCGCTGCATTGCCCCTGCCGCCGATAGCCACCACCGAATCTATATCGACCTTGCCAATGCCCATGGACAAGCAGCGTCGTGGTGTTTCCAACGCCTCAAGTCGCCGACCGAGGGTCTCAAGTTTAACATATGCCAAATCGAGTCATCCTTTAATCTAAATAGGGAGATTCCTGACCTTGATGCCAGGATATCAAGGCTTATCCCAAGAAAGCTTCGATATGCGAGTCCCCATTGGCCCTTCCACGTTGCGGAAACCAACGATAACTGGCGATCCAAGCTCAAAAAAGAGCTTGAATACGCTACTCAATGTCCATATGTGTTATACTGGATGGAGGTTCTGGGCTTGACCGGAGGAGTGCCACGAGCGATAGCCGGTCTTCGGGCTATTGCACGCCACACAGGGGTGAGTGGTTCATCCCAACGATTCACAATATCTCAAATGAGACATAGCTTGATGTGGGAACTGCAAGCAGGATCAACGAAATACGACGGTTTATGATCGCCTTTGCAGTGCCGATCCAGGACAGTGCTCCACACATCTACCTTTCAGCACTTGCTTTTACTCCTAAAAAGTCAATGCTGCATCTTCAAAGTATGAAGCAGTATGAAAACACTCTAAATGTGACTCAAGGACTGGAGGAGACGTATCCTGGGCTTCCAAATAGTCTTCGAGGTCACAAGCTGCGGGTTCGGTCCGTCGGATTCTCACCAGACGGGTCGCGAATCGTCTCCGGCTCTGATGACTGTACGATTCGACTCTGGGATGTGGACACCGGTCAGGCTGTCGGAGAACCACTCCAAGGTCACGGGGACGGAGTCTGTGCTGTCGAATTCTCGCCAGACGGCTCACGAATAGTCTCCGGTTCACACGACAATACAATTCGATTTTGGCATGTGGACACCGGTCAGCCTGATGGAGAGCCCCTCCGAGGTCACCAAAACTCGGTCTGGGTTGTCGCATTTTCGCCAGACGGGTCACGAGTTGTCTCTGGCTCGCGTGACTGGACAATTAGAATATGGGATGTAGAAACTGGTGAGCCTGTGGGGGAACCATTCAGTGGCCACCAAGGTTCGGTTAACACTGTAGGATTCTCGCCAGATGGATCGCGAGTCGTCTCTGGCTCAGATGACCGTACAATTCGGCTGTGGGATGTAGATACTGGTCACCCTGTGGGAAAGCCACTTCTAAGTCACACTGACTGGATCTATGCTGTAGGATTCTCTCCAGATGGATCCCGGATCGTCTCTGGCTCGCTCGACTCCACTATTCAACTGTGGGACGTAGAGACTGGTCAAGCCGTAGGGGAGCCTCTCCGGGGTCATCTAGGCCAAGTTCTCACAGCCAAATTCTCTCCAGATGGATCAAAAATCGTCTCCGGCTCGTCCGATAACATGATTCGTTTGTGGGATGCAACCACCGGCCACTCCGTGGGTGAGCCACTCTGTGGTCATCGTGATTCGGTCAACGCTGTTGAATTCTCACCAGACGGGTCCAGAATTGTCTCTGGCTCGTCCGACTGGACAATTAGAATGTGGGATGTGGAGACGGGTCAGCCTGTTGGAGAACCAGTTCCAGGTCACGGAGGCTGGGTTCGGGGCGTTGGAATCTCGCCAGACGGATCGCGAATTGTCTCAGGATCGGACGACAAGACGATTCGATTGTGGGACGCGAGCACTGGTCAGCCTGTGGGAGAGCCGCTTCAAGGTCACGAAGAAGTGGTCTGGGCCGTTACATTCTCGCCAGATGGATCACGAATCGTCTCTGGCTCTCTCGACTCCACGGTTCGATTGTGGGATGTAGAAACTGGTGAACAGGTCGGCGGGCCGCTACTAGGTCCCCAAGATTCTGTATGGACCGTGCGATTCTCGCCGAACGGGTCACAAATCGTCGCAGGCTTTCAGGACAGTACGATTCAACTATGGGACGCAGACACTCGTGAGCCCATAGGAGAGCCACTTCGGGGTCACCGCAGCGCGGTCTGTGCCGTCGCATTCTCACCAGACGGGTCACTAATGGCCTCCGGCTCAGGCGATGAGACGATACGACTGTGGGATCTAGAAACCAGTAGAGCTGTGGGAGAACCTCTCAGAGGCCATCGAGACACGGTCTGTGCCGTCGCTTTCTCGCCAGATGGGTCACGAATCGCCTCCGGCTCGGAGGACTGGACAATTCGACTGTGGGATGTAGACACTGGTCAACCTTTGGGAGAGCCACGTCAAGGTCACCAAGGCGTGATTACCTCCATCGGATTTTCGCCAGACGGGACACGAGTCGTCTCTGGCTCGTACGACGAGGCAATTGGACTGTGGCATGTAGATTCTGGTGAACCCGTGGTAGAATTCCTTCGAGGTCACCAAGCCAGGGTAAATGGCGTTTCATTCCTGCCAGATGGGTTACGAGTTGTGTCTTGCTCAGGGGATGGAACGATCCGCCTCTGGGATGCGAGGCGAAGTGAGTATTATCTCTACTCCCAATTTTAGTTGGTTGCATGATGTTACCTAACGAGTCCCAATAGGTGACAATAACTCCAGTCAGCATGACGAAGAGTCTGAATCTTCGAGTCTCACAGGGGACCTTGGAGGGTACTACCTGTGGATCCGCATCCCTGGGTTCAAGCAATGCTCACTTTCGCATGATGGATGGGTGCACTCCTCCGGCAAACGTCTCTTCTGGGTACCTCCAGACAATCGACATGGACTATTACATCCCGACCTCCTCCTGACTATGCCGACGACGAGTTCATTCCGGGCAACCAAGATAGATTTTAGTCGTTTCCAATGTGGTTCTTCCTGGACCAACGTTCGAACAGACGCGAATGCCTAGATTTTCGAGTATCTATCACGAATGTACACCAGCTTTCCAATGTATACTATCCTTGGTATTAACAGTGCTTTTCTTTGGGAATCCCATCCACGACTTGAGTCTGCCTGCCGTATGACAAGGTCTAAGTCACAATATCTCTAATTCTGATTACTCTCAAATGTTTGATATTTGTGGCTGCGACACTCGGCAGACACAAAGCAACGCCTCTCAGTTTTGGCATCCGCCTCGTCGTCGCCACGTCCAGCGACCACGAAATTCGACGAAAATACTCGCGCACATACTCGGACTCTTACTATTCTCGCATTTGCTTGTTTACCTTCGTTTCTCTAATCCTTCTGGCGTGATTCTCCTGTTCCGCTGAATTCGAATTCTTCAGCAATTTGATCTGCACGCTCGTAACGGGAGTTGAACGTATTCTAGATCTATTCCCGTCATTTGTAGGCTCCAATGGCGTCTACAAACCCGGCTTCCAAGGAGCAAAAGGATCCCCGAACGGTCCATGATCTCGTCTCGCTCATCACATCGTCTACACCGCTCGGTTCAACGTCTACAAAGCCTATTACAATCTATCCCAACGACGACTCGCTGCTGTCGCTGCTCCATGCCCGCTTTCGTCACGACTTGCCTTTTACGCGCATTGGCTCGTCCGCTCTCGTCGCGGTGAATCCCAGCAAGCTGATCCCAGCGGATAATGAAGCCTCTATGCGCGAAATTGCAGAAAAGGCGTGGGACATGAGCGGCCGTTGGCGCAAGGATGGTGGCCTGCAGGCGCATGCGTATGAATTTGCGACGCGGATCTATCTTGCAAGCAGACGATGGCATCAACCTCAACTTGTCGTATTTCGGTGAGTAGCTGCTTTACCCTCTGTTGCCCACGAATCCCGGTGGCTCTGTCACCGCCAATCGGTCTGGCCATCCCTGTTGTTGTTTTGGGGGGGTACCCTCTTCTTCGGAACCCATCGCTGATGACAAGTATACTTTTACAGGGGAATCACAGGCTCCGGCAAGTCGCACACGTCAAGTCTCATCACACGCCAACTGCTTCACCTTTCCTCATCCACCTCGTTCACCTCCATCTCATCCACATCTGCACGAAAAGCCCAGAAAATTACATCTCAAATCAATGCCTTTAATACCCTCTTGTCGTCGTTTGGTCGATCAAAGACTCAGGCCAACCCAGACGCGAGCCGGTATTCTAGCTACACCGAACTCCATTTCTCCTATTCGACAAATGACCAAGGAGAGGCAAGTCCAGGCTCCGGTGTCATCGTTGGAGCAAAGATTCTCACTTGGGGAATCGACAAGTCGAGGCTGAGCCGCCTCCGACAAGACGAACGCACGTTCCACATCTTCTACCAACTCTTGTCCGGCCTGCCGTCGGCTCTACACGAGTCATTCGGCCTGGAAGATGCATCTGACTATGCGCTACTCGCGTCTTCGGGATGCTATCGTCTTCCGTCAGGTCCGTTTAGTGACGACTCGGCCCAGTTTGGTCTAGTCCAGGAAGCCATGAACATTCTTGGCTTCAAGGAGCGGCACCGAGAAAGTATATGGAGATTGCTTAGCGCGATGCTCACGCTCGGAAACATTGATTTCGACGAGCCACTGAGCAAGCGAGACGTACAGGCCGGATACATGGGTGGTGCCAACGGCCTTGGAGGAAACGTCGTTGATGGTCAAGAAGAAGTCCGCATCACCAACCCGTTGATGCTCGACCGAGCTGCGCGATTGCTTGGGATCACGCCCGACTCGCTGAGGGAGATTCTCACCGTGAAGAGCAGTTATGTTCGCAAGGAAGTCCTGAGCGTCTATCTCGAGGCTCAAGGTGCCAGGGCGCAACGAGATTCTCTCGTATCTGGTCTCTACACCCTTCTTTTCAGCTACATTGTCGAGACTGCGAATCACAAACTCAGTCCTGGTCTCACGCCGCCGGCATCTGGACGCTCATACACTCCCGCGCCCATTATCCTTCTGGATATTCCAGGCTTTACGACACGCGCATCTCAGGGAACCGGCACACTCATCTCTGCCGCCAGCGGAGGAAACGGGTTCCCAGAATTCGTTACCAATTTCCAAGACGAAATACTCCAGTCATTCCTTTTGCGTCACAACTTTGACGACGACGTACCGCCTTCATCCGATATTCTCCACGACGGCGTTCACCTCCCTACGATGACAATTATGGACAACCTCTCCGTCATTGAACTCTTGCGTGGTGCACCCGTCACTGGTGATCCGAGGAGTGTCATGGGCAAGCGCGTTGGAGGCGTGTTGGGTGTGATGAACAAGGCAGCGACAAGTGCGCGTAAAGGCAGCGTCGTTTCTGGAGAAGATATGGTACAAGAGCTCGTGGGTAGTTTTGGTGGGAGCCCCGGATTCATTCAGCCGACTGCGGATCCATTTGCGTCTACGGCCAGCTTTGGGTCGTCGGGTGCACCGCCGGCTTCTCGACGCTTTGCCAATTTTGGTATCAATCATTACTCTGGTCCGATTACGTATGGTGTTCATGATTGGGTGGAGAATGATGCGGATAATTGGGATGCTGGGTTTGTGCGCGCATTGCGTTCGAGTGGTGAAGGATTTGTCAAGAGGTATGTCGTACTTCTTGCAATGGCTCGTATACTAATCGTCCCCTTAGGCTCGTTTCTGGTCCCGGTATTGCGTCCGAGTCGCACGTCAACGATCCTAGCATTGTCGTTCGTGCCCAGGTCTCCATTAGGCCAATCCGCACTCCCACCTTGCTGGCTGGTTCCCAAGACGACGAGAAGGGTACGCAGATCATGCCAGAATTGGACTCATACTCACCGGGCTTAGATAAAGCATTTTCGTTGGATCCCAGCAAGGCGTATCCGATCACCACTCAGCAAAACTCGGTCTTGTCCTATCTTCTTTCTCAGCTCGAGCGATCAGCCGCTCGTGTCTGGACTGCTTTATGCATCCGACCAAACGACTCCGGCTTGAGCAACAGCTTTGACAAGCGACGTGTGCGAGCGCAGGTGCGTTTCAATGATTTTGATGTATGTATCTAACGATGGTTTAGCTGCAAAGTCTGGGGCTCGCAGATCTCGTGGGACGCAAGCAAAACGTTTGGGTCCATGGCTATACCACCCAGGAGTTCCTTCATGCCGTCGGAATGCACTCTGGAAGCATCGTCGGTGGTCCCGAGGATGGCATCCGCGCCTTTGCAAGTGGCGAACGATGGGTTGAGGGTGTCGATTTCGTCTTTGGCAAGACCAAAGTTTGGGTCAACTGGAATGCCTGGCGAGATGTCGACGACCGTGCGCGAGTTACGGAAGAGGGCATGCGCGCTACTTCACCCTCGAGGGCCCATGGAGATGATGACGATGATATGAGCGCAGAAGGTGGTGCTCCGAGCGAATTGCATGGGTGGGGTCGAGGCACGGTTGGACGACGCAGTATCGGAAGCATGGCGTTTGGAGCTTCGCATGAAGATCTGCTCTATGGTGGAGGCGGACTTCTTTCAGCCGATCCGACGCAAAACTTCAACGTCGAGGGAGGCAACAATTACAACCCTGGATGGAACGGCTCCAACGAGTGGGATAAAGGGAGTGCCGATGGGTATACGCCTCCAGCGGCTGACAAGAAGAATAAGGGTGCCATCGAAATGTCGCAGCCCGCGGGTAAGCATGGCTATGCAAACTTGCCTGGTGGGGATGGCTCGACTGCTGCATTGGCTACCAAGGAAAAGGGCAAGATGGCCTCCAAGCCTGTCGAGGTGATCCCAACGACGCGTGCTCGTCGGTGGTGGGTCCGCTTTGTGTGGATGTGCACATGGTGGATACCATCCTTCTTGCTCTCCTGGGTTGGCGGCATGAAGCGCTCGGATATTCGCATGGCGTGGCGCGAAAAGGTGACGATTTGCATGCTCATCTTTGGGCTATGCGCGTCGATCATCTTCTATGTCATCTTTTTCGGCAAGCTGCTTTGTCCGGAATTCGACCACGCCTGGGATGCCAATGATCTCAAGGGTCACGACAGCGAGGACAACTTTTGGGTGTCTATCGCTGGAAGTGTCTATGATATCACCAACTTTATCCAGGGTGATCACTCTGTCCCTGGTCGACCCATGACCCCGGACGTCACAATGCCCTATGCCGGTACCGACCTCACGACGTATTTCCCTCCACCATTGGACTTGGCTTGTGCTGGTCTCGTCACGAGCCATTTGCTCGAGATGCGCTGGGCTAATGCGACTTCTGCACCGATCCCCGCGTATGCTATCCACACTAGCGGTGCTCTCCAAACCCTAGAGGTAAGCCGACGGAATGTTATATCTCACAAGTGCTAACGACTCATAGGGAACAAGACTCACTAGTCCGACGTGGTATACGGACCGATTTCTTCCAAAGATGAAGCAATTCTACAAGGGCCCACTCGTCTGGGGACCCAAGTTGATCCATTCTGCTGTGAATGATGGACGGTATGATCCAATAGGGTTTTCTGGGTTTCCCAACTGATGGATGGACAGCTTTGTCGCCATTATTGACCAAAAGTTGTACGACTTGTCCGACTATCTCCAGACGTACGAGGACACCCATGGCCAAGGTGGATACGACTATCTAAACTCGGACATTGTCGCACTCTTCAAGCAGCAAGTCGGTCAAGATATCACAAAGAATGTCAAAGCTATTTTGGACGGATTGGATGACCATCAACGAGCGGCCAACAAAGCGTGCCTCAATAACCGCTTCTACATTGGCCGTACCGACTTCCGCAAGGATGCCAGATGCACAGTTCAAGGCTACCTTCTCGTCACCTTCTCTGCCATCATCGCGGTCACCATTCTGATCAAGTGTGAGTCCATATGGGTGAGTAGTGGTGGTTATCACGCTAACTTCCCTTTTAGTCCTTGCCGCTTTGCAACTCACGTCGAAGCGCACGCCAGAACTGCTGGACAAGTTTATCATCTGCCAAGTCCCTTGCTACACCGAAGGAGAAGAATCTCTTCGCCGAACCATTGATTCGCTTGCTGGTCTCAAGTATGACGACAAGCGCAAGCTTTTGTTCATCATATGCGACGGGAATATCGTCGGTTCTGGTAACGATCGACCGACGCCTCGTATCGTGCTCGATATTCTTGGTGTAGATCCAAGTCTGGACCCGGAGCCTCTCATGTTCAGGAGTATCGGTGAGGGGTCCAAGCAGCTCAACTATGGCAAGGTCTACTCTGGTCTCTACGAGTTTGAAGGTCACGTCGTCCCGTACGTTTCTTTTGGGTTCTCTGAATACGATAGCTTACAACTCTTAGATACATGGTCGTCGTCAAAGTCGGAAAGCCCAGCGAACGTCAGCGTCCGGGCAATCGTGGCAAGCGAGACTCTCAAATCCTTCTTCTCCACTACCTCAACCGCGTCCACTTTGATGCTCCCATGTATCCGCTCGAGCTGGAAATGTATCACCAGATGCACAACATCATCGGTATCGACCCGGCGTTCTACGAGTACATTTTCATGGTCGACGCCGATACGACAGTGACGCCCGATTCGCTCAATCGACTAGTTGCCGTGACCTCGGATGACTCCAAGGTTATTGCCGTCTGTGGAGAGACCAAACTCGACAATGAGGACGGCTCTTGGTGGACAATGATCCAAGTGTACGAATACTACATTTCGCACCACCTCGCCAAGGCCTTTGAGTCTCTCTTCGGCTCTGTCACTTGTTTGCCAGGATGTTTCTCCATGTACCGTATCCGAACGGCAGACAAGGGACGACCGCTTATCATTTCCAACCGCATCATCGACGAATATTCAGAGTGCAATGTCGATACTTTGCACAAGAAGAATCTCCTTCAGCTCGGAGAGGATCGATATCTCACGACGATTATGATGAAGCACTTCCCGCTGTTCAAGATGAAGTTTACGCCAGACGCCATTGCTCATACAGTCGCTCCTGACCGCTGGAGTGTGCTGCTCTCTCAGCGTCGTCGATGGATCAACTCGACTATTCACAACCTTCTCGAGCTGATTGGTCTTGGCGAACTCTGTGGCTTCTGCTGCTTCTCGATGCGTTTCATCGTGTTTGTTGATCTGCTCGGTACTTTGGTACGTCGGCTTCCTGGCGATTTTCGTTTGCTAATGGCCTGCAGATCCTGCCCGCCACTGCAGTCTATTTGGTCTACCTCATTGTGGTTGTCGCGACGAAACAGGCGCCTATTCCCATCATCTCACTCGCGATGATTGGTGCCGTCTACGGTCTGCAAGCGGTCATCTTCCTTCTCAAGCGCGAGTTTATGCTCATTGGCTGGATGATCATTTACATTCTTGCGTACGTATAATACGGTTCAGGGACGTAGGCGCTCACAATGGCGCAGATATCCCGTCTATTCGTTCTTCTTGCCCATCTACTCGTTCTGGAGCATGGACGACTTTAGCTGGGGTAACACACGTATCGTTGTCGGAGAAGGAAAGGACAAGAAGGTCATTCTTCAAGACGACGAAGGATTCGATGAAAGCGTTATTCCACTCAAGAAGTTTAGCGGTAAGTAGAACCAATGATGGAGAGTAATTCTCTGACGACGAGTGCAGAGTACCAAGCGGAAGCGATCGAATTTGATGAACACAAATCGGTTTCTGGCGGATCACGCCCCGAATCGCGTGCTCGTTCGGTGGCTCCGCCATACCAATCCCACTCACGTCCCGGATCCCGCGCCGCATCGCCAAGTCCAGGCGGGGACTATTATCGCGACACGAATGTGATGCACAACAGCTCGTCGAACCCGAATCTGCGCCTGGCTGCACAATCGCATCGTAGTGCGTCGTCGATGGGCATGCCTCAACTCCCATCCATGCCATTCAGCGGACCTGCGGCGTCGGAGCAAGGACACATGCGGACGGGCAGCTTTGGTGCCATGAGCATGGGCACGATGCCTATGCCGATGGCAGGCTTTGGTATGATGGGTGGACCGGGTGAATTTGGAACACTTCCGTACGCTGGATCGGCCTATGCCGGTAGTGCATACGGTGGAACGGGTCCAGCGGCGCCCAGGAACAGCGTCATGACCAACTTGAACATGTTTGGAACGGGTACGAGCGGCGGGTTTGGGGCGACAATGCCGGGTGGGGGCGGAGGACCTCCGTCGTCTTTCCCCTCGGCGTTTGGACAACAACAGCGACCCATGTCGACGTTTAGTATGGCGACGAGCATCAATCCGCTCATGAGTGCGCCTAGCCAGAATCCCAACCCGACGGATGAAGAGTTGCTTAGCGTGCTCAGAATGTATTTGAGCACGCAGGATCTGATGACTGTCACGAAAAAGTGGGTTTCTTGGTCCTCTATGAAAGACGTCTGCTGACAAATTTCTGGTAGAACTGCGCGCGAGGCAGTCATGGCCCGCTTCCCGAAGGCAGACTTGTCCTCGAAGAAGGACTTTTTGAATCAATCCATCGAAAAGATTCTATCGGACGCATGATGGAGTCGCGTTTTGTCGATTGGTTGGACACTCGTTATTCGATATGGACACATAGTTCTTCTAGACTTTTCCTAACATTTATTGCTGCTAACATTCTATGCTACCCTTGCGCTGTCGTGGATGCGACGTGATAATAGAACTTTGGTCTTGGTCGAGAGGCACATACAGAGTATCTGCTGCGGAGTCCGTTATCGGCATGACGTTGGTGTGAGGCTGGGCGTGGCTACAGAGTCTATTGAGGCATTATGGCGTAACCATACCCCGTCTCTAATTGCGCGTGCGTTCCCTCTCTGCCCAGCACTCCGTTGCTGCTTGTCGCCGCCCACATTCGACTCGTTGGTCTCTCCCAGTCACGATGAAGGTCTCTGCAATCCTTGGATTCATCTGCGTGTCTGTTCTGGGTGCTCTAGCGCAGAATGTCGACATCAACGTCGTCGGCGCGTCGAGCGTTGCAGCTGGTGGCCCCGACATCAACGTCGTTGGAGCGACGAGTGTACCGGCGAGTGCTAGTGCTGCTGTGGGAGTTGTACCAGATGTTAGTGTCGTCGGTGGACACTCCATCGCTGCTACCAACACTGTCAACGGCGCGCCAGAGGTCAGCGTTATTGGCTCATGGACGATGAGTGATGCAGCGTACGTAATTTCTATGTTATCAGAAGTGTGTTCCAGGCTTATCGCTCCTCTTGTGATTGTTTATAGCTCGCCCACTCAGACAGTCTGCTACCAGGTGGTCGAGAGCGGTGGCGCGTCGTCTACAGTTAGCGCGCAGTAAGATCTACTTGTATAGCCTTGAGATTGAGAATTTACAATACACACAGGCCAACTATCGTGAATGGACTCGTCCCCGCTGGATACTCTTGCTACCAAGTCTACTCTCAGGGCGGTGGAACCATGTGGTCGCCTTTGTAAGAGACACAGTACGCATAATGGCGCATCTAATACTACTATAGGGCACAAGCCGCGCCGAATTCGCCCAACAAAGCTATCACCATTGCCTTGCCCATCGTCGTCTCCCTCGTTGGCTTGCTTGCACTTGTGGGGGTATGTATCATTTTCCTAGGTGCACTAAACCCGTCTGATCTTATACTAGGCGTTCTTTACCTACAAGCGCTACCGCGCTCGTCGTGCTGCTGCTGCCGACAAGCACGCGTGGGTGAATCGTCCTGGTGGATGGGCAAAGGATGGTGCAAACGCAGAGACGGCGTCTACAGCCAAATACTAGATCAACGATGGACAAAGGAAGAGGGACGATCAACGCAATGTTTCAGATTGGCCGTAGCAAGTGTACACTATCGAACAGTGATCCGCTTTTATCCGCGCATATTGAGGGCTGCTTGATGTGAATTCTTACGACCATGCTCGGGCGATAATCATGAGTGTTCTTGGCTCGGAGAATACGAATACGGCTCTCTAGTAGAACTGCGTACAGCAAAGAACTAGCACGATTTTTGAATGCGTCTCGGAAGAATGTAGAATTGAGTTCAGCCATGGGAAGACTCTGTGCATGATACGGACTGGTTCGCCATAATAGATTGCAACCTATGAGGATGTTACACGTCGGTTCGTTCAATCCTGCACATGCATTGTTGTTGAACGACCATATTTGCGTGGCGAGATGATCGCAGCCGCGCGTTTCGCCCAAAAGTGGATGCGCAGCGTCGGATTCTCTTGTCAGTAGGACGGGCCTATCAAGACTATACACGAATAAATGTCTTTTGATTCGTTATGTCTATTAATCGAGCATAGACCTCCGTAGCGTCTTCTCCCTTTTCTCCCTTTTTGCATCTTGCGCCTCCCCACGTCCGTCTTTTGGCCCCCAGTTGCGATGAAAATCTTTCATATCGTCGAATTTGCGTGCATTGCGCTCGTGGGTCTATGGCGCAGAGTCTAGATACTTCCCTCGAAGGCAGTTTGAGTGGGGTGGCGGACATCCAGGCCATGGGCCAGCGTCCTTTCCCTCCTCCAACGATTATAACTGAGACATCGCCTTGCCCTACATCCAGCACATCCACTATGAGGCCTCAGCCCGTTGGAACGGGATGTTTCCCTAGCCCTCCGTTCGTTTCATAATTTCCTGTGAATTCGAAAGCTTGGCCGCTGATGGTGGCGCGTGCGGCATTATTCTCAGGCCACCGTACAGGTACTTCACTCTGGTTATGGTCGTCGTCATCTCCGTCGTCGGAGTGATTGTGATTGTACGAGTATGTATCCTTGTACAAGTGGCGCTACACTGTATTGAATTTAATCTAGGCATTCCTTTGCTACAAGCGTTATCAAGCTCGCAGCGTGGCTGCTGCCGACAAACATGCATGGGTGAACCGCCCAGCTGGATGGGCAAACGATGGCGGGAACGCAGAAGCCGCTGTTGCCCCTCAGAGGTAGACAATGGTTACCACAAAAAGACAGAGGAGTTATGGTTTGTTGATCGAATCGTTTCATAGCGTTTGTACACTGTCGAGATGGCGCCTTCTTTATCTTGAGAGGGTTTGACCTGTTTAAACTCTGTTCCCTAAGAGGAACCTATCATATAATGGAAGCTTGCTCCATTTCATCCTTTCCCTCGTGTAGGATCTATATCTCGGCTTTTTGGCTAATGACCTGGTCATTGACACCCACCGCAGTACGCGCATCGGACCTATCAGGACTCTATTTGAGATACTACAGCACACGAAGAAACAATATTCTGTTGAAACAACAAAGAGATTGATATATGTTCTTGCGGTCATGCTCAGGCAACAACGGCGAGCACTTCACCCATACTCTAATGATCAATAATGTCCATAGAGAAGTGTTTCTAACGCAGGTGGCCGTTATTGCCACGAAACTGTGCTTATTGGCTCAGAAGAACATCTACGCCGGCGCCGGTCCCTGGATGCCCACGTGCAAAACAACGACATGGTGCGGTTCTAGATTGATATCTTGACTTGAAGAGGCAACTTGAATCGATTCATTACAAAGTCTTCGTTCTGCGGATGTAAAGGATATAAGGGACGCGGTTAAGTCAGTTTGTTCCTCACCGATAAGGCATTGTTGCTTAGCGCCTATCTTTATCTGGCTGTACGGATATAGATGGTGCTTCGCCGACAAGCGATTGCACCCCGTCGGATCAGGACTACGGGCCTATCAAGACTATAGCCGGAGGACTCTGGCACGAGCCACTATGTCCGCTAATCGACCATAGCCTTTCATATGCCATGGCGCTTTTATAGTTCGCTCCCCTTGTCGCAGCTTGCACCAATCCAACATCCGCCTATTGGTCTCTAGTTGCGATGAAACTTTTTCCAGTCGTCAGGTTCGTGCGCCTTGCTGTTATCGGCTCTCTTGCGTGGGGGCAGTGGGTACTCATGTCAGGGGCAGCTTGACTACTATAGCGGATATCCAGGTCGTGGGTGAGCATTCTGTCTCTGCTACGACGGTTACACCCAATCCGTCACCTCCCATCTCGACGGTTATGCCATATCCCTCGCCTCCCGCTCCAACGGTTTACCCTGATCCGTACGTGTTATGAATTTTCTGTAAATTTGGAATAGTGAGCGCTGATGGCAGTTCTTGTGACAAATTTTCAGAACACCTCGTGGATCTATTACTATAGTTATAGCCATTGTTATTTCCATCGTTGGAGGGGTTGTGCTTGCGGGAGTATGTACCACTGCCACGTTAAACCACATTAAAGGTGCTCTAGGCGTTCTTTACCTACAAGTGTTACAGAACCCGCCGTGTTGCTGCTACTGATAAGCATGCATGGGTGAACCGCCCAGGCGGGTGGGCAAAGGATGGCGGAGATGCAGAAACTGCTCCTGCCACTCACGTCTAGATGAACGATGGACACGTAAAGAGTTGATCAGAGTTGTGAACCTATTCTGGTCGTAGCATATGTGCTGTGTCGAAATAGCACGTCACCTTGAGAACATTGGCCCGGTCGACTCTATCCTGTGGGAGGAGCTTGGAGCATAATGAAGTTCTGCTTCGCCTTATTTTCCCTGGACTATCAGATAGTAATGAATAGACGCTTTGCCTTTTGGCCTGGCCATAGATTGACACCTTGTCGGGAGAGATCTGGACCTTCCGCGGTACATGCATCGGGCACGTCAAGATGATACCCGGGGTACAAATAAGTCACTGCGTCCGTTCATTGAAGGCAACCTTCTGTGTGTGGCGCTTAGCCGTCCTCGCCTCGCCGCTGCTTACCACCCAACCGTTCCCCAATTGTGATGATGCTATTTCCGGTCATCGGGTCCATCTTTTCTACATGTTTTACGTTCGTTCGTACGAGATTGTTCTGCTCGCTGGGCCACCGTCCTCGTATTTTGCTAAAGTGACTGATAATGATTCCCTATGTTTACGTTTGCTTCGTCATGAATGTGCCTTAATCGAAGCTGATCCTGCCAAGGTAAGGGGTATCTGATATTTATTCGGTATATTGCCCATCTACGAACGCCGCGAGAGTGTCAATACTGTACAATGGCGAAAGCCACTATGTCCGTTGGTTGAGCATAGCCGCACGTTGCGTATATATAGTCTCGTGTTCACTTCTGTTTGGCTTCTCGGCCCAACCCACATCCACTCGTTGGTTTCCAGTCGCGATGAAGCTCTCTCCGATCCTCGGATTCGTGTTTTTTTCAGCTCTTGATGCTCTTGCGCAGGGTGGAGATGGACTCGCGGGTACGGTAGTGCCCACGTCAACCATCCAACCGTCCACGAGGTCGCTACTAGACACTGCGGTCGGCACTGCAGTCCCTGTAGCGTCGTCAGGCGACAATCAGTACGAAAATGCTATGACTTTGAGATCTCTGGGTGCTCATTACTCCTCTTTGGCTGCTATCTTATAGGAATAGTGATGGGGACAAGAAGGTGATTATAGCCTTGTCCATTCTTGTCTCCTTCCTCGGATTACTCGTGCTCGTGGGAGTATGTCTTTCCCCCCCCCCAGTCGTATACTACCATTCTGATATTTCTCTAGGCATTCTTCATCTACAAGCGCTATAAAGCCCGTCGCGCTGCTGCTGCTGTCCCCAATAATCAGTCTGCGTGGGTGAACCGCCCCGAGGGATGGGCAAGAGACGACGGGGACGCAGAGACAGTTGTTGCTCCCCCTCAACAGGCATGGGAAGCTCCTTTGATTGATGAGAAGAAGAAGGTGGGGAAGTAAGGATCCACCCAATCGGCCGCGGACAAAGGGAGAGGGAGACGCAATCAATGTTGTGCTTGAATGAGGTCGTATATCTGCTTTGACCGGACAATCACTCTTTATTATTCTTGCATCTTAGAGAGCCCTCCCCTGAGCTGGTTCAAGCAATGAACTCTTGTAAGCAGGGACCGAAGCCGAGGCCTACTGGTTCGAGTCTGGAGATGATTAGGCAAGGAGCTTGAGTGACAGTTGGCCATGGGATCCAAGCGGACAGAGGACATCCAGTACCGGTCAGAACGTCAGAAATTACAGAATTGGCGTTTATTCGATCAGGTTTGCAAGTGCATACATCCCACCTCCAACCATTGTCTCTGTTTTAGACAAGTTCCATGAAGTCATCTCGGCTCTGCGGAACGTTCATATTCAGCCAACCATTCCCGCACACGCGACGCAGTAGCCCGAGAGGAAGAACTACGACACCAACAGGACTCCAATACACCTCATAGTATATTTATACTGTCTCATAAGACAAGGCCGCAGCACTACCGAGGAGGCAGAGCCTCTGAACTTGGAACCCGGTGGCCTCCCGTGGCCTACTTGCAAGTGGAACACCGCAGCGAAGTTCATAAGAATTTTACTCTGGTACTTGCATTCGTGGTGTGTATACTGTACGACTAAGTAGATGAAATAATTGGTATCAGCGCTGGGGTTTTACAAGCGGCGAATACACTGTAGCAGGGGAGCTAAGTAGAGATAGGGCACCTCGCATCGGATGCATCCAACCATGTGGATAAGATGTTGTACCGGTAAATCCGGCATCCCCGAAGACGCCACGAACGGGATCAGTAGAAATCGAACTGTGTGTAGATGAGACCTATGACAAGTGATGAGAGGGTGGTGTCATTTCAATATATCAGTGGTCGCTTGGGCCGTGGCATCGGTCGGACGGTTCGAGTTTGAGGGAAAACGCGCTAGCGATTTCAGCCAATATGAAAAAAGGCGAAGATTAAAGTCTGACAGTTAGTTCTCGACTTCTACTGCGTTGGGTGAGCGCTCCATCGACAGCTGGTGTTTGATGGTGGGGCAAATTATATCGGAATCCAAGATGTACGAATTGCATTCGTTGGGCTTGAGGGCTCCTAAAATTTGACTTTATGTGTGTGGCTACATGGTCACTTGGAAGCCAAGTCGACGTTGGGTCCAGATGGTCGGATCCCCATCTTCGACCTGCCCATCGCGTCCGCAATCCCTTAGAGGTTGTGCCTCGACCCTCAAAGTTTTGGATACATCATTTCTACTTCGACTCGATATCACCTTACTGGACCTTGAGTGTCGTCTCGATGTGGCACATGTATTATGCCACCAGAATGTGCTCAGATTGAGGATAGAAGGTTATAATTTACACTATTTCACCTTCGAGACTCGGTCCAGGCTAGAGGCTTGCTTTCTCACTCTTTTTCGGCGGTGCTGCTCGCCATCTTCGTACTCGCTATCCTCGTCTACTGCCTTTCTCTTCCTCACCATTCCCTTAGCAACATAGTGCTGCTTGATTCGCTTCCCTGTAGAGAGAGATCAGCTCAGATTCCGCTCGTGAACGCCATTCCAAGGACTTACCGAGTCGATCCTCTTGGTCCTGCCTTCGGGCGCGCGGGATACCAAGGTGTGCCTCGAGGATGTGTCGCCGGTAGGAATCATTCGTTCCCACGGATCTGCCACAAGGCTCGTGGTCCGTCTCCACCCACCTGGCGATCCCCTCACCCGCGACTCGCCCACGTACCGCGCACTGGTACCTCCCTTTCTCATCGACCGTCGCTGCCTGCTCAGTTAGGAAAAACACCTTGTCAAATGCCGCGGTTTCAAGTTTTCCTTCGGTCTGATGAAGGTATTCAAGGATTTCAATCGGGCAGGCATAGCCCATCGAGTCCTTTTCTGTTGATTATTAGTCAGAGAATCTTGTCTAAAGGACATTACAAACCAAAATTGACGTCGTCTGCCTTCACAGTTTTACGCGATTTGCGAGGCCGAGCCTTCTTGCCTGGGTGGGAACGTCAAAAGGCAGCGAGGACGATGCAATTTGGGACAAACCTTTGTCGGCGGAGGGGTTCTCGACGACTTTGTCACGGCCTTCCGAACTAGCAGTGCCGTGACTCTCGTTGTTTAGTATCTGTCCGCCGGCAGGACGATCCCCACCGGCGGAAGTCGAAGCGGATGATGGGGCCGCTTCTGTGTCAGACTTCGACGCGCGCCCCGTATCCGGGGACGTGTCACTGTCATGGACCAAAAGTTGAATGGGTCTATGGCGATGATCAATACTGATCAGACCTTTCATGCAAGGATGCGTACCTATTCTCATCATCCTCAAACTCGATCTCAGCATCCCATTCTACTCCAACGGGTCCTGTATCGTCATCAGACTCGGGTGGGTCTCCTCCAAACGACGACTGTCTGTCCGAACGACCGTCCAAGTCGTTCGAACACACCGAAGTCGCATAGAGCTCCGATGATGCCGTGCTCGTCGCCCTGTCATCCAACCTAACACAGAAAGTTAGCAGATGTCCGCGATGTTGACATAGTACGAACAGCAGATCTGAATCTCCGGGAAAGGCCAGATGAGTTTTCAAGCTGGTTGCGAAAGGCGTCAGCGCATCTCAAGGTCCGTGTTATTTAGCTCACTACTTTTCCCAGTCACTCCCGTTCCACAGGATAAAGTCAGGGAACACGTCCTCGTCAAAGGTTTCATCGGTAGGATTCCTCTGCGACTCTCCAATGATGTCCTCATAGACACTGTAGGTCTCCATGTGTGATGTATGCGCCGATACCGGTCTTGTACACGCGTTGGTGGGCAACGGATGGGCAACGCGTCGTGGGGCGAGGACAAGAAGTGTGGCCGGCCAGAGGTGCGTCGTAGCCTCTTTATAGTAACGCGCTAAAGCGGGGTTTGAACTCGTTTTGCGAGACACGTGATCCAAGCCACCTGCTGGGTCGCGCCGATTGCCTGATCCCCTGACCTGGAGGTACCTAGCTCATGTCGGATGGATGCTATCTACCTCTCAGAGGTTTAGCTGCTCAGATAGGTGCAGATCAAGGCAATTTTGTGGGCTGGTCGCCCTAGGCTCCGGATGTGGCTCAACTCGTCATTTCCACCACGTCGGGGTGCAGACGGAAACTCTCTCTGAATGGTGTGTAGCTCTATCTAGAGGCATTTATATCTGCATTGGACCCGTTTGCGTGTGCTCATGTTGCCTTTCGTGAGCGTGCACGATTGTTCACTCGTGCTTGTTGGTCGCTGACCGAAAGAAACCTGGCAGAACCTGGTGCAGATGCTGTATTTCTGCTTTATATCGCATAATATGACGATAAAACCGCGTAATCTCAGTCTGACAGCTGTTTGCACAAAGGATCCCATTCTGCCACATTTTTGGAGTCGGCGCTCGCTTTCTGACGCCGCGAACTCCTATTGATCTGTTTTCACTCTCCTTTCACTTCTGACCTCTTCTCATAGTCTCACACGAATGTTTTTCGACGTTCTGACCAGCGAACCATGCTCGTGTTCTTCTCGCGTCGCTGTTTTCCGATTTTCCCTGTGTTTTCCGGTCTATAATCATACCCAATCTATGCTAGTGTCCTCTTTGAGAGTTCTTTGTCGCTGGGGAGGTGTATTATCTACCCCAGACATAGTTCTCTATAAAGGAGAAGTTCAGTATACGCGATATAGCAAATTCTATAGCAGCTCTTATAAAATTTCGATTTAATTCCGAAGGCTCTTTACATCGAAGATGCTTGGTTGCTCGTGTCGGTCCCAAGAAACACGACGTGTTAACTAAGGTCTATGACTGAGTCTATTGTACGCTCGTGATATTAGTCTTGTATACTTTGTCGATATTCAAGCGAAGTCGAAGGAGAACCATGGCAATCAAACGTGTTGCGAGTATTTGAGCGGAGTTCTAAAGCGCGTCAAGCGCGTTAAGAATGAGTACTGGTGGACTATGAGGTTTCTATGGCACAAAAATTCACATATAGATATGTGAGACATATGTTGCTCATCAGAATGGGCCTTCATTCCTGCTAATGTGTCTCTAGAAGCTGCTCGCTCCCATCCAATGATCTAACTCGAGTCAGCCATCAGTTTCCCGACGAGAAATTCAATTTCTCGACTTCCTTACTGGAGTCATATTCCGCAAAACCCGAAAGCAGTAGACTCAAACGGTACATCCTTGTACATATCAGGTGCCTCCGGCGCTCCAGTGTGGCCAAAATGAATTCAAACGTCGAGATATGAGCGCATTATGGTCTTTCTACACCTTGAACATTCCGAACAGAACACCCGTTGACACTTTTGGTACTTATTAGGGATATCGTGAGAGTTTGCAGTCAGAGAGAGACGAGAGACTCAAATAGCTTCATATATGACTCTCTTTACGTCCATTTATCCGCGGCTAGAGACAAATGGGTTGCCTAGATATAGAAGCTAGTGCCATTTAGAGAAGGAAAGACAGAATCCACAACTCCAATATTTGGTTTCAGTGCTCGAATTTACTGACAATGTAACTCTCATCCGAGTAATGTGCCGTCGCGAGGCGTGCTCGCCGTGCAGGTGGGACACAGCATCTCGACGAGTACAAACACGTTGCGCAGCTTGAACTCAGTCGATCAAGTGCATCATGCCATTCATAGCCATCTGTGAAGGTGGGAAGCAAAGTTGCAAACATATGACGATGCGGTCCAGCGGTCACCTACCGTCAGCCATCAAGGGTACGCCTCGTCACCACACATAGACTTACTCTAGTTTATTGTTCTCGCGCTGTGCGCGTGATTGTTTGCAACATTCTCATAGCTGGGCTCAGAGCAAAGCCCATAAAAGCCGTCGTATTCCAAGAGAGAACATCATTCGATTGGCCAGGTGCCTTGCTCTACCTTTCCGTACTCCATCTTCTTTCCTTCAACGGCCCGGTGCCTATTTTGTGAGTCGTAGATGGAAGCCAATCTACGGTGCTAATGTTTTCAGACCATCATAATGAAGAGCTTCGTCAACCTTGGCTTCGTCCTCATCGCGGCTCTTACCGTTGCCGCTGCCCCTGTTCCAACAAACTATGAGCGATCGGTTTCCGGCTCGTCCCAAGGCTCTTAAAACCCTGTGCTACACGCTAGATCAGATACAAACGGAGGAACGGGAGGGCAACAGCCAGCCAACAACAGTCACGTCCAACAAAGCCAAGCTCAGGCCACCCAGCACAATCAGCCAGCTACAAATGCCCAAAATCATCCCCCTCAACCAGTTCCAGCTGCTCAGGTCCAGCCGATTCAGGCACATCATAATAATGGCGTTCGAAGGCTGTCGAGATGGTCTGAAAGTAGTTCCGATGCGGGTCACAGCAACGCGCATGGGGAGTCAAAATCGGATCAGGGACACGCACGCGAGCCTTCAGCGAAGGGCTCCAAACCAAGAAACAGCATACGTCGCTAGAACCCTCCCATGGTAAATGAGGTGGAGCCTGTATGGGGAAAGCTAGCGATTTAGATATAGATATATGTTTCTGGACGGCGCACCCAAGGAAACTACGTAGAAATCTAGTGAGCCACCATGAATAGAAGCCTTGATGCAGAGAATGATTCCAAACCCGAACTGCTTGCTGCCGGCAACATGTTATTATCGGATTTCAAATGTACGATAGAACGCGGGAATCCAAAAGAACGATTGGTGGTGGTCGAGTCCTATGTTGTCTCTGACCTCTGACCACCACCACAACATGGTCGCTTCGGAGTTTGGCCTGTGCTGCGGAAAAAGACTGGGCTATGCACAAGCTTTTACTATCCGATAATCTCGCTACCGAGAAGAGGACGGACCGCCTGATGCCGCCCTCAGGCCCCTTCCACAGATTCCTAGAGGACGGTTGGGATCACACGCATATAACTGATAGCTCTACGCGGATCAAATAGCAACGGAGTGTCATTTGGCGGGCCGACGCACGCGAGGAAGATCCCTGCTAATGTTACGGAATCACCGATGCATCGTCAGTCCCAAGAATGCTTCTTGGAGGCCGGTATCAATGTCTCAGACCTTTCTTACTTGACTACTGCCTCGGATTACCCCCGTCCCTGGTCAGTTGCGAGAGTTCATAGCTAGCAACCACCTTGTATCTAGCCTCACGTACTCCCTTGCTGCTATGGTTCAGAAGAGGCGAGTACTCGTGAATCCTATACCTAATCCCTTGGCAGTGTTACCGAACCAGTACTAAGCGTTTCTCACGACAAGCATATTTCTCGCATCTCTCGTTACATCCTATCGGAAGGCAACTAGGACGCGACAAGAGGCCGACCAGATCAAAAGGAAGCCGTCGCTGCGCGCGTTACCCCGCATCTTAGCCGAGGCTGGCCAAGCCAGGGTCCCTCTCACATGAACAATTATGCCACTTTCCCCGGTTAGTTGGCCACTTCGGTATAATTCATCCATTTCAGCCCCACCACCAACGCTTCTCACGTCGTCCAACGGCCCGCCTATTCAGTAGTTACCATCTCCTTGATGAATTCAGCGGTCCGCTAATAGTCGAGAAGAGAAATTTTCACATATTTATAGCGACAGACACTGTCCTTGGTTCTAACATTGGCTCGCAATTCCCAGTTTACCCACTCGCTATCTTTGGATATGTCTCGAACGCTCGCTGCTCTTGCTATTCTTGCGCCTCTTCTTGTAAAGGCCGCAGTGGTGCGCCCTATTTTGATCGGCGGGTGTTGCTATACCTGACTGACCCGTCCTTCCTAGCCACTCTACGGTTAGACTACTTATCAGATCATACAACATCTGTATACTAACTCTATGGATAGGCCAGTGTGGTGGCTCCGGCTATACCGGTGAGACCACTTGCGTCTCTGGCGCGACCTGCGTTTACTCGAGTAAGCTGGCCCTTAGAGCGTCGAGGAATTGAATATTCACACTCGATAGATGAATGGTATTCGCAATGTCTCACATCCAGCTCCTCAGTAAAGGCCACTTCGTCGACTAAGACGTCTTCTTCGACGAAGAGTACCAGCACGACAAAGTCGAGCAGCACCAAAACATCCAGCAGCAGCACCAAAACGTCGTCTACCAAGAGCGCGACTGCTGTCGTCACCCCGACCGCCATCACCTCGACGCTCCCCGCCTCGTCGGGCTACGTCGCACTCCCAACTGCCTCTGTCATCTCGGGCTCATTTGATGGTGGCATGAAGCGCTTCGATCGTGCTGGCTCCTGTATGTATCCTCTCACTTTGGTCTCACATACTAACTTCGCGTAGCGGGTGCATGCCAAGGTCAATCAGAGACAGGTGAAGCAGATGCCGTGTTCATTCTCGAATCTGGAGCAACTATCTCCAACGTGATCATTGGTGCTGACCAGGCTGAGGGTATCGTGAGTGCTCTGTTTATACACATTTCTCTTACTGATATTGTAATTGTTAGCACTGTCGTGGACCATGTAAGCTCGTCAATATTTGGTGGCAAGACGTATGCGAGGATGCTGCTACCTTCAAGCAGACCGGCTCCGGTGACGTTTCGTATATTATCGGTGGTGGTGCTTTCCACGCACAGGACAAGATGTGAGTTCTTGCTCATTCTGTTAAGATCTTCTGATAACAATGGCCTATTCCAGCTTCCAACACAATGGTGCCGGAACTGTCTCCATCTCCAACTTCTATGCGAGCGACTTTGGCAAACTCTACCGCGCGTGCGGCAACTGTGACAAGTCTTATGAGCGCCACGTTATTGTAAACAACGCCAAGCTTGATAGCGGCAGCGCTGGTGTTGGTATCAATACCAACTTTGGAGACACGGCCAAGATCAGCAACGTGTGCACCACAGGAAAGCCAACCCTTGCCAGTGCGTCGTTTTTCGAATACATGATATAAGACTAACGATCTTTCACAGACATTTGCTGCAAGTACCAGGGAACAACCCCAGGAAACGAGCCGACCAAACTTTCGTGGTACGTGGTTCTGTCTGATAGATCAGCGTGGTACTGAGTGACCTATAGCGGCTCTGACTCTACGTCTTGCATCTACTCCAACGTTGGATCATGCTAGGCGATTAGTCAAAATCATCTCCAGTGTATACAGTCTCTCCTTTGGATATCATTCTTGATCTATAACGAACACATCTCATTGAAACGGCAAGCATCGGCCAAAGACATCGGACCGCAACCATGGTATTATCGAGAAGGGTAAATTGAATGATGGATATAGCCAGAAATGTAAACTATGGAAGGTGTCCTCATTGTAACTTTGACCAGTTTACTCGTCTCTCCCTTTTGACGCCTAGTGTCTTCTTCGCAGAGTCCATGCGGTACATATGCCGCATCGTTGGCCTCCCATGAGGGCAATTCCAAGGCTGATCCATGGTACCCATATGTCGAACAACCTGCAGTAGTCAGTTGGCCACTATTCAAGCGTCGTGTGAGAAACAAACAGCAGTCATCTGTGGGATGGTGAGGGGATCACCGATCATGATGCTTTTCCGGCATGCGCGAGACGCGAACATGGCTCGCGCCTTGGTACATCGCACCATCGTTCCTTTTGGTATGTCTTGCATCAGATGAAGCAACTCTGATAAATCTGGTCGCTAATCAGTACAGCCTATGTATGGAATGACCAGCTCACCAGACAGGTCAAAGACTGTTGACTTGCTGACAGGCTGCGACACGAGTAGTAAATCGCTGTTGATCACTTCCTCTGACCCACTCTGGGCCACTACCTCAAAACCGTTACTCTGCAAGATATCAAGGTTCTCAAGGGCGACGATCTTGTCAGCCGCAGATAGCTCCAAAGGCCTCGGTCTGAGGGATGCCATCAGCGATTTGTTCAGGGAAATCATCAAACACACCTGAGCAAACGCTGGGACTCAATTCGAGTTGTCATCTGTAGCGTCTCAAAGTTGTATTTTTCGTCCGCAGCGTGCTGGTCGACAATGAACAAGTCGTCCATCGAATCTTCCATTCTTCGCGCACGAACAACGATGAAGCCGAGATTGAATTGGCCAAGTATCTCCATCCGACCAAAGTCTGCCTTGTTGATGACCCGGGAGAGCAACTCTTCTTCGTTACTTGGATTCGTCTCCGCCGATTGAGTGATAGAGTCGACGTCCATTCGAGAGGTCGGCCCATCTTCTCGCTCGCCGCGCGAGACCTTGGTTGGTGAGCCCCATAGATTGGCTATCCGCTCTATGTCGACAGATATAGAGAGTGCGACCGTATTCGATGTTTTTACGACTTCCTCGGCCACAACTATATCCTCTTCACCTCCGCTTTTTTCCACAGGGCCTAACTTCGATCCCATAGGATGCGGGAGTGTTACACTAGTAACTTTATTGGGAGCTGTAGACTTCTTCAGGCTGGCATCGGAAGAGGTCGACATTGCACTCGAGCGTCGTCGCTTCAGGCGTTGGGGTCGGGTGTACTCAATAGACACTTCTTCGTCGCTGGATAGAACTAGCCTGCCGGCGACCACTTTAGTTGAGTCCGTGGTTAATGGCTTTAAACTGGCTATTTCAGGAAGAGGTTGTTCTTCCTCTACTTCCAGAGTAGTTTCGCGCGGTTGATCCCCCAGGTTGCTAGCTCGCTTCGACAAATGTCTGAATGGTTGGCCAACTACCCCGTTCTTGGGACCACGGGGGGCAGTCTTTTTCATAGACCAGGAGGCACCGGTCGTGTCAAGAACCATTTGTACCGTGCGCTTCTCGGAAACCACTTCGGCTTCAGGAGATTGGGAGCGAGACCTTGTCCCTGCGAGCTTGCTGTGCCGGCCAGCTTCTGGGGCAGAACCTTGTCTCGATGTTGATGGAAATGTGGTGTGGTTGCTGGCTAGGACCTCGTCATCTTCATATTTTGACGGGTTTGGTTTCGGTGCCTCGTGTTCGGTGATCGCAATAGGGTCAGAGTCGGACTGGGGAAGAGGAAAGGGATTGGGCTGTGTCTGAGGTATGAGATCAGACGAGATTGATCGTTCTGGACTAGACGAAGGAGCGAGTGTCGCTTCGAGATGTTTCGTCGTCAAGGAACGCCTATTTATGTTGCTTTCAGGTAACTCAGCGACTGAAAAGGTAGAGCGACTAGGCTGGAAGTGATCCGAGAGTGCCACCTATAGATGAAGATCAGATGATGGGTCATAAAGCCGACCTAACAATTTACCTTGAGTGACTCTATCAGATTCTGCTCACCATGAACAAAGATTGTGCGTTTATCAGGACTGACATTGATATCGCAGGCGGCTGGGCGTTTCAGGGTTTGAAACTTCTTCAGGTGTCGGACATACCAGTGGGTACTGTAAAGTCGAGAATGAGAAGAGGGCTCTGTGTCGCGTTGAACGTTTTATAGACTTCGTTAACCGCTTTTTGGACCTAGACGTGTCAGAATTCGATAATATTGGAGATCAATGTACCTTGCTAAGGTTGCATGGTCGTCGATTGACAAAGAAGTATTGGCGGTCACTACTAGAACGGCCACATCCGACGGCAAACTTGGAGACGATCCCAGAGACGTTGATCTTGAGCTCTCTGAGAGTTGAAATGGGTGTAAAAGTCTCGAGAAGATACAACTTACTCCATCGGTAGGCCCCGTTTCTTCAGAGTCGCGGCATCTTGCGCCACGAGGAGGTCAAGAGAGAGGGCCACGGTGTTTTCCGAACCTTTGGATCCCCATAGAGAAGAAATGGCGTTCCGAAGGCTGTTCGAGCCGTCTGTTTGAATCTGACTTTGTCGCTTTCTAACCAAAAGTTGACTCTTTGTAAAACCGACACTTGTTGACCCTTACCCGTTCTCTGATATATGAAAAACTGACAGCTTGATCCCGTGTTTCCCAAGACTGGGGAAGAGCGCATACGCGCTCAGAAGATTGAGTGCTTTGCCATATTCTCTCTTCACATGGCGCTCTAACTCTTTTCTCCTGACTGGGAGAGGCATGAAGAGGCCTGAGAGGGCGACCGTCGTTCCCCGTTGCCGAGCCATACGCCCACTGCGATCGACTACCCGTCCTTGACGGTCAAGTTGGAGAACTGTTCCCATTGGAGCAGAGTCTTCCGTGGCCGTTGTGATCGTAACATGATCACAAAGTGCACAAAGGGACGCTAGGGCCTCTCCGCGGAAGCCAAATGTGTCAACCGTTGTGAGATCCTCAAATTTGGAGAGCTTTGAAGTATGATGTTTCAGAGCTAGACATAATTAAATTGAGAAAATAGTACTCATAACTCGAAATTACGCACCGACGACCTCGTAATCCTCTGGCGAAATTCCTGTTCCATTGTCGATGACCTCTATCGCAGCGAGACCGTACTCCTTGAATCTGACTTCTGCTCTTACGGGTAAATAGAGGGTCAAGGCATGCCCTAGTCCAGACCTATCGACGTCGCATGCGCGTCCAACGCGTTTTCAACGAGCTCTTTGACCGCCGTTTGAAGATCTACGACAACCTGGCTGGACGTTATCCGGTGTACAGATGACTTGTCGATGGCCTTGATACGACCGGCCATCGTGGTCGACGTCAGGTCCAAGACAAAGAGACCAGAGGCGAACCGTCGGACAGGTAGATCGTTCCCCACCTAATTCATACGGTTAATACAGACAACATCATAATTTGCATTACAATGCCCACATATCTTGGCAACGTCTATTCATTCAACGTTTACAAGAAGAAATTGATGGTTTCATCTTCACATTGGGACTTTACAAGAGTAACAAAAACATGTGGCTCTTAGACAATCGCGGTGTAAAGACGCCAACCAATGAAGCGATTCGAGAAGAACAAGAAGAACGGCCTATTTGATTTAAATTACTATATAACGCTGCGATTCAGAGAGGATGCAACGACTAGAAATGGTCATTCTCGCTCACTCATTGGATATCGCGCTTGATACCATGGTATATCAACTCTGAAACTCCTCATAACGCACTGCTACTCAACGCCTCTCCTGATTTCGGTCCAAGACGCCCCACACTGAAAGGTGGTTAAATCCAGTGCGGTCGCACGGTAACAACTCCAAGTCGGTATGGTCAAACGATGTGAATACTTTAATCCGTGCCGGTTGTCAGGAGGTACCCAGAAGAGAAGCTTCCCGGATGATTGAACCCAGCCGTCCTGCGAAAGTGAACATTCTTCGAATCCAGGTACGGAGATTCTAAACGGAGTATCTGGCGAGGTCGAAATGATATTTGAATCACTCCATTGCATGCTGGTCTCGTTTGAGCTCACATCTATCAGTCGTTGTCACCTCTCTTCAGCGTATAAGAGACCACAAGGTGACAATACTCACCATTCTCCACGTCCCAGATCCGAACCGTATGGTCCCTTGCACTAGAAGCGATTCGAAGGCCATCTGGAGAGAACGCCACGGCATCGATCCACGCCTGGTGGCCTCGGATCGGCTTTCCCAGCGCCCGACCAGTATCCGCATCCCAAAGTCTGATAGTCCGGTCAGATGAGCCAGAGACTATGCGCGAACTATCCGCTGAAAATGCGACAGCGGTCATCCGAGCGTTGGGCACTTGGAGAAGCGCGCCTAGCTGCTGACCAGTGCGGACATACTGGAGCCGAATCGTGCCATTACCCAGGCAAAGTGCAAGTTTTGAGCCATCTTTTGAAACTGCGACTGCTTTAATCGACCGCTCGGGATCTGGCACTGGTACCCCGAATGGGAAGCCAGTATATACGTCCCACACTCGAATCGCATTACCAAGAGACCTAGAGATGATGTATCGACCATCTGGGGAAGATGCTATGAGATAACTCCAACGTGTATGGTCTCGGAGGGGCTGTCCTAATGGCTCGCCAGTGTATAAATCCCGGATTTGAGTTGCTTCGTCACTCAAGTCAGGAAATAATATCGTGCCATTTTCCAAGCAAACCAATGTTTCGACACGGCCCTGGCGTTCGCGAAGTTGTTGCGCTAGGGGTTGCTCTCGAAGAGGGTCTTCTAACGGTTGGCCGCGAAGCGCGTCTCCTAGCGGTTGACCGGTATGTGCATCCCACAGCTGAACTGTGCAGCCGTAGGAACTAGTAACAATCTTCGACCCGTCGGACGAGAATCCAAGGGCACAGATCGACGATTTGTGACCTAGGAGTGGCTTTCCTAGAGCTCGGCCATTGTCCGCATTCCAGATTCGAATCGTCTGGTCCCCTGAACCAGAGACAACACGTGAGCCGTCTGATGAGAAAGCAATGGCATTTATAATAGCTCTGTGACCGTGGAATGGGAGCTCTTGTACGTGAGCGTGATTCCCATCGAAAACTGCGCGGGTAATGGAACAGCCGAGACATCGGTGTGCCTCTCCCAGCATCTGGCCAGTATCTACATTCCACAATCGTATTGTCCCCATGCGGTCACCCGAAACAATCCAAGAGCCGTCCGGCGAGAATGCAATTGCCTTGATGGGATCTTTGTGCCCTCGGGGGAAGAGCTGTCCCGATGATTGAACAGTACACGTATTCCACAATTGTATCGTCGCATCCCCCAAGCCACAAGCAATATGAGAGCCGTCTGGTGAGAATACAGCTACTGTGATGCCACGAGTGTTGGGAGCTTGGGGTAATTCTCCTAGCAGTCGACCAGAGTCCGCATCCCACATTAGCATCCTTCCGTTGTCTGCGATAGAAATAATTTGGGTGCCGTCCGGCGAGAATGCGACCGCATTGACCCACGCTTGGTGGCCTCGAAGTGGCTCCCCCAACTGCAGGCCAGAGCCCGCATCCCACAGTCTTATAGTTGTGTCAGATGAGCCAGAGGCGACTCGAGAGCCGTCTGGAGAGAATGCCACGGCATTGACTGCGAGCTCATGGCCCCGAAGTGGCTCCCCCAACAGCTGGCCAGTGTTTGCATTCCACAATCGTATCGTACTGTCATCTGAACCGGAGATAATTCGAGACCCGTCAGGTGAGATTGCGATGCTTCTGATCCAGCGTTCATGACCTCGGAGCGGTTCTCCTAATGGCAGGCCAGTGTCAGCATCCCACATCCGAATAGTCTTGTCTCCCGAAGAAGAAACGATCATGGAGTTGTCTGGTGATAATATGGTGGCCAAAACCGGTCCTTGGTGTCCTTCAAGAGCCTCTGGTAGTTCACGGTACTGCTCTTCCAGACCTTTGATAACGCTGAGAGTATTTTGGAACTGCTTGAGGCCCTCTATATGCAGCATGGATTTGATAGGGCTGAATGGCAGGGCCGATAAGTAGATATGTGGAGTACTATCACAGATGGGTGTTGAAAAGGCCATCATAAATCGACGAACATCGATCAAGCGATCTTTCGTCTCCTCTTCAATCTTCAACGGACGTGAATAATCAGGGATCAATGACGCATAAAACTACTCACGGCTGTACAATGTGCAACAGCTCGAAGGCCGGCTATCCCTCGGGCTAACGCCTTAGTAAAACTCAGAATCTCCATCCAGTACAGCGCATATGGAGCTTTACTGATGTGCTGGAGTTCGTTCTTCAGGTTACGTTTCCATTTGTCGTCGGTTCTGGCCACATGGAACGTCCAATGGTGGCTCGCATATCGAAGTTCTCTCGAGATAGACTTCGAAACTCTGTCCTCGAGGTCCGGGATATCGCTATTCCGGTGGAAGGACGACTCGATTTCACATATGTTGAACCTGAGTCCTTCGGTCCGCGACTTGAGGTATTTGAAAGACCACCACGCCAGTTGACCATGTGCTTTTGCTATGTCGATATAGATATTGCTCCCATTATCGAATGCGGAAGGAATGCAGCAACGCCGAAGGTACTCGACGAAGGTGGGATGGCGGAAGTAGACCAAATTTGTACTCGGATCCTGGGTGATTACACTTCCCAGGTTGCGTACCAACGCCTCGGCACTCCCGCGGATCCCTATATCCCTTAGAAGGTCATCTAATTCGCCGACTGTGAGTGGCTCGAACGTCGCAAGGAGTAGAGCAAGCGTGCTACACATGGTTGTGTAGAACTTTGGATCTGTACGCTCAAAGATAAGAGCGTATACATCATCAATGTCTCCAGGTTGATCGGCCGAGATCAGACGGCTGTATGTGCTCTCAGGTTTCTCCCACGAGGTTGTGCTCTTGAGCATTCGACATGCAGTGCTAGCCCAGATGAACAGTCCATTGGCTTTTTGGACCAATCGTCTCCTCTTCTCGGGCGATAACACACCTTCCAGTGATTGGTGTACATAGTTCGCAATGTCGTCAATGTTATCGCGATGTTCTATGTCGTGGAGGCGGTCTTTCATCTTCACCTTGGTCATGAACGGCCCGAGGGTGGCTTCAATGATGGGATCTGGCCGACTGGTGATGAGTATTTTGAGGGTTTGACTCCCACGAACGGCCATAATGACACTTTCCATAAGCTCCTTTCTCTGCATTTCGGACTTGCATTCGTCAACGGCATCGATGACGAGAATAACGCGATTTTTTCGATGTCGAAGTGGATTGATGACGAGTTCTTGGAGCTGGTCGTGAAAGGGGCTCCGCATAATAGCAGGATTGCGTTTCACGGCATCAGCAATATGTGGCGCTAGCTCGGGCATTCGTTGCACAAGTTCTCTGGCTATAGTGGACCAGAATTTCTCTGTGCTAGAACACTCGCTGCTGTCTAAGGAGAAGAAGAACTGGGCTCCTAAGACTCGCTGTGCCTGCCAGAATTCCGATGCGGACATTGCGACTGTGGATTTGCCAGACCCCGCTATGTCACAAAGCCAGAATATCGGCGTCCTTGAGATATCTTCCGCGGCCCAATTTGATATCACCTGAAGTATCGCCTGACGCGTGCCGGGCAAACATGTCCTGTGGACCGAAGATGCGACGAATGCTACCATTGGTAGCTGAAGGATGGAATTTATGTCAATCTGCGCTGATTAGCGAGTTGGCGATTTCTCATACTCAAGAACTTGCATACCGTCACTCGACGACGCTTTGGTGCTTCGTCCAATCATTTGAACGCGTTGCCCGGTGAAAAGACACAATGAGTGCTGTAATGGTAATGAGATACGAACACAGTCGCCGACAGAGAACTCACCATGAATTGATTGTGCTGATGCTCGACGTCATGATTGAATTTACGAACCACTCCCGCATCAAGCTTTACTTTAGTCATAGCAGTAAATGCGAGGCGACTGCGCCTACGCCTATGATTGGTAATCTTCCCATGGAAATCCTCGAGTAACCTGAAAAGTTAGTGTATCAAAATAAGATTGGAATGCGCACATACTCCACATAGCGAGTGAGTGGCCGACTGAGCGTCTCGTCTACCGCCCTTTCTCCTTCGGGATATTTCTCGAGATAGGCGACTTGATTCTCAATTGCAGTCATATATTGAACTAGACACTGCGCTAAGTCGTTCCACTCTTCTTGATTATCGTCGATGGCCTGGTATGCTCATTAGCCGAGGGTATGTAAACTTTGGCAACTCACTTGGATACCTTCGAGAATTGATGTTGTTGCCTTAAGTGCTTCCTTGAGAGGAGAAAGTATATCCATCCCTTCGGATTCCTTCGCCAAGTTGAGGCTGGAAGTGGCCATCCGTTGTACACGACTCTCATCTTGAGGAGGATCCGGCTGAGGACAAGGAATATGGCTGATAAACCGCAGCATTGCCGCGATGCTCTGCCATTGCGAACGATATCGTGGATGCGGTTGGCTCCAAGATAGAGTCGGCGTCTACGACCATACACTCTCGTTCTACGGGAATCCGATTAAACAGATTCGTAGACCCTGCTGTAACTCCCCTGCCAGTTGAGCTTGAGAGCTCGGGCAGTGGCTCGGGGTGGGCAGAGACGACGTCAATTAGTCACTCCAAAGTGAATGGCACTTAATAATCACCCCAAGCTACAAATATATTGTATAGTATGTATAAGGTACCGAGAACGAATCTCAAACTCTGAGTGCCCTATACATCCCCGCCTTGGTTTCCCAACACCCCCCTCCCGAAGATTCAGCGAAACAGCCTACCCTCCTCGAGGGCACTGAAGGCGCAGATGAGATGGATCACATCTGCAAACAAGTGAGAGCTGTGCCCTTGGAAGACGTCTCGGGGCTCATGGTCTCCGTCGAACGTTCATGTATGGTGAACACGATTGGCTGATCAGTCATGCAAGTCCTAATAGGACCAGCTGTTCCCCAAGCAGAAAATTTTGTGGCCATTTGGTACCTGGTTTGCATTTCTGTGTCTTCGGGGGCATGCCATCGAAAGGCATTGGCGAGCGTCCATCTCCTGGTTTTTCCCTTCTTCTCGTTACCGCCTTGGAGTTTGTTTGCCTTTATATCACTGGTGATAATTCCAGCTCCTTCAACGACCGGCTGTGATTGGAGAATCTTGCGGCGAAAGTGGAGGAAGAAACGCAAGACGAGCGTGCTACAGGGGAGGTACGCGAAATAGGTGAGCAGAACTTGCAATCAAAGTGGTGCGACGCAGAAAGTGGTGACCTCTGCGACGTGAATGCAGATGATGCCCAGGTAGAAGATCATACCGTCGACGCAGAGCGCGTGAATGATGCCTCCGTTAGCGGAACGATTCAACGTCCTGAGATTGCGTCTAAATCCGACTGCGTTTGCGGTAATGGTGACGAGGGTGACAACTTCGATAAAGAGCTACAGGTTGTCAGTTGAGGCGGCCTTTCTCAGGGCTAGACATGATTCAATTGAGAAGGTAGTGCTCATAACTTAGAAATTGCGCACCAGCCGCGTCGTAATCCTCTGGCGGCTATGCTATAATCATCAGTTCAATGTAGCGCATAGGCGTATGGTAGTTTGCATGCCGGAATCGCGTTGGCTGAAGTGACGAGTTCTGGATGCACGAGTGTTGCATAGTAGGGGGGGTGAGATGGCAAAGGAATGATTGTATAGGCGGGGAGAGTGCGTCGGCGCGGTGGCGACGGACGTGCTCGGGTACAAAAGTGTTTGCCACCGAGGCAGCAGACGCACTTGCCGCCATTTTTCCTCCTCGCTATAGCACTTTGAGGATCTACGACCCTCTGATCCAAGATTGTGGTTCCATTGTCGACGACTTCTATGCAGCGAGACCGTGCTGCTTTGGCGTCTCGTCCTTGTAGCCTAGGTGAATCGTTTTGGGATACTTCCCTGCCCATTTGTGCCCTCATCCTCGGCTTACTCTGATTGGGGGGCTAATAGGCGAGGCAGGCGATGGGTGAGATGTCAGTGGGCCCACGACTCCGGCCTTCGCCTACCGAACATTGCCTAGGGCGTTGTGGGCAGGTTGAAGAATATAACGGTCTTTTTCATTGACGCGATGGCTCTACTAGCGCGCAATGTTCGTGCGTCGCCGCTGTGGCGGAGCCTTGCCACCTGCTCTTTACTTTCTCCTGTATGTAGGCCCTTTGGCCCAATAAATCGCAATATTGTCTATCATATGTAATGCTATTTGTCCTTCGCCTGCCTCTCGCAGCACGGAGAGACCTTCGGTCTCCAACCAAGTCGTTGAAAGTAGCTTCTACTCTTCCTCGTGAATAGAACGCCAACGCTGCATTCACGCCCAACGCATTTTCAATGAGCTTCTTGACCGCCGTTTGGAGATCTACGATGACCTGGCTTGACCAGATTTGGTGTACTGAGTATTTGTTAACGGCCTTAATGCGACCGACCATCGTGTCGACGCGGGTTTCTAAGAGCCTGTGGAATGGTCTTAAGACTTAGCTACTGATCACAAAGTCTTTGAAGAGAGATACAGAAGAAGAAATCATTCGAGCCTTATCTAATAGTATTCATACTCAATCTGCCCCCTATCACGTAGTGCTGCATCCTAGAGACGCCGGTGATGCTATGAGCACAAGGACATTCAGGTTCAGGAGCGTCCGCGCTCTTTATCTGTTCAGTTTTATTGATCAATTCTTAGCAGTACAATATGGCAAAAACATTGCATACGAGGCTTGGTGTCAACATAGGCAAACTACAGAAGTACGTTACGATCGACCTTAGTTGTCCGTCTTCAAACGCTTGTGGGACACTTCCATCTCCGAATCCTCCGAATCCTCTGAATCCTCTGAATCCTCTGAATCCTCTGGATCCTTCTCCGTGTTTGGATTGTAAGGTACCACATCGTCAGCAGAAGCTGGTTCATTCTCGACAGAAAATGCGTTAACAAAGGTGCCGAAGTCGGGAAAGACCGTGAGGCTTGCCGTATGAAGCTTAGCTGCCTCGTATTCCGTAACCATGTAGGTGACTAGGGTTTGAATCAATGGAACGAGACTTGGATCTAGTTTCTTTGGGGGGGTTGGTTTCGTGGGAGGGGTTGCTTCCTTCGGGGGATCTGTTACCCCTGTTTTGGGTTCGGGTTCGATCGCTTTGAGCAGTGTTTTTTTCGCATTTTCCATTGCGGGACCCAGGGATTTATTATATCCCTTGAGATCCTCAATGCTCACCACCGCGTATGGACTAGCATACTCAAAGTAGAGTCCATTAATATCCCCCAAGTAGTCCCGAAAAATGGTATGTGCATATATAATCGCCTCTTGCGCACGTGCCACAGCCAGGATGGCTATGTACACTTGGCGCAGGATGAGCGTGAGTGTGGAGATGAGTTGTTGGAGCTTGGCATTATCTGGAACAAGGAGCGTGCAGTTTAGGAGGAAATCAAGTTTCCCCTCAGCACTGGATCTGCTTGCCGTCGAATCTGTTGCATTGTTGTCACGGAAGATCGCGGTGAGTGCCCGTTTGCGATTCTTGTTGTTTTCGCCATTGAGCTTCAGAGAGCCTTTTAAATGGGACCAAACAAGTGTGACGTTTTTGGCATGACGGACGACGCAGTAAATGAGTATCCAGTAAAAGGATTCATAGTCGTGCCAAACACGGTGCAGTGGTCGATGATCAAGTGCAATGGCCATGAAGCGGATGGTACCCTGGCAGCTTGTCAGAAGTGCGTTATCCAGGTGTGAGCACATACAGTCATCTCAGGCTCCGGGACTTCTTTAACGCTTTTTGCCAGTCCGCCGACTAGCTTTACATTTTCCATGATATCATAGTCGATCTCGAAGGTTTTAATATCCCTTGCCAAATCAAAATCGATAAGCATGCCACGTCGTGGTGTGGATGATCGGATCTTGATGAGGACACTGTTCACCGAGATATCACGATGTAGGATCCCGGCTTCCAAGTACAGCATAGCGTGGGCTATAAAATTTTCAGACATGCGATAGAGGTAGCGACATGTGACTCACTTTGAAGACAATCGCGAAGAACAGTGAAAAGCTCCCTGGTTGACTTGATGTTGGTGATCGGCGTCCCTAAGTCATTGAAGAGCAACCAGCGACCAACTCGTCCGCCAGCAAAAGTGCTGCCGTTTTCCATAGCCTTCAGCGTGTCAAGTCTCTCCGTGGTCATAAATTCCCCAAGACATTGCGCAGCCTCGGGCGGGTTGCCATGCGCTAAGAGTCTGGGTAGGTAGATCTGACCGAGAGAGGGTTTGGCTTCTTTGGCTTTTTTGGCTTTGTTAACGAATTCAGCCTCGTGAGTATGACTGGCAATGGGCCAGCTGGTTTTCAACATCTTGATGTTGTCCAAAATTTGTTCTTGGCTAGGGCTCTGAGTGTGCATGGTTTCGAAGAACTCCCTCTCAACGCAGAGGTACATTCTTGCTCCGCGGCCAAATATGCCGGCTGCACGCCAGATGGGATGCTTGAGAACAAGGTAGTTTTCCCTCTTATTCTTCAGAGGGTCCTTGAATGCAAACTGCCACATAAAGCTATTCTTTGTATCCTGGGACTGTCCACTGTCTGATCGGGGGTTTGTCAACTTGTCGTGCGTGTTGAGAATTGTGAGCAAATTATTTTTGAAGTGGCCGTTTCCCTCGTATTCAGTAAATTGCATATGTGCCTCAAATACCCTTTCTGTTCCATCGTCGTCTACCCATTTGCGAACGTTGAGCCCAAGGGCATGTCGGTTTCCAATCATATGGAAGAACCGGACCAGAGGCTCGGCATTTTTTGTGTATGAGAGCGAATCACTGACTATAACTCCACTTGCGGTCCACTTCCACAGTCGCATAAATGGACCCGTCACAGTGATGGAATAGAGGTGGCGATATGGATTGTTTGGGAATAGTCCAAGGCCGATGTAGCGATAGAGCTGATTGCAGAGTTCGATATGCCTCTCATTGTATTTGATACTATCTTTGAGGAACGATTCTATGGGTAAGTTGTCGTCTTTGGAGCGTTTGACTTCGACAATGATTCCTGGATAGTAGAATAGACTGGGCCCCCATTTGACGTTACTTCCCACGCCGTTGTCGAAGGTAAGGAACAGATCTGGAGCCCCAGAGATATCAAAGCCCAAGTCTGTGTTAAGGGGTTGGCGTGCATTGTGGGTATCCAGGGATAATAATTTGGAATCCCAGTTCGCCCTTATACAGCTCTGGAATCCTTTTTCCTGAAGGGCTGTCAGTACAATTCCACTGAGCGAGTATTTACAGACCAGTTCTGGATACATCATATTTTCTGTAACGTCCTTTCCTTTGGCTTTGATTGGAACATTCCCGAAGGGGAATCCGACCTCCGAGTTATCGAAAGATCGAATCCTCACATCGTTCTCCACATCCTGCATAAAGTTCTCAACAGATTTCACGACGATATTTTCCAGGAAGAAGAGAACTTCAGGACGCGCGATCTCTGTGACGGCATCGATTTGGTGCGTCTGAATAGGGCCAACCGAGGTGAAACTCGAGACAGATGAGGAACGGCGACGTTTGTTCATGGTAAAAATGGAGAAAGGAGATCCCAGACGAGCTGGATTTAATACGCGTCCGAGCCGACCTCTGGCGTTTACAAGAGCCGGTCCAGACCCCTAGTTGTGTTATCAGCAAAATCGGACGTGTAACGGCGCCTGAAGAGAGCCGTTGGCATGATAGGTGAGGTTGCCTAATGAAGACGGGCCAAGCAGTGGGATGGAATGTCGGACAGCCGTCCTCTTGAAGGGCCATTTATAAGTCGAGTTGATATCGTGCCGTCGTCTTGAATACCGCTTATCTTGTTCTCAACTCAGAAAATCAGACAGAAAAAGGGGGAAGGCGGTCCATTGTCTCCCTCCAACTCGAGTGAATCAGACAGTGTAGTCCTTGGTCGTTGATTCGACCGCACCTCAAGATCGCCAGTTTGTGAACGTCGCTCTTGCGTGACATTCATGTATAGATTAGGAGGGCCACCCGCTCAACATGCGGCTCTGTTTCGCTGGACGGGCCAAGAGATGGATCGAGGATTGGGTGGGCTTACGTGGACATGCAAACCGATTAGCACCAAGAATAAGCTGTTGAGTAGATGTCTCCCTCCATCGAATTCGGCAGCTGGTGGGCGCAGGGCCCAAGCGTGGTTTGCTCCTGTTGCCAACCTTTGACCACGGCGCTCTGACAGGACGCTATGAAACCTGTACTCCAATCCTTGGATTTAATGTGTATCATCCATGAATCACCGAGACGTTTCTTTTGGCGAACGCACCGGACATTTATCATGCCATGGGCGTTTAAATGCGGTCGTGGACTCAAGAAGTATGCTTGGTGAATATGATTGCATGCAAGGGCACACAATTTGATCAATTTAATTCCCTGAATCCGACTCCTTGAGCTGCGCGATGCGATATGCTGCAGCAGGGGGTTGGCAGCTAGCAAATAGCCAGATTCACTTTGCTTATCGATTACTGGAGAGATTTTCTCTCGTTTTGAGCCGATTTAGTGGCCAATTCTATTGCCTGCTAGCTCATAGTCTCACCGTCGCGTTCTGACAGCAATTGGTCATTCTCAACGCCAATCAAGCATCGGAGATATACCAGAGGAGGTAACGGATCCTATTTTGAACACTGTTACGTTCTTTCATTCGCCGTCATGACTCCCGTGCCGTCGACTTTAGCCCTTCTCCCAGCATATTGATAAACACTGTCGTTATGAGAAGCACTCCATCTTCATAAAGTCCTAATTCGGGTGGGCTGGGAGATGGCTCTAGCTATAGGTCACCTCTACAGTTTTAGAGGCGATTCTATCGTACATAAATTCCCTCCTAAATATAGCGTACCAAGAACGAATCTCAAACCGTGAGTGGTCTAGACATATCCGTCTCAATCTGTTGATTGTACCAACGATTCAGCGAGACCGTCTTCCCTCATCGAGGGCACCGACGGTGCAAGAGAAACAGCCCGCCTCTGTGAACGAGTGGGATCCGGGTCCTCAGGGTACACCTCGGGCTCATGGTCTCCGTCGAGCGCTCATGTATGGTAAACGCGATTGGCTGTTCAGTCATGCGAGTCCTAATAGGACCAGCGCCTCCTGACGCAGACGAGGTGGCAGTCATTTGGTACGAGTTTTGCATCTCTTCTGTGTGTTCAGGAGCATGCCGTCGAAAGGCATTGGCGAGCGTCCATCTCCCGGCTTTTCCCGTCGTCTCGCCACCGCCAGCCACTTCCATTTCGCTGGTGATAAACCCAGTTCTGTGAGATCCCGCCTGGGATTGGAGAACCTTGCGGCGAAAGTGGAGGAAGAAGCGCGAGGTGAGCGTGCTGCAGAGGAGATACTCGAAATAGGTGAGTAAAACTTGCAATCCGAGTGGTGCGACGTAGAAAGTGATGACCTCTGCGACGTGGATGCAAATGATGCCCAAGTAGTAGATCATGCCATCGACGTAGAGGGTTTGAAGGATGCCTCCAGTGGCGGAGCGATTCAACGTCCTGAGGCTACGTCCAAAGCCGAGTGCGTGTGCGATGACCGCGACGAGGATGACAACTTCGATGAAGAGCTACAGGTCGTCAGTCAAGGTGGCCTTTCTCTATCGCCGACGTACAGGGACAATGTACAAGCCCACGGTGGACCATTGCTTGAAATGAGGGAGAACACAGACGCGAGCGAGAATGTTCCATCTCATGAGCGCTACAAAGTGGTAAGCCCAAACTGGCTAAATGGGCCATGAGCGACTTACGGTTGACAGTGATCTGGAAGCTAGTATAAACGATGATACTCGCAACAATGTGGATTCCCAAACATAGAAGGAGCAACTGTCGTACACGCGGTGACATGCAGTAGATTGCGCAGAGGCGCAGGATGAAAATGGCTTGCCAGGGATCAGCCGTCGCCAGGGTTCAAGATACCAACTCTTACTAGGAGAGACAATATACTGGATGAGCATGCATATGTCGAGAATTGTCCAAGTAATTTGGCATCTGCGGTCATAAGCATCAAAGACTGTATATCAGAAAGTACCCACTCATTCTGAGTATAAGGACGTTGCCATGTAGGAAGCAAGGCTACAGCGCGTCAGCACTGAGCAAAAGTCTGTTACCGCCGTACGAACCCGCTCCAAAGATGGATGCCCCGACGATGGGCAGATAGCGACACTATGGACAACGAGTTATATAAAGCAGAGTATGTAGAAGGGTCGTACGATGAGGTACAAGGTCTTGACGAGTGCGCCGTTTCTCGACCACAGGAGTTCGAGCTCGTCGGCGATCGTGAGGAGGATGTCGTAGGACCATAGAGTGAGTGCAACCAAGGCCATATACTTGCATCTGCGTTACACAATAACGTCAGCATCCACAGCGCTTCCCAGACGTTCAGCCGTTACATAATGTATTGGTATACGACCTGTTCAAAGGATTCAACGCCTGTGATAGAGCTTCCTGCCATTTGATAGGCACTTGAATAAGTCCCAAGCAGGTTACTCGTGAAGACCAGTGGGCAACGAATGCGGTCTGCAGAGGCAGCAGAGACAAAAGAAGTTGAGGAGACAGGTAACAAGACCCGGACGGGATTTCAGGGTCTCCTCGCGGCAATTTGCAAACTCGGGGGTTCCGACGTCGCAACGTGACAGGGTCTGTGGGGACATCCGAACGCCTAAAATGACGCTAAAAGAATTATGCTACAAGTCTAGGCTACCGAGTAATGAGAATGGGTAGTGGCTAGCATAACTTGGATTTGGCCATATTATGGGTGGCTCCCAACTCAAGCAACTCAAGTCTGCCATTGCCGCCTCTGGACTCTCCCAGCCGTCCTCTCAATCCTCCAAAAAACGGAAACGGGGCTCATCTACGGGCGCCGTCCTCGAGCGACGCGACAAACGCGCAGAAAAACTGCAAGCACTCCATGAACGCTTCAATCCATTCGATACAAAGGTCGAAAAACTAAAGCATGACATTGGAGGAAGACGGATAAAGGGTACTGTGGGACGTCCAGGCCAGGCAAAGCAAGCAGGCATCGAGCAGGTGAATGTCTACAACTTGTAGATGGATACAGATGGCTAATGCAACATTTAATGGTAGAGGAAAAAGACTCTACTCGTAGAATATGAGAAAAAGGACAAAGCGGGCGCGCTCGTCGACAGACGGTTTGGCGAAAATGACCCGACAATGTCCTTGGAGGAACGAATGCTCGCTCGTTTTACAAAGGAGAGACAGAGATCGTCAAAAGGAACCATGTTCAATCTCGAAGACGACGACGAGCTCACGCATTATGGTCAAAGCCTCTCAAAACTAGACGACTTTGACAATGTCGGTCTGCAGCTGGACGAAGACGAGGAAGATGATGCTGGTATGGTCTCATATCTCCGTTCGACCTGATTCTCATAGATATAGGGCAAATCGATGCCGCCACCGTCCGAGCCACCCACTTCCAGGGGTTTAGCGACGAAGAAGACGGTGACCATGAGGACGGGGTGAGTACCTCATAAAGTGTATTCCTCTTTCTAACAAGCTCTAGCCACCCCGCAAAAAGACCAAAGCCGAGGTCATGGCAGAGGTCATTGCAAAGAGCAAAGAGCACAAGGTCTGCTCTCCATTATGAACGCCTTCTGACGCTAACATAGAGCAGTATGCTCGACAAATGCAACGAGAACAAGACGAAAACACGCGTCATCTCCTCGACGAAGACTTTGATTCGATACGAGGCATCCTATTCTCGCAAGCTCCCGACCGGATCTCACCCCCACCTATCCCATCCACGACTGCTTCCTCAGCTCTGAATAGTGTCCCCGTACAAAAGCCTGCTACCGACAAGGACTACGACGCATTTGTGCACGAGCTCGCGATGGACCGTCGCGCACAGCCAAAGGACCGTACAAAGACCGAGGAAGAGCTGGCTTTGGAAGAAAAAGAAGCACTCGAGCTTGCGGAGAAGAAGCGACTGAGGCGAATGATGGGGATGCGGGAGAGCGACGATGAGGATGAAGGGAGGGGTAAGCGGAAGAGAGGTGGAGATGATTTAGACGACGACTTTTTGCTTGACGAGGATACGCTCGAGGGTCTTGGAGCGGGGTTAGCTCAGCCAAAGGACGAAGACAATGACGACGACGAAGACGAGGAAGTCGATTCCGGAGAGGATGGTCCCGACTCGGAGAGCGGCTCGGACGAAGAGGAGAGTGAAGGAGACGAAGAGGACTACGGTCCCTCCGACGAGGGTGAGGAAGCAGAAGAAGGGTCCGTCGAAGCGCTCGCTCCTACTCAAGCCAAGATAAAGGTCAAAACCAAACGCAGCAAGGAGATTCCATTTACCTTTCCCTGCCCAACTACACACGACGAGCTCTTGCAGATTCTCGACGGCATCGACGACTCGCATTTCCCGACAGTCATTGAACGAATACGCAAGTTGCATCATCCCAGTCTACATCCAGATAACAAAACCAAGTTGCAGGTACAGTTTATGATCAATCCATGTTACATCTCAGCTCATCTTCCATTAGGCACTCATAGGTGTTCTCCTTGATCATGCTCTGTACGTTGCCAGCGGGGATTCACCGTCGGCGACGATTCTAGACGCCATCGCATCGCACACATATAGCCTCACCAAAACCTATCCCATCCCCTCTGCAGAGTTCTTCGTCTCCAAGCTCAACCTGATGCAAAAGAACCTCACGCGAGGACTCCAAAACCCGCTCGATGAGGCTAGCAAGACGTTTCCTGGTGCTCCAGAACTCGTGCTTCTCCGCATTCTCGGCGCGACGTGGTCGACGAGCGATATGAAGCATCCCGTCGTCAGTCCTGCAAAGTACCTCATGGGTGCCTATCTCGGCCTCAGCCGTGTGCGGAGTATGACGGACGTTGTCAGCGGTTTATACTTATGCTCTCTATTTATGCACGTGCGTACCTCCAACTTGTTGGTGTACCGCATTCTGACGCGCACCTGTAGTACGAACAGCTCTCCAAGCGCTATGTCCCCGAGGCGATCAATTTTCTTGTTCAATCTCTTTTACTCCTCGTTCCATCTGCCTATCCGAATGCACGAAAGGTCCCTGGATATTTCCCTCTTCCAGATTTTGATCTTCTGGAGTCGAAACTCCGCATCAAACCGAAGAAAGTAGGGAGTCTGACGCCACGTGCGCCAAAGATTTTCGAGTTGTTGGACCAAGTCACGTTTTCGGAGCAAGATAAACTCGATCTTTTCTCAATGACGCTCGAACTGCTCAAATGGTGTGCAGAAATGTACAAGCCACTCGATGGATTCATCGAACTCTACGACCCCATTCTGCAAATTCTCCATTCCATCCAAAGCAACTGCAGGAGCCGCTTATCGGACACGACCCAAAGTAGGCTCGACGCCGTAGTCGACCACGTATCTAGACTACTCAAATTTGCTCGTCAAGCTAGAAGGCCCCTCTTCCTCCAAGACCACAAACCAATCCCGATTGCAACCTACATCCCCAAATTCGACGCCCACAGCTCCTCGTATATCCGCAACCACGACCCAGACGCGGAACGGGCCCAACTGGCCAAGCTAAAAGCGCAGCATCGCAAAGAGAAAAAGGGCGCGATGCGCGAGTTGCGCAAGGATAATCGGTTCCTTGCGGGTGTCCAGCAGGAACGGCAGGAGAAGAAGGATCAAGAGTATAAAGCTCGCATGGCAAAGGCGTTTGCAGGGCTCGAGAGTGAGCGTGCGGAGCAGAGAAAGGAGGAAAAGGAAAAGAGAAGGGCGAAGCGAAGGGCAGGTAAATAACGAGTTAATGGAGAATAGGCGCGTCTTTGGTGATGGAGACTGTTGCCTCGCCTCGGTGCTTCTCGCAGTAGCCGTTGGACGGTAGGTGTCCGTGGCATTTATAGTCTTCAGACAGATCGCAGTTGTAAACCCGTGCGCTTAAGCATCCATCACATCGACGTTCTTGCCTGCTCGTGTCAGTGGAGCTAGGCTTATGTACGAGAGTTGACCTACATGTCGTCGGGGAGTACCCATGGCTCTAGAGGTGGTACCCAATATCCTTTGAGTGCATCCTGGATGGCACAGTGAATCGTCGGATGAAGCGTGCGCGGAAAAGCGACGAGTTTGAGAGCGACAGGACCGTTTGCGTCTGGATAGATGCTGCGCGGTATGTTGCGCGACATGATGAGCTCGAGAAACAAGCACCAATCTGGATACTGCATGCTATAAATCTCTTGGAGTTTGGGACAAATTGCACCCCCCAGCATCGACTGGCACAGGTTGTCGAGTTCAGACACTTCTCCGTGCACACTAGGTAGTCGAAGGACGCGAAGGTTGTCGAGAAATGGAATTATTTCCTGCAAGCCCTCTATTCCTATCATCCGCCTCCCGTCCTTGAGCTCCCGGACCTCGATGACGAGCGTATCGAGACATGCAAGAGATTCAGTCGGCATTTTATGCATTTTGAGAGGCACCAAATCATGGCGCATCATAAGATGTACAACTAAATTCACTCTCTGGTTTGTTGAGAGTATGATGCCGCCCAGGGAGGTTAGAGTATGAGTTGTCATGCAAAGTCGCTCAATATGTAGGAGTCGAAATGGAGGTAAGCCGTCTAGAGTGCATGGCCAGAAGATGCCTAGCAAGTATAGTTCTCGAATCCGAGGAGCGCCTTCGAGAAACTTGCGTAATTGCTCCGTCTCGATATGGAAACTCCCTTCAGGATGACTTCCAATCCTGAGCTGCACCAATCGGGGTGCACGTATCGAGAGGAGGAAACAAAGTTCTCTCGAGCTGAACGCTGTCAAATGAAGCCTCTCCACATATGGGAGTGTGATGAGATGTCTCACAGGAGAGAGTGATATCTCGTCGTTTATTTTGTGGACTTCCGTCCACTCCAGCACCTTGAAACTTTCGCATGTGGTAAGACTTTGGAAGAGTGAGGGGTGATACATCGGTGTCTTCAGCACCACCTTGGTGAGTGTAGCTCTTGCGGATGCGATTATTTCCTCCATGGAGCTAATAGGTAAAGCAGACGACAGGACCAAGGACTGTACATGGTGTACTGTTCCTAGTCGTACTCGCCGTACCAGAGATGAATTGCCTGGCCATTCCCGTACATTAAGCTCTAGGTGACGAAGTCTAGGAATATGTAGGAGCGATTTTGCCCAGTGATCCACTGCAGTACCGTCCCTGCATTTTGTGTACCCACGGATGATCATGGTCTCTAGCGACAAAGTCTGCATCAGAGCGGTATCCAAGGGGATATGATCCTCTAATAGAGGCCCAAGAGAGAGATTCATCGAGCGTAGGGCTGGAAGACCTGATGTCACCTGCCAAAGATTGTCCAAGTCTTCACGAAAGTAGGCCACCAGCGAGTGGAGAAACCGCATACCTTTAAGTAGTTCTAGCAGCTTCTCCTCAAAGTAATTCAAGGATAGGCGCCGCAAATTTGGCATACGGGAGATCAAAGACCGTATACCCAAAATCTCCGTTGCCGAGCGCAAGCCCGTCCACTCAAAGTTCTCGACTCGGTCCAGATGCTCCAAGAAGAGAAATTCAACTATATGAAGGAGCGTATTTCTCTCTCTGGCAACCTTGATGGTTAGAGGAGCACGTTTGGAGTAGTGGACCCGTACAGCGGCGAGTTCGAAGAACCCCGGCTGATATCCAGCAAGAATAATATTCGACCATAGTTTTGGCTCCTGCTCTGCGACACGCCGCCATGTTTGTGAAACGAGGAGGAATCAGTGGCATTGCTGGGTCGTCCTCGACTGCTTTTTGGAATATGAAGGCAAGAAGCTCTGCTGGGAGTCTATTTATGTAAACTGATCCATCTTGGGACTCGCGACTTGTGATTAGACTGTTTATAATGGAGTTTAGCTGAACCGTAAGCCTCTTATCAGGCCTTTGTTGTCCTCGTATGTGGTGATACAATACAAGAGCTACGCATTCTCATATTAGTCATCATTAGGATACTGACAATTGGAGCGGACCGTCGGACGTGGTAGGATTCATGGACGTAGACGTGGATTAAAAGTGCAGATGGTGTGAACCGAGGAAATTCCACAACGACTGATATCAAATTCGAAAATTCTTTCTAGCCGAATCCACATTCCTATGAAGAATGGAGCGCATTGCTAAGCCTTGCGAACCCGAGAAGGCCGTGCTAACAGAGAAAGGAGGAGAAGAGAAGGCTAGGTACATGTGGATGACTTAGTGGAGAATCGGCGCGTCTTTGGTAATAGACGCCCTTGTTTCGCCACGGTGATTATTGCAGTAGCCCTTCGGTGGCCTGAGCTGAGGAGCCTTGGAATGCTCGGACCACAGGCAGTTGTGGATTCGCGCCCGGAGACATCCTTCGCACCTCTGTACCTGCCTACTCACGTCAGCAGATCTTGAACGGTGACGAGACGCGACTTACATATCCTCGGGTAATACCCATGGTGCAAGAGGCGGGACCCAATATCCTTTGAGGGCGGCTTGGATGGCGTTGTGGACTGCCGGGTGAAGCTGGCGCGGAAAAGCGAGGAGTTTGAGAGCCACGGGACCCTGTGCTGTTGGATCGAGGACATGCGGTATGTTGCGCATCATTAAAATATTGAGGAGCAGATTCCAATCCGGATACTGCATACTGTAAATCTCTTCCAATTTCGGACAAATTGCGCCGTTCAGCATGGCCCGACAGAGAATATCGAGGTGAATGACGTCTCCACCTATAGGGAGTCGAATAACGCGAAGGTTAGTAACAAATGGCAACATCTCCTCAAATCCCTCCATTCGTGCCATGCGCCTCCCATAGAAGAGTTCTCTGACCTCGATGGTGAGCGTATCGAGGCACGCGAACAGTCCACTCGGCATGGTGTATGCGTTGAGAAATGTAGAGTCGATACGGTTCATTAGGTATACCACCAAGTTTAGTCTCTGATCCTCCAAAGGTATAATGCCGTCCAAGGACGCCAGAGTATGGGTTGTGACCACAAGCTTTTCGATATTCGGGAGTTGAACAGGAGGAAGAACGTCTCGACTGTATGGCCAAAAGATGCCTGGTACGTAAACCGCCCGGACGAGAGGTGCCCTGCGAAGAAATTTGCGTAGCTCCTCCGTTTCGATGATGACAGTACCCTCGTGAACATTTCCCCCAAAGCTCCATCAGGTTTGGCGTGGACATTGAGAGGAAGAGGCGTAGTTGGGTGATACTTCGGGATGTAAAATGGAGGCTTTCCAGACGTTGCAGTGTAATGACTCTGTCGGCTGCTGAGGGCGAATTTACGCGGGTAGTGGTGCAGAGACCTGTCCATTTGAGCACCTTGAGACGACTGCAAGTGGCAAGGAGCTGGAGGAGTTGGAAGAGCGCGGGGTAGTCCATCTCCCTCATCAGGACAAGGGTAGAGAGCGTAGCTGTGGCGGATGCGATCATGGCCTCGATCAAGCGTGTTGGCAGTCCTGTCGAGAGGATTAGAGATTGAAGGTGGGTTGTCGCATCTAGTCGTATTCGTTGTACCGGGGACAGGATGGACGGTCGGGTAGTCACATTTATCTCCAGATGGTGGAGTCGGGGAATTTTCAGGAGCGTCCTTACCCACTGATCCATTGCAATGCCGACGACGCGAAAGGTGGATCCGTTGATGATGACCTTTTCCAGCGACAAGGCCTGCATCAGTGGAGTATCCAATGGTCCCTTATCTTCCATCGCATGGCCAAGAAGCAGCTGCAGCGCGCGCATGGTTGGTATGCTTGCTATAGCACCCAATACGCTGTCCAACTCCTGACGCGAGGTGATTGTAATCACCAGCGAACGCAAAGATCGAGTATTTTGCAGCAGTTCTGGTAGCATCCCCTCTGGATAATCCAATGACAGGTGCCGCAAATTGATCATACGGGCGACCAAGCGCGGCACGCCCATATTTCCCGCGCCGGACCGCGAACTCGTCCACTCAAAGTCCTCGATTCGGTCCAAGTGATCCTCGAAGAGATGATCGATGACATGTAATAATCTCAATCTCCCATTCGTAATCTTTACGGCCAAGGGCGCCCGTTTGGAAAAATGGACGCGCACGGCAGCGACTTCGACGAAATCTGGCTGACTATCGTCGAGGATGATGGTGGACCATAGTCGTGGCTCTTGCTCTGCAAGTCTTCGCCACGTTTGCGACACCAAGAAGAGAATCAGTGGCGTCGCTGGGTCGTCCTCTGCTGCTTTTTGGAATATGAGGCTAAGCAGCTCTAGCGGGAGTCTGTTTATGTAGTGCCCCTTGTTTTGTGTCGAGCAGGTCGCAAGTCGGGTGCTGATAATTGCGTTCAGCTCCGTCGTCAGTCTTGGATCAGGCTCTTCCTGTGCTCGTATTCGATGATACAATGCGATTCCATCTCTATCTACGCATCCTGCGTCAGTAATTATCACAGAGTCGACAACTTGAGCAGACCATTGGATGTGGTAGAATTCATGGACGAGCGCCAAAGGATGGAAGAGACCGAGACTTATGCCAGTGAACAAAGAAAAATCTGAGAATTGTGCAACGACTGTGATTCAAAAGAGCGATAGAAGCAATGAATGGACGGGCACAAGCCCCTCGCCATCATATTTCGGCGATTACTATAGATTAGGCCACCACCTCTTTGTCAGATCCTTCCAGAGAGCTTCTGGTCGATTGACGCTACGTATTACATCAGCTTCCCACTTCAGAAGGTCAGGCAGCGGACTCACGTTTCAAGAGTGAGAGGGAATGTATCATCCGCCTGGTGGTTTTGCCATTCCTCTGGCTCCTTTGGATTATCGAACCCAAATCCTAGTCTCCACGTCAGACCCTGATAGGCATTGCCGATGAAATCTGGCGGAGCGAGGGAATTGTTCTTGAGATGCGTCGACTTGATCTCCGAGTCGATAACCGTAAAGCTCGTAGACTGGCCTCCAACGGTGCCCGTGTATTGCTGCGGGGTGAACTGCCTACCCCCAACGACCGCCACGCGCACCTTTTCCTTCTTGGCCATCGTAATCTACAAAACGACTGGTTTAGTTTCACCTCTATCAACATCATAACTAGACGCACCGTGAAAATGGCACAAGAGCTAGCACAACGACCATTGTTGACGATTCCAATGTTCTCCATTGGGAACAGCGGCTCGCTCGGCACATCAAGCGGGAAAGGCTGGCACTCGTCGCCCAACTTTTGACTAAACGCATCTTGCCGACCATTTACGACCGTCTTCACGGGTGGCTCGAGCCAGTTGTAGCTTTCGGGGAAGTAGGCAGACGAGTTTGCGTAGCGCCAGTTGACTGGATCGTAAAGGAGATATGCACGCTCAGGTACGCCTCCTGCGGTGATTACATTGGTGATATTGGATGCGAGTGCATTGTATCGCGCCTTGGTATCGAAACCTGCATTGGGCTCGGTGCGCGGAGATGGTCCGGCCAACTACGCAGATGGTCAGCCCTTGAACACCTTATGAGAGAGATAACGTACGAAGCGGTGGAGATAGTTGGCGACGCAGATGTATCCACCTCCGTTGTTCGTCACATCCACAATAAGATGCGTAGCACCTTGAGCCTTGAGCGATGTGAGTCCATCCTTGATAATCTGGAACCACTGCGCATATCCAGCTCCCGTGGAGAAACTTCCAAGCATGAAGATGCCGACTTTGCCTTGTAGATAGAACTGCGCTGTACCACTGCCGGATACAGGCGTAGGTGGGTTGAGTTCCGGTGGAAGTGCCACATCTGCAAGAGCAGTAACATCAACGAGCGAAGAAATGGGGTGCCTGCGGTCCTCTGGAGCAATGGGCTCGGCAAACTTTGGTGGAGACGGGTCGACGAGTTCGGCCGTCTTCGAGTCTCCTTCCTCTGCACCCTTGAGCATCTTGTCGGCAGTCTTGGCAGTTGCGAAATAATCGACACCATTCGTCGTACTCTTCGCCAAACAGTTGCCTTTCCAAAGATCGGCAGCATTCGTAAATGGCACCGTACCCGTAGCGATACGCGAGATGAAGGGAACTTTAATCGTCTCCCAACGCGTCGAGTTGACTGGGATGACCGTCATCTTGACATAGTCTTTGGCCGGTGGGAGGCTGCGAGCAGCGAAATCCCCATGCGGTACGACCATTCTGTTGCTGCGCGGATATAGGACGAGAAGAAGGAATTTTGGCGCTGGGAGCGGCCTTGCCATGCACCAATGACCGAAGCCGATTGGTCGACGGCGTACCACGGGTCAAAGTCGTCAATAGCAATGACTTTGGCACCAGCATACTATGCGAGGTTAGATCGAATTACCGTCGAGATGCAGAAACAAACCTTGGTAAAGTTGTATCCTGCAATTTTTGCCATTCCGCGACAAAGGGGGCAAACTCCTTGGAGACGACATTGTAGGCTTCGGGGGCGATATAGATGTCTTGGACCCAATTCTGCCAGCCAGAGTTGAGGTTAACAAGGGGAAAGGGGAGATAAGTGACCTAGGCGAGCAGTTAACTCGAGTGGGACTAATTATCGGGAAAGACGTACAAATAAGCTGTCGTCTACAGTCCAATCGGTCAATAATGTGTACACCTCTGCTATATTCACACGTACAGCAATAGTCTGCAAAGAATTAGAAGAGAAAGTGATCGTTATGAAGGACATACTGATATAGGTGCAATGTCCGTCAAAGAGACGTTTGACTGATCGCGGGTCAGCGGGGATAGTCAAGCAGGAGGGTGCGCATACCCTGAGCAGATACACTTTATGCAGGTAATGATTAAGTCCACGTCCATGGCCGGTATAACCTACTCACTCTTTATGCAACTCGACTACAGACATGTCAGTGATGACAAGTAGGGTAATGTTAAAACGTACAGTCACTCGAGTACGAGGTACGCTTGATGCGCTTCAACTCTGACTGAACGTCGACGTGTACATCGAAGAATGGTGGAGGAGCCCAGATTTGGTAATTTGTCGAAGCGTGAAAGTTGAGCGTCTTGCTAACGACGTCGACAATCTACTCGCCATGAGAATCTATTCAGCAGATGAAGAATGTACGCACGTTATCTCGGAGCGTCGCATTGAACGCAAAGGAACTATGGCCGTCAGAGAAAGTAACGAATTCTACAGACATAGATTTACTTTAGGCATGCGGTGAGCTTGGAAGGGACGACATAGGTCTGGTTGGCAATAGCCGCGCAGGGATCACTTTGTCGTTCGACCAATACACTGTCCTGGTCCGCAAGAGAGTAGCGCGCAAGAGCGAGAGCAGTAACGAGGCTACGAAGGAGGGCGAAGCCAGCCATGATTCCAAGAAAGAGTTTGATAGCTTTACTGTCGGCGATTCGAGATTGAAGGGAGTGTTGCTGTGTAGGGCAGCGACGGTTTGACTTGTCACTGCCTTCTGAAGATCTTTAGAAAGGAATGTGAGATCTCGTGCCGAAAGCGACAGACGCTCGAGGCGGGGGGAGATGGCGAAGAGAGCGGAGGGCTGAACGAGGTAAAGCCAAGCCTTGTGCTTTATAGTGATCGATAGTGTTGTAATTGAGATCGAATGTGGTCTTCTACCGTCTTTTCGACGCATTGGGTGGTGGATGTTGCACGCTGGCCAGGGACAAGTCCACATGGCGGAAAGAACGCAAATACATACGACAAGTCACATACCCGACTATGCGCACAGGGCGCAACAGTCGTGGGTTCAAGATCCCTAGGCTTCATATGGTCCGTCCACAAGGTCGCCCTCTTCCTGCCGCCCACTCACAATTCGACATACATCACAATACAATACGCGTCGTGAGAATTCCGTGATAGAACAACAGTCGCTAGCAAGGCACGTCGACAGCAAGCTGACCATAGACCGTACATTAGCACCAAGACTGGGTCCTCTGACTCTCACGACTTCGGCTCGTGGTCATTAAACTCTATCAATATCCTCCTGACGAGCGCTCCGCGTGCAGAGTGTATCCCGTCTTCGGGGTCATGAGAAATTCTATGTGGTATAGACTTTCTTTGGGCCGCAGATAGCGCCATTTTGCTATTATGCTATGCATTAGGCCCTCCAGTGGGTAAGAGAGGGCGCCCGGGAGGTATCATTCCCTCTGAGACACGGCACATGTAGAGTTAACCTTGGCGCTATTATCAAATATCGAATGGATAATCATCCTAAAGTGACTCTCTACCTGGCCAGCCGCATGGGTGGCGTGTTGCCTCAGGTTTGCGCCAGCCTCTTGACTAGCCCCGCACCAGGGCACCCCCGGCATGCCAGAGGAAGCAAGGGTAGAGACCTTGGAAGAGATAGGCAGACAAAGAAAAGTTCTCAACCAGATCAGGAACATCATCAATCGAAGGTTGGGAGATTTCGCGCCATCTAAACTTCTGGCCACTGACACGTGCTCGGTCGTTAGGGCTCAGCTCGAGCTAGAATAGTGAGTTTTCAGGTTGTTATCCCCGTGACTTACCGCTTCCAGCTGCCGCGGACTGAAATCAATCCTCGATGATTGTCGGTACATCTCTGAGCATAACACCTTGTATCCGCTATTGAAACCGATGATCGACCAACTAAAATCAGGTTTGGGGATTATTTTGTCCAAGATATGATCTCTGAAGAGCTCAGAAATCGAGTGGAGAAAGGCCAAGAAGGTAGATAATCCACCGACGGCAATGTACTTCAGAACGGTAGGCCCGCTCCTTGGAAGAAAGCAAATTGTGGCCAACTTTTCTCAGGAAGTAGAGAATGGCCATAGGTTAATCCGTGGGTGCCTAAATAGTTATATAGAGTTATCTCGCTGCGCACCCAACGAGTCCTTCGAGCCTCCCAAAATCGATTGCACACTCTGGAATCTCACACTTGAGGTAGCACAGCGGCTCGTAGATGGTATAATTTTCATCGCATATTTGACAGTCACTGACCCACGCAGATAGAGAGTATCGCAGCCAGTTACATGATCGAGAAATTTATGTAACTCGTTTCAGGACGTGGGCTCAATCCAATCTCTCTGTCGGTAATCTTGAGTATCACTTGAGGCTACTGACAATGATACGATCAGCCAATGATCACGGCCCACCAAGATGATGTCGAAAACACATGCAAAATCATTCAACGTTTTATTTCCCAGTTCATGTATGTGCCAAAATATGCCTACGTGGAGGCGACTATGGCTGAGAAAGTTTGGAGCGAAACCAGTTTAGAAATGCGCAGATTGGGGTCGCTCTGCGACAAAGAAACCTCTTCCGTTGACAAGTACACTCCAGCTGCAGTAATCCACAAACTCCAAGAGCAGGAACTTCACCGAACCATTACCCGCTCTCAGACGTATATCAATCCGTATGGTTACGCTCTTTCCGACATTTCAGTCTGTAATAGGTTCTTCCACCCTTGGATGGTTTCGACAAAGGAGCCTTTAGAACGTCATGAGCCGTTGAAGGAGGTTCTGCAGACCTCAGTAAGTGGTTTTGGCCACTGTAAAATGCTTGTTAAGATATTGGAAGCTTTCAAAATTGTTTGAACTCGAGCACACCGAGGTTCGACGGCTTTTCGACCAACATCAAACCGTCAAGGCCGATGCAAATCAAACCGACGACCTCCCAAACAGTCTGAAATCCTCATCATACATGACATCGACAGAGAGTCATCCCTCTTGGGTGTGCTTCAGGGAGATAGTTGGTCACCAATCCTATTTATTAAGTGGTCCGCTGATAACTAGCAGTTATTCTTTCTGGAAAGGGCGCCACTCATTAGACTGAGAGAGGAGATGGCAGAGGAGCTATATGGGCAATGTAAGGCAGCGTAATCTTAGACTCCTCTCACAATACCCTCGCAGACTTTCCCAAGAACATACCACGGCGTAAATTATCTGGGCTATTTTACGGAGATTCCCAGAATGGCTATGAACGGGCGAAATATAACATCAAGTTTATTGAGAAATATCTTGCAGAAGATGTCGTAGTGTTTGCCTGTGCAAGTAGCGATGGACCCAATCCAGTTGGCACTGGCAAGGTGCGGATATCTCAGGCGAAGGACTTCTGCTGGAGGAATCTACGAGAGAAATGGGACTTTGAAAACTGGTGTCCCCTTCCGGATGGACAGAAGAACCCGCCGATACGACGGTTGACAGACAGAGACGACCTCCCGGTTCAAGAAGAGAGTTCAACCGCGGAAAAAGGGAAATGACCGATATCAGTTTGTATTGGACAAATGAATGTAGACAATTTCTGGTCCCGTCTCGCTCATCATCCATCACGCCTCGCCGACCAGAGCGGTCCTGTTGAGATAAAGAAACGGGTCCCGGAATGAGTACCGACCCCACAAACAGCGATAGGACGTCCTGTCAAGCCGGGGCGATGCGGGTCATGAGCTTGGTGAGGGGCCCGGTCCGGGAGATGAATGAATATGACCAGAGCGAATAAACGCGCATTAATGATATGTGTAATTTAGTTTCGACGTTTTCACGCGACAGATTGTCGACGTAGACGAGCTTGGCGGCCGGTCCGAATGCGCACGGGGGAAAACGATGAAGACGAAGCGGCTAGAACGCGATGGACTCGGGGTCTGGACGATTGCGAGGACTGTTAGGATTGAATGTGCTCGTGGGTGAATGAATGATCCGAGAGGGAATCACGGGGGGGAATACAGCGCCCCGCGAAGACGTTGGCCGGCGGTAGTTCTGACCAAACCGAGCATATGAGTATGGAGAGAGGATGGGGTTCTTTGATGTCTCATCGCTTCTGGGTGATCTATATGGGTAGCTATAAATACAATGGAACCACAGAGGAGCGAAATCTCCACTCGCCTTGTGCCCCGCACGGACGACATCATCATCCAAGGATCCAGTAGGTAGAGAAACCCGGCGACTGCGACAAAAATGGCATCAACAGCGTCTGCTGAAAAGTATCCCATCGACGAAAAGCCACAGGTCGAGGCATCTGAACAACGCGACGGGACGGGATCCATCGAATCTGGCGACCAGGCAGAGTGGCGACACGGCGTCGACGCTCAGCACGAACATCGCATTCTCAGAAAGTTGGATGTTCACTTGCTACCCTTTGTCTCTCTTCTCTACCTTCTTTCATTCCTGTACGTCGCCACCTGACCGCTAACTCGTCGATTGACTGACGAATTCTCAGGGATCGTTCGAATATTGGGAATGCGCGTGTTGCAGGCATGGCTACAGATCTACATCTCGTTGGTCTGCAGTACAATATCGCCGCAGCCGTCTTTTTCCTGCTTTATTGCGCGGCAGAAATTCCCAGGTGAGCGTGTTCTAGACGTCTACACGAGCAACGTATTCTTACTGCATATTTCCAGTAATATTCTCCTCAAGTTGCTGCGTCCATCGCGATGGAGTCAGTGTCCAAGTTGTGATCGACGGCAGTGGCTAACAGACTGCAGTTCCCTCGATTATGGTTTCGTGGGGAATTGTCATGGTATGCAGTCAGAATGATTCAGAATATTGTCTAATATCTTCTAGACGTTGATGTGTCTCGTCAATAGCTTTACCGGACTTGTCATGTGCGTCGACCTTTGACCTTGAAATCCATGTCTAATGCTTATGTACAGTGCTCGCATTTTCCTTGGTCTCACCGAAGCTGGTCTCTTCCCTGGAGTCACATTCTACCTCTCCCTCTGGTACAAACGATCAGAGCAGTCGAGGCGAGTTGCCATCTTCTTCTCCGCTGCGACAGTCGCTGGTACGTGCGCTTTCTATCTGCTACTGGACTCCTATTCATGGACGATATAGGTTCATTTGGTGGCATTCTTGCATACGGAATCGAAAAACTCGATGGACGCGCTGGTCTCCACGGGTGGCAATGGATCGTCAGTACTCATGGATTGTCTACTTCCTGTTTCTGACAGACATAGTTCCTCCTCGAAGGTATCCTGACCGTTCTCGTTGCCGTTGTCGCCTACTGGTACATGCACGACGTACGTATCTCTCTCTCTGCGCAGCTACTGAACCTGACCTGGTCCTCAGTACCCTTCCACTGCAACATTCCTGACTCAAAGTGAACGTGACTTTGTCGTCGAGCGCCTCAAGCACGACTCGACAGACCTCGCAACGCACTATGACAAAAAGTTTGTCTTCCAGGCGCTCACCGACTGGAAGTGCTGGATGCAAGTCGTCATCTACCTTGGGTACGACCCTTCTTTCTGCGCCCAAGGTGGATCATACTAACACCTCGGCAGCGTTCTCATCCCCGTCTATGCCTTTTCGCTCTTCATCCCAACCGTACGTTCATCTCTTCTCACGTCACCCATTCTCATCCCTCCTAGATTATCAACGAACTTGGCTACCGCGCATCCGACGCCCAACTCCTCTCGACGCCACCGTATATCGCCGGCTGCTTCTTCACTGTCCTCATCGGCATCTACTCTGACAAACTCAAACTCCGAGGCCCAATCGTCATCGGATGCGCTACCGTCGCTATTATCGGATACGCCATCCTCTACGCTACCCCGCATACTCGTCCTGGGCAAAGCTACGCTGGTACGGTCATCGCTGCCTGTGGTGTCTTCCCTAGTATTGCCGTCGTGCTGGCCTGGACGGGAGGAAATGCCGGTGGAGATATCAAGCGTGGTGTCTCGCTTGCCATGACGATTGGAATTGCGAATCTTGGAGGGTGAGTTGGATTGCACCCTTTTCTAGACAATTCCTCACTCATGTCTAGTATTTGCTCGTCGTTTATCTATCGTTCAAAGGACGCTCCTCGCTTCTACATTGGACACGGAACCGTCATTGGATGCTTGCTCCTTGCGTACGTCATCTCTGTACCCGTCGTGACTCCGACTCTAACGCCTCGTCAGCATCATCTCCTCTTCGGTCGCCATGTTTACCTATCACCGACTCAATAAGCAAAAGGAGGAACAATGCCTCCGCGAGGGCATTGACCATTCGCATGCACCCAAGTTCCGCGACATGGGTGACGCTAGTCCACTCTTCCGGTACGTCTCTCGTCGTCCTAGTTTATACTTGACTGACGACTGGGATAGTTATACAATCTAGACAAAAGGGAATGGAATGTATGATACGCGGATAAACAAAGTTGTAAATTACATGCCCAAATGTCATAGCGTGATGAAGAAGTAGAAATCTAGGTACATATGAAACCCCTTGACCACAGCGAAGTGGAGGGAAGGGTCTTAGAGGCCCTTACCAGGCACATTAATTGGGATTTCTGCACGATTTCTACCTCAAGGCCATGGCTTAAGTCCGTCACGTGAGTCGTATGAACGGCCAGCCTCTACATTCTCCGTCATATGTGCGAAGAGCACATCCCAACCTCGTTTTTCGCGATGCCTAAATAAACCATGTTCTAAGACGTCCCATTTGCGAGTAAGGTCCTGCCAACAGAATGTATTTTCCTGCGATCGTGATTCAGCTGAGAGATTGAAGCAGAAAAGCTTACCATTCCAATGCAGATATGCGCTGCGAGTTTCTGTGGTAAATATGCATATACACAGACAGGCCATTTCCTGTAAACGACCTCGTATTTGTCGAATGTTAACTTGTTGCCATCAATTCCAAGCATTCTATGAAAATCCTTGCTGGATATGCTTCGGCTGTTGTCTATCCGGAATTGAGTATGAAGGCGAATCCAGTCTCCCTCTCACAATTTTTACGTAGTTGCTCGGCGATGTCGATGTTTAAAAGCAGTAAAGGCGAAAATGCGAAAAGGAGCATCTACCAAACGTCATTCTCCTTGCCCTGAGAGCTTTGGGCCTAGAACGTACCACAACTTGAAAGCAGACTAGTCGTTCTCTCTCCATCTTTTCTTCTTCCGTGATCCAATTTTCGTGCTCGGTACTCCTAAGCGCATCTCGAACTGTTTGGTATGCCTGACTTGTCGCCTCCCAGTGATATAACAGTGAAATCTCCTTTTATTAGCGACAAGTCGGTACGATGGGTATACGTACTGGAGTGTATGTGACGTCTCTGAACCGCGACTCGCTATTTGGCTTTAGGAAGTACTGGTCAATAATCTCTACACTTTCGAGTTGATCCTCAAAAGTGCCTATTGATACTTCGCGAAAGACTTCTCCATACGGATTCGTGTAAATGGGCTCCATGACTACCTCTTGGTCCAACTCTGCGGCCTTAAGGTTATCGATTACTGCAAAAGGCCGGGTTCTGTCCACAGATGCAACTTCGTTCTTGCAAATTGACGTAGTCCTACTTATTTCCGTACCTATGGCACTTGATCTGAGTCAGGAAAGCCTCCAACACCACCAGAATCATTTAAATACATCATCTGTGTTGTCGCCCTCTCAACCAGGGTGAACGTGCTTTCAAGAAGCTCTTGATGCGCGGTGACCATCGCCTACGCCAAACCATAAGCGAGTCGTATTGAATGATGGAGGGACAACATTAAGATCGTGTTGAACCCAGGCTTCGTACTCTGCTATATTTCTTCGATGCCTTCCTATGGCTCGGCGGAATTCCATATCTGGGGAATTGGAAACTACCTTGAAGGCTACAGTACACTCACCCAACTTCATGTGCTCAATTTCAGCCGATCCCATCTCCGCAAGAGTACATGAGTTGGGAAGCCTCCTCTCGGCGCTGGCGGATTGTAAATTCGAATAGACTTTGTGACTTTCTTTGCATTTTTGCAATCGCTTGTATCCATCTTCAGCACAAGTCTGAGTCACATGAGCGCTGGATGTACGTTGTTGGAACAGGACACCGACCAACATCCATAGATACCTTAGCTGACTTGTATTTTTCGACCTATGTCCTTGTATCGTGTTCCAGTGTTCGTCAAGTTGGTGCGCCGCCTCAAAAATAGACGCCCGGCATCTTTTTCGTATGTCAATCTCTGCAACGTAAATCACTACTTAGAACCTGAATGCAGCGTATCTACCGTGGATCATCTGATCAACCAGCGGTTTCAAAAGGGGATAAGCCGATTGCTCCTGGTTCAAACGTAGGCAATCGTTGACGATAGATTGTAAACCATCAATACTGAAAAGCGGTTACTTGAAGGTTCTAGCATTTCACGGACATACTATGTTCCTTCGAGTCTCGCTCTGTCCGGTGTGAGAGATCTATGCAGAAGCGTATGTACATACGCAGATACTCACCTGCGTCTGACAACGTTTGTGACCATAGTCAGCACCGAATGTTGCTCGTTCATCTCACTTATTGCTGGTATCTCTGGCATCTTAGGAGAGGTGGGAATCAGGAAGAAGTACTGGTCGGCGCTTTCCGCTTCCGCTCTCGGGTATGCGGCCAACCGTTGAACTTTTCTATAGCCAGAGAGTAGAGATGACTGAATAAAAGGAAAGACCGTCAGAAGTTGATATTTTGATGTCATAGTGCTTTAGCAGGGGTGCTACAGTCGCGCTTCCTGCCGACTCGGCTGAACAACCAGTCGGTCCAATGCTGCTCGTAAGCTCTCCGGCAGCTGCTTGAGTGACTTTCTCTTCTCCTTGTCCACAAAGACGTGGGTAAACCCTCCTACGACGGCGACCGTCTGCTCGTCTAGACTATCCGCCCAGACTTCCGCATCCCTCGGATCTATTACTAGGTTTGAAGTCCTGTCGAATCCAGAGGCGGCAGCTTTGAGCGGTCCGAAGATGCCAACTTCGTATTGTACGCTACTTTGGCCAATCTTTACCACCTTCATGGCCAATAAGAGTCGATTTGGGAATCCGAGGGATCGGAAAAAAGCGGCGTGAGATTCTACGACGAGTCCAATGGGACTCTCGCCTCGTTTGCCCTCCCGCACCGGTGACGGATCGATTCCGGCGTGTTCGACGAGGTATTTGTTGATAACAGTGTCGAAGAGAAAGTTGTAGACCGAGTTGTTCAGGTGGCTATACTGGTCGTTGTCGTTCCTGCAGGAAAACTGCTTCAGAACCCTACGGAGGTCTGATATTATTCCAAACGAACCAGTTTGTTTGGTATACGACAAAATATCGATAGTCCTGAATCCTCCTGCTCGCGAGTGCCTTTGAGGCTGACATGTTGCACGCGACGATACGTCGTCTGTGGCGCCAAGTGGACCAGGATGTTTATGGGAAATGTCTTATATACGCAGTGTCAAAAGCTATTGCAGCCGCGGGGTCGACCGGCTAATGGCTCGCCGGTGCATGGGTTCAAGTCACGCAACCACCGGATTCGCCGATATTTGCACAAGTCGTCGTACGCAGCTAGACAGCTACTTGTTCCAACACAATCAAGTGCACAGCTTTGTTCGATGAAATTGACGGGGAGGTGCGCCCCAAGCGGAAGAGGGCCTGAATCTCTGGAGCTCTGTGGTGCTCATGGTAGATGTCCACTGACAGCCGAGGATCTTTGCGCAGAGTCTGAGAGTATTCCTTCTCCAGCGTGTTTGAATCCCGGGTTACGCCAGGCTCAACCCCGTTCAAACTCTCCCAAGCAGCGATGGCTGTCTTGCCGCATGATTCGGTCCCTCGCCTCGTTCCTTCTTTGATTGCTCCGTGACGTGCATCCCTTTGATATCTAATTTCTCGAGCATGATTGAGCCTTGGACGAAATTAGGGCAGCAGCACAGATTCTCTAAGGTTCGAGGATTCCTCGCCACGCACCTCGAAGCCATACCCGCGACATCTCGATTCCGCACTATACCTATCTCATTATTCCTCTTCTTACGGTCTTCATAGTATGTACCCTCGTGACGAAGGCAGTAGCACACGCCTAAGCCCTCCTTGCTTTCTCATCGCTTTTCCCCGTTCCAATGTTTATCCCTTTAATATACGATGATATGTACAACGATCAACTAGAGAAGAGCTCTTGTATTACTTCTTAATCTACACCCTCCATCAATATAACAAGGGTCTAGACTGGTGAATCTGCTCGCCCCCGCCAAATAGCACTTACTTGGTCTCACAAAGCCCTCGTACGGATAAGCTCCAATCGTGAACCTAGCATCTGTGGAAGGATTGGTTCATCTTACAGGTCAGAACCCGGCCGACCACGCTGGATTACCTTAACGGATGTACATAGAAAGTGTAACGCATTAGAAGAAGAAGAGGGACGCTATAGTCTAGTGGCCTAAGGCTAATTCAGTCCGAATCCGGCTTGTTCCATTTTGCCACGAAGCTGCTCGTCATTGAATACGGCCTCCATGACACTGATTGTCCTCTCGGGCCTCCCTGTCAAACGGATTTCAACACATCTAAACATTTCGATAAAATTTTGTTAATATATGAATCGCCCTCTTTTTTCGGTCGACATGAGTGCATGGCTCAGCATGCGCCACACATTGGAAATGCTGAAACTGGGTTGGCCATTTCTGTCATAGCGGCCTAACGATCTCCTTCACTCGATGCGTCTTGGTGTTATTACGACTTGCCGCTCCCTACGTCTGGACAGTCATATGGGTGTCCCTCTAGCGGATAGCGTGCGGTATCCGATTGGAAAGGAGGAAGCTCTACGCTGCCTCTCAGTTACTTTGGGTCTCGTCGGTGAGTGGCCATCACTCAGATATGGTCTCTCGTTCAATTCAGTTGACGGGAATAGGCACGACGGTCCTCGGATACTGTTTCGCTGGACGCTCCTACAATGTACGCTTTACAATAAGCGGCCTAAGGCGGATCAGCATGACAAAGTGTCTCCTCCTCTTACTTTTCCTCGATTCGTAAGTCAACAAACGTGCCGCGATGCTCATATTCTCACCTTCCTAGGTGGCTCTTCGTCTTTATCGGTGCGGTCATTTCCCATCTCGGTGTTTTGGCCTCACACTCTGACAGCCGCGGTCCTCGTCAATGGCATTGGTCTCTCCCTTAACGCGAGCGCATGCACAATGGGTATCGTCTTGTGCATTGTATTCTACTGTGCGTCCAAGCTCTTTATATACCTCTTTCTCCGTACGTTGCTTCATTCGAATACCGTCTTGGCTACTTACCCGTCCATGGCAGTCGAAAAGATTTACGTCGTCTGGCCACACAAGAGCAGCCGTTTCTCGTCTAGAGCGTATCGAGTAGGCCTCACTGGTGTCGTTGCGCTGGTTATCATCTTTGTCAGTATGATTACAGGCCGGATCACGTTTATCCGCGAGGACGGGCAATGTGTTATCGGACTTCACAGACTAGCATCGATCACATCGCTTTTGATGGATCTCTTTGCCAACATCTTATTGACTTCCATGTTTCTCTGGCCCCTATGGAGGTCCAACTTACTCTCGCCCAACATCAAGAGGGTCGCGACGAGAACATTGGTGTGAGTGGTCCATCTGAGTTTCAAGAACCAGGCCTCATTATCCTATAGGTCATCCATGGTGTCGCTAACCTTCTCAGTCGCCAATATGGCAGTCCTGATTGCCCTCAAGGGACACGAGTTGGCGGTACGCCTGTTGTGTTACCCACCAACTTGCTACTAAGACGTCATTCCTCAGTTTATTTGCCTTGCCTTTTGCTCAACAGATGTTGTCGTCAATGCCGTCTCACTTTATTGGCTCACCCATCCTCACGCCTCCGCCGACTGTCCCCAAGTCGACCCACCGAATCGAATCAGGTCACCAATGGAGCTTACACGGACTACTCGCACCGAAGTCGGGTCTAACCCTGAAAGTAGTTCTAGAACTCGCAGCGTGACCGTTGCGTCTGCCAAGACGGTCAAAGGAGAAGAAGAAGACAGGGTTATCCCCCCCATTGTATCTCTACATACTGACAGCTGCAAGACATGTATACACGAAGAGACCAACTCGCGCGCATTTTTTTCAACTCTGGGCCACCATGATGATCCTAATCAAGGACGACAAACCATGCCCTTTACCTCTCTTCCGGCTGTACCATGTAGTTCCTCACCTACTCCTGACCAGAAGCGGCACTCTGTCGGCGTATTCATTGAGCCACCAGCAAATGAAGATCAACCCTCATTCTTTGGACGACTTTTCGGACGTGATAAAGGTCAGGACGGTGACCATCCAGCGGCAAGCGAGTCAGTTGGGAGGGTCTCGCTCCCGAGTGCTGGTCGGACAAGCTTTAGCACGCGTGCGGCAATGGACTCGACGAGACAAAAGCGGAGTGATCGACGAGTAGCAGAAGAACTCAGTATACAAGTCACCGTGGACACGACGACGTATATGGAAGAAGAGAGGCGTGTGGGGTATACGGTCTGAAGCATCATCCTTATTTTACTTCCCCTTGCTTTCGCTTTACATTCTTGTAGTATTCATATCCTTGTACAAGATGCCATGAATATCGTCGGGTTCGACCTGCGCACATGGCTTGGCATGTGCCACATTGGAAATGCCGAGATGAGGCTGGTCATCTCTGTCACAAATCGGCCTAATGTTGGTGCGGGTTACGACTTGCCGCTCCCCACGTCTGGACAGTCATGGGCGTCTCTCCAGCGGAAAGCGTGCGGTATCCGATTGGAATGGAGGAAGCTCTACGCTCCCTCTCGGTTACTTTGGGTCTTGTCGGTGAGTGCTCGTCGCCCGAGTAGGCCGTTTGTTCAGTTTGGTCGACTGGAAATAGGCACGACGGTCCTCGGATACTGTTTCGCTGGACGCTCCTACAATGTACGCTTTACACTAAGCGGCATGAGAGCGATCAACGTGACAAAGTGGCTGCTCCTCTTACTTTTCCTTGATTCGTAAGTCGACAAATGTGTGGCCATGCTCATATTCTGATAATTCTAGGTGGCTATTTGTCTTTATCTGTGCGTTTTATGATCCTATTGGTATTCCAGCCTCAATACTGCGACAGCCGCAGTCCTCGTCAACGGCATTGGCCTCTCCCTCAGCGCTGGTGCATGTACGATGGGTATCGTCTCATGCATTGTATTCTACTGCGCCTCCAAGCTCTTTATCTACCTCTTTCTCCGTACGACATCCTGTTTGACTCCCGCCCCCACCACTGACCTCAGTCGCAGTGGAAAAAGTTTACATCGTCTGGCCGCACAAGGGTCGCCGTTTCTCGTCTACAGCGTATCGAGTAGGCTTCACCGGCGTCGCTGCAGTCGTAATCATCTTTGTCAGTATGATTACAGGCCGGATCGCTTTTATCCGCGAGGATGGGCAATGCGTTATTGGGCTTCACAGGCCAGCCTCGCTCACAGCGCTCTTGATGGATCTCTTTGTCAACATTTTGTTAACTGCCATGTTCCTTTGGCCTCTGTGGAGGTCCAACTTGCTCTCGCCCCCTATCAAGAGGGTCGCGACGAGGACGCTGGTGTCAGTGACCGGTGTCAGTTTCAAAATAGTCGCCTCAATATTGTATAGGTCATCCATGGTATCGCTAACCGTCTCCGTCGTCAATCTAGCTGTCCTCACTGCTCTCAAGGGACACGAGCTAGCGGTATGTGGTTTCCTGTTCTTACCGATCTGTTACTAAGATGAGATTCCTTAGTTTATTTGCCTGGCATCCTGCTCTACAGATGTCGTCGTCAATGCCGTCTCACTCTACTGGCTCACTCGTCCTCAGTCATCCACCAATTCATCTTCTGTTGGCCAGCGGAGCCCAATCACACCTCCAGTCGAGTTTACGCGCGTTACTCGAACCGAAGTCAGGTCCAAGCCAGACACCCGTTCGAAGACCCGGAGCGTGACCTTTGCGCCTGCCAAAGGGCTCGCAAAGGAAGACGAAACGACTGGCCCCTCGACCACATCTCTATGTAACGACACCTCCAAGATGTATAATCACGAAGAGACCGACTCGCGTCCATTCTTTTCGACCTTGGGCCACTACGATGATCCTAATCAAACTCGACAGACCATACCCTTTACCTCCCTTCCAGCTGTACTATACGTCTCATCACCCACTTCCAACCAGAAGCGGCACTCTGTGGGCGTATTCATCGAACCTCCGACAAACGAGGGCCAAACCTCGTTCTTTGGACGACTTCTCGGGCGTGATACCAGTCTTGATGACCAAAACTCTGCAACAAGTGACTCGGTTGGAAAGGTTTCGCGGGTCTCGCTCTCGAGTGCTGGTCGGACAAGCTTTAGTACACGTGCGGCGATGGACTCGACGAGGCACAAGCGGAGCGACCGACGAGCAGCAGGGGATCTCAGCGTGCAGGTTACAGTGAATACGACGACGTATATGGAAGAAGAGGCGAATGAAGAGATGTGTGTGGGATATGCGATCTGAGGGTGTCTCCTCTGAATTATTTGCTTTCTATTGCTTTATCTTTACATCCATGTAGCATTCATTCCATTGTACAAGATGGCTTTCGCTGGCCGACCGACCGGGCTTATCGTAGCGCCACGGCCACCGCATTTCTTGACCTGACCGCCACTATCCATTGTCTTTGAGCCAACCAACGAATCTTCCAACAGCTCAGTACTGGCACTTTTGCGCTCTAGGCGCCCATTTTCGCACGCCGAGAACTCAAGCGACTGGGATCTTCATGCGCTTCGACACATCCACGACACCCGACTCTGTATATAGCACGTTATAATGGCTACAAATCGCAAATTCGAAAGCTACGAACTTCAATTGTCCTTGCCCGACCGACCATTTACCGTCGACTTTCCTCAACCACTCGACGACAGCGCGCCGTCGCCGAGATTGCGCTCGTACAAGAAACGCGTGGCGGATATTGATGGAATGGTCGATGGAGAAGATGAACAGGATGATATTCCGGATCCCAAGACGCCGCTGACGGGTGTACGCGTCGTTGAAGCCAGCAGCTCGACCGCGGGTATCAGTCGAGAGACGCTAGATGTCGATGAAGTCTATACTGGCGCGTCAAAGGATACGATTCCCGAGGATGTACATGAGTATCAGCTGTACAAACGAAGATGGGTCGGCGTCGTCGCGCTCGTAAGATTCATTATCCCGAAACAGTCGACGCTCGCTGACAAATGTTGTTCATTTGTTGATCTAGGTCCTCTTAAATATCGTAAAGGGATGTAATTGGGTCTGGTTTGGCTCGATTGCGAACCTCATGACCGCAGAGTTTGGATTTACTCTCGGCCAAGTCAATATGTTTGGCAATATCCCACACATTAGCTATCTATTATTCAGCTGGTGTGTTCCCATACTCGTGCGGCGATGGGGTCTGCGTTGGTCGGTGCGTACTCTCCATTTCCAAGACTCGTTGCTCACGGAGCCTAGAGTGTATTTGGCGCGTCTGTTCTTCTCATCGCATCTTGGATCCGCTTCAGTGGGACTATACGATCACTCAATACCACAGGCTCGTTCGGCCTAATGCTCCTAGCCCAGGTACGATTTCTAATTCACAACCAACCACCACTAACCTCCAGGTAGCTACTTGTCGGTGTCACAGCACCGTGCTTCCAAGTCGTCGGACCTCGCTACGCAGAGGTCTGGTTCGACCTCAAAGGACGTGCCACCACGACCATGATCGTCGCCATCTCCGATCCACTAGGCACAGCCCTCGGCCAAATCATCGCACCCTTTCTCACAAACCTGCGCTTTGGACTCCTCGTCCTCGCTCTTGCCACAACCATTGCATTTCCACTCGCCTTTGCGGTTCTCCCACAACCACCCAAACCGCCAACCTACTCTGGCTCGCTCATCTCTCCACCAATCTCCCAGACTCTCCGCGCCGCGTTTGGCTTTGCTAGACCAGGCGAGCAGGTGCTCACAAAGACGGAACGAGTCGACTTTTTCATCCTCTTTTTCGTGTTTGGCGTACTAGTGGCCGGCACGTCGAGCTTTTCAGTCTTTATTGCGCAAATATTCCAGCCATATGGCTACTCACCTGGGGTCAGTGGAATCATGGGTGGTGCCTTTTTGCTCAGTGGGCTCGTCGCGGCTATCCTCTCTGCGCCAATATTCGATCGCGTCCTCGTACACCATTTGGCGAGGACTGTACACGTTCTTCTACCGACGCTAGGTGTCGTGTGGATTGGACTCATATTTGCTGGTACGTCTCAGTGTTTCGTGGGGATCTAACTGACGTTACTCCAGTCAAACCAAACAACCTCGGTGGCATCTATGCCGTACTCGTCCTCATTGCTTCCATCTCCTTTATCCTACTTCCCGTCGGACTGGAACTAGGCGTCGAGATTACGCGCAATGCCGAGACAAGTACAGCTGTTCTTTGGAGCGGTGGAAACTTTGTCAGTTTTATTTGGGTTCTCGGTAAGCTCTCTACCCCTACTCTTCTCGAAAGCGCTCACACACCTTGAAGTAATGGATGCGCTGCGTGCTCCAGAGACAGCCAACCCACCACTCAATATGCGCAATGCACTCATATTCAACGCAGCGTTTATTGCAGCCACTGCCTGCCTCGTCGTCTTCTTTACTGGCAAGCAGACTCGGCGCGAAAAGGATGAGGAAATGGCAAAACGTGCTGCGGCGCGTTCTGACTGAATTGGCTTCGCTCCCTAGATGTATCGTATGCTTTTGTTTCCTGGACAAGCGTTTCTAACGTTTGTATTATCTCGAATGGACTTGTACACATGCATTTCTGGTCGTATATCTTGTATGATGGGCGTCAATTAGGGGTCTTTTGTACACCTTATGTCGTGAGGAAGCAGTGCATACGAGGTCCGACGTAGCTACAAGTAGCACAAGCCAGTCTCCATCCCCTTGACGCCCACAAGTATTAAGATACACCCCTATACAATCACTAGTAGTATAACGCCACAGAACAGCAGATGGCGGAACGTGCTACCATGCTTCTGACTGAAGCTCCTCCACTCTCTCCTTCCTCTGACCTATTAAGATGGTGGCTCTGCGTTTTGTGTGACATTCCTGGATGACATTTATACTCTGACGGCCGCGAATCTCCCTTAGCTTTGAGTGTATCCCTTAGATACTGCCATATGTAACTATAATAAACTCGTCTGTCCATGTTGATATCATGAGGATGCAGCGTGGCAAGGGCCTCAAGTGGTTATAATAAGTAGCGCCAGGCAGTCTCCACTGCAACTTTGTCTCCACTATCATCGAGTATGCCAGAGACACCAAGAATTCCCACCCTTGATGAAATGAAAGAGCAACTGAGTGATATCGAGATCATCAGAAGCATTATCAGCCGAAGGTCTGTGCCTTGCTTTGGCCATGCATGTGCAAGTGCTTACGTGCTCAAAGGATCCAGCTTGAGTTGAATTAGTATGTTTCTTGACTTGATTTGGGTCACATAATAAGAAAATATAGCCGTGATGGTCTCCGGGCCATTCTTGCCGATTGTTCCATTCCCAAAGACCACACTCTGTACCCTCTGCTGGAGCCATTAACTAGCCAATTGAAACGAGGTCAGCCAAGGTCATGTTTTGAAGAAATATTTGACGCACTCCATGTAGAAATTCAGATAAGTGAAGAATATTACCAACCACACGAAGCAAGTCTACAACAGCTCTCCCATGAAAAATCGGCTGATCAAGTCATTCTGGAGACAATGGTGCGTAATACGTCTATAATTAGTGTAGCCATGGTGCGCATCCACGCTAAATCCCTTGAGCTCAGGGCGAGGGGATTGTTTTGTTTACAGACTGCCAAATCGCATGCAACCGCATTCAGACATTGCAAGAAAACCCTACTGGTTCACCTCTGAATGTCGACTCCACTTTTGAGAACCTAACAGTTCCACAACTTCAACGCCTGAAAGATGGTAATTTCACTGGTGTCTCTGACAATAGATTCTAATCAGACAACAGATACTGACCTACGACAAACTCTGCACAAGCACGAGCAAATATGCGCGGAAACAAAGAGATGGATAACAAATGTCCTCCACGTACGAACTAAGCTCTGACCTTTCTGACTGATTTGAAACCTGTCTAGCCAACTTTGAAACAGCACCAGAATCTGATCGACCAGACACATGACTTTGTCATCAAATATACTGTGCAAAGAATGTACATCTTTCCACATAGGTCAATCCACCGACTAACAGCTTTGTCAGTGCTGCAACTGTCGCCCTGAGTAAATCTGCATCATGCTGCCAGAGTCAAGTCGCAACACTCGACCGACTTTTGTCACCCAGAAAGCTACATGCCCTCTACGAAGAAGAATTGCAAAATCCTCTCTTGCTTCCTCGAATCTATACCAGTCCCTATGGCCATCAGTCTCGCTACCCATATATTGGTATCAGAGGTATGGCAACTGACGTGCCAGTACTTGTCTGTCAAGATATTGTAGTAAATTATCCAGTGAGTATTGCTTGCAGCGGCATACTATGATATTGATTGGTAGCTCCACAAGCTCTTTGGATACGAAGTAACCAGCCTGCCGGCCCATGGCCTCAACTATTTTGATAACATACCACTTATGGGATTTAATCTTTTCGTTGAGTCCAGGTTGTGAAGCTGGGTGTCTACTTATTTCCAGCAGATGTCCTTATTGAACAAGTCGCCCATTTTACCTATCAATCACGCTGTTGCTACAACACTCAGCCAAAGATGTACGTGAACCCACTTACAATCAGCCACCTGACTAGCAGTAATTTCAGACTATGGAAAAACGATTCCACGACGTAAATTGCACACTATATGGCTGAAGAGGCTTGATCGGGACCATTACTTCTTCAACTACCCTTTTCGAGATGCCTCGTTCATGAGGAGCAAATTGATGAAGTTTATTTGTGTTGGAACTGTGGGTAGTTCCTCATTTCAGTGCTAGCAAGACACTTACGAGGTTAAAGCTCCCATTCTGGGATGATATACTTGACCATTGGGACTTCATCAATTGGCGCCTTCGCCCTTCGGACCCGTGGACACGGGTGTCAAACTTGTAACTGAGACGCAATCTTGGAGGAATTATTATGTTCACTTGGACCCAAGTGCTTTGATAACTATGACCATGAAAGCCCGCGTTTTATTCTACTCTACAGCTATCTACAATAAGAGGACCGAGAGATCGTTGCGAGCATATATCGTGATAGTTCGTGGTGGCTAAACAAGTCGGGACCGGGTAGAGTATAGTGCGTGCGGTCCAGACCCGAAAAAGAGAAACTGATAAAGAGCGGGGAGAGTTGAGCTAGATAGTAAAATGAATCCTAGTGAGATAGAGCGAGCAGTCCGAATAAGAATGTCGCATAGAGGTGCATTGAAAGGGGTATCATCAGTCCAAGAGTCAGAGTCCAAGGAGCTGAGTGTATAGAGAAGAGAGGGCCGAGACGTGAGACGAATAGATAGTCGGTACGAATGGGAGACGATTAGTCGATTTCTTCAGTGGCTTTGTGATGAGGCGAATCTGGGAACGCGTCTCTAGGCTTTTGAACAATGGCGGCACCACTTCCGAGCGTACCCGGGGTCGCAACAGGAGCCGGAACATCGCGCGCCTTGTTCTTCTTCTTGCGATCCTTTGTTGGCTTGAATCGAGACCAGGCGCGGTCCTACACAAATGTGAACGGCAGTCAAGGCCAAAACGCGGGCAACGCACCTGTCGTTCTTCAGTCTGAGCGACGCCGCTCGCTCTCTCCACCTCGAAGAAGTCGTCGACGTCTTGCTCGGTAAGTTCATCGGGGCCATGCGCGTTGACGCCATTTCCGTCTCCAAACGGATCTTCGTCCCCTCCGAGCATTTCTTGTCCATCCGTATCCTCCATCGCCGCCGCTGCGGCCTTTTTACGCTCAGCTCTGCTGAGTACACTCTTGGTGCTGCCAAAGAATGGATTGCGACTTGTCGTAGCCCCGTCGCCTGTGCGAAGTCGCTCTTTGAGCGAGCGCTGGCGACGGGCGAGGCCTGGAGGGATCCAACCGCGCTTTCGGAGCTGTTGTTCCTCCATTTCCCTATCGTTGGCATTCGAGTCTGACGGTTGCGCTGTATTTGTAGATGTACGTTTGTTTGAATTAGAATTGGAAAGCTTTGAACGGAAAAAATCGAAAATGGATCTGCGCTGAGGTTTCTGTCCGGGAACTTGAGGGTGTGGTCGAAGTAGCGAGAAGAAGGATGGCTACAGGACACAGTCAATTCAAAGTGCATAGACAACGCTAAGAGAAGAAGACATGCGAGAGCTCAAGGGCGTAAACGAGCATACCTGACGGGGCACGCTCGCTTTAGGAGCTAACGTCCACACGGCTTCTCGAGAGGAGCATCGAGGCGAAGCGAAGTCTACGAACCTTTGGCGGTGGCTGAGGGGGCTGCTGAACGGTATGCATTTCCTCGTCCTCTACGTCTGTATTATTGGCTGTACGCGTATTGCGGCTCTTTGTCGATGTGTTTCTCGACAGACCAAACCATCCACCTTGTCGGGTACTTGTGGTGCTTTTGGCGTCGTCACCATGTCGATTGAGGATGCGACTGCCGACTGTTCGAAGGCTGAGCGCGTCGCCTTCAGCTGCTCTGTCGGCGCCATCTCGAATGTCCAGACGGGTGATGATGCCCTCTACGCGCCGTCGCTCAAAGAATTGCTGGACGAGAACGCTTTGGAGAGATCCGTCGTGCTTCCATGGACGAATCTTTGACCAGTTTCCTGAGTCTGGCGGGTTCTCTACGAAGACGCGGACGCCCATTGGCCGCAGTTTGAGCGTGTTGATCTCGAGAATGGCCTCGAGCGTGTCATAATCGAGAATTGCGAGCTCTTGAGGAGAGATGGAGAATGTCCGGGACCATCCGTGGCGACTAGACGGCCGTCGTCGTCGTGGGCCACAGCGAAAAGAAGGCAAAGCCAGCCGTCAGCGGTGCTCTCAAATGGCCAAAGACCTTGAAATGGTTGTACTCACAGCGCTACGCCGTTGAAGAAGCCGTCTTGGTGATTGTGGCCGTCGTGCCGCCCAATCGTGGGCAGCGACTTTGAGCTGCCAGTACCAAAATTGGTGGCCATTAGACGCGATTTAGGGACCAGAGACGCCCAACGAGTCCAAAAGATGAGAAAAAGAAACGAGAAAGAAGAAAAAGATGGAGGAAGTAGAGTCGAGAAGCTCAGTCAAGAGGCGGTGCGCCGGCAGCGACGCATCCTAGAAGAGTACAATTCTATGAAACACGAGATTAGAATACATCCAACAGTTTACTTGTGACGGTGAGAGTGATGCGACTGCAATGTGGGTGGCTGGAGGATACTCGACTCGCCCTCCTCGAGCTTTTGGTGCACAGGACACCCGTGATCCAGGCGGCGTTTGACCATCTCCGCACTGTATACTCGTCAGCAAAACGCATGCGTTGAGAGCGCGGACATACTAAGCCAGCTTTGCGCCGATATCTCTTTCCACCCCTAGACCAATCCCCACCAGCGAGCTGTCGGCTTGCTTTGGGAGACCAGAGCCGCCACTCGTGCAATGAGCATGAACGACGTGACCACAGAGGAATGCCAGCACAAGGTCCTGCGAAGCCTGGTGAAGCGGCTTTGTACAGATGGGGCACACCCCGGTTGCTAGACCCTGCTCAGAGACCGTCGCACCATTTGTAACAACACTCACCAACTCCCACGAGACCACCAGCCTGAGCCCTTTGTAGTCTTCTGCCTAGATACTCGCAGTCGCTTTGCAACACGTTCCCACACCCTTCCATCAAACTCGTCTGAAGGTTCAAGTCTTGTAGAATCTTGATGATGGACTGCTTGAGTCCGGGGATCTCCAAGCCATTCCGGATTCGGCGTATGATGCGGACAGGATCAGAATCAATCTCTGTGCTCACGTTTTCCAGCAGACCCTTGATGAACGCTGGCCGCGACTCGGAGTACCGAAGAAGATCCTCCCATAGATCGTCGTCTTTGCGCTCTTTTGCAAAATCAATTGCCTATAGGCGTCGGTCAGTGGCTCAGAGCGAACGCCCAGACGTACCCTGGAAACGTCGCCCAGTCGGTCGATGATGAGGAATAGAGCACCCTTGTTGTCCCCCATCCGACTTCGAACCCACACCATCTCTGGCACCATGTCCTTGTCCTCGCAAATCTTGTAAATCTACACCTAGTCAGTCAATGTATGGTCGCTACGAAAGTGCATACTCGTTCAAAAGGCAGCATGATTTGTAGGTTTTGCGCACTCTGTAGCAGACGTATCACCCGTCCTTTGCGATACTCTGCGTATAGGGCGACCTGCCTCTCCAAGTAGTTTGCAATGAGCTCGGGGTCCTTGTCAAACAGTGCGTCCAGGTAAAGGAACAGGAAATACGGTCGTTCCTCCAGTTGTGATACAACCTTTTGTATCGGTATAGAATGTGAATATTCAACAAGGAGCGGAATGGCTTCTCCACGAGCGACTACATATGTCTGGTCAGATGTATCCCCAGGTGCAGTCGACGTCCACGCAGAGCTATGCGTATGTGGTGTCATCACCGGTCGCGTTGGCTGCGCTGCCACGGGTTTAGGAGGAGCTGGAGCACTTGGCTTTGCACTCCCGCCACCACCAAATACACCAGTAGGTACTGCAGCCGCAGCGGAGAAGAAGGTCTGGAACAGTCCTCCTCCGCCACTCCCTCCGACCGAGTCAGTAGCTGCACGCCGATGGGCTCCTTTCGCTGGTGGAGACGAGGCTTTTGACTGTGTAGCAGCTGTATTCGCCCTTGTCGGTGCTTCAGCTTGTTGGGTTGCCTTGACGTGTTCCCTCTGTTTGAGCAGTTCCTGGTCGAATTCCACCAGCAAAAGAGCTTGGTCTTGCACGTCTGTAAACAAGTGGTTCTCTCGGATGAGCTGGAATACATTCGGTCGTCGGAGACGAAGAAAGTAGGGCAGTGCCTTTCCAGGCTGTCGATTCTTAATGTATCTGGCGACCTTTGTGAGAGATTGAGCCAGAGCGCGAGCATGCTTACAGGTCGGCGAGACATTCCATGAGCATTGTTGTCTGTGGGGGTTGAGGTATCGCATTGATTAGAGCGGGAATGTCGTAGATTTCGCTCGGCCACTCCTTGATGGTGCGACTGAGGGCCTGAGAGAGATAAATAGGTGCTCTGAGATACTTTAAACATACGAACCGGAACGTCATGGCGAAGATAGTAATCCAGTACAACTCCATAAGCAACCTTGCTAAGCCTTGGGGTCTGGAAGGGAATGTATGGAACGAGGACCTGGAAAACGATTAGTCGGTTTGGAAGCAGAATTTCTCGTTGCTTACACTGAGTTCTTCTGCGTATCGAAACTTGAATATCCAATCCTCCCAGGCCTTTCCATCACTTGCGAGGACTGTAGGACATAATTTAGCGGCCTTTTCGTACTGTTCTGGTAGGCGGTCAGATCGCATCGACGTAATGCTAGCTAGTACTTGCTTTGTTTGAAGAGATGTGAAAGATACATTCGGCCAATTTCGTCTTTGCTCATAATCTGCACCTCTCCGTCGCCTGGGACGAGTGTCAGCGGGGTGTGGGCAAGAACTTAGACCTACCGGACGCCGACTTGAGATAATCTCCCTCCTTTTCCATTCTTTCCATTTCTGCCAATGCTTCCTCGTACCTTTCCCGCTCCACAAGCCACGCAACTCGATCCATCTTATCCCGCTTACGAACCCAAACAACACCGTTGGGAGACATGACGAGCCAACCACCATGATCCCTCTCTTTGAGCGATTGGGCGGATCCAGCACGTTCTTTGGCCTTTCTATTCATGGTGGCCAGGCTGGGCTTGGGCGGAAACGACTCGACGATTCGATAGTCCGTGCAGCCCCACCGTTCGTATCCCTTCATAGCCAAAACATCGCTACTCCTTTCGTCCCCATCGCTCGTCACAATCTGCAACTCGGGAGGGTTTGAATTGGGCCGTCGTTGATCCGCTCGCGAAGCGGTACTTTCCGATGTAAGGAGCGCCTTTGGAGGAAGGTACGAAAGGAGTAAGAAAGACGTGGCTCGCGAAGGTTTTGCTGCATTGCGTGGCTGGGGGGCGGAAGTCGACCCAGTATTGGATATTGGTGCCGTGGTCGCATTGGTCGGTACGATGGTAGTCTGCTTTACGTCTTCTTTATTCTCGTGCTTTTCTTCGACGACATCGTCGAATGGCCACGGCATGACACCTGCGATCATACAGTCCAGTCGCAAAACTTTGGTGACTTCGACCACCGTCTCTACTCCCGTCCCTTGGACAGCTGGAGCCATTGCACCGAGTCCAGCTGCTCCGACAATGCCGAGACTACCCGTGGCAGTCTCCTTGCTGGTACTTTGTGAGGGAGCGGCTCTAGGTCGGCTACTTATTCGGACGAGCTTGACCAGGTCCGCCCAGCCTATAATGAGTTGCTGTTCGTCGTGGAAAGAGGTTTGAGCTGTAGCACTCGAGTCCCTGCGCGCGTTGGGTATCCAGCGTAGTGAGCATTGAAACAAGTCCGCACGGGGACTATCTCTTGGTCGGTCAATAAAGGCGAGTCGTTCGCCCCTTGACACGGAGTAGAGTCGAACACCCAAATCGTTCGCCCAAGCGACAATATCGCCGTCCCATCGCGTCGTCCATATAGGACCCTCGCCGCTATGAATGATCTTTTGGATCTGGGTACCGCCACCGACTCCTAGTCCTAGACCCCCGAAAACATTCTCAAGACCTCCGAGCGATAGGTGGGATTTAGAGGTGAGGACTAGTTCTCCAGCGAGCCCACCGCACACATATGCCTTGCTTGTCGAGCTCGAATAGGTGGGCTCGAGCGCAATCGTTCGGAGGGGACGCTTAAAGTTGTGTCCTGTGGTTGTCCCTGTAGCCAGCGAATGCAGGATCGCTTGGCCGTCGAGTGAGGCAGTGGCAATGGTATCAGATATAACTGCAGGCGCCTCTGACGGGGCTTTCTTTTCTGATGACGATCCGTCGTTGTGCGGCGTTGATGTCCGTGGCGTTCCGGGCAAGCTAGTGGGGAAGAGGGAGAATGAGGGAAGGGTAGGCTGAGGAATGGCTACTGATTGCGGAGGTGGCTCGGATAGTGAACTGGATATTGCAATGTCGGTGATGGTAGCAGAGTGCGGTCGGTAACGTCTGAGGAGTGTACCGCTTAGGGAAAATAGGTAAACCAGGCCATTGTGTGTCCCAACAGCCTATAGGAAAAGGTTAGACGAGGGAAATCGATCTGATGATGCTTACAAAGTAGCTGGGACCGACTGCGATAGCACTGGCACCATCTTTCTCAAATTTCTCGACCAAGTCATTTCCAATCTTCTCGTACTTGAGAACAGGTTCCTCTTCCTCGCCGTCCTCGCTCTCCTCATCCTCGTCTTCTTCTTCACTCTCCGTTGTATCCTCTTCATCAGCATCCTGACTTTGATCCTCACTCTCTCGTTTGGGAACATGTCTTGTTGTGGCAGCAGATGTCGCCGAAGTGACGGAATCCATAGAGTTTTCTGGCACTGGGCCGATTTGACTCGAGTCGACCGAGACATCCTGCGTAGACGCGTTATTTGAATAGTTTAGAGCTGGTGAGGACTCTGTTTCTGGAACTGGCCCGATTGCCGAGGATGCATCTTCTGAATACTCTGCTATGGGACTGTCATACTCGAATTGAGGTCCTAAATCATTGATGAGCTCATTTAGATCCCTTGTAAACATTTAAACACTGACCCTGCTCGCGTTCTGACATGCAGTCACAGGTTCAACTCGTATACAATGTATTTTGCGTCGAATAGCGCGACGTTGGAGATATATCCTGAGTGTTATCGTAAATTGGACAACGCCGTTGTGGATGTCTGTCCACTGGTCGAGCGCGCGAATCGAGCGCGGGTTCAAGTTTGAATCCACCACGTCGCCCTTTGGCGGAAAGTCAGTTGGACGAGCATTTCCAATTATCAACGGACAACTCTTATCTCATACAAACCACATTTATACTCGTCGCAGAGCTTGTGGTTAACGTACGACGCACTCTTCGACTTAAAATTTGGCATATCCCCGTCTCCTTCACCGTAATCTCTGGCACATTTGACAGCAATCATGCCAGCTCTAGTTCAAAAGGATCGAGGGAGCTTTACCTTTACCGTTGGGAAACTTGGTGTGTCGTGTCCTTGTCGCCGAGCTCGTTGGATGGCTGACAACCCTTCTCACATATGACCATCCGAATCTAATCTTTCTGTACGACTCGAATGATGCCCATCTCATCAGACGCCGGCATGGCAGTACGTGGTTAATTTCGCGGCGGTGGCAGATCAAGGGTTGGCTGACACGAGAGCTGTAGATTCTCATAGGCTCTAGAGCACATCTCATCGAATTTCCATCTATCCTACTCCCCGACGGCGTCACAGTTGGGTCAATAGTCAACATCAACGTCCAGCGTAATGTCGCAGGTTTGTACTTGGGACGTTGAACGTTCTCTCCAACTGATAGTGGCCTAACAGAGGAGGAACATCAAAAATCGTCCTTTTGGAAACTTCAAAACGATATTTATATGATGTATGGCATCAAAACTCCCGTTACACCAATACTCAAGGTGACTCCACCGTCTTGCCTATTCGTGTTCTAATCGTAGTTCAGCTGAGAAACGTTACACAAACCTCGGTCACACTCGAGTGGCCACCGCTACAACTAGCGACGGCTTCGCTGCGGTCGCTGGATCTTTATCGTTCCGGACAACGTCTTGCTACTATTCCGAACCCGACAGGGAACACAAGTACCAAAGTATCAGGTGAGGATAACGCCCCATCCTCACTGAGCTAACAGTTCCAAGGCCTCCAAATGGCATCGCCATACACATTCCAACTAATCCTGCGCACATCGGCTGGAACATATCCTTCCAATGTCGTCGAGGTCAAAACACACACAATAGAGGACACGAGCGGTATCAGTGTCTGCTTTGGAACGATCTTGGACAGCGACGTTGGTGATGGCAAGTTACCCCTTATACCGAAAGCATGCACTGATTTCATGTAGGAGAGAGCGCCGCTGGACGAAAAGAGGAACTCAAACGTGCCCTCACTGCCATGGGAGCCAAATACAGCGAGACGATTCAGATCGACACCACCCATTTCGTCTGCACGACCTCGTTATCCCTTTCTTCTATCGCCAAGGGTGCGCAAAGGGCGTTTCTCCCTGATCATATCTGATTGTTTGTAGGTGGAGGTCCAAAAACAGCTGCAGTGACAGAGGAGCCCGGCGTCGAGTACCAAAAGGCTGTTCAACTTAGCATTCCCATCGTGCAACCAGACTGGGTACTTGCGTGCTACTATGGTAAAAAGTAAGTTTTCATGTCCGCAGTTTGAAGCAAACGTTGACGTGACGTGCTAGAATGGTGCCTACAGCACCTTACTATCTCGGCAGCTCCGTGCCGCCGCTTTTGCAAGGCCACAACCGCGTGCAATCTATCTCTCGACAGAACCAACCACTACCACCTTCGTCACCTCCAAGCATGACCTCTGCCTCGAGTTCACAAGCCAAGCGTCCCGCAGCCAGTACATCAAATTCACGTTCGAGCGTCTCCGGAGGACCATCTAATAGGGCGAGCACAAGCACGCCACCAGTTGGGACTAAAACCAAGGGCAAAGAAGCCTTTATCCATCGCGAAGGAGGGGACGAATCAGTACCCAACTCTGCATCGCCAACAATCCCTGCTCGCAGCTCTACATCCTCGAACAAGCCGCAACCTGTCCCCGAACCATCCTTGCCGTCTGTCGATGGGGATGAAGAAGACGAAGAAGAACCGACGACTCCGTCTGGAAAGAATCGAACGAGGACGGGGACAATGAACAAGGCGTTCAAGTTTCCACCCGAAGGCGGGAAGAATAGTGGAAACCTGAGAATCAGCCCTCCACCACCTGTCCCGCCTGTCCCGCCTATCATTGTTGTACATGCTGCTCAGGACAGCATCGTTGAGCCACCGAAACCGGCACCCACACCCTCGACTGCGCGCGTGATGCCGGAGCCACCGACACCTGATGTTGCGAATCCGCCAAATGTGGATATGAACCGGAGAGATAGTGAAACGGATGGAGGAGAGATTGTCGAGATTGATTTATCGTAATGGGTGTCAATATTGAGGTTTAATATAACATACTCGACGAAATGATCTATGCTGTCAGAACGTCTGCTCCGTCATTGGTGATCATGACTGTGTGTTCGAATACTGCTCCTCGAGCGCCATTATCCGTCGAAGCAGTCCAATTATCAGGCCATATCCAAATCCTTGGTCGTTCGCCGACACCGGTTTGGAGTATGATGGGCTAGATATGATGAGCATTCGAATATGGGGTGGAGTACACGCCTACCTCGATGGTGAAGCAATCCCCTGGTTCCATGATTCCCGGTTCTTCATTGTCTAAACTCGTTGGTACGGGAAAATGAGCAGTTGAGAGTGAGCTCACAGGAATGAACGATATAAGGCCGGGTGTGGAATGCTCTGCCAATGCCATGTCCAGAAAACGCATTACAGATTGTGTAAACGACATCGTCGCACTGAGGTCGTGGCGTTGTTGCCGACTAGACGAGTGTTGGAGTATGGAGTACAGTAAAAGGCGAGACGTACGCCGTAAATGAACGAGTGGATCGCAGCCCCGATACCGCGGTATGGAACGCCTGGTCTGCATACGCTGATGCCGAGTTTGAGAGCCTCTTGGGCGGTCTTTAAAAGATGCAACCCTTTGTCGTCCTGGATAAAGGGGTTAATAGACTGGAATGGAGAGCAGCGAGTCGCATACGACTTGTCCGACGGTGACAGTTCGCGAGGTATCTCCATGAAACCCGTCTAGATAGACAGTGATATCTAGATTCACGATATCCCCGTCTTGAAGTGGTCGTCTTTAAAGAGTTTATCAACCGAGATTGAAAGAATGAAAGGGCTCACTTGTCTGGAATCCCATGCGAAACGACATTGTTTACCTGAATGAGTTAATACGAGTTCTGTACGCGCCAAAAGTACTTACGCTGGTGCAGATAGACTTTGGAAATCCGTCGTAGCCCAACGGAGAGGGATAAGCCCCGTGAAAGATGCAGAATTGATGAACCATGTCATCTATGTGAGCGGTTGTCACACCTTCCTTGGTCTAGTGAGTACTTATATGGATATGGAGGCACTAGGTGTACCATTACGAGTGAGGTTGCAAAGTCGAGTGTCTGCTTTGCGAGTGCGCAGGCCTCTCGCATCTTCCTTTCATCGTCGCTCCCGAGTTCTAACCGACTCGAAAGTAAAAGCGACTTTGCAGATGGATCTGCGATATAAGGTGGCCGAGGGATATGCGGAGGTACTGCGTTTACAAACGCACTCTTTGGTGATAAGCTTGGTTTGGAGGGGAGTATAATCTCATAGTTTCCAAACTCTGGGTCTTCTAGCTCTGAATCTGTGCTCTCGGCTTCGGACGAAAACTTGTTGCGAGGTGTTTGAGAGAAGAGGGCGCGGGGTGGATGTTGTAATCGATTATCATATGCCCATGTAGGTATTCTGAGACGTGTTCCAGATTGTCTGAGGAGCCGTGGAACCAGCCGCATATTTGTTGGGGTCCAACCTTTGACTTGTTGGCTTCGATCATCAGAAACAAGGCAAGCCGGCAGACTGCTGGTGCCTAACAGCCGCAATTTCCGTTTAATTTTTTGATGGAGAGAAGATGGGAGACGCGAAGACACGAGAGGACTGTTCGGAGGAGCGGCTGGGAGAGGACTGGTCTATACTCACGTCCTCTATTTCTCGTTCTGGACGCGGATCACATGATATACACGTCAGCAATGATGACATGGTCATGCTGGATGAGACCCCGAATCTCCAGTCAGACGCAGAGTCAGTACTCGCCCCATGTTCCCCTCGTCTTGACAAATTTCTCAGACATTTGTCCCACAAAAAAAGCACACTAGCCTCTGTGCCGGATTGGCAGTTCATCTCGGCAGATGCCTTCGACAGGACCCAACCTCTGGTGTCCTCGCTGTTCCTCTCACAGCGGAGACCCTCTTTGACCCGCAACACCTCTCCATGACATTGTTCATAGCGGATTCACAAGATTACCCCGCCGGGCAGCAGAGAACGGTTCGAACAAGCCGCCCCAGTCGTGCTCAACAAGCACCGGAGTCTCGATCAAAATACAGATGTGAGAAGTCAGTGGGGTTCCCACGATGCCAGTGTACGAAGATTGTATTGAACTGACGCGAATAGCGTCACAGAAGACGTCGTTCACAAGTCGACAACAACTGCCGAGCGTCTAGATAGAAAACAGTGTGGCAAAGAGACTGCCCTCCTACAACCAGTCGCTTCGCCGGCTCTTTATTCGCATTTCTCGCTCGTGCCAGCGGCGATGCTCCCACCTAGTCATCGTCTAGGCCACAGCGATTGCTCGACGGCTGACGACGCCTCTCCTCGAGCTTAAACTGAATGCTAGATAGCCAAAACAGACTGGAATGCAACTGATCAAGTGACACGAAGACGCCTGATGGGCGGAACCGGCCTCTCGAGGTCTCCCCTTCTGGCCCATTCCTCCTCGCTGGCCAACATGTACCGCCCCAACAAGACTCCAACCCGCCTTGTTACATTCAAACTATCAGAAAAGACCCGCGAGGACTGCGCCATATGATTCATCCCAAACAGCGTTCACGGCACTCTCAGCTGGCAGGCTAGACTTATATAAGGACACGAAGACCGCGTATCGAAAACTACATCGTCTCACACATCGTCTTGATTCAACTTCAAGTTCCCCGAGCACCATGCCCGCTGAAAGCAGTAATGCCCAGGACCCCCGCCAGGAGGTAGAAGAGATCAAGAACCAGAACAAGCTTGATGTGACCTTTAACGACGATAATAACGTTGGTAACGATACGAACGCAATGTGGGAGTGCATCTACTATTATAATGGAGACGAGATCGGTGTTGCCCGGGCGACAAGCAAACAAGAGGCGAAAAGATTGGCAGCTATACAAGCTCGTGATAAGTTGAATCGTATGGGATACTGTAAGTGTCTCTCACTGGGTGTCACTGTTCTACCTACTGAGACTGTTTAGACCGACAATCCAAAAAGTCGTCCAAAGCCCAATAATGGACCCATGTTTGGTCGTATATATCCATGTGTGCTCGCTGAACCTTCTACCTTTCCATTGACGAGCCTACTGCAATCCTCGCTTCTCTCCAGCTATTTTCAGCTACCTTTAGTTATCTTCAGTTATGTTCCGCGTCTTCTATGACACATCATTATGCTACTTTATTTCTTTACTCTTTACCGAACCCGCTGGTGACGGTGGCATCTGAACCTGGACCCGCCTCGAATACCAAACCTTGATAAAGCGGAACCCTGTTGACTCTAAGCAACTCTTAATAGAGTCTAATATCGATATCTTTACTATACGACGTCCAAGAGCAGGCATTTCTCCCCACCTTGGCGGTCAACTGCGGCTTACGGGCCTGGAGCGTCTTCAAGGCTTTGTCAAATTGTCAGCGCTGTAAATCATGACAATTATGGCCAATCGTCCAATTGCCCAGAGGCGTGCTCTGGTTCATATTGATAATATGTATGTGAGCGTCTTGATCTCTCGCACCCGTTAATCGTCAAGGCTGATGTATTCTGTCTTCCAGTCAACTAAGGAACCTGATCCATGCGACGGAGCGTCCAGGGGATGTACTCACGGTCCGGTCAGACGCCGTCGTTCGGTACAATGTGCATTCGAAGGAGGTATAGCCCTGGAATACATGACAAGAAGAGTACGCTGACATGTTGAACTGGATACAGCGATCAGAGACGATTGGTCGTCTGTCCTTTTCACCCACCAGCTTGGCCTACGATCCTGCAACGGGTAGAGGCGATGTCGGTGCCGTTGCTGTTGGTGGACATTCAGGCGAAGTTTCGGTATTCGCTATCGATGCGTATGCGACGACACGCGAGCGCGACAGACTCGCCCATGACCGGACATCACTCCACTACGACCCATACAAGACGGCGACAGACACTGAATTGGAAGAAGGCAAAATCACCTTTAGGTCCGCTCGGTCTATTATCAATGCCGTCTCTTTTGCTCCGATGGGTGCGCAAAACGATCCGAGCAAGATGTACAGGACCCAGAGGAGGCTGCTCGTCTCTAGCAACGATTATACAGTCCGGGTCTACAGACTCTTGTTCACCAAAGTCGTTGGCCGGAACACGACCCACATCCGCGTGGTGGAGGAGGCTTGCGCGCGCCATAATACTTGTATCAACCATGGTATGTAAGAACTTGGAAGACCTCACCATTTCTTATTCTGTTTTAGCATCCGTCTCACCAGATGGTCGGTTACTGTTGACCGCGGGAGATACGCCGCACTTGCATCTCCACGCGCTCCCTTACACGTCGTTTGGTTCAACAGACTTTTTGTCCGTCACCGAGGGTCTATCGACGTTGAAGACACGGACCCTCTTGGAAACACGCTCTTATCAGCCAAAACCTATATTCGTTATCCCCACCTCGGGTCTCAATCCGTCTGTCGACTATTGGCATGCCGGAGTTGGTGGTCAGTCTTCTCAAGAAGCAATCTTCTCAACCGCTTTTTCTTCCGACGGACTCAAGGTTGCTGCCGGAAGTCAGGATGGCATTGTCCAGGTGAGACATCTCCAGATTTTCCCGCTCGATGGGCTCATTAACGAATAGGTATGGGACATAAGGTCACTGAAGCGACGACTCGCCCACTTTAAGACTGGGCCCGAGTCTGACTTTGGACAGTTCTGGAGCAAGCCGTATCCAGACGAGGGTAACGTGGATCCAGGGCGCGGATGTTTGGGCAAGTTTTGGGGAATTCGTTCGCTCCGCTTTGCATCCTCATCAAGCTATGGATTGGGCGGCGAACGGCGCGAGCTGCTCGTCTTTTCGGAGCATCAATCCTCTGTTCATCTAGTGGACGCCCGTACCTTTTCCACCGACCCTGATTCTTTCCGCTCCTTGCATCTACCTGACATTGTCAAAAAGTATCCGATATCAGCATACGATGCAACACAGGCCAGTCTTGCGGCTCAAACTGTGGACGGACAAGGAAGGAAACGCAAGCGAGGGGGAAGTGAAGTGGACGGGGATGGCGAGCGCAAGCGACGAGGGCAGACCTCTCGCATGGAGAGTACGATCCCGGCGTTGCGACGATCCCTTGCAATGGGATTAGCAGATGATGCGGCTCAGGAGTACGAGGGACTCCGGCTTGGGGGTGACGTCAGCGTTCTCAGAAACCGCTGGGCTCGTGTTTCTCGCTCAGTGCTGCCTACACCTTCAAGTGCCCGCAACGATGCGACCCTAGGGTATTCCCGCGATTGGAACCCGATAGACGACGTACTGCTGGACCTTCACGGACGACTCGGCACTCGTAGTCCGAGAGGCCTGAGGGTAGACAATTCTGTGGGAGACGAATTCTCTACCTTGCGTATGAGACGAAGCGCGGTGGCGAGACGGCTCTCGTCGCTTTTGGATGGCTTGTCGCAATCTGAAAGAAGCAGAGATATAACTCCAGCTCCCGTCGCTCTACTCAACGACCCGCGTATCACTGCCGCGGAGCGCCTCGCCGAACTTCGAGCGGTCCAAGATGCTCTCTTGTCCGTCGGCGTGGAGGAGAGTTCGGATCTGGACGAGGAAGAGGAGATGGAGATGGACCCACTTTTCGAGAACGAACCAACCCAGATTCGGGACGCGTCTAGAGAAGATGCGGGACAGACGCACACTGACGAGGAGGTCGATATCGGATGGATCTGGCCTGATGAGAACTCGAATTCACCCCGAATTCCTCTCATGGATCTTTTCCCGGGGCTCGTGGGCTCTTCCACAGGGCCTGATACTTTTGACATTGTCGATGTTGCGCAAAGTCCGTCGATCGAATCTCTGCCAGACTTTGTCGAAACATCCGACGCGCCGGTGATAGATGTAACATCGCCAACTCCGCAAGAAGAGGATATGTCTCTAAGTCGACAAGACGAGATGTCAGAGACAAGAACTTTTGACCGTCTTTGGCCAAATCCATCACCACTACCGACCTCGGGAGGGCTTCGCGTTGTGCAAAATCTACTTCGACCCCCCGTCGATCCATCCAACGCTGCAACCCACAACTTTTTGTCCTCGACCAGCGCTCGCCTTCAGCCTTTTTCAAGTCGTGCGTATGGAGGCGCACCAATTTCCATAGGGGCGCGCAGTCCATACCCGCGAGAGTTTGCCAAGTATCACATCGATGACAGCGATGACGAGGAGTTTCTGGATCGTCCATTAGATGTTGCCGGTATCACACTCGGACTACCTGGGACGGCAAGCGAAGGGACCCTCATTATCGCTGCGGCGCTGCAGACGCCCGACGGACAAGACAAGCTTCATAGAACGAGACTGCTCCAGTTTGACCTAGGATCAAGATGTGACGATTCGGAGATAGGGACGTGCGCGGCGGGTGAGGGGCGGTACGCACGCAGGCGATTTGCCCAAGGTGGCTTTCAGTGATCTATAATTTTCTGCTTATTCTGCTGTATCATCATGTCTGTATCGTATCGTGTATGTTCTTTGTCAATATTGCGCAGAAGTCTCCTGGCTATTAACATAGTGAGCGCTCTCGTAATCGACTTTGTTAGGGCTCCAACTTGATCCATTTGATATTCCCTGAAATTGTTGACGTTGAAACAACGGACCAGGGCCGAAATCGTCGGCTTGCCAGCATCAAGTCCCACCCGCCATAGATTCGACCAGAAGATGGACGTTTGAGTCCGCCGCGGCGCCCAAAGTAGACCAAACTCTGCCCTATTCCTCAAGTAACTCGGCCCGGCATCTGAAACCTTGTCAAATGATTTCAGCGTCTATTCGGCTTCTACTGCGATTATATCATATCGGAATCGAACAGATGACCTTTTCTACCAAGGACCCGGGAAGGCTCAGACTCAAACCTGACCCCTCCGCTCTTCTGCGCGAAGAGCCGCATTCGCAGTCATGGCACTCGACGACGTACCCACGGGTTCGCTTTCAGGCGTATTTCCACCTGGTCGCGAGGTTCTCTTTCGTACGCTCTCGTGTATCATCACGTTTCTCGGTGCGTGCTTTGGCGTGTTGTTACCTTGCTTTAATCCAATATTCAGGCCTCTCTGTAATCAGCTTCTGCTTTGCCCACCGCATGATCAAGTTGGGGCTCCTCTCACGCGTCGGTGAGCCGCTCGATGACAACTCGCCACCTGCTCAAGTCCCAAGGTTATCATGCATTGACTCCTCTAAAGGTCTTGATGCTACTCCTTCTTGTAGATTCGTATGTCCGCTGTACGTGTCGCCATGCGATTTACTCAGTCCTTCTCAGGTGGATTTTTCTCCTCGGCTGTACGTATCATCACACAATAGTCCCTCATGCCAATAATTCACAAGCCGGGATTTATATTAATGGTCTTGGCACGTCATTGAACGCAAGAGTGTGCCGCTCGGTCCCTATCACCTGCATTCTCGTTTACTCATTCGGAAAGATTTTGATCTACCTCATGCTCGGTTCGTTTCATCCCCTCTACTATTTCATTCCCTGAGTACTTTCAGTTGAGCGGCTATACGTCGTATGGCCAAATCGCGGAACCCGTCGCTCCTCTCCTGTTTGGACGGGTGGTATAGTCGTCATCACTGGATACGCAGTCATGTCTATTGTCATGATCTTCCGTGCGTATCGACACCCGCTGGTTTAACATGGCTTATATAATTCATATACAGGTCAGTCCTGTGTGATCCGCGAAGACCTCCAGTGTATCGTGGTGACGGATACATCAAACGTTATCGTAATCGTATCATGCGACGTCGTTGCAAGCCTTCTTCTCACTGGTTTTTTCCTTTGGCCACTGTGGCGTCATCGAGGTCTCAGTCGGGAGCTCCGACGAATCGCCTCCCGGACAACTATGTGAGTCTCATTGATTCTCTAGAAAGCCGACTGAAAATGATTGATAGAGCAACCGTCCTATATCTCATCATGACCATCTCCAACATCCTTAACCTCATCCCGGGACAGATGATTACCTGGATATGTCTTACAATATGCTCACTGGATATCTGTGGGCATACGCTTGTCATGTTTTGGCTCACTCGCCCAAAGTTTAGGCGTGCGACGCAACAACCAGCCAACATTTGCGGCTCAGCCTCGGCAGGCGTTAGTCTCAGCAAGGCTACTAAACTGCATCAACTGGACACTGCCTTTGGACTCTCTTACCCTTCATGGCAATCCACGGATAGGACCAGTATTGTAGATCAAGTCACAAAACGAGATGGGCCATGGTGCGAGAAGTACGTATATGATGCGCCTGAACTAGGCATCTGTTTCAAAAGAATCTACTTGCTCAATCATACTCTTCCAGGGACGTCCTTGATGATACAAGAGGAGCCAATACTCATGAATTGCCATCTGAGGGGGTGAGGAGTTCACAGAGGGCTATTTTCGATCCAGAAATACAATCGAATCATTCAGCAGGTGATGAATCGGGGCTTCAGGATGATTTGGATCTCGCGCTCACAGAACAAAAGCAAGATGGCGATATTGCAAATGACATTGAGGCGACTAGTCGAGTCTAGAAACCTGCTGCATATACACTATTATCCTGTTCCCTTTAAAGTCTGTTCGGATTGTACCTCGAAATTCATGTGTGGGGCAAGGGGCGCTACAGCGTTTGACCAGGTCCAGTGGCGTTCAAAAAGTCGGAAAGACCCGAATAGTCGGGGTGATTCTCGCCATGCAGTGGCAACTTGCAACAACAAACATCCCCGCCGACACGCGACGAATGAGTTAAGGTTAGGCTTCTTTCTGCATTAAATCTAGTGCGGAACTGCCGGCATCTCTGGGGTTCCGCTATTCATTGATTACATCTGCCCTTGTCGGATTTGGTCAAGTCTGCGTCCGCGCCGATTTTGACGGCGCCGCTAAATAGACGGGGATAAGTTTCGCGGTAGCCTTGTCGCAGACCTTGGCCCAACCGCTTTCCTGCGTGGTGCACGCACTGGGGCTCCCTCCATAGTTGTAGTCTAGGTGACAATGGTCCAAGATGGAACGAGTACAGCATCAAACTCTGCCGTGTTTCCGCCCGGTCGCGAAGTTCTTTATCGCACGCTCTCGTGCATCACCACGTTTCTCGGTACAGTCCTTTGCAAAGGGTAGACACTGGCTATAATTTCGTCGTCTAGGTCTCTCTTTGATAACCTTTTGCTTTGCTCATCGCATGATGGAGCTCGGACTATTCTCATCTGTCGGTGAGCGTCCTATTCGGCCAACAGTTCGCGCTGTGCTAACAGACCAAGGATATCGCTCATTGACAGTCACAAAAGTTCTGACGATCCTGCTCCTCATCGACTCGTATGTGCTCGTAAATTCATCTCGATCCACCACTGACAGTTTCCTAGGTGGATCTTCCTCCTGAGTTGTGTGTCTCGTAATAGCCATTCCCTCATATTCCTCATAAATTACAGCCGGTATTCTCATCAACGGTCTTGGAACATCGTTGAACGCGCGAGTATGCGACTCGGTCATGCTGACCTGCCTTTTTATCTACTTTCTGGCAAAGGGAATCATCTATTTTATGCTAGGTATGGTTTCGATCTCTTTTGAGTCTTTGCTGACGCTTTCAAGTTGAACGGTTATACGTCGTGTGGCCGAATCGCGGCACCCGCCTCTCATCCACAGTTTGGAAAGTTGCCATGCTCGTTATACCTGGGTTTTTCGTCCTTACGTTTGTCATTCTATTCCGTGCGCACGGGACACCCCCTCGGTCGACTAAGCTAACAGGGCTGCAGGCCGCTTCTCGATGATTCGCGAAGACATGCAATGCATATTAGGCCTAGGTCGCCAACTCACCATCACGATTATATGTTACGATGTACTCGCAAATCTCCTCTTGACCGGTCTCTTCCTCTGGCCTCTTTGGCGGCATGCTAGCCTTAGCCCAGGTCTTCGGAGGGTCGCCTCTCACACCGTAATGTGAGTGAGGGGAAATGATTAAGCAAGGGATTAACCAATTCTTGCAGTGCAACTGTTCTGTGTCTGGTTATGACCGTCTCAAACCTGATCGTCCTGACCCCGGGTCACGAGATTGCCTGGATTTGCCTTACGACGTGTTCACTTGACGTCTGTGGTAATTCACTCGTCATGTTCTGGCTTACACGGCCAAAGGTCAGGTATACCTCGCAGGCTACCAACGACCCACAGCCCTCAACGTCGCGAAAAGGTGGTCGAATTTCAAAGACCTATCGACTCGAGAGTCTATCTGGAACGACTAGAAAGGATGGGGATACCAAGACGTGTTCCCAACCGATTGAAATTGGCACGTATTCCAGCCGGCCGAACACTTCAACGGGACCAATCGAGAGTACGTCTCCACGTCGACATGAACACGAGGAACGCTTGCAGCGAACGTCGCGAGTGACCATGCCCGTCTTTCCTCCTTTAGCGCTACGACGTTCGACGGGAGCAGTACTTAGTCACCTGTGGCCGAGCGAATGGATCCAGTCATCGCCAACGAATAAGATTCTCGAGGAGGAGGTGGAGCCACAGGAGCCTGTCGAACCGCCGTTGGGCTTTGCAGACGATTTGGATATTGCAGCTACAGTACACTCGTTTGACGAGGTGGCAAATGACGTGAACGGGAGAGGAGTCTGATGTCCATCTGTGTTGTAGGAACGATGCTGGCAATATATTTACATCAACTGCGGGCAAAGTCTGACCATGCGGTCCAAACCGCGTAAGCTCCGCCAAAGTCCGCAAGTAAGCACCTTGGACCCAACCACGTCTACAGGTCACGCCAACAATACATTTTAAATCTAGAGATACAATGCGTTCGCTTGCTATTCTGGCAATTGCAGCGGCCGGCGCGTCGGCAGCGCCAACGTCGTCATCGTGGACGAGCTCTGCAAAGGCTCTGTTGGCACAAATCGACGCACTTTCGGGAAATATCATCTCCGGAGGCGTAGGAGCAGCCGTCGAACGCGTCTTTGACCATGGCGTCTCCAACAGCAACGACCGTGTTCAGATCTCGTTTGTCGAGAATGGCGGAGTAAAATGTAAGTCTTGTCAGAAAATGGGCTTATAGAATGCTAATCGACTTGTGAAGATGAGCAAGTACAGCTCGCCTCGCTCAGGGACCATTCGCTGCGCGTCTCGTCGACAAAATCGACACTCTGCGACCCAAAGGTCAAGCAGCATAGCGGATATCTCGACGTTACAGATGGAAAGCATCTCTTCTTTTGGTATTTCGAGGCAAGAGACAAGCCAGAGGAAAAGCCCCTTGTTCTATGGTGCGCTGCATGCTATATTTGCTCGCTGACGGTTATCTCACTCCCTTTTAGGCTCAATGGTGGTCCAGGTTGCTCGTCATCCACTGGCCTCTTGTTCGAGCTCGGACCGTGCTCCATTCGCCAAAACAGCTCGACACCCACGCCATTCGTCTATACGGAGCGCAATCCTCACAGCTGGACAAACCATGCAAACATGATCTTCCTCGACCAACCCACCAACGTCGGCTTTAGCTATTCCAGCGACGGTTCGACAGTCAATACGAGCCCAGTTGCCGCACAAGACGTCTACGCGTTCTTGCAGCTCTTCTTTGCCAAATTCGATGGACTCGCGAAAAAAGAGTTTCATGTGGCCGCGGAGAGCTACGGCGGAACGTATGCTCCCAATATCGGCAAAGTCATTCATGAGCAGAACCTCCAACTCCAGGCATTGAAGGACAAGGAACTCTCAGCACTTTCCGTAGAAAATGCAAACATGGTTCAAGATTTCAAAAAGGTCAACCTCAAGTCGCTCATCCTCGCAAATGGTCTCACCGAGCCATATACGCAATTTGCGAGCATCCCAGACTATTTGTGTGAGGGTCCTTATGCACCTCTTGATCCTTCTGGTACAGTGAGTCCCGTGCGGTAGTCCTTTCGCGACCCTCACTGACCAACAGTAGCAATGCGCGACACTCCGCACCAAAGTCCCCACGTGCCAAAACCTCATCAAGCGATGCTACGAATCGGGGAGCCGGTTCAGCTGTGTTCCAGCCGGCCTCTATTGCAACTCGCAACTCATGGGCCCCATCACCCAGCTCGGTCTCAATCCATATGACCTTCGTCAAAAGGTATGCGGATCGTGTCTTATTGAATACAGTACTGACGTGATCTGGCAGTGTGATCGTCAAAAGGACGGCGACTTGTGCTATAAGCAAATGAACTGGATCGACGAGTGGCTCAACAAGGAAGAAGTCAAAAAGGAACTTGGTGTCCCAGACGATCGCGAGTTTGAGAGTATGTACAGGACGTGACTGAGGGCACTGCTGACGTCGCTCAGGTTGCAATATGCAAGTCAACCAAGCATTCTTCTTCCAAGGCGATGGCATGCACAATTCGGCCGCACTTCTTCTCCCACTTCTCAACGATGGCATCAAGCTCCTCGTCTACGCAGGCAACGCCGACGGAATGTGCAACTATATGGGCAACTTTAACTGGATGTTGGCCCTCGACGCGCACCCATATGCTGCAGAATTCCGTAATGCTACCACGGACAAGTGGCATTTGCCAACAGAAAAGGCGAGTTTTCTTCTCTAGACGTATGAGATGGTGCTCATAAACTTTGTAGGGTGGCAAGAGAGTGCGGGGTGGTGATGTCCGCGCTGCGCATGGAGACAGCCTGAAGAAGGGCGCCGGTAGCTACGTCTTTGTATCGGTTCACGAAGCTGGGTGCGTGTTCTTGGCACTATAGTATGCAAAATACTGATGGTCCTACAGCCATATGGTTCCGTATGACCAACCGGAGGCTGCATTGGATTTGATCGACCGCTGGTTGAACGACAAGTCCTTGTCAGAGTGAAATCCTAGTGGACAAGGTACCCTGTGCGGCTAAACCTCTATATACGACGACTGTATTTTCTTGCGAATTGGATTTGTTTACATCTTGTTTACTTGGCGCTTCTCACCTGGACCTGACCACGTCCGACGCACTGAAGCCGCGTTGTTCGTCATCAATCAAGTCGATTTGATTCATCGCTTTTCGGTTTCTCAAACATCTGCGCATGACTTTGATGGACAGCCGGACCGGCGGCAGGGCAACCGCCAGCCGTTCAGGAATCCGGGGTGAGGCGCGTGATATCCGTACTCAAGTCAAACCGGATAGTGTAAAAGAGAAGCTCGGACCGTGATCGTAAGGTTCCACAGCACCGCACAAAGGGTTGTTCCCGAGTCGCAAGTTGTTGCGTCTGTGCCCAACGGGTTTCAATCTCGAATATATCGACAATGTCTCTAAATAACGGTGGACGTTGGGTGTATTGTAACGCCGCTCGTTTGAGAGTGGTTTAGCAGCTAGCAGATGACGGCTTCCAACGTCTATTCTCGCGCGCACCTCGGTTCTGAGCGTTGCCAACGTCCGGGGTCCGTCGCAATTCTGTTAGAAGTATCTCCGCATCGTTTTGGATATAGAAAATCTCTTTAATTCATTACTAGTGGCATATATAATGCCCCTCACATGCTGGATCCCAGTCTCCCATCTCGTTCCAGAAACACTCTCAGCGGCGACGCCCCTCGTGCAAGATGTGGATGCCTACTGTTGTCACTCTTTTTGCAGTTTTACTGTTCCAAGCGTGCGGGCGCTCGCTGCCGCCATTCCTTCGGGCGCCATTACCGTAGGATCCAAGGGCAAATATTCGACGCTTGCGGCTGCATTAAAGGATACAAGCAGGTAGAAGCCACCCAAATGGTATATTTTGTCGCTGACATCTGCAAGCAACAAGTATTATATCTATGCCGGCACGTATACCGGTCAAGTCGCGATCACTCGCTCCAACATTGCCATTTACGGCGAGTCTACGTCGACTGGCTACGCAGGGAACAAGGTCACTCTTAGCGCTTCTGCGTCTGCCGCATCTGCCGGTGGAAACGACCAGAGTGGAACCGTTCGTGTCCTTGCGTCGGGTGTCAAACTCTACAACCTGAACATTGCAAACACGTATGGAAAGGTACGTCCCCTCGATGGTTTTCTCTCCATTGCTAATCCGAGTCTAGCCCGTTGATCAAGCCCAAGCCATTGCTCTCAGTGTTCAAGCCGGCAATTTCGGATGCTATGGTTGCAAAATCACGGTAAGTTCGAAATTCTTCCTATTTAATCGCTAATAGTATGCCTAAGGGAGCGCAAGACACACTCCTCGCGAATATTGTGAGTTCCCGTTCACCTCTAAGCCGTCCCTTGACGTTTCCCAGGGTACCCAAGTATATGCGCAGTCTTATATATCTGGCTACGTCGACTTTGTCAGTTGATCTTCAACTCCTCCGCATGTGATTGAGACCCGTCCAGATCTTTGGCCAGTCCGCGTCTATCTGGGTAACGAACACGGTTATTGCGACGGTAAGGTGTCTCGTACGATGAAAAATCTCCTCTGATTTTGTCGCTAGACCGGCTCCGGATACATTACTGCCTCTGGACGTAGCTCGTCAGATTCCAACTACTATGTGTTTGATCGGTGCACCGTTCAAGGTACGTCTAGAAAGTTAATTCTATTCAATTCTGCTCACCAAATGGGCAGGGTCAGGCTCCTCGTATCTCGGAAGGCCTTGGAGGAACTATGCCCGTGTCATCTTCCAGAATAGGTATATCCCATCTCATGCCTTGATTCTCATCTTATCCTTCATCAGCTCTATTGGGAGCAATGTTCGCAAGGAGGGATGGTCCGTCTGGACTAGCTCAGACCCCCGAACAGACCACGTCACATTTGGCGAGTACAACAACAGCGGGTGAGTACGATGTAATCGTCCCAATTTCAGCTCATGGGCTTTTCAGTGCCGGAGCGTGGAGTTCATCTCGGGCCAAGTTTGCCACGAAGCTATCCAGCGCAGTATCCATCTCGACCGTCCTGGGCTCGAGCTACTCCAACTGGGTTGACAAGTCATACCTCTAACTCGATCCTCATTGGATTGTGTCTAGAACTGTGAATATCTCTTTCGTTACAATCAAGTCAAGTCAGGTCTCTCGGTGAATCTGGAGATGGTCGTGCGTAGTCTCGTCGCACGGGCTGAACAATGTGTGGTATGGCAGTATTCAGATCAATTTTAACTGGGTTTGAATCGCCTTCAATTCCCTGAAGAAACGTTTATTTAGTATTTACAATAGGACTTGAACGAGCAGTCGAGTCTTTGTAACAGAGACACCTCCGGCGCTCCACCAGATTTAATCTCTTTAATTGAGGGTCGTTGGTGATTTCTTAACCTGAACAAAAGAGTCAGCTTGTATTATACTAGATTTTTCTCTGTACACAGTAGTGTATTTTGCGGGGATATTCATCAAGAAGTGCAGGCTACAGAGCCGTCGTAAATTTGCTTTGTTGTTCAAAGCGGTCGTTGGCAAACACTTATGCAAACGACGATAAAACCAATCTCTTTGTGGCGTACTCGTGGGCTCCTCGGGAGCCGTCGGGGGGGTGTGTGCGAGTCAGGGCTGGACAGCCGAACACTAGTTTCTCATTCCAGGTTTATCCTATCACGCTGCCAGCACTCATCTAACCCATCCGAGCATTGTAGCCACAATTAGATGACCACTGTCATGTTAACCAGCCACCGAGACGACTGAGATGCAATATAGAGATGGCGGCGATGGCCGAGATACCTATGTACCTGCGTTTAGACGCCGAGGCCGAGCGCCAGATAGCCCCTCTGGCCAAATATACGCAATCAACGTGGTATCCGCCAGCTTCGAGCATATTCACGATGTATCGCCGAAAAGCCAAAGGAAATCAGAATCCGACTCCTTCGAATTCCTCAAGAGCAAATACACCTTCTCATGACCCAGACATTGCTTATCAGCGAACACGGGATACCCTCATCGAGGCTGTCAAGCTTGTCAAGGCGGGGACCGAGGCTACTTCATTTCTGGGACCTCTCAAAGCAGTTTGCGAGATTTCCCTTCTATTCCTTGAGACAACCAGGGTACGACACGCTTAGCATCACTGCTGAGTTTCGATCTGATTACGCCGTAGAGTGTAAACGAGAACACCAAAGGACTCAAAATACTCAGGGATAATCTTGTATCACATATATCCATCTTGGATGAAGGATATCTCCAAGCTGTCGAGGACGGACGTATGGACCAGATGCCCGCCGCGCTCAAGGATTTCAACAATGCATCGAGAGATTACATCGTGTAGGGCCTGAGGTCAAGCTTTTGAATGTTTGGCTGAAATTGTGTAGCGCTCTGAAGGGCACACTCTCCAAAATGGATGAGTTGAAGCACGGCAGAGATCAAGGCGTCAAAGGATTTTTCAGAAAGATCACGGATGCCAAGATCGACACCGGAAATATTGCAGAATACAAACAGGAAATCTTACAAGCTACGCGCGTATTCGAGGTATGAATGTCACGTGGAGCCAGTTTCGTATTGAGCTATTCGCAATAGGATACGACCAAGCTCTGTCAAATTCAGCTACAAGCAGAAGGTTAGCCCGATTCACGTCACCCTCCAACTCGTATTGATTCCCTACAGTGTGGAAAGTAGCCCAACTCGGGCCCGAGAAGCCTCGTCCGATGGGTACTCAGCATAAGACGTGTCTACCGGGCACACGCGTACCGATTCTGCAGGAGATTCGGCAATGGCGTCTGGATTCCAACGCGGACAAGCGCATCTTTTGGCTCTGCGACGTTGGCGGGTCTGGAAAGTCCACGGTCACATTGACGATGTGCGAGGAATGGGATAATACAGAAGATGTTCTAGTTGGTCGGTTCTTCTTTTCGAAGAATGCTCGGCAGACATCAGAGACGGATGATTTCTGCTCCGTCATCGCAGGTGATATTGGTGCTCGAAACAAGACAATCCTAGAGCAAATAAAGATGACAAAGAAAGAGATCCTCACCTTCTCATACGAGGACTGCGCCATCAGTTCACCAAACTCATCGAAGAACCATTGCAACTTGCAGGGACAGATATTGTCCTTGTGATCGATGCAATGGATGAGTGCAAGGAGGAGATGCGGGGAGAATTGATCAAACTACTGGTTGAGAAGCTTTCATCAATGCCTAAACTCAAACTCTTTATAACGAGCCGGCCAGAGCCAGACATCACGGCGATACTTCAGGGTAGAGCGATCGTACGCGGAATGCATTTCAAGATGCACGGCAAAGAGCAGCAGTCCAACTTGGATGATATTAGGGCCTACGTCGATGTCCATCTCGTCAACCTGCTTACCGAGCCTCAGCGCTGGCAGATTGTAGAACGCTCGAATGGACTTTTCATCTGGATCACGACAGCACATCTTGAGCTACGACAGGCTCAAGGTCCGGCCGCAGTTGGCGCGACTCTCAAATCACTCTTGACGCGAGGCGAGGGCGGCGATATTAACCAGGTCTATACAAGCATCCTTCGTCGACTACGACGAGAGCCGTCCAGCGGTAGCATACACAAGGTTATGGGCACTATCCTAACCTTGTTCGAGCCAGTGTCAACAGATGCTCTGGAGGAGATAACTGGGATTGCAGCCTCTGAGCTAAGACTGATCTTAGGGTCGATGCAGAGTGTATTTCGGGTGGAGAGTGTGGTAGAGTTTCTACATCCGACGTTTCGAGAATACCTTCTCAGTCCATACAATGTGGATATACCATTCGACTCAACAGCAATGCAATCAGACTTGGCCATATCTGTCCTCACAGTGCTTCAGAGGGATCTGAAGGAGGATATTTGCGGCATTTCCGTGCTGAATGAACCTTACCCAAGGAACACGGACGTCATGGATCTGGATAAACGTCTGGAACGATTATGGACAAGTTGTCCGGCACTACCTTATGCGGCAAAGTACTGGGGCTATCATGTGTCTACTGTCGTAACAGAGAAACAGGTGGCCCAGATGCTGCGGATGTTTTTAGAAAGTGGAATTCTCTACCTTGTAGAGCTGTTAAGCTTGATGGGTCGCTTGCATCTTATTCGAAATTTCGAAGAAGTTCGGCAAAGTTGTGAATACCAAGGGTTGGTTGATGATGTCGAGGTGAGCTGGTGCTACATATGGTATGTGTATTGACCATGGTGACAATAGGTATGCCATGATACAGTTAGACTTGTCCAGAGGCATCAAGAAACACTAGAGAAGAGTGCACTGGATATCTACTCATCAGGGCTACTATTCCTCCCTCGAAAGTCACAACTGTGGACGATATACAAGAGCAGGTTTTCAGATCGACTACCAAGAATCATTGGAGGACCATCAGTGCATTGGCCCTCACACCAGACTTTGACTGGACATACCAATACTATCCAGTGTCTGGCCTTCTCGCCAGATGGGCGCCGTCTTGCATCTGGATCTGGGGATCGCACTGTACGCCTGTGGGATGGGACCACCGGTGCAAGCCTTGGGACGCTTGAGGGACATACCAAGTGGGTCCAGTGTCTGGCCTTCTCGCCAGATGGGCGCCGTCTTGCATCTGGATCTGGGGATCGCACTGTACGCCTGTGGGATGGGACCACCGGTGCAAGCCTTGGGACGCTTGAGGGACATACCGGTACTATCCAATGTCTGGCCTTCTCGCCAGATGGGCGCCGTCTTGCGTCTGGATCTTGGGACTGCACTGTACGCCTGTGGGATGGGACCACCGGTGCAAGCCTTGGGACGCTTGAGGGACATACCGGTACTATCCAATGTCTGGCCTTCTCGCCAGATGGGCGCCGTCTTGCATCTGGATCTGGGATCGCACTGTACGCCTGTGGGATGGGACCACCGGTGCAAGCCTTGGGACGCTTGAGGGACATACCGGTACTATCCAATGTCTGGCCTTCTCGCCAGATGGGCGCCGTCTTGCATCTGGATCTCGGGATGCACTGTACGCCTGTGGGATGGGACCACCGGTGCAAGCCTTGGGACGCTTGAGGGACATACCGGTACTATCCAGTGTCTGGCCTTCTCGCCAGATGGGCGCCGTCTTGCGTCTGGATCTTGGGATCGCACTGTACGCCTGTGGGATGGGACCACCGGTGCAAGCCTTGGGACGCTTGAGGGACATACCGAGTGGGTCGAATGTCTGGCCTTCTCGCCAGATGGGCGCCGTCTTGCGTCTGGCTCTCGGGATGGTACTGTACGCCTGTGGGATGGGACCACCGGTGCAAGCCTTGGGACGCTTGAGGGACATACCGGTACTATCCAGTGTCTGGCCTTCTCGCCAGATGGGCGCCGTCTTGCGTCTGGATCTTGGGACTGCACTGTACGCCTGTGGGATGGGACCACCGGTGCAAGCCTTGGGACGCTTGAGGGACATACCAATTGGGTCTTGTGTCTGGCCTTCTCGCCAGATGGGCGCCGTCTTGCGTCTGGCTCTCGGGATGGTACTGTACGCCTGTGGGATGGGACCACCGGTGCAAGCCTTGGGACGCTTGAGGGACATACCGGTACTATCCAATGTCTGGCCTTCTCGCCAGATGGGCGCCGTCTTGCGTCTGGCTCTCGGGATGGTACTGTACGCCTGTGGGATGGGACCACCGGTGCAAGCCTTGGGACGCTTGAGGGACATACTGGGAGGTCTGGTGTCTGGCCTTCTCGCCAGATGGGCGCCGTCTTGCGTCTGGCTCTTGGGATGGCACTGTACGCCTGTGGGATGGGACCACCGGTGCAAGCCTTGGGACGCTTGAGGGACATACTGGGGAGGTCTGGTGTCTGGCCTTCTCGCCAGATGGGCGCCGTCTTGCGTCTGGCTCTTGGGATGGTACTGTACGCCTGTGGGATGGGACCACTGGTGCAAGCCTTGGGACGCTTGAGGGACATACTGGTACTATCCAATGTCTGGCCTTCTCGCCAGATGGGCGCCGTCTTGCGTCTGGCTCTCGGGATGATACTGTACGCCTGTGGGATGGGACCACTGGTGCAAGCCTTGGGACGCTTGAGGGACATACTGGTACTATCCAATGTCTGGCCTTCTCGCCAGATGGGCGCCGTCTTGCGTCTGGTTCTGGGGATTGCACTGTACGCCTGTGGGATATTGCCACCCCAGCCAGTTTGGAGCCTCCTTATGAGCTCAATCATGATCCCAGGCATTTATATTTCTCCCAAGGTGGACATTTCTTACATGTGGACAATGGACCAGTACTCAATGTCTCCCACAATCGCCTTCAGTCACTCTCATCTCCATGTCTGAGTGTCACGCCCAGCCATGAGCATTCCACAGTAGCTGTTGACTACACCAGTCAGGAGCTGTGGTCTGTTTGTTGTCCATACCGTAGATATCAGATCCCTGATGAGTTTCGGTTGGTTTGCTCCACCAAATCCCAAGATAAAATCGCCCTAGGTCTGGAGAATGGACAGGTCATGGTCATTGATTTTGCAAAATTTTCTGACCCACATACCCAATTGTAATCAATTCACAATGTGTTCCAAATCACAAACCTTGAATGCAAATCCATCTGAATTCCAGATGATAACTAAATGTTATCCAATTTTTAGACTGTCTATGTGGTAGTGGTCAGGGTAATAATTGCGGCGATCTGCCTCAGCATGATAGTCCTGGTTCAACCAGCCAAATAATGCACAGTTGCACCAACCCAGCCCCCCTGTTTCCCCCCAAGGGAGAACAGAGGCCTTATATACCTGTTGATTATTAATCTTGGAATGTTCTAGAATATTCTCAAGAATACTAGTTAGAAAGGCCTGACTAATCTCTGCGGCTCTGCTTACAAATGGCAGCTGCATGTGATTACAACAATGACTCATCTGTGCATCATTTGGCTAGAAATAATACCACCAAAGCCACAATTGTGCTCGCATTGTGATCTAATGTATAGCAAGGATTTGTTGATACTAGGATGATACACAAGTAGGATTCATGAACATTATTTAGACTCGCCTCCAGTTCCACTGTCCCCTTATCCCAATTTCATAGAATTTGACAGCCTCCTCAAAATGACTAGGTAAGAATTGTGCTGCGGCAGCCCTAGTCATACCCATGCCCAATTACACTTGTCATCCTTTGATTTCATCTCATGTGAAGCTTAGTAATATAACTGGGCTCACAGTGCTCCAGCTGTGGGCACAGTTTAGACAAGGTACTGCGAACTGTGTGCACAGTCTCACTGCCACTTAGAATAGGTATATAAGGCCTGTAGAAACATGTCTAGTACGAACAGGATTTATTTTAGAATTATTCCCTGTGTCCAGATCATTGGTATCTCTACCTAAAAGTCATGATTGATTTCTGGGAGGTTTACCTGTGCGCCCGATGGCTATGGCCGCCGCCCTGCCGATCATTGTGGTGGCACTGTTTAAATGCCATGTCCTGCATGTTTGAGGGCTCTTGGTCATACCATTCTAGTCTGAAGTTACTTTAAACGTGTTGGTGGTCACAGATTGTCCATTCTCCGTGCGTCCAATTGCCAAAACAACAGATAGGCGATGACTGACTGCCGGTGACAGTTTCAGTGCCAGTTCTATCAATCATGTCTCTCCAAAGGGTTCACGGATATATATAAGGGCTTATATTAGCTGTCTGCTGTTTAGATTAAACTCATTGCCTAGTATGAGCGCTCCTCGTCCCTCTCCATCTCTGGCCCCACGCAAAGCGGCCCGTGCAAACGAGCAGTGTATTCAGGCTGCAATAGCCTTTATAGAGCATAAAAAAGCTCAGGGAGTGCAAGTTTCTGTGAAACAGGCCGCAATTATGCACGGTGCTCCTCCATCGACTGTGGCTGCTCGCCTAAAAGGTCGCAAAACGCGCCAAGATGCCCATGTACACCGACAAACCCTTGGTCCAGAGGAGGAGAACGTCCTCGTTGATTGGATTATCTTCTGGGGTGGCAAGGGAATACCACTAAATCCCAATCATGTTTGGGCCAAAGCCGTGGCAATCTCGGGCCAGGATGTGGGGAAGCATTGGATTGACCGCTTTAAAGATCGACACTCAGATAGATTAAAGTCCACATGGACACAACCTATCGAACATTCCCGTGCTAAAGCCGTTAACCCAGCCATGGTTCGCGACTTTTATGAAAAATTGATGGCGGAAGTGAATAACTCGGCTATTCCTCAGAAGAATATTTATAATGCAGACGAAAAAGGTGTTCAGTTTGGCGAGACGAGGGGTCCAAGGTCTTGGTGGAGCAAACTCAGCGTAACACACGTGTGATCCATGACAAACATCGCGAGATGGCAACTGTAATCGAGTGCATATGCGCCGATGGAACCGCTATTTCACCTATGGTCATATTCAAAGGGAAGCGGATGTCAAAGTTTTGGTTCACCCAGAATTTTGGTGGAATGAGCCCAGTGTGAGCAGGCAGATACTTAAAGTTAGCATTTCAACTTACTCTATTTAGAATAGCGACATCATCTGAAGGATGGACAGATCAAGAGCTGGGCGCGTTGTGGATGGAGCAATGCTTCGAACCAGAAACAGCTATCCACAGCGACCCTCAGGCCCCGCGCCTCCTTATAGTTGACGGCCATAACTCTCATACAACATATCGATTTCTTGAATATGCCAACAGACACGATATCATTGTCCTTTGCCTCCCACCACACACCACACACGCCCTTCAGCCATGTGATGTCGGTGTATTTGGTCCATTATCACAATCATGGCGCTCTGTGGTCAGTGAGAATGCTATTAAAGGCATTCAGGTGACAAAATACAACATGCTCGGGCTGTATGCCGAGGCACAAGCAGCCTCATTCAAGGAGGAGACAATTCAAAAGTCATTTCGCAAGACAGGGATATGGCCTGTAAACAAGGATGCATTGCAGAGCTCAGATTTTGAGCTATCACCGGCGACAACAACAGCGGTTCTTCTCCCAGATCCTGGTAAGATACCGAAGAATGATTGCCTTGACCAATTCTGATTCTACAACAGACAAGGGCGCCTTAGATTTGCTGGATACGACATTGAAGGCATCAAACAAAGCTATTGGAATTGTCCATTCGTCATCCACATCTCCTCATCTGCCTTCCAGCTCGATAGCTGCAGACCCCCCAGTTGAACAAGGTGAGCTAGTGATCCTGGATGTGAATAACGGCTAAATATGAATTCCAGATAAACTTGAAAGCCATATAGCGGCAAATCCGTCGCAACTTCCAGCAGATCTACGAGATTATGACGTCCCGGCTGCCTTGCGAGCCTGCTCAATGCCTGCTTTGCCTGACGAGAATGTTGATAGCTCTGTGCTAAGGAGTCGCATTCGCGAGTATGAGCAGGTTATAGCAGCACAGTCTGCTCAACTGATGGTGGGCACCACCTGGAACAAGCTGTTCCATTTGGAGAATGGTCAGCTGCGTCAAATCGCGCTCAAGAAAACCACGCGACGGAAAAACAAGTTCCTTAACACAAAGGCACGAGTTATGACATCTCCAGAGGGCCTGGACGAAATCAAGGCAGACAAAGAGAGGCGAGCCGCAAAGGCAGCAGAGAAGGCAGCAAAGGCAGTGGCCCGAGCAGAAAAGGCTGAACTTAAGGGTAAAAGGGGTACTGGAGGACAGAAGGGCCAAAAAGTGCGATTCCAGGTCAAGGACAACACCTCTGATATGGCATCTGATGCAGCCACCTCCGATTCGGACACTGATAGGCTCAGCAATGCACAACCCACCCATCGCACCACACGCTCAGGACTGTCTGCAAAGTTTAACAGCACTGGATTGCATGCGGATCCATCAAAGGCACCCCAGGCGGCAGCACAAGATACCCCTGTCACCCTGCGTCGCGGACGGTCAGCTACCGCTCAGAAGGAGAACCCAAAAAGGCTATCTACTGGTATTAAGTCGGGTTCCTCACCAAATATTGGCTCTGGAAATGCTGCCACCCCTAATACGGTCGGCGTTTCCGTGACAGGAGCCAAAAAGACGCAAGGAAAGCGGTTTAAACGGCCTAATCCTATGCACAAGATCTCTTACGAAGAAGATGATGACTTCTTTGTTTTGAATCCGGCAGCTAGGAAACGTAACAGAGGATCATAGCAAGTTGGAGGCATTCCAATGCCACCTAGTCAATCTTGTCGCTATCTTTTATCTATCATATTTTTTCCTGAATTCTTGAGAGAGTTTCCAGGCTCCGAGCTTGGATACAAGTTTTCTCGGTGGCCCGGGACGCATGCTTCCAAGCGCCGGTCAGCACAGCCCCACACCTATTGCCACCGAACCTTCGCCGCCTCGTACATTGATAGAGTGGACAATAAATGATATAAAAACCCAGAAAAGCAAGCCCGGTGATCTATTCTACCCTTGTTAATGCCAAAAGAGCTTAACCTTCTCGCTAAGGGGGTATGGACAGTACAAATTGTAGAGCGTTAGGCAAACTTCGTCTCTGAATAAAATGTATCTTTAGATAAGCTGGGATACACTCTTTTGGCTTGAGGGTCAAGCTCATCAGGTTAACCACAAGGTCTTGAGAAAGACCTGAGGCGTGTTAGAGTGTCAGGCTCTTCAGCTTCTTCCATCTTGATGGCTGTAGAGTCATATTCCTCTTCATATTCGTCCCCATCTTCATATAATGTATTGTCAAACTTGATCCTGAAAGGAGAAGCGTGAGGAGGCTCATTAGAATCCTGAATAAATTCATCTAGGTCAGATGCATATTAATCCCAACGCTTAGTGCATTCAGGATCACTAAGAGGCTCATAAGAGCGACCTGCATGCATTGAGGAACTTCCTAGATTAATTCTGTTATGATTCTCTGAGCAATTCTCCTTTCCCCAAGTGGGCTTCCGTGCTCTGATAGAGCTCATATTGCGATATATTGATCCAAGTATTTAATAATGAGTTTACACAGGTGTATTACTTGGGAAAATCCATGTGTACACAGTGCTGTCAGTAAGAAGACTATCTTAAGTACTCACTATGAAGATTCTGATTGCTCGGTAAGTTCAAACTTTCTAGTTGGCGTACTAGTAGTCTCAGTCTAGCTGCTGAGTGTGAATTTACGTAGAGATACTAATGATCTGACACTGGGAATAATTCTAAAATAAATCTTATTCGTACTAGACATGTTTCTACAGGTCTTATATACCTGTTCTAAGTGGCAGTGAGACTGTGCCCACAGTTACACAGTGTACTGTGCACACAGTTCGCAGTACCTTGTCTAGACTGTGCCTATAACTGGAGCACTGTGAGCCCAGTTACATTACTAAGCTTGACATGAAATGAGATTGAAGGATGACAAGTATATTTGGGGATGGGTATGACTAGGGCTGCTGCAGCACAATTCTTACCTAGTCATTTTGAGGAGGCTGTCAAATTCTATGAAAATTGGGATAAGGGGGACAGTGGAACTGGAGGCAAGTCTAAATAGTATTCATGAATCATACTTGTGCATCATGTATCAGGCTTTGGCTCAAGCCTGCTATATGTTGGTACTGGGACGGGGGGCCGTCATGCCGCCACGCGTCCCTAAATGCAGTTAGTTGTGACGCGAGGCAGTATCATAGACTGAATATGCTTGATGAAGATAGATATCAAAGGTCTAACCTTTCAAAGTATGGGGACCCCCAAAACTGTGGCTGACCATCATATGCAGGGTGGAAGAATCTATGGTCATATGTCAGGAACGGCATAACATAACAAGAATGTCCGAAAGGCAGATCTTGCAGATCCGGCACAGCCATCGGAGCGACCGACAGCCACCAACCGCGAGGCACCGACTCACGTCACTAATGCCCTTGCCCTACATCTTCCATCTTCTACACGCTTCCGCATGGCTCCGATAATTTAAAACCTTCCGACCGCCTTCAGAAGCAGACAGCTTTGACCTCTTGTCTGCCTTCTGAAGGTATGCTCCTATTTTCATGCGACTATGTACAGTAACTAACTAAATATACTTGTCTGCCTTCTGAAGGTTGAGACCTGACGTAATTGCTCTGGCCTCCGAGAGTCGAGGCTTAGGCTCACGCGTATACCACTCGTGACATCATACATACACCAAAGCTAAGTTAGAGTCAAGAGAGAAGTTGAATTAAGTGCAATCTGATCTGGCAGCAAGAGCAAGTCAAACAGGTGTCGGCAGGTTGGGAGCAGGCGAGTTTTGCATCTGGGAAATAGACTCATTATACCTATCTGCTCTATATATTCTATTCAGGAAGGAGAATGTCTACCTTACCTCGTGTGAGGAGCGCGGGGTATATCCAGTGACTTGCAACTGGGTGAGGAGTGGATTTCTCAGAGGATAAAAGACATTTTAAGGTACAAGAAATAAGATTAAACTAATTGAGCAGGCTTCTGTACATGTTCTGATCTGGTTAGCTGCAGTCTCCCGTGGATTAACATTGCAAGTTTGACAAAGTCATTGGAAGGGCAGATTTCTCCAGTTCAGAAATATTTATTTAATCATGAGATAATATCACACTAGCTATCTCGCTGTCTCATGCAGCAGTTCTTGTGTTCGTGCATGGTCATCTATGAAACAGCGGGTTCGGGT